AATGAGACGGTGGGGGCATCACAACACGTTCAGGACTACCCAAACACCAGTAATTCTTGACTGCACTGATCTGCTTTAGTAAATCCTTACTTTGGTTAAATAAATCAGTTGTTGAACCCCCACTCCTCTGTTTGGTCTCCTTTCTTATTACAGCCCACCACTTCCAGTCTGGGTTGTAACAATCTGCAGACAGATTTCTGAGCATCTCCTCCTTTGGTATACAGATCCTCACTGAGCCAAGTACTGTGAACAAATAGTTTCTCCGTGATATTATCCAGCAAGGTCTTGTTTTTGTCAAAACAAGGGTGAGGTAATGAAAAAATAGAAATATTTCAATAAATTAACATTAAAATTATTTATATGCATAATAAAAAAAAACATGTTTTGAAATATATAAAGTGCACCAAACTTGACTCAGTCCATTCAACAATTCTAAATGGACAATTATGTAACTCATCAATTAATTATTTGAAAGGATAATTTGTCAATTAAATGCTGAAAAAAATAAACAATACATTAATGAGGCAAGAACTTTTTAAACTTGAACATACCTACACCCACAAGTCTATTTTTACCTGGTTAAAACCATCTAGCTTATGTGCACTTTTCAAAACACTGCCCAGCAAACATTCGGACATTTAATGACAGTTGAACGGTCACAACTGTAAAATAATATCACAGGAATTAGGAAAGAATAATATGACATCAACTCTATGTTACTTGGCCGGACTCAAACCTGGATCCTCCAGAGTGAGAGTCACCCGCTCTCCCAGCTGAGCTATGCCAGCAACTGCTGAATATCAGATTTTTCTATATAGATAGCTAGAGAGTAAAGTGCGGGGTAAACTAACCAATCAGAGGATAGGGAAGATCTGCCACAGGCCACGCCTCCAGAGTGCCAAAACTCCTCACAGCCGAGCGAGCGGAATTAGAAACCGAGCGCGCAGAGGCTGCCAAGCGCGCAGAGAGGCTGCCGAGCGCGCAGAGAGGCTGCCGCGCGCGCACGTTTTCCTCTGCCGTGTGCTCGTTGGCAACGCGCGCACGCAGGTTTGTCACTTGTGCACATCCTTGTGCGCTCACAGACACAGTTTGCTCCCTCTCAGTGCACAAATGACCTCTCGCCATGTATATTTTCGCTCGCGAGTCCCGTTCACGCACGCGCTGCCATGTATATTTTCGCTCGCGAGTCCCGTTCACACGCGCGCTGTGGACCCAATGCGCGTGCACGGGTTGTGGCACGGGTCTGACGCGATAGTGTCTGCAGCTCCGCTGTCTCGGACAAACTACACTCTAGTGATGGGAATTACGGCTCTTTTTAGAGAGCCGGTTCTTTTGGCTCAGCTCACAAAAAAGAGCCGGCTCTTTTGGCTCCTAAGTGGCTCCTCAGATTTTCTGTTGCGTAGAGTACATTTATAACCAAAATAATGCTAAACTATATGTAAAATAATTTACTAATGTAAAAAATAGCAATATATCAAATATTTATCATTTCTATGGATTTAATAACTGAACACTTTAAGAAATCTCCACTTCCCTACTGCTGGCGCTCATTTTTTCACCGTCTTCGTCGCACTCTCCTCTCTCTCGCTCGCCCTTTTCCTCCTCCTGAGTCCCTCTCGTGTCCCTCCACCCGCATGTGCTCTGCTGTGTGTCTGTCTGACTATGACCCTCCCTCTTCCCCGCCCCAACTCTTCTGTGTGTGGACAGTCTGGACACACAGTTACACATGTTGACCAATCGCCTGTAGCTTTCACGAAGGCAGGGGACGGGGGGGACGGGGGGGGGGGGGGGGGGGGGCGGACGGCTCCCAATGATGAGCCGGCTCCCGTCGTTCACTTCAAAGAGCCGGCTCTTAGAGCCGGTTCGTTCACGACCGACACATCACTACTACACTCCTATCACTCAGCGCCGAGTTCACTCAGCTGTTTTCTGACGTTGAAGCCCAGAAACGGAGATTCTAGCCGCTCAGTAACGTGTTCACGACTGAAAGAAAAAGTGTTCCAACTAACTTCCAGACAGAGCCGATATAACTCCAGCGACCAGCGACACGCTCAAACCAGCATGACTCTGTGGTTGTGTTTCCTCCCCGACACACAACAACGTGGTCAAGCTGCTCAGACATGTTCATCAGCACAAATCTATGTGAGCACCTGTTGTCATCTAATGTTGTCATTATTATGATGAAGATGAACAAAACAACAGGAGTCTCCTCCTCAGCTCAGATCAACCCCGTGATGCAGGTATTTGGCTGGAACAGGTGAGCATCACAGTAAACCAGTGGAGCAAACTGAGCTTTAAATATGTTGGTTTTATGCTTTTTCTGCTCCAAAACATGAAAGTTAACAGGTGAGATGTTGCATTTTCATTTAAGATAAAATGATATTTTTATTTTGTTGTTGGCCCGTGAGAAAAGATTTAACCTACAGTAAACAGGAAGTGGAAAGGCTGCAGATGGATGAACAGAATAGAAAATCCCTTTATTGTTCCTCAGTGGGGAAAGCTAGACGTCACAGCAGCGATGACACGTATTACAGGAGAAAAAAAGGAGAATAAAAAATAAGAAAAATGAATAAACAAGAAAACATAAATCCTGAATAGATTTTAAAAATGCTGATTATACCACAAGTAATGAATACCACTGATGCCTTTTATTTAAAACTGACTTGCTCGTGTGTAATTTGGTTATTCACATTCAGTGTTAATGCAGAAATAAGTTTTTTTTTCCAAATTTAAAGGTTCAAAATTGCATTTATGTTGATAAAGAAAATGTGCAAATTTGCCGTCACTTTTTCAAAAATTTTAAGTTTGGCCCTCGACTCCGTCCCAGAGTTTCATTTCGGCCCTGTGTGAGTTTGAGTTTGACACCCCTGCGCTAAACCCTCAGATATGGGCAAACTGCATGCTCCCTCACTCACAATCATCGGCAAAATGCAATTTCATCAAATACAGAGTTTCAGTTAAAAATGTCTTTTGAGTTTAATTGTGGTTAAAAGTGTGGAACAGTGAAAAAAACTTTTATTATTATTATTCCTGATTATAATCAGTCACTCTGAGTTTTTCATGCAGGCTGAACATGAAAATAGTCTCCTACACCTATCTCTTGCAATAGCTTCTGATAGAAAATAGACGGTTAAACTCTAGGATTTTTAAACAGACTTATGTCACACTGGAGACGTAGATGTTACACTCGCGACGGGGAAGGCTGTTGTTGTTGTTGTTGTTGTTTAGTGTCCAGGAAACAGCAGAAAGTTTCTCAGCAAGTGGAAGCTAACCATTAGCATTAGCAACTGCACCACACAGAACTCCTCCAGGCTTGTGTTACTTGTTTTTCAATGTCCTATTAGTTTGCTCCTCCTTCCCCCAACAAGAGGATCTTTAGTGATGTCAGTGTTTATGCTTCTTGTTTTGCATCACGTTAGTGTGTGGCAAGAAACAACGCATTTTGCCTATAATTCGTTTATTTATTTATTTATGTATTTATTAATTAATTAATTTATTTATTTTTTCATGTTTGGAGGAGGATTTAGCGAAGCAGATGGATCATTCTTGCTGTGTGGTTCGTTGCTTGGCCCGTGGGAGGCTTGATAAAAGGTTTGATTGGAATTCCCTCCATAAACTGCGAAGTACGAAAGAGATGATAGGAATTGACCCGGACTCTCCGAAGAAAGCCTGGATTCCTGCAGCAACGGGTAGTTTGTGAGGCTCATTTTGTTCATGGTAAGTCCTTGTAACTATTTGTTAATTAGAGAAGATGTTTTAAAAAAACATTCATCTTCATGTATTTTTAAATCCACGGAGTCATGTTGTTTTCTGACTCTGACTCGAGTCTCTCAACCTGCGATCATTATAATAAATAAGGAAATAAATAAGGACTCAGATTAATGACGACTTACCCAGCTTTGTAGTTGCAGTGAGGATTTATTTGTTTTCTTTGGCCGTCATCCACAGGTGATGTAAAAATACTGTAACTCTATGATTTACAAGCACGTTGCACATCATCCAATTAGGGACACAGGTTGTCCGACTAACCCTAACCCTGACCCAAGGGACATAAAACATAGAGAAAAAAAGAATGGCTGGAGCAAACTTGTCCTGAATATAATTTAATAAGTGCAAACAAAAAGGACTAATGTTTCGACCAAAAATGTGTAGAAGACATTTTTTGTCTTCATATGACCATACAGAGCAATTTCTCTGACAAAAAAAAAAAAAAAAAACTAGAGATGTGAAATGGTAATGAAACGATCATCATCTTTTTTCTCTGTGGCTATTTCCAAGTTTTGGTACTCTACCACCTCCATCACCCAGGGAGTCCCCCAAGGTTCTGTGCTGGGGCCTCCACTGTTCCTCCTTTATCTGCTTCCTCTTCAGCACTTCCTGATCTCTTTTAAAGGAATCTCCTACCATCTTCATGCAGATGACATCCAACTGTACAGCTCCTTTATGTCTAAGCTGCAACTGTTACACTCCTGCTTAAACTATTAAAACCTGGATGGCTGGGAACATTCTACAGCTGAATTAAGATACGACTGGGATCCTCATTTGTGTCCCAGACAAGCAGGTTCCTAAAGTTAGGGAATCTCTTGGTCAGCTTGTGCTTCTCAAACCAAAACCTCTATCAGTAATATTGGTGTGACCTTTGACCCAGCTTTGACCCTGGATTCTCTTGTCAGTTCTCTTGTTCGCTCTTCCTTCTTCCATGTCAGGAACATTGCTAAGCTGAGTCCAATTCTGTCCTGCTCTGAACTTGAGATTGTTATCCACACCTTCATCTCCTCACGCTTAGACTACTACAACCCATATTTCACTTGTCTGAGCAAAACCTCCCTGAACCTTCTATAGGTGGTTCAGAACATCTGTGCTCGGCTTCTGACTAAGTACAAAGTAAATGCTTTTTCACATATGTTTCATATTATTTTGCTGCCGAGGTTAACGGGAAAATGGTGTAATATTTGAAATGATTTACGAAGGAAATGAAAACGTTGAAAACGTGCAAAAGGTGAGTCTTAACATTCATGTCTTTATTCAAATACCATATTTTTTTCATCCAACACATATATTTAGTCTAATGTGAAAGCTTGCTGCAAATGATTTCTAATCTTCTCATTTCTTCTGCTCAAAATTATATATTTTATGGCGATAATCAGCTATTCAAAGTGAGGACATGTTAACATGGTGTAAGATAAATCTATGCCAATCTCACTTAAATCTGATTATATCAAAATTTACTGAAATGTACTAAAACAGAAAAAAGAAATTACAATCAGAACACTGTTTTGTTTCTTTTCACTTCATTTGACATCCAAAGACTGCAATTTGCTCCTCCAACTCTTCCATGCCCAAACAAGTCGGTCGGTATCTCTCAGTCTGGCACTCTTGAGGTGTGGGCCAGTACTCGACCCAGGTGTTTTCACCCAGCACATACTGGAGTCTGAGCACAGAAACAGAAATGTATGCTTTATGTATGTATGTATACATTTATGACAGGTATTCCGCAGTTTAAAACATGCTAGAATGACTATTTAAAATGATCAAAAGCTAATTCTGTAAATAAAGAACTGGAACTGACAACCTTTTATGAACAAAATGTTTCTAACCTTAAAATTAATTTGCCTTGTCTGTGGTGCAAACAAGAAACCCATTAATGTTTGAAATTGTACATTTGTATACTGTGTGAAAACCATAAAAAAAATGACATTTTCATGTTGTTATAATTTTGTTATTAGTTACAATTTGTGGAAAAATTACAACAAATTATTTCTAATCACTGATAACGTCTGACTGAATGTATCGCAATATATGATACATTGTATTGTCTCCCCTGTATCGTGGTACATATCGTATTGCCAAAATGTCACCAATACACATCCCTAGTTAGAACCCTAAGTAGTAGTTGTTCTATATGGACATGAAATGCATCAAATATCCCAGGAGTCAAAGCTTACTGCAGAATAATTTATTCCTATATATATTTAATAGCCCTTTAATCTTTTTGGGGGGGGGGCAAAATGTGCCTATTACCCCATAGTTTATTGATAGATGTTCACGAACGAATCTAATCTTGAGAGTGGCTCTTCAAAGTGAACGATGAGTGCCGAGTCCTTGTAGAGAACCGTACATCTCCCTAATCCGCAGGGATTCCCTAAGTGTGGTGCGCGCGCGAGCTGCCGCTAGGGGGTGCGCGAGCTGCCGCTAGGGGGTGCGCGAGGTGAAAAGTGTAATGGCTGCGGAGCTCAGAGAAGTCTGTCATGTGTCACCATTAGCTTAGCCAGAAACTCATTTGTGGGTGGGCCAAAGAAAAAGTAAGTGGGCACAATAAATGTAATTGAAAACAAGTATATTTTGTGCGTGCGCGCGCGTGTGTGTGTCCTCCGCATGTGCCCTAGCTTCATAATAACAATGAGCCGAGCTTCAGCACTCTGGCCTGCGCACGCCGATATGTTCCGTATTTGCTCATTTTTAATGATGTTGGAGAAATCTGAAGGTGGCGAGTCATTCTGGCAGATTGTAATTAACACCTGTCTCATGCAGGTGTTCTGACATTGTAAACCTCACACACAGAACAGAAATGATTCCCATCTGAGCATTTTAGCATTATTATATTATTATATTAGCACCAGGCGCATTGCAAGATTTTCAAAAGTGTGGGGGATGTTGTCTGTGCCTAAAATAATTTGATGTTATTCATCTTGATAGTTTAATTTCCATAATAGCGGAGCAGGTGCGAATTTTAGACGCGTCACGCATGTCTCCGTTTTAAACATGTTTAAACTGTTCAGAATACAAATCCAGGCTCTGTCTCGTTAGATTGGTGTAACTAAAGTTTGTACTGAATGAAAGTTTACATTAAACCATGTTGAAAAGAAAAGGATCCGATTAAATCGTTTCCCCCTCATTTACAGTCAGTACAGCGCAGTGCACGTGGCTCTGGGGTTTATCAAGTTTAATTGTTTCTCTTTGCAACAATCTTCACAAGAAGGCAAAACAGTTAAATGACAGGTTACAGATATTTCCATTTGACTGTTTATTTTGATGGATAAACTCAAGGATGTTGGTTGTTTTGAAAGAATTACCCCGACACACACTGATGCACATGGATGAGCTGACATGTAACTAAATCAATCAAGAAATGATTCCCATCAGAACGTCAGAGCTTTATACTGGACACTGTGCTCAGCACGGCTCGGAGTGAACACGGTGGACAGTGAGCTGAAGATCTGGGGAGCGCAGCGCAGTGCAGAACCACGGTGCATGTGGTAAGATTTCCTCCCACTGAAACGGTCTGGAAAGCCGGTCTCTCTGAAGGATGTGTCACTAAATAGTCACTAAATAGTGCTTGTTCCCGTCTCTAATATGGAGATGCATGACGCATCCAGTCTGAGGCAGAATAGCCTCTCCAGCTCAGAAAGCACCTGTAGAGACATTTGATCACGCACCAAGTTTATGTGGAGCAGAAGCGGTCGGGCCACGGCAGGTGAAATGTTCCTCGCCTACATGAAGTGAAATTGTTTAATTGTAACATTAATATGTTACTGGTCTGGTTGATTAGACCAGGGTTAGATGTGGAAAACACACACACAAACACACACACACAGATTCAATAAGTACACGCTGCGCAAACTCCGGCGCGCCGTCAGACTGAAGGCAGAAATGAGAGCTGCCTCCTTCGTGATAAAAACTTTTGAGGTTTTATAACAACATTTTTCATTCAAGGCCAAATTAAGATATTAGCTTCTTGTCATGTTCTGTGTCGCTTTGTTCCCCAGCCCCTCCAGTTCCCACTCCAGGTTCTCCTTTTGTGCTTCATAGCGCACTCATGTGTCCTTTGTCTGCGTCTCATTTATGTGTCTCTTTGTGTTCCTCATTTGTCCCCTGGTCTTCAGCCTTCCAAATATATCTCTCAGGTCCTGTGTTCCTTTAGTCTTCTCCAGTCATCCCTCTGCAGTGTTTATAGTTTCAGCTTTTCATTTTATTAGTCTCTTTTATATGTTTTGTCCCACCAGTCTTTGTAGTTCTCCTTCCCTTTAGAATATTAGTTATGTGGTTGCTTTTCTTGGTTTTAGGTTTTTTCTTAGGTCATGTGAGTTCCCTCCCTGATTAAGTATTGCTTTCACCTGGTCCTCTTCCCACACACCTGCAGCTCATCTGCCTCCCATCATGCCCCAGTTTATTTAAGCTCTGTCTTGTCTCAGTGTCTTGTCGGTCCATTGTCATTGTCAGTGTTGTTTTGTCCGTTTTGTGTGTTCTCCTGATCTTGCTCATAAAAGAGCTTCTGTTTTGCCTTTTTTGCCAGCATTTGCCTTTGGATTTATGCCCAGCCTCCTAAAATAAAAGGATTTTTTTTTACTTCATATCCACTTCTGCCTCGTGTCATCCTGGGTTACTGCATTTTGGGTCCAAACCATCCTCTCAACGTGACACTTCTATTTTGGGATGACGTATTAAAGTCGAGTCCGCTCCAGCTGGACCCCAGAGGGTTAAGGCGCCACCCAATTAGGGACGTCAGAGAAGCGGTCAGAGTTAGAGCGGGACACAACAAAGCTAGCAGGTGTTTTTGAGCAGGCTAACTTTCACGATGCTTTCGGGTGTGGCAAAACGTAAAAAAAAAAAAATGAAGAGGAACTAAAGAAGAGACAGCCGGGGGGGGGGGGGGGGGGCTTTACAGAAGTTTCTGTCGGGGCTGCTCGGGCAGCCGTCCGACAGCTGTGAACCTGCTCGAGTCAGCAGAGCCAGAGGCCGGGCCCAAGTCAGACCCAGAGGAGACACGACCCGAAGACGCGGTGGAAGATGCGGCGGAAGACGCTGTAGCGCCAACGCCGTCAACATCAACGCCTTCACAGAAGGATGAACTGGAAGAACAGCAGCCAGCCAGAAGTGAGCCCAATATAGTCTTATAGGAGCCTCTAGACCCAGAAAGGGTATTAACAACTAGCTACCCATCTGATCCTGCAAAGTGGTACCAAACTGATGACATGATGCATGAGTACTTTGCACTAAACCACCCTCTCAAAATATTGGATATTCTTCAGCACCACAGAGAAAATCTGGAGACATAAACCGAAGCTTAACCAAGGAACATTTCTTTAGACGTGTTTCTGCTGTGACTGAGGCCTGTGATGCTGGAAGGCTGAAGATTATCCCGGAGTGGAGAATGCTAAATGGTTTCCTTGGTAAGTGTTGCTGGTTTTATTAATTATTTGTCAAATAATTTTATTAATGCTCAAATAGCATAAAAATGCAGCCTGCCTAGTGTAGTCCATTTATTTCATCCGGTGTCGGTACAGTATCTGCTCGGGTGCAAGATCGGCTCGGGTCCTTCGACTGCCGATGACGTCAAAGTACGGCAAACCCACTCGGACAAAATACACTACACATCTATACTGTTGGAAAGAATTTAGCAGTTTCGTTATTAAAATAATGTTTCTTAAGACGTAAGTTTGTGTTTATAATAGTATTTGTAAAATAAAACACTATATTTGATTCATGTTGAACTCCTCTTTGAGCACATCCCTTGAAGGATCATATGGTATTAGCAACACCTGTGAAATTGTATTTGCAGGAAAGAAGTGTGTCCCGTTTATTGAAGTATTTTGTGTTTAGTTTTTGACGTCTTGTCCATGCGTAGTTCAGTTACGCTCATAGTTGCTAGCCAGACTTCAAATGTAATCATTTGGCACGTTTCTAATTCATAATTTGTAATAATGTAATCGGCGATATTAGCATTAGCATTCCTATGGGTTTTTCCATGTATATTAGCATTGCGCTAACCACTCGCTGCCAAATTGCAGCCTTTGCCATTAGAAAATCTCCTTTTGTCACATCGCAATTTAATTACACATGCAGTTAATCGTTCAGCCCTAATATACATGCAGCTCTATGCTAAAAGTGTATTTTCAAAGAGGTAATGATGGATTTCTTTGTAAAAGTTGTCCATCTTTCCAATAGAAAAAATTTGCCTGGACCAACGTCACGTGATAACAACGTTATGTGATTACGTAATTCCATAAGGTTCATGTTCAGCCAATCAACTACTTAGACGTCATCGGCAGTCGACGGACCCGAGCCGATCTTGCACCCGAGCAGATACTGTACCGACACCGGCTCTGCCAGCCAGTGACCCCGAACCTGACCACAACTCCTGTTACTGCAGCATTTCTTATTCCTGTCCGTGTGGCAGCGGATCGCAGATTCAGCCACACCATAAAACAGCAATAAGTCGGTCTGAGGCAAAGGTGAACCTCATGGCTATAGCTTTTCCATCTTTTCCCCTAAAAACATTTGATTACGAACAAGTAGGTGACCAGTTCAGGTTTACGCAGAGCAGAAGGAAGGAGAAACGTTCCTACTTTTAAAAAAACGTTAAACTGCATTGTTTATGTGCTACCTGGGCACTCTAAATATTTATTTACAATTAAATCAAAGGAAATTGTAATGGTATTGAATGTTTATTAATTACTATTTAAAAAATGAAAGTGACCCTGTCTGTTGAGTGACTGTTTAGCTTGACGTCTGATACATATACTGTATATATACCGTAAATCCTCTAATATTGGCCTGTATTCAATTAACAGCCGGGTAACATATTTTGGCCGGTGTCGGAGTCGGCGGAGGTGAGTAATGGCCGGTATTTTATTGTGGCCGGGTGGAATATGGTAACAAGCAAGTACCACGGGGGGTGGGGGGTGGGGGTGGGGGTGCGGTTGTGTCATCCATCTCACTTTTGATTTGCCAGTGACATACCGCGATTTGGCAGGTGCGGAGACGAAGAGGAGGCGAAAATTTGATATCAGGTTCAAAGAGAACGTGCTGATTATGCTGCAGAACACTGGGGAGCAATAGGGGTTGTATGAACTAGTCGACTTCCCTATAGTGACTTTTTATGCCTGTCATCGACTAGTCGCTGTCACGTGATAATGACCGGCAAGATGCAAACCTCGGAAAAGACAGCAGCCTGCTGTCAGCAGGTGACAAGCTCCTGCGGGTCGGGGGGGCAAAGCGCTGTGCCAGAGCGTCGGTACTGACACCCACCGTAAAACGGACATTTAACCAAATTGTGACCTTTTCCCTCTTGCAATTTAACCTTCCCCTCACCCCATCTTAACCTTAACCATCTTGCGCATGCAAATTTCTGATTGTTGATGCGCTCCAGACATCTGCGTCATGAGCACGGCCACAGTAACATTATCAAATCAGGTGTCGCCACCTCAAAAACTAATTTAGCACGCGATCATTCATGTCGGTTCATTTCCTTTAACGTTTTCTGTCTTTTATTTGCGCCTGATGCGTTTCGCTGCTGTGGAGCGAGGCGCATCACCTTGTCCTCCGGTGACGCACCGACCACTGATGCGGCCACCAAGCAGTGAGCACTCCGCTGTTTTTGCGGTCGGCAGATCTTTTAGAACTGCAGTTCAAAGGTAACTCATAAGGCGAATATATATGAACCCAGGTAGCAGTTTTTCTTTAGGATTGAGAGGAGATGCAGGAAGATAATAAACAGACAGGACAGAAAAATAGTCAAATAAAAACAAGTTAGTTTTTGTACCTGGTGGTTGCAACAAACAGACACCATGGAAGGTTATCAGAAGTGAGGAACAGAAAATGAAATAATTATTTTAATGTTTAGAGCAGCAGGAACTCTGAGAGGCTGCAGGTGCATCAGTGAGTTTGCGGCCGCTGCGCAGGGGGAGGGGGGAGATGGCTGAAGCAGAAACTACCGTTGTTAAAAGAAATGTGTTTAACTTTGAAAATGTGGGCGCAATTTTAATTGTCAAAAACTCCAGCGAACCATTAGTTCATTTTGCTCAAATAGAAATAGAGGTCTGCCTCTAATTCTGGCCCTCCTTCCAATAAAGGCCTGGAGCTTGATGAGCTTGAGTCAAATACAGGCCCGGGCCTGTATCAGAGGACTTACGGTATATATATATATATATATATATATATATATATATATATATATATATATATATATATATATATATATATATATATATATATACAGTTGTGGTCAGAAGTTTACATACACTTGTAAAAAATATAATATAATGGCTCTACTGAGTGTCCCGTTATTTCTAAAACTCTGATTTTTCTCTGATAGAGTGATTGGAACAGATACTTCTTTGTCACAAAAAACATTCATGAAGTTTGGTTCTTTAATGTCTTCATTATGGGTTAACAGAGAAAAGTGATCACATTTGCTGGGTCACAAATATACATACAGCAGTGCTAATATTTGGTTACATGTCCCTTAGCCATTTTCACTTCAATTGGGCGCTTTTGGTAGCCATCCACAAGCTTCTGGTTAAATCTTTGACCACTCCTCTTGACAGAATTGGTGAAGTTCAGTTAAATTTGATGGCTTTCTGACATGGACTTGTTTCTTCAGCACTGTCCACATGTTTTCAATGGGGTTTAAGTCAGGACTTTGGGAAGGCCATTCTAAAACCCTTATTCTAGCCTGATTTAGCCATTCCTTTACCACTTTTGATGTGTGTTTGGGGTCATTGTCCTGTTGGAACACCCAACTGCACCCAAGACCCAACCTTCGTGCTGATGATTTTAGGTTATGTTGAAGAATGTGAAGGTAATCCTCCTTCTTCATTATCCCATTTACTCTCTGTAAAGCACCAGTTCCATTGGCAGCAAAACAGCCCCACAGCATAATATTCCCACCACCATGCTTGACTGTAGGCATGGTGTTCTTGGGGTTAAAGGCCTCACCTTTTCTCCTCCAAACATATTGCTGGGCATTGTGGCCAAAAAGCTCGATTTTCGTTTCGTCTGACCACAGAACTTTCCTCCAGAAGGTCTTATCTTTGTCCATGTGATCAGCAGCAAACTTCAGTCGAGCCTTAAGGTGCCGCTTTTGGAGCAAGGGCTTCCTTCTTGCACGGCAGCCTCTCAGTCCATGGAGATGCAAAACACGTTTGACTGTGGACAATGACACCTGTGTTCCAGCAGCTTCTAATTCTTGGCAGATCTGCTTTTTGGTGATTCTTGGTTCACTCTTTACCCTCCTGACCAATTTTCTCTCAGCAGCAGGTGACAGCTTGCATTTTCTTCCTGATCTTGGCAGTGATGAAACAGTGCCATGCACCTTATACTTACAAACAATTGTTTGCACTGTTGCTGCAGCTGCTTTGAAATGGCCCCAAGTGACTTTCCTGACTTGTTCAAGTCAATAATTCGCTTTTTCAGATCCATGCTGAGCTCCTTTGACTTTCCCATTGCAGCGTTTGTGAGCGTTTGTATCCAATGAGCCCTATTTACCTGGCCTAAGAGAAGTCACCAGCTGTAGTCACTCATAATCACTCACAAGAAGTTAAGAGGCCATGCTATGAAGCTCAGTTCACTGACACGTTTCTAAGTCACCAAAATTGCTAGTTCATGTTGCTGTATGTATATGTGTGACCCAGCAAATGTGATCACTTTTCTCTGTTAACCCATAATGAAGACATTAAAGAACCAAACTTCATGAATGTTTTTTGTGACAAAGAAGTATCTGTTCCAATCACTCTATCAGAGAAAAATCTGAGTTTTAGAAATAACGGGACACTCAGTAGAGCCATTATATTATATTTTTTACAAGTGTATGTAAACTTCTGACCACAACTGTATATATATATATCCATGCCCTGATGTAGGGGCTGGGGGGTGCGTCGACATGGTCGGGACATAGAAGGGGTGCGTGTCTAAATAAGTTTGGGAACCACTGCCCTAGGGGGTTGGGGGATGTACCTTGCTTGGCCCTGTCGCCAAGCCAAGCATTCCCCCCCCCCCCCCCCCCCCCATCACATGTTGTCATGGACAATGCACGGTAGTGACACTAACCGCGCGCTTCACCCCCACTGTCACGGATGACACGGGGTAGCGAAACGATCTGCACGCACCTAACTAATGAGTAGAGTACGAGGTGGTGGTGATTATACTAGGCAGCTTTTTCATAATTTAATATAATCTTCTTGAGCCAGCATGTCCTAAAATGAAATTTTACAGGGTTAATGAAATGTCACTCAGACCCCACCACCCTCTGCGGCCAGAATATTACACTTGCACCTTCAGAATGCCGGTCTGGTCCCTGTTGGAGTTAATCAAGTGGAGCTGACATGCCTGACACTGCAGTCTGCTTCCAGCATGTTTCCTGCATGTTTTAGCATGAACGCAGCTGATTAGTTTGAGTTTGTGATGAACCTCTCCTGTAGAAACTAATGAAGGCTGAGCAGACATTTCAGCAGTTAGATTAAGGTGTTAAAAAGACGCACGCACAGCGAGGAGATAAGTTTCACTTTAAGTTTTACTAAATAAACACTAGGGGGTGCTTAAAGCAAGCTAAAACTGCCTAGTATCCCTTTAATTAGACCTTTAACAGCAAATAACTTTGCATTTAGGCAAAATTCTTAGCTTTCAACTGTAGAAGATGTATGAACTCGATTTAATTAACTCATGGTTTCATTAACATTGCCCTCACCTCGCTAAACAAGAATAAAGACAAGCAAGCTTTTAATCACCCAACAAACTTACAAATCACCCCTGATGTAGATGTCTGAGGATGAGCCCATGATCAGGTATGTTTTGCCTGGTGTCAGCCCTAGAGCCTCTCTGCAGTGCTGATAATTTAGAAAAGTGCGAAGTTGACCTTCTGAGCCCGGATCAGTGCTTCCTGTACGGTAATTAAAAACATGCATTTTAAGGGAAAATGAACAAGCAACACAAAGTGTTACAGGGGAACAAATGTCAACAAAGTGAAAGCAGAAAAAAAGGTTCCTGTCTAGATTTCATTGTCTACAAACTCGGTTCATTATTACAAAACTAAAACATGACAAATTTATTGCTAATTGATAATGCCTCAAAACATTTAGTGTTCTAAAAATGTGATGAAGTCCAGGAGTTTTTACTAATCTAGGATCTGCCCTGACGATGACTAGTTTAATGTAATTTGCATTAAATATAAGAAAAACACAGATAAAACACAGATTGTTTCTGTCTAAAAACACCAGAGAAATGATGAGAATGCACCAACCTTCCTTAAAGACATTCAGGATGCGCATGGCGTAATCATCAGTGGTGAAATTGCCCATAAAACCTTCCACCTCCACTTTGTAAACTGAAAAACAGAAAAAAGCTCAGTTTAACTCACCAGCTGTCTTGTTCATACAAACACACACACACACACACACACGCACACGCACACACACACACACACGCATTCTTACTATAGTCTATTTTGCTGGATTCAGTGGATTCACACGCTTTTGTTGTGCGAACATCATTGCTGATTTTCTCCTTTCTCTGTTTGCTGCAGTTTTCTAGAAAAAAAATGGACCAATAATTAAAACCAAACCGATGAATCAGATGACCAAAATGCAAACATTGATGATCTGTACGTTTTTAATTTCTTTACTTAGTTACAGTGCTTGTGCTGCCTCTCTCAAATTACTGGGACAGAGAATACAACATTTGGAGGCACCGCTGGGATATTCGGTCAGGGGAAATTACGCCACCCGTGAGTGGAAACTCGAACTGAATATCCCTCATCAAACCCAGGACAGAAGAGGAGTTGTCGACATGCGCCGTGGCTCTCTGACCAGTTCAGCAGGTTGAATCTCTAGTATGCAGCCCCAAGACCTTTCTTAGTGCACAAAACCCTACCGGCGATGACATCACGAACTCATGTGGGAACTGTGCAATCAGTGGGGTCTGTCTACCCTGCTGACATTTTCAAAAGAGACATCTGGTTTAATGCAGTAAATAAGATATGGGTTCAGAATACTACAGAATGCACCACCAGTGAACAATGGGACCCCCTGTTGACTTGTTTCATCTGGATGAGAATGAAAAAAAGATTGTTCAGCAGATGTTAAGAGAGGAATGTGCATCGTTTTCACTAACAGATGATGACATAGGATGTGTGGAGAGCTTGCAAATGGACATCTTGCTCAATCTTTCTAACATGTCTATAGCTCCATTAACTGTAGGACAAATCAAACAAGACCAGGAGACTGATGCCATTATTGGAGAGTTCATTAAATACAAGTTGGAAAAGAAAAACCCCTCAGGTACAGAGCTGAAGCAACTGTGTCCACGACTTGTGTGTCTTTTCAGGGAGTGGGATAAACTGTGTTTTAGTGACAGGTAGCGATGGGTACCGAATTCGGTACTTTTTAAGGTACCGACTGAGCACCGATTCACGTCATTTGAAACGGTGCCTCGTTTCGGTACCCGTCCTTCATAACGAGAACTTGCCTAGACAGCTGCGCATGCACAAGAGCGTTATGTCGTCGGTCGCTGCGAGCCAGTTATAAACAGAGCAGCATGGTAGAAAGAACGCACGCTACTGCTTGGATCCACTTCCCTAAATGTGATGGGTAACTGGGTGATGATGAAACCAGCGACAACGATCTAAGTGAGACATCCTCATCTTAATCTGCTCCGGTAGGTAAATATAATGTTTAAGATAACATTAGCTTGATATGTTAGCTTCCGTTCCACTAATGTTGCGTTCATTTTCTCCTCGGAACTCCAAATTTCCGACTAGAAGAACATGAACACGCTCTAAAGTTTGACTTCACTTTACTAAATGCGACGGGTGATTAGGTGAAGATGAAACCAGTGACAACGATATAAAGCCTGATTCATGCTTCTCCGTCAGCTCCAACAGGGAGAGACACACGCACAGACGGAGATGTTTTGCCCTCATGCTTCTCCGTCTCCTGGGGAGTGTTGCAAAGCAGTTCCCGGCCAGGACAGCAGAAGGCGTAGAGCTGTTCTGTGGTATCCTGTCATGTCTCCGGTCCAAGATAGTGTATTTATATTGTGTATTTTGTATATAAGAGACATTTTAACAGACAAATTTGTCTCTCATTCTCCTTCACCTCTTCATGCGCTCGTCACCTCTAAACCCACGTTTCCCGTCATTTCCGTCCACAAATAAGATGCTTGCTGCATATCTTTTCACTCCTCCAGTCACAGGGAATTAAAACGTTCATGTTTTTAGAGGTTTTTTTTGCAATGTATTCTTCAAGCTTCTCTGTGTCTGCTGCTAGTTATCCTCGGCTCTTTGTTTTTGAGGGCGCAATGGCGGCGGTGTAGACGACAGTGGCGTCCTGACCAATCACAAGCTTGCATTGTCCGTCTCATTCGACGGATGTTTAAAAAAGTGGGCTCGACTGTGCGTACTTGCGTGCCTGCCGGTGCCCTACGCAAGGACGGATAATGGCGTTTTGTGTCTCCGCACTGAAGCAGCTGGAGAAGCATGAATCAGGCTTAAGTGTGAGGCATCATTATTTTAATCTGCTCTAGCAGCTAAATAAACTGTTTAAGATGACGTTAGCTTGATAAATAAGCTTCCATTGCCACCATTGTTATCAGCTAATGGTGCGTTCGCTTTCTCCTCGGAAATTCTAACTTCCAAGTAGGAAAAATCAAATGAAAAAGGACGGCAAAAGGAATGAAGATACACAGTAAATTTAGTTCACAGTAAAGATGTTTGCTTCAGTTTAATTATCAGCTCATAAAACTACAAGAACGATGTTAAAATACAAACAGTTGAGTGTTATTTATCGGGATATTTATCAAATATGGCTATATATTGAGAAAAATATATAGTTAATTAAAAAAGAATTAAAATATTAAACACTCAAAAGTATCTAAAATTGGTAAGTTAAGTACCGGTATCGATTCCTAGGTACCAAGAAATAGTACCAAATCGATTCAAATGTCAAAGGTACCCATCCCTAGTGACAGGGGTGTTTTGTGTAGACAAACAACACACAGAAGACAACTAGTGCAACCAGAAAAACACAGTCTCTGCCAAAGCAAACTAACTCTGCCAGGTCATCTGAGACACCAGAGGCCAACTCCAACGAGGACAACGAGAACGATGAGTATTATCCAGTTCCTTGTCCGCTTTCAAACTCTGATTCCCCACAGCCAGCTGAGACATCGGGACCGGCCCACCAGGAATACAATGACCTGTGGACGGGCTGAAGAGGACAGAACCTGGAGCTACAGAAGCTGACCAACCATCTGACATTGGTCAAGTTGAGGTTCAGCCTCTTGAGATTCCTTCTTCTCCCTCGCCTCTTGAATCCCCCCCCCCCCCCCCCCCAAAAAAAAAGACACACAACTAGACACGAGGCACATGCACACTCGAGTTACGGGCTGTGATTGCATCATCATCATCATCAAACCACACCCCTCAACATCGCATATCGCTTGCCGTGAGCAACCATTTCATCCCCGCAGACTCTCCTCTCCCCCACAACCGAGGAGGTTCCAGAGACAGCTTCTGCTCGCGCACCATTCAGACCCTGGATCGAAGAGACTCCTGCGAGTCCGGATACTCAGCAACATCCTTCGGAGGTGTGGATCCCTGGCCCGCCTCCGGTTTTGCATGAACCTGCTTCGGAGGACAGCGTGCAGCAGCCCGAGCCCCCCGAGCAGCACCCCAAGCAGCAGCCTCAGCCCGAGGAGCCAGAGCAGCCTCAGCTCCTGGAGATCCTGAGCGGAAGCGGAGCAAGCGAGGAGCCTCTGCGGTTGCCTATGTGGGTGTTTTCAGAAGAGACGGTGGACCGAGTGAGGATGGCACTTCTTCACTTGGTCGACATGGTGATCAAAGATTTTGTACCTACAATCTGTCCCGCGCGCAAGAGCGCCGAGAACACCTTTCATCGGAAACACTCGTGTTTGTACGTACCTGAAAATGAGTAATTTTACCATTTTTACTTTCCTGACATTATTCGCAGAGTTTTAACACCTAAACTCATTCCGGTTCTTCAATGTTTCCTGAGTCTGCACAACACGCAGATGGACGCCAACATGCTGTTCACCATGGCTGTCCTGCAGCTGCACGAATTCAGTCGTGTGATGCCCATTCACAAAGCCATTTTTCCTACGTACGACCGCTTGACCCGCGCTGACCTGAATGCGCTGACTCTAGTGAGCCGCAGGCGCTGTCTCTTCTTCTTCTTCGACTTGTGTTTTTTTCTAATAAACATTTCTAGTGGTTACACTCTGATAGCTTGATTATTTTTTTTACAGTGTGATTAGATCAGATTTTATTCATTACATTTGGCTAGACTGCACTTTTCACTCTCTTTGTTTAGCCTTATTGTTACGTACATTATTGTGTACAATTTCTGAAATAAAAAGAAATAATGAGAATGAAACTGCATATGGTGTATTAGTTTTTTGTTTCCCGCGTCTGCCAGAGCTGGAAGATCAGGAGGTAATGAAAAAGGTTTATTGTAAATCATCACGTTTTGAGGATGTTAGGACCCAAATATGCAGTAACCCAGGATGACACGAGGCAGGAGATGATGAAAAGTAAAATCCTTTATTCTTGAAGGGTGAACAAAATAAATCCAGGCAGCGAGCCTAAAGTTTAAAACTCCAACGCTGGAGAACAAAGCTCACCAAGAGTACGAACAAACGCTGAGCCTAGTCCAAAACTCCAAGGCTGGAGAAACAAAGCTCACCAAGAGTATACGAACAAACGCTGACAGAGTACACATACAATGGACCGACACAAGACAAAGACAAGACAGGGCTTAAATAGACTGGGAGGAACAATGAGGGAAACAGGAAGCAGGTGTGTGGAGTGAGGGCTAGAGGGAAGACAGGTGACAACAATTTCTCTAAATGGGGAAGCAGAAACAGAGGAGGGCAGATACCTAAACACAGAACTAAACAACAATTATCTAAAGACAGAGGGAAGGGCTCACACAAACTAGCTGGAGGAGGACATAGCACACACACACACACACACACACACACACACACACACACACACACACACACACACACACACACCGAGCTGGGGACAAAGAGGCTGGAGCTGACCTGGGAGGAATAATTAAAAAGGGTAACAACATAAGACACTTAACTGAGACGCAGACAAAAGACACATGAGGGCGCTATGAGACACAGAAGGGAAGACACAGACGCAGACCATGACACCCGGTAGTTATGGGCTTACCCTACGCTGTCTGTGCACACGGAAAACAAACGAATAAATTAACAAACTAACAAACAAACAAACGAACTAATGAACGACTTTATACGCAAAGACTTTGCGTACTGCGTGGTGGGACACGGATGAATTGGTGTGAGCCGGTATCAATGCCCGTGGACTTTCCCTGGGGAAAACAAAATAACCAAAACAATCAATCATAAAACAAAGCGAAACGTGCAGCTATATTATTTAGCCATAAATACACATAGCTATCAGCGGCAAGGAAGATGTGGCCCGATGTCTTCCGCCAGTGGCGGCGAAGGCACGCTTCCCCACGGACGATCCCGCGCGGCAGCCCCAAGGTCCGCGGTACCTTCGCTCGGCCACTTTTCAGTATGTGCCCGACTACGAGGAGGACACCACCGACAACCCGCTGCTGCCGGGGATTCTAGTTTCACAGCACGAGGCGGACGAGCGCAGCCGTGGATACGGAGAAGCGAGCGAGGTAGCCAAAAACAAAATCAATGATGAGGATGATGACGAGGAGGATGAGGACGATGAAGATGAGGAGGACGAAGATGAGGAGGAGGACGAGGATGTGGAAGAGGATGATGATGTGGAGGAGGAGGATGTGGAGGATTATGGTTTGCGCAAAGAAACCCAGCGTGGTTCAATGGAGTGGGCGTGCTTGTCCATGTGAGACGAGCTGTCTAGCTTCTTGCTGTACTTTCCAAGCGACTTAGAGGACTCTGTGATTGCGATAACCAACCTGGAAGCGTCCAGGCGCAGGCCGCCCATCACCGGCTGGCGCACGTTGGGCCCCGCCGAGTTCCGCGCCTACCTCGGCCTGCTGCTCCTATCCGGGGTGTCGCGAGGCGAGGCCTGTGAGGGCCTGTGGGACGCGGAGAACAGCAGGTCGGTTTTCAGAGCCACCATGCCCCTGAAGACCTTCAGGGCGTACTCTAGCGTGTCGCGCTTCGACGACCGCGAGACCAGGCAGACGGACCCGCGTGACAAGCTGGCTCCCATCAGATGCATCTGGGAACTGTGGCGCCTATGCTTGCCGCTGCTGTACCTACTGGGACCCGAGGTCACCATGGACGAGCGATTGGTTCCGTTCAGAGGTTCGTTTTTTTTCGTTGACTGTTTTGCTGCGTTTTCTTGGTTCATTCATTCAGTCAGTCATTCAGTCAGTCATTCATTCACCCATCTCTTTCCCCTTCATCGTTCCCTCCTGAAGGGAGATGTCGCTTCAGGCAAAACATGCCAAGCAAAACGGCCAAGTACGGGATCAAGATATGGGTGGCATGCTACGCCAAGTCCAGCTATGCGTGGAATATGCAAGTCTACACGGGTAAGCCGGACAAGCAGGCTCTGCCCGAGAAGAACCTGGCCTCGCGCGTGGTGATGGATCTCACGGAGGGACTGGCTCCCGCGCACAACGTCACCTTCAACAACTTCTTCCCCTCACAGGCTCTTGACACCCGACTGTTTTGCGAGAGGCGTCACACTCTGCTGGGTACCATCAGGAAGAACAGACTAGAGATGCCCGGCGAGTTGCGCTGCGTAAAGGGTTTCGCCGTGGGATCCGTGTCCGCGGTTCTCGCGCGGCCCGCCTTCGGCAGCCCAGAGACGACGCTGCTCTCCAACGTGCCCATGAAGAACAAAAACGTGCTGCTCCTGACCACCTGCCCCAGACACACGCTCGCGAGCTCACCCTCTCTGGGAAAGCAGCGAGAGCACACGGGGAAGCCCGCGATGGTGCTACACTACAACCACACCAAGGGCAGAGTGGACAACCTGGACAAGGTGGTGACCACCTACAGCTGCAGGTGAAAGACCTGCAGGTGGCCCGTGGCTCTCTTTCACAACATGGTGGACGTGGCCGCGTACAACTCGTTCGTGCTGTGGAGGGAGCTATGGCTGGACTGGATGGCGGGCAGACTCAACAGGAGGCAAGTGTGTCTGGAGCGCATGGAACATGCCTTGGTCGCACTGCTGAGTGAGGCCAGGAGGAAATCCGCCTCCGCAGCCACCGCCGCCATCACCACCACCACCGGGGCCAGCAGGACTGCTGCTCGAGCCTCTGTCCCGGAGGATAACCGCGGGGAGAGATTGAGACCAGCGCCCTAAAGGAGGTGTAGTCTCTGCCCCAGAATCAAGATGTGAAAACCAAAACCGTGTGTTATGGATGCGGGTCCTACATCTGCTGCAGATGCGCACTCACCTACTGTCTCAGTTGTGCGGGGGTCGCAAGTCCTGTGCGAGTGCGCAGAATAAGAACACTGTACACTCTGCCTTCCCCACAAAAAGAACTGTGTAAATTGTAATGGTCCGTAGTGGGTGGGGAACTCCTATACCCCTTCCCTCTGAGTTTTGTACGTGGGAAACTCCTAGACCCCCATATACATCTTCGAACCTTTCAGTTTTGTAGGTGGGGTATTCCTAGACCCCCTTCCTTCTCAGTTCTTTAGGTGGGGTATTCCTAGAACCCTTCTCTCTGAGTGTATGCAGGGGGGTACTGCTAGACCCCTTCCCTCTGAGTTGTGTATGTGGGGTACTCCTAGACCCCTTCCATCTGAGCGTATGCAGGGGGGTACTCCTAGACCCCCTCCCTCTGAGCGTATGCAGGGGGGTACTCCTAGACCCCCTCCCTCTGAGCGTATGCAGGTGGGGTACTGCTAGACCCCCTCCCTCTGAGCGTATGCAGGTGGTGTTCTCGTAGACCCCATGTGCTACATTAGAACCCCAATGGAGTACACAAGGGTTAAGGGCTGCACTTTTGCCGGCCTCACATATTTTGGTTGGGCTGTGATATACGATACTGTGTTTTTTAAAATTGCTAATTCTACAAGTGCATAATGAATGGAGGACCCAGCTAAGTACGGCAGCTTGGCAAGACGGACAACCAGTTGGTCCACCGGGGTCCAATGGCTGCTTTAGAGCCGTGTTTTTAGACCGATGTGTGAGAACCATTTTATTAATGTCTTTATTTTTTTAGCTCCAAATACTAAAGACGGTTTTGTATCTTGATACTTCCCACCTCCACTTCAAATGGTGATTTTGCCACAATAGTCTTGTATTAAATGACCAAGAATTTGAGTTTGCTGAATCTGCTTTGCTGCTGTGACGCCTACATTTACCCATCGAGGAAAAAATATGGGATTTTCTATTCTACTTTATAATTTGATAAAACATGAAAATATTACCTTCAGCACAGAAGCATGCATCACCTTGGCACAGTCTCAAGAGCTCGCCACTTCGCCTCTCAGGGCGATAATATTTTACACATCGTTTTTCTATGACAAGAAAGGCATATGAAAGACTTGACAGAGCATACAATGCACACATTTACATTAAATATGGAGCTGTGTACATTATTTACAGTAAGAACAAAACTTTAAAAACTTACTATTATAGTATTCATAGACTGATACAGCGGCTGGCTGCAGAATGCCCACTTTACTCTGCTGTTCAATTCTAAAAGAAATTTCATCTGGGCGAGTGTTGGAGATCTATGAAGAGATAGTCAATGAAGAGATATTTTTTAATGAAAAATACCCACAGCAATTCTACGTTTTACTGTAAAAACATTACCTGCTAACATATGCTGAATAATTTGGGATATTGTATTGACTTGGTGTTGTCACGTCATTGTAATGACAAGAGTAGCTGTCTAGGTTTGGGTTTGATTCTTACCGTTTTCAGGTAAATAACCAAGGAGCCCTTTTCTGACAAAACGTTTTCTGTTTCAAAAAAGTCAATGAAACGGTCATGTCCACTGGACAACTAGACACACAAGAAATAGAAAAGTTACTTAAGTGCAAAATTAGGATTTTATTGTTAAGTTGTTGTTGTGCAGGTCTCACTGATTCTAGGTCATTTTTGTTAAAAATGTAACCAGTTGGTAATCCAATATCCAAAACTGGCATACTGGCATTGCGCTGACTGTTCTTATACCTGCACACAGAGACAATCGATGGATGAGAGAAGGAAGACCTAAAGGCCGAAGGGCCTTTTTAAAGCAAACACGTGTTTAATGCAATATTTCTGATAGTTAAACCTTTGAATACAATAAGCTGCTAACTATGATACCATAGAGACTGTAAGTGCAGCAAATAAAAATCACAGCTGTCAAAATGGAAAACAACTGAATTTATATGCATGGAAGAGAATCATTAAAAATAATTTAGGTGATTTCTCAGTAAAATTTTGGGATTTTGGCATTTTTGTTTAAAATATTTTTTGTGCCTCAAAAGTTATAAAAAAAATTTGTGTTTGAGCTTAACGACATTTTACATTTACTTTTAGAAGTTAAACGTATAAAATGATGACAAACAAGCATGCTCCAAAATGACAATTGAGTTGTTGACGTTACTTACAAAACTTCTATACTGAGCTTGTATACGCTCTTTTCCTCGTCAATCTGCTCTGCAAAAATCAGAATATATGACTATGGGTCATCAGTTTTTTGCACTTTTTCTTCCTCAAAAGTACAAAACACATCTACTAACCAAAGCCAAAGATCCCCTACCACTAGAAACCAGAAGCAATAGAAAGAAAATGAAATTAACTATAGGCAAACTTACCTGGAAGGATCTCCACGGTCATGTCGAACATCTCACAGTCACTCTCTTGTTTTGAGGGCAGAGCATAATACAGTGACACCATCTGTCACACAAACAAAACACAGTCGATTAGACAACGGTCTCAGCCTCAGAGAACTCTTATTTTATGCTGTAGGCTTGCTTTATGCCCAAAAATTAGTCATCTTTAAATATGAAACAAAAGTGAAGTCAACAAGATCAGTTTAAACAAAATTTACAATGGAGAGCCTCTTTGTTTGACTTTTCATAAGACAAACACAAATGGAAGATAAAAAGAATCCCAATGCATACAAATTTTTGGGTGATTAAAATCCCTTTATTTGACATATACAACATATTTTTGTTGCCTTTCAAAAGGATTTCAAATTTTTAAATCCCATGTCTTGAATTTATCATTAATTTTATGACTGTTTAAAAGTCATTTGACTTGAATACTTTCCCTTTTCAACATAGCCAGCGCCTCTGTGCCAAGCTTACTGTTTGGCAACCCGCTATGGTGCCCTCTTCTGGCTGGTAGATGTAGACAATCCCAGTGTCGTGCCCGTCAAAATAAAAAATTTGATAATGTTTGAAACTAAAATATAGCTAATGTATAGGAAATACTGTACCTTCATTCTGCACACCTTTAAACACCCCGTGGATGTATTTTTTCTTCTTCAATAATATAATATTTTATTCAATTGTTCCATTATAACATGGACCATGGAAGTAGATTAATCATCTTGTTAGTTATAAAAGCAAACACAACAAATGATATGTGGACACAATGAGTTATACTCACACTAAACATGGCTTCCCCTGTTCCTGTTGCAGTCACCTTTACATCCTTGTTTATACCATCAAACTGTCAATTGGAAATGGGATCACAGTCATTCACAAACTACAGATTCAGGTTTTACCACAACAATCAAAAAGTGATTTCACAGAAACCAACATCATTATCCAACGTTTAACTCATTACCCGGCATTTTTGTCAGTGTGTGGCGGTGAATGAAGCGGATGCATGGATCCATATGCGGGTGAGGGAAGCAGATAAGCAGGCACACAGGAATGATTAAAGGTTTTAATAGAGAACACGCTAACATAGAAACAATGATCCAACAAGAGACACAGAACTGAAGGGGTTTAAATACAAGAGGGCTGGGAGCTTGGGTGATTGGAAAACGAGAGGCAGGTGGGAGCAATTAACAGAGACACATGGCTGAACAGAATGGGGAGACAGGACAGGGTGTGACAATACCCCCCCCCCCCCCCCCCCCCCAAAAGGGGGGATTCCAGACGCCCACAGGAACACAGAGCAGGGCGGGAGGAGGGGGACCCGGAGGGAGGGCCAAAAGGGACAGAGGGGCCGATGGAGAGGAGGCAGGGACCAGTAGAGTCCGGGGGCCTGCATCTGGGGCAGAGGAGGAGGCAACGATGGGCTCTTGGGGGCCTACGTCTGTGGCAGAGGAGGAGGCGACGACGACGGGCTCTTGGGGACCTGCGTCTGCGGCAGAGGAGGAGGCAACGACAACGGGCTCTTGGGGGCCTGCGTCTGCGGCAGAGGAGGAGGCGACGACGACGGGCTCTTGGGGGCCTGCATCTGGCGAGGGCAGGACCGGCGGTGACCAGAGGCAGAGACGCTGGAGGAGACATCCTTGACTTTTGGACTGGAGGTGGCAGCGGCGACGACCTCTGGGCTGGAGGAGGGGGCAATGACCTCTGGGCTGGAGGCGGCGGCGTCGACCTCTGGGCTGGAGGCGGCGGTGACGACCTCCGGGCTGGAGGCGGCGGCGACGACCTCCGGGCTGGAGGTGGCGTCGTCGACCACTGGGCTGGAGGTGGCGTCGTCGACCACTGGGCTGGAGGTGGCGTCGTCGACCACTGGGCTGGAGGTGGCGTCGTCGACCACTGGGCTGGAGGTGGCATCGTCGACCACTGGGCTGGAGGTGACGTCGTTGACCACTGGGCTGGAGGCGGCGTAGACCACTGGACTGCTGGAGGCGGCATCGACCACTGGACTGCTGGAGGCGGCATCGACCACTGGACTGGAGATGATGTCGACCACTGGACTGGGGACGGCGTCGACCACTGGACTGGAGACGGTGTCGACCACTGGACTGGGGACGGCGTCGACCACTGGACTGGGGATGGCGCCGACCACTGGACTGGAGACGGCGTCGACCACGGGACTGGAGACGGCGCTGACCACGGGACTGGAGACGGCGTTGACCACGGGACTGGAGACGGCGCTGACCACGGGACTGGAGACGGCGTTGACCACGGGACTGGAGACGGCGCTGACCACGGGACTGGAGATGGAGTTGACCACGGGACTGGAGACGGCATCGAACACGGGACTGGAGACGTTGGACTGGAGAGGACATCAACCTCTGGACCGAAGGGGACGTCGACCTCTGGACTGGAGGGAGCGTCGACCTCTGGACACGAGGGAACATCGACCTCTGGACACGAGGGAACGTCGATCTCTGGACACGAGGGAGCGTCGAACTCTGGACACGAATGAGTGTCGACCTCTGAACACAAAGGAGCGTCGACATCTCGACACGAAGGAGCATCAACCTCCGGACATGAAGGAACGTCAACCTCTGGATACGAAGGAGCGTCTACCTCTGGATACCAAGAAGCGTCGACCTCTGGACACGAAGGAACGTTGATCTCTGGATACGAAGGAGCCTCGACCTCTGGATACGAAGGAGCGTCGACCTCTGGATACGAAGGAGCGTCGACCTCTGGACTGGAAAGAGCATCGACCTCTGGACTGGAAAGAGCGTCACCCTCTGGATTGGAAAGAGCGTCGACTTCAGGATTGGGGGCGTCGGCCCCCCATCGATTTCTGGTTCGGGGGCGTTGACTTCTGGACTGTTGGCTTCTGGACCATTGGCTTCTGGTCCGGGGGCGTCGATTTCTGGTTCGAGGGCGTCGACTTCTGGTCCGGGAGCGTCGGCTTCTGGACCGTTGGCTTCTGGACCGTCGGCTTCTGGACTGTCGACTTCTGGACCGTCGACTTCTGAACCAACGACTTCTGGTCCGGGGACGTCGACTTCTGGTCCGGGGGCGTTGACTTCTGGTCCGGGGTGGTGGGCTTCTGGACCGTCAGCTTCTGGAGTGGAGGAGGAGTTGCTACAGACGGGACCGCTTGGACAGGCTGGACCGGATGCGGTGCGACCTCCGGGACCACCACGGGAACAGGATGCGGTGCGACCCCCGGTACCACCGCTGGGACAGGAGCTGACTGAACTAGTGGTGCCGGAAACTGGGAGAGCAGGGAGGATAGAGTGTCCAGCTGGTGCTCCTGGAGACTGAGGCTCTGATGGAGTTGGGCCAGCTCAGCTCGGAGACCGGCGAGCTCTGCTGGGTGGACTGTGGGCTCGATCCTTTGGCCTGGAGACGAGGGAGCTGCTGACTGGACCGACACCTCCTCCTGGTGATTCGGGGAGGATAGGGTGTCCAGCTGGGACTCCTGGAGGCTGGCGAGCTGACGGATCCGGCCAAGCTCCGCCTGGAGACCGGCGAGCTCGGTCAGCTGGGCTGTAGGCGTGGTTCCTCCGCCTGCTGATGATGGAGGTGCTGATTGGACCAGAGACGGGACTGCTGGTCTGACTGGGGGCGGGTCCAAGCTGGCGCGCCGAGCTGGGGCAGTGGCGAGCTCGCGGCTCCATCCTGGGACAAGGGGTGACGGCGGAGCCCGGTATCCTTCCCAACGCCATGGGCCAACTCCGGGGGAGCACACAGCCAGTCTGGTGCCCACATAGCAGGAGCGGTCCATCTGCGCCTCCCCGTCCAAGTCTCCATCCGGCTCCGGGAGGGTGGAGAGGACCGCCAAGGATGAAGTTCGGCGGCGACGTCTGCAGCGAGGCGACACCGGAGGAGGAGAAGCCGGCCGGTGGTCCGAGGAGAGAAATTGGAGCAGGCACTCCCAGGGGAGAATCTCCCCATTGGATCCTTTAGTGGGTTGGATCATTCTGTCAGCGCGCGGCGGTGAATGAAGCGGATGCAAGAATCCATATGCGAGTGAGGGAAGCAGGTAAGCAGGCACACAGGGACGCTAAAAGGTTTTAATAGAGATCACGCTAGCATAGAAACAATGATCCAACAAGAGACACAGAACTGAAGAGGTTTAAATACAAGAGGGCTGGGAGCTTGGGTGATTGGAAAACGAGAGGCAGGTGGGAGCAATTAGAGACACATGGCTGAACAGAATGGGGAGACAGGACAGTGTGTGACAATTTTCATAAAGACACCCCCAAACAAACTGCTTTTCTCTTTGGTATTTTTTGTTTGCTATTCTGTGGGTGATCTTTAATGTAATTATTGCATCCAAGGGCGTCAGTTTGTTTTCAGAATTGCTGGGGACAATAACCATACACTTGAGTGGGGTTTAAAAATTGCTGGGGACAATAAAGTAGGCTAGCACAGGGGTCGGCGGCTCTGTAGCCGCATGCGGCTCTTCCATCCATCTGATGCGGCTCTCTGTGCTTGTAAAATAATGAATGAATATTTAAATAAAATGCTTTATATTTTACTGCATTAATTTTACATCTGTAAGCTAATTTTAAATGTAAAGATTGTCTGCGTAAACCTGAACAGGTCCAACCCGGTTTTACTGTGAGACGGGGTTGACGCGTCACGCTTGTGCGTAATCATATGCGCTTCCTGAGCTGGAGGATGTCAGATTCTGGGATTCTCCTCAGACGGCTCCTGGATGCGTCGCCACATTGGAGACAGGAACAAGCACTATTCAGCCAAAGTTTCATAATCAGGGAACATTTTCTAAGTGACAAGTCTCTGAGAGACCGGGTTTGGAAAACACTCGCTTCAGTGGGAGGAACCTTCCCGCATGCGCTCTGGTTCTGCGAGCCTGGATTTGTATTCTGAACAGTCTAAACATGTTTTCAAAAGAAACGTATGACAAAAGTGGCACCTGCTCAGTAAAACCACCAACAGGGTGAAAAATACCAAAAATTGAAGGCAGAGACGGGCTACAACTTCTGGATCCATGTTATACAAATCGTTTTATTGATTATCGTCTTATGAAAGATAACTTTGACGTACACGAGCGACCAGGCGCGTTGCAAGATTTTCAAAAGTGTGGGGGATGTTGTCTGTGCCTAAAATAATTTGATGTTATTCATCTTGTTAGTTTAATTTCCATAATAGCGGAGCAGGTGCGAATTTTAGACGCGTCACGCATGTCTCCGTTTTAAACATGTTTAAACTGTTCAGAATACAAATCCAGGCTCTGTCTCGTTAGATTGGTGTAACTAAAGTTTGTACTGAATGAAACTTTACATTAAACCATGTTGAAAAGAAAAGGATCCGATTAAATCGTTTCCCCCTCATTTTACAGTCAGTACAGCGCAGTGCGCGTGGCTCTGGGGTTAATCAAGTTTAATTGTTTCTCTTTGCAACAATCTTCACAAGAAGGCAAAACAGTTAAATGACAGGTTACAGATATTTCCATTTGACTGTTTATTTTGACGGATAAACTCGAGGATGTTGGTTGTTTTGAAAGAATTACCCCGACACACACTGATGCGCATGGATGAGCTGACATTTTAATACGCACATCGCAGAGGTAACTTGATTCCCACCAGAACATCAGAGCTTTATACTGGACACTGTGTTCAGCGCGGCTTGGAGCGCCCACGGTGGACAGTGAGCTGAAGATCTGAGGGGTTTGCAGCACAGTACAGAACCACGGTGCATGTGGCAAGATTTCCTCCCACTGAAGCGGTCTGGAAAGCCGGTCTCTCTGAGGGATGTGTCACTTGGAAAAATGTTCTTTTTATGAAATTATGAACTTTTGGCTGAATAGCGCTTGTTCCCGTCTCTAATATGGAGACGCATGACGCGTGGACACATTTGATCACGCACAAAGTTTATGTGGAGCAGAAGCGGTCGGGCCACGGCAGGTGAAATGTTCCTAGCCTACATGAAGTGAAACTGTTTAATTGTAACATTAATATGTTACTGGACATGCTGGTCTGGTTGGTTAGACCAGTGTTTGAAGTGGAAAACACACACACACACACACACACACACACACACACACACACACACCAATTAAAATAATGCTGATAGCATGTACTAGAAGACAGGTGATGGTTTACGTATTTAAATGATGATCAGGCTGCTGTAAAATGTAATCTCCATCCACATCCAGACACATTTATCCTCTATTCTTTCTCTAGTTGCTCTGCTCTTGTCTGGGCTGACGTAGCTGACGGTGCGCGCGGCGTGCCTAGCGGCTGTGGTGCACATTTTACGCATTTGGTGAGATGGGCTGGATGCTTTGCTTTTACTGGAAGATGGTCCACTTAACGCACGGGTGTAGACTACATATTAATGACAAATGAATGAAAATTAAATTGGGAGTTTTTACTTCATATTTTATAAATAAAAATGACGGGGGAACACATTTATGACGTCTTTTTAAACGAAATTTTCTAGCGCGACCTGCCTGCTTCACTTTAGTCACTGCTTATTAAGGTCCGTCCAGAATTACCGTTGCCCACTCAAAAATGAAAACCTGGCGCCGCGCCTGTTATAACCTCTGCAAATTGTTGTTCTTCACTTTATCAAACTCAGACTTTGTACAGCTAATGTCAAGATGTAAAATTATGAATTCAATCGAGCTCTTCCGTCCCTCCCTCTCCTGCTCTTCTGGAAACCCGACATCGGCTGTCAGAAGCAGGAGGTGAAGAAGGAGATGAGGCAAACAGAGTGAGTGCGACTGCGACATAAAGAAACCAGACTGGTGTGGAAGTGAGCAAAACAGCTGGAAAAGTGTGGGTGTTGAATCCCCCCATCCCCCACGGGCGCGACGCCCATGCGAGCGACCGGTACCGGCTGCTGTCACCTGGTTGTGAGCAGCTCTCTGCTGTCTGAGGCTAGGCCCCGCCCACAACGCAGCGACTGCTGCGGTGTTTTCTTTACTGTGGGAAATGGGTAATAATGGCTCTTTGATGGGAACAGGTTGCCGACCCCTGGTATAAGATCTGAGCTGGTAAAACAAAAATCCTCATCAGCAGGCTTTTTTGAAAGTGGGGGGGACACAGCTGCCAATCACAAATTTTGCCGGGGACATGTCCCCGGCGGCCCCGGTTAAAATGACGCCTATGATTGCATCATTCATTCTCACCTTGGACGTTCTGGTGTTGAAGCGATTTGCACTGTTAAAATTGACCTTTTCCATCAGTGATCTGCCTTGTATAGCTATGTCCACATTCAGATTATAATCTGGTTCTCTTGCATTGGCAGCATACTCTGCAGCAGCTTGATAGACCAGTATAGTGGCCTGCAAATGAAAATGAAATTCAAACATTACGAAAATAATTACTCTCATAAGGAAAGCCATCCAAGCTCTGCTCAAAGTGGATTCATAATCATAGTTCTAGTTTACATGGGTTGATCCATATCCTCCCCAGAACCTCTGCTGCTCACCGAGCCATCTCACAATAGGTCTGGCGTCTTCAAAGGCCTTCAAAGGCAAGAGAAGAGAAAACAAGTCAGTGTTGTCTGACTGAATTTTATCATCTAGGATTTTTATTGAAGTTTTACTATCCCATTTACCTCGGCTTTGACTAGAGCAAGAAGAGCATAAGCTGTGGCCTCCAGTGTGTAAGTTTTTCCTTCAGTTACAGACCAATGGGTTCGGTCTGTGAAAAACACCCCCACACTCATTATTGTATAGTATTAAATTTATTTCTCAGAAATACCCACGTCATCTTTTAAAATTGTGCCTGTTAATGTTTAGGTTTAAAATAATTTTTTGTTTAAGTTAAAGGGGACCTTTTTAGCAAATCTAACTTTTTGCATCCTTTTGCGCTGCCTCTATAAGCACTCAAAACGTCAAAAAATAAATAAAAACTATCCATTTTCTGTACATGTTTGGTTTTAGGAATCATGTTGCTAAAACAAGTAATTTCAAAAAGTCCATTAGTGTCGTCACAATCTGTGAAATTGGAATTCAACTCCCTCTCACCTGTCATGTCCCAACCCACCAAAGTTGTTGAGGATCTGATATTTTTTGTTTACAAACACTCAGAGAATATGCCAGAGAATTGGAGGAGCTGACCGGCTGGGTGGAGGTAAATTTGGGTAGAAATGCTAAAGCTGCTGTCCATGCGATTCAACTCCATGAACTAAGCAGAAAGCAATAGACGGATAGATGAATGAAGAGGTGGTGCAATGTGGAGCGGAGCTACCAGCAATGTACAGCAACAATCTGTGTGTGTGTGTGTGTGTGTGTGTGTGTGTGTGTGTGTGTGTGTGTGTGTGTGTGTGTGTGTGTGTGTGTGTGTGTGTGTGTGTGTGTGTGTACCACTTCGAGGCAGACCGCTTCTGCTGAGTGGTTTTGTGTGGCTAAATGCCAACAGTAGCCAGCAAACTTCTTCTGAGCAAAGTCAGAAGTACAACGATGATGTAAGTACTTTGAATAAAGATTTTTGCATTTCTATAAACTATATGAGGAATGAAGAATAGTCACAACAAGACAGAATGTTTGTATGTGTATGCACTTGTAGAGTGACCCCCAAATTCCACTACCTCCGCTCCGCTGCGCTCCGCTCCGACACGAACGCCGGAGCAAAATCGGTCCCGTTGTAGTCAATCAGAGCAATTCCACTACTGCGGCCGTGCTCCGGCAGTGCGGCGCCGTGCGGCGCCCTCTGTTCCGGCGTCCGGCAAAAATAGAATCGATCCTATTTTTGCCGGACGCCGGAGCACCTCCGCAGTAAATGGACAGAAATCACAACGGCCCAACAGGAAAAGGAGCAAGCACATCTTCCGTTTTTCACAATAAATCGCTAAACAAAAGGCGTTTTTTGTTTCATATGCACAGGTTTAACAACTTTTAACAACTATCAATGGCGGCTGAAGTTTAAATGCACAAAAATAAGCCATAAATACAGTTGCCACTATCAAAGTAGTCACACTTTGTTGATCCAAACACTGCTGATCTCTAAACACAATGATGGGCAGATTAAACAGCTCATTTCCGATGCTTCTCCCGCACAACGGGTGTTTGGATCTAACGTCCGCGTTTATTGCTCGGACTGTATCGCAAGATCTCGAAAATCCCACGCATGCTTGTTTGCCCCCCTCAGGTCTCCGCACCGGAGCGGAGCCGTTGTAGAGCGGGTACCAGTAAAAATTGAGTTCGGAAGCGAGCGGCTGCGGAAGGCGGGGGCGGACCGGAGCGGAGCGGAGCGGAGGTAGTGGAATTTGGGGGTTAGAGGACTCCAAAGCACTTTACACTACAGTATATTGTTCACCCATTCACACACATGGGGTGTTTCTCAATGTCAAGGCACCTGGCCTTGCGAGGCGATGTCTTGTGAGGCCAGGCACCTTGCTTACGAGGACACTGTCCTTCCTTTTTCAAAGAAAACAGTTAAATGGAACAGCCTTGCATCACGTGACCGCGACGTCCACGGCAGTCATGTGACACGGGAGATAACGTTATATTTTATGTGTATTAGTTTCAATATAGATATATAACGAGACTTTTACTTTTTCAATTGTGAATATATTTGTTAAATTAAATATGTAAGCGAGTTACTATCCGCTAGCTACCAAAGCTGCAATTACTCAGCAACTAACCAACCGTAGAAAACTGCTTTGCATCTAAAAAATAAATTTTAAATTAGTTGACTTACATTTAAACTTGAAATTTGCCCCCGAAGTAGCTGCTGGCTTCTGATCCGCCATTCTTTTGAAAATACTGCGGTGTATCTTGGGAAATTTTTGACCAAGGCTAGGCTACAAGACACCTCCTGTGTATCCTTGCTCAGCTAGTTAAACGGCTAACAAGCGGAGAACACACGCCTCCAATGAACATTGGAACACGCCTTGGCGGTTCCTGATGATGTATCTCCTAGACAACCGGGGCGGGACCAAGACATCAAGGCGAGGTTCCTTGGCATTGAGAAACACCCCTGGTGATGAGCTACAACAATGTAGCCACAGCTGCCCTGGGGCTTACTGACAGAGGCGAGGCTGCCGAGCACAGGTGCCACCAGTCCCTCCAACCACCACCAGAAGGCAAGGTGGGTTGAGTGTCTTGCCAAATGGCACAACAGCAGAATTCTCTGCCGGGAATTGGGATTGATCCTACAAACTTTTGAATACAGGACAACCCACTCTACTTCCTGAGATACTGCTGAATGAGATGGACACACGTTGAATTGTGATGTTACAGAGAAAGTATAAAGAAGGTTGAGAACTTAAGGTGCTTAGGGTCTATGGTCTACAGACGCAGAACTGAGGTTGCTGAACTAAAGATGTTGAGGTACTTTTTCGATGGATAGTACCTGAATAGGATGGACAGGATGAAGAATGAATACATCAAAGGAACTGCTCATCTTAGTTGCTTTGGGGATAAAATCAGAGGCCAGCCTCAGATCATCTGGACATGTCCAGTGGAGAGACAATGATCGCATAGGTAGAAAGATGCTGAGGTTGGAGCCATCAAGCAGGAGGCTTAGTGGAAGACCAAAAGGGAGATTTATGGGTGTGGTGAAAGGGGATATTAAGTTAGTGGGCATGGGGATAGAGGATGCAGAAGGTAAGACTAAATAGAGACATGATTTGCTGTGGAGACCCCTAGAGAGAAAAGCCCAAACAGAAAGATGAAGAAATGCCCGGCAAATCAGTGGATGGGTGGGCGTGGCCAGCACCAGCTTGTTTTCCTTAAAGGGACAGAGCCCAGAAAGGTGAGATAAAAAATGTTGAAATAACTTTTTTGTCAGACTAATTTTGTGCAAAGAATGAATTTTTTTTGTATAGACCGTAAAACTATTTGTCCTCTTTAATTTTTTTGTGCTCGAGTATGATGCGGTAAAACCTTGGGATGCAAAACGAAGGAGAAATTCTTTATTCAGCTTGTTTTCATTTGCCAGGGCATAGGAAGTCACTGCAACAGCATAAGGATTGTTCAGGCTGGGTAGTCGCCTCTCCAGGTAGGTTACTGCTTTGCTTATAGCATTTGGCAGACTCTGTAAAAGAAGCAAAAACAGGTAATGAGAAACCATAAGTGGCAAACAAATCCCTAAAAAGATATTTGATCCAGGTGTATAAAAGGTTCAGAATTTCATATATGACCTTTGTTAAAATTTGTTGGTTTTATTTTGGTGGGAATTCAGGAAGTGACATGCCTTTATTTTGAAGAGCCTTTCACAGTGAGCTCACTTCCAGCGCTAGAACTTTCCCTTTTCTTTTCCTTTTTTACCTGTGTGTGAGACAAGCGTTCCTTCCTCCTGCAAGTCATGTTGATGTTGACAGCATTATGTTAATGCAAGGAAGTGAGTCACTTAACTTCATGTTTAAGACTGCATTATTGAGTTCCTCCGTTTAATTATGGAATATTAGTTGAGTATTGAATTACTGAAGTGTTTATGTCCAACACGTTTCTTTCCTTTTATGAAAAAATATTTAAAGTTGGTTTGCCTTGATGTTAATGACATGAGGAGTTATTTTGTTGTATTTCATTTCTAGTTCCACCTTATAATTGCTCTAGTGAGTAAAGGCTGACAGTGTCACATGAGTGAGTTATGGCGATCTTAGTTAGCCACAAGAGGGCGCTATTGTTTGAATTTCTCTATTAGATTGTAAGTTGGTCAGTTAAGATAAATGTGTTTTGCCTCATTCCCCCTTTCTGTATTGAATGAGAAGGTTCATTAGTAATTCATTTTAAGACATATGTGACATATGGTTAGTTCAGTACGGAGTGCTGGTATATTGGATAATTTTATATTCTGTAAGAGAATTTGCTGTCACCGGAATTGTCTCTTATCTTAATAAGTATGTTTACTGTTTCAGACTGTTGTCAATGCTGTTAATGATTACCATCAACCAAGATTAAAGATTTGGATCTACAGTAAAGGATGCATCTAGCCTCTACCTGTATTCTAACAGATACACCATATTGATAGCCACCTCACCTGGAAAGAGCTAGCTTTAACCAAACCCTCCTTTACACCAGGTTTCATAATTTCATTAAATTAACTTTAAAAGTAATTAGGGATTCAGCAGTTGATCTGTTGGTGACTAGAACCTGATGGTTTAGGTAGGTCAAACAACCAATGTCTTTTAATCTTGCAATACTAGAGATGTTAAAGCTATTGTTTACAATCACTATGCTGCTGCAAGATTGTACTCCACTACATCCTATCTATGTGATCATTGTCTTTCCTCTGGATATGTCCAAACAATATGAGGCTGCAAGAAAATTAGACTTTAAATTTTGATCTGAAATTAAAATAAAGATGTGTTAATTGTTTGTTTGAAAAAGATCACAGTAGGTCATAATTAGGGATGGGTACCATAATCTGTACTTTTTAGGGCACCGACCAAATACCGACTATCAAGGTGATTTTCACGTTTAGTCAATATAATCATTTTCAGTCTAATTGCTTCAGTTCAAGGCGTGTTTCTCAAGTAATTAATTTTCATGTTTAATGAGGAAATATTACTCAGAAAGTCTCAGGACTATTTTATAAATGTTTTTTACCGCTCTCTGTGGATGTTTGTGAAATTTGATTTACAGGATGTGCGACTTGGGATACTTTGCAGAACCGTGGAAACAAAGGGTGCAGAAGATAGGTTGCTATAGTTACAGCCCGACTTGAGCAGAACTTGTGATAAAGTTAAAGCTCAGAATAAATAACAGCATTATGTCTGAAGCAGATGTAAGTGAGAAGCAGAAGATGGATAGATCCAACGCAACTGAAATGTTCCAATACAGATTAGGGGAAGTGTCCTTATTTGGTGAAAACTGAACTGTTGACCTTCTGTTGCTGGGCAAAAGATAACGAGAAGTTCTGTTATTAGGAATGTCTTGATTGTTGTTGAGCAGAAAAGATGATAAACTGTTGAAATGTGTAAACTCACAGAAGGACCGCCCTTTAGTGAGGAAGGAATGATATATGATGTTTGTAATCCCTGACAGGACCGCCCTGCCTGATGTGTGTGTGTAACTTTGAAGATAAAAGGCTGAGGAGCAGACCAGGGTCAGAATACATTGGCAGGTGTACTGTTCGAGTGTGTCTCATCTCAGGCCAACCAAGGTCCTGTGTGTGTGTGCATATTGTTTGGGGCGATCTCTTTTCAGAGTCACCTCAAAAGAACCAGTATCGGAATGAGAGATGAATTTACCAGACTGTAAAGAGGAATCTCACCACAACACGACCAAGGACCGGTTCACGTGATATGAAACAATGCCTTGTTTTGGTACCTTTTGCCACATTACACTATTCCTGATTACCTGATTCTCAATGATAGACAGCAGCGCATGCGCAATAGTATGTCATCAGTCACTACGGGCAAGATGTAAAAAGAGCAAGCAGCATGGTAGAAACAATGCGTTCTAAAGTTTGGGTCTACTTCACTAAATGCGATGGCTGACTGAATGATGACAACGTTGACAACATTCTAAGTGAGTTATGATCGTCTTAATCTGTTCCAGCAGGCAAATAAACTGTTTAAGATAACAGTAGCTTGGCGTTTGAGCTTCTGTTGCTATCAGCTAATGGTGCACTCACTTTCCTCTTGGTACTCAGAAATTCTGACTTCCAAGTAGGCAGAGAGAAAGCCTCTAAACCAGGGCAATTCAATTCCGGGCCTCGAGGGCCGGTATCCAGCATGTTTTAGTTTTAACCCTGCTTCAACACATCTGATTCCAGTCAGCAGGTGATTAACAGGCTTTTGCAGAGCCTGATGAGCTGCTGCACAGGTGACTCAACCACTTAATCTAGTGTGTTAGACCACAGAAATCTCTAAAATGTGCTGGATACCGGCTCTTGAGACCCAAACTTGAATAGCCCTGCTCTAAAGATGGGCTTCACTTCACTAAATGTGATGGGTGACTGGGTGATGATGACTACATCGATAACGATCTAAGTGAGGCATAATCATCATCATCTGCTCCAGCATGTAAATAAACTGTTTAAGATAATGTTAGCTTGATATTTTAGCTTATATTGTTATCAGCTAATGGTTCCTTGGAACTCAAAAATGTCCCTTTCCGAGTAGGAAAAATGAACAGTTTGAAAACGAATGGCGAAAGGAAGGAAGATACACAGTAAGTTTAGTTCACAGCAAAGATTTTTGCTTCAGTTTAAGATGCTCTTTTTAATGCTACAGTGACCCACCCATCACACAATTTGTCCAAGGGGTAAATAAGAGGAATAGGAGTACATGGAGCTGGGTTTTAATTTTTCTATAATTTTTCAGTACCTTAAAGAGCAAGTCAACCCCTACCAGAGTCTAACTCCACTCCCACTTCATGTTTGAAAAATGCAACACATGCTGTTGCCTGGCAGACCGAGAGGGCGGAGCCGCTAACAAATACACACACACACACTCAGGCTCACGACAGCATTGTGACATCATAATGTACCAGTTTACATCATAGCATACTTCTTAGCCAATAGCGATGGCAGATTTAAATTAAAATACAGTGCAGAGTTTTTACCTGACAACGGCACAACACTGCCAGTTTTAGGCAGAATATTTAAATTTTAACTAAGATGCACTGAAGTGCCAAATTATTGACGACACGTGTCTGCAGCACGATTAGACACTCGTTTATTTAGTTTATCAGCAAAAAAAGTTTATTTGGGGGTGACTTGCTCTTTAACTCTGATATACAAAAAGATTACTAAGAATAAAAGCAAAGAACAACATAATTACAGTTTTTTTCTCGATTGCTTTAAACACATTTTTGAAACTATGCCTCATGTTCTAAAAACAATAAACACTAATCCATAACATCCCACCCAATTTTCCAAACATTGTATTTTCAGGCAGGGGGTTCTGATGATGGAGACAACAGTGAAGTTGGACTCTATGCCCCGCCTCCTCATAGTCACTCTATGGACAAGGACTTGGTCAACTGAACTGGCTCAAATTTAATAAGACAGGTCCTAGACCTCTTTCATCTCCTCCTTCCTGGTGTTCCATACCACCTCCTACCTGGTGCCCTAGATCTCCTTCCCCTCCTTCTCCATCTCATCCACCCTGGTGTCCTAGACCTCCTTGTTCTCCTCCTCTTCTTGCACCTCCTCCACCTCTTCCTACTCTTGCACATTCTCCACTCTGGTGTCCTAGACCTCCTTCTCCTCCTCCTCTTCCATCTCCTCTACCTCTTTCATCCTGGTGTCCTAGACCATCTCCTCCTCTTCCCCTCCTCCTCCAACTCCTCCACCCTGGTGTCCTAGACCTCCTTCTCCTCCTCCACCCTGTGTCCTAGACCTCCTTCATCTCCTTCTCCTCCTCCTCCTCCTCCTCCCTGGTGTTCTAGACCACCTTCCCCTTCTCCTCCAACTCCTCCACCCTGGTGTCCTAGACCTCCTTGTTCTCCTCCTCTTCTTGCACCTCCTCCACCTCTTCCTACTCTTGCACATTCTCCACTCTGGTGTCCTAGACCTCCTTCTCCTCCTCCTCCTCCTCTTCCATCTCCTCTACCTCTTTCATCCTGGTGTCCTAGACCATCTCCTCCTCTTCCTCTTCCTCTTCCACTTCCTCCTCCACCCTGGTGTTCTAGACCTCCTTCATCTCCTCCTCTTCCTCCTCCACCCTGGTGTTCTAGACCACCTTCCCCTCCTCCTCCAACTCCTCCACCCTGGTGTCCTAGACCTCCTTCTCCTCCTCCACCCTGTGTCCTAGACCTCCTTCATCTCCTCCTCCTCCCTGGTGTTCTAGACCACCTTCCCCTTCTCCTCCAACTCCTCCACCCTGGTGTCCTAGACCTCCTTCTCCTCCTCCACCATGGTGTCCTAGACCTACTTCTCCCCCTCTTGCACCTCCTCCTCCTAGACATCCTTCTCCTCCACCTCTTCCTTCGCCTCTCTTTGGATCCATTGTTTCAATCCTGAATGAACTGACTTTGGCCATTTTATCTATCCATCAGAGTTTCTGACTGGTGTGTGTTAAATAGTGACGTCTAGTGTTTCCAGATGGTTTATTGCGTGCTAATTGAGCTCCAGCTCTGCTGACTTCAGTTAACATAGATGACTTCTAGTGCTTTCTAAATGATCACATGGTGTCAGAACAGAAAATTTGATAAGATTTGTGTATAGAGTTCACCAGATCTGACTCGTGTTAAAGCAGGGAGTAGTCTGTATGGTTCAGGGAAATGGGTGTGCTTTTTGAAAAATGGCGTCACGGTTTGAGAATTGGAGTTAAAATATGTTGGTTAAAGTGTTTAAACAATCGAGAAAAACTGTAATGAAAAAAACGACAACAAAGTGTTCAACTGTTGTATTAAATGTAAGATATTTTGGATCGGTCTGTAAATACATGATATGTTAGATAGGTTATGTACTTACACTAACAGCGGCAGAGCAGATTTGTCTTGATTCTTGCATACTAATCAGGCAGAGTGAAGTAATGGTGACCTCTTTATTGTCACCAACCACGTTCCACCACTACACACACACACACACACACACACACACACACACACACACAAATGTCTATAATGAATGTTTTACTTGGTTTAGACACAATTTTGAGCTAGTCTGGTTTTTCACCTTGTTTTCAACTTCAGTGAACATGCCATCAGGCTGTTGTGCACGGAGAATGATAAACTTGATGGCCCCACATATGACATTAGGATCCATCGCCACATAATTATAAGCCATGGCAAACACCTTTGCTACATATGAAGTCAGCCTTACAGATGGAGGTTAGAAGAGAGCAAGCCAGTAAGCAAGTGAAAGGAAGGAATATTTTTAACTTTAATATTTAAGTTTTTTGTATTAATTTAAGGTGTTCATATACTAGCATTTCACTAAACGACAAAAGCAAAACATGCTTTATGTTCAGGTGGCTCACCTTGTGGTGCCAGCATAATATGGATACATAGCAAAAGACCCATCAGGTTTACGGTAAGCAAGCTCGTTAGTATAGCCTGGACAAAAGCAAACAAAAACATCTTTATTAATGCTCATTCAAACATCTAATTAATAGTTCATGGTACACGAATATTTACTGTATCTTATTCTGTGTTGTAATTTCTATACTTCATTGTATTCAGATAGCATGGTGTTTTTGTTGTTTGAGCTTTTATAAAAAACAGTTGTAGAGCTTACCTGTTTTTATGTGTTGTATCGCTTCCTTGCGTTTTTCCATGCCCACCATCTCCCATTGGTCTGTTTTATCTAAAAATATGGTGGCTATAACAGGCAGGGTCATGGCAGCAATATTCTGTTCTCCACAACCTGCTGGCTGTCTGATCAGAGTACCCATCGATTCCCCAGTAATAGCGTTATCCAACAGTGTACTCATCTGTTCTATTCCTGTATGTAAACAGACAAAAGATAGGTCAGTTTTTTTCACAAAGAACCAGCACAAATGTGTCATGGTGTTCAACACTCCCCTCCCTCATACATGTCTCTGTGGATGTTTAGAAAAAGTACATTTGTAGTTTTTTTTTATTTAAAAAAGTCTTGAAAGCAGTTATCTGAAGTTTACATTTTATTAAGTTGAAGGGAAGCTATAATTGGGTTAGCATGGGCCTATTTGTTTGTTTGAGTCAAAAGTCTTGCAACAGAGTTCTTCACTGGAGTTCTGTCCAATTTTCTTTTTGAGGTAGGTAAAGCCGGGCGTACACTGTGCGACTTTTTCACTCGCAGCGTTCAGCTTCAGCTCAAACTGTACGACTTCCTCGCAGGGCAGATCTCACGAGTCATGTGCTCACACTGCATGACCCAGTTCTCGCATGCGACCTGACTGCTCACACTGTACGTCTGGTAGCAACACGTCGGCACTAAAAATGTGCTAAAAATAGCAGTTTTTACTCATCACGTCAGACTTTTTTGTCTTGTCTTGCCTGTTGTCCTTCGGGAGTGCTGCAGGAGGACACACAGGGATTTATGGGGGTTGGATGAGGAAAACGAAATAAAGAAAGTAAATCTGTGTTTTGTGATCAGTTTAATTTGACATGAACACGACAAACACGCTTTCTTGACAATCTTTGTGAGTAAAAAAAACGTGTAGAAACAAAAACGAACAGCGTGTGTTATTAGGGAAATAGTGGGTGAGCGGCGTTGATTGCGCATGCGCCGTGAGCGGTTCTGATACTTTTTGGGTCGCAGATGCTCGCAGCGCCGCTTCAACAGTGCGATACCCTCACAAGGGACGAGCAAAATTTTAAACACGCCAGAAGTCCGTGCGACCTCACGACTGCTGATCGGTAGCTGGTCACGTGGTGTTAATCGCCTCTCGTAACCCCCTGTACACTACACGACCGCTCGGCGCAAAACTCGCCCCGATGTCGTGGATTCTCGCACGACTGGAAAATCGGCTCAAAAAAGTGAAAAAGTCGCACAGTGTACGCCTGGCTTTAGATAACTATTACAGTATTCCAGGCATTAGTGATGGGATCTATGGCTCTTTAATGGGAGCTATTCACTAGTCGGTCGTTTACGTCAAAGAGCCGTTCAATTAACTGGCTCCTTTGAACAAGTTAAGCCAAGAGAGCGGGGGGGGGGGGGTATTAAGAGCAACGTGTTCCTCCAGTATTCGTGAGGGCGCACGGTGTTGGGTAGCATTCCTTCTATGTCCGTCACAGTGGTGGGTGGGGTTTGAGCGGGTGCGGTTTACCGACTTCCGGGGAGGTTTGTAACCGGAAGACAAGATGAACGGCTCTCTACAGAGACTCGGCTCTCATCGTTCACTTTGGAAACCCGTTCAAAAGATTTGATTAATTCATAAACGTCACATCACTACCAGAAGTAAGAATATTGGTCTTTGAAGTTGGTCAGACTTTGCCCCTTATTGACCCAGAAAATAACATAACGTGAACATTTTCAAATTTGCAGATATATAGCAAAATGATAGTCAGTTTCTTCTATGCCAAAGGGAACCTTTTTTTCTTTGAATCCACCACCTTGGCTTGCAACCGACCAACCAATAAGCTGTATTGATTTTGCAGCCAGGAATAAACATACTTCTATTGGTGTTTGGCTAACAGAAGCTAACCATTAGCAATATGGCAGAACAAGTTTGGGTTTGTGTTATTTGTGGAGATAACCACAGTTGTGAGGTAGAAGTATACTGTACATCCTACGGTAAAAAAGACATCTATGTAAACTGGAGTATGAGTACAAGGTTTTTTAGGTAAGTACATTTCAAAACAACTTAAAGTATAACATAATGTAAGTAAAAAATGGCATTCAGTAGAAAATGTTTACTTGTACCACAGAGACAGGACATTTTAAGCACTCGGAAGAATGACAAAATGAATGCAAGTCAACAGGGCTAAAAGAGCTATTTACTAATCCACTTTGCCTTAGACCATGGATCACACATACTGTATGTTGTACTGCAATTTAATTGAAAACAATGATGGGTGTTTCGACCACGCCAGTCACGTACTTTGAGATTTATCAGCTTGTAAAAGTTCGTAATTAGCATGACTACACATTAGACTTTGGCACGTAGCATATATGACGTCACCACAGAATCTCCTCTCCCCAAGCGTAGCTGCTACTTACCACATGGCCAGATTTACGGTGGTTCTTTTCCTCTTAAAGGAAGGATTTTAAGTTCGCTAAACTTACAGCCCTTTTTCTTTTGTTTTCTCCGTGTCTGGTTTGATGACCTCACGTTTGTGAAGCCCATTTGTAATCCTGGACTTATTTTCACACAAAACCTTGTCACGTTGAGAGCAAGGAGGAGGTTGTTAGGACCCAAAATGCAGATTACCCCAGATGACATGAGGCAGGAGTGTTTAAAAGTAAAAATCTTTTTTATTTAGGAGATGAACAAAAAATCCAAAAAGGCAGGAAGCCAAAAAATCAAAGTCCTGAGTATCAGGAGAACGAAAACTCACACAGAGCACAAAAGCTCACTTAGAGCACAAAACAACGCTGACGCAAAAAATGGACTGACAAGACAATGAGACACAGACAGGGCTTAAATACGCTGGGGCATGATGGGAGGCAGATGGGCTGCAGGTGTGTGGAGAGAGAACCAGGTGAAAGCAATAACTAATCAGGGAGGAGGAGCAGGGGAGGACACCAGACCTGACTGGGGAAGGACATACACACACACACACACACACACACCTAGCTGGAGAAGGACACACACACACGCACACACACACACACACGCACACACACACAAAACTGAGATAATAGACCTATAGAAACTGTGGTGGGGAGACTAAGAGAACAAGAAGAAAACCAGGAGGGAGCAGGGGACAAAAAGGGCTGTAGCTACAAGGACACAGAACGTGAAGGGACACCTGGAGGGGCTGGGGATGACTGAAGGAACAAAGGACCTGGGAAGGATGATCTATAGCAGACATGTCCAAAGTCCGGCCCCCGGGCCAATTGCGGCCTGTGGTCAAAATTTACCGGCCCACGGCCTCTATCATAAAATCATAATATGCGGCCCGCCACACTGTTGACCACAGTATAAAATGCATGTGTACAAAAAAGCTATTTTACTTTTCACCAGAAGATTTCACCCTGTGGCCGCACCCTGGCTGCCGTGCCCTTGGCATTGTGTGATTGTTTCAGCCCCGTCCATTTCTAACATGGCGACTGTAAACAAAAAACGGAAAGTTGACTGCGAGGGCTGCCGCTTCCAGGACAGGTGGAAACTGGATTATTTTTTCACTGAAATACAAAACAACTGTGTTTGCCTAATTTGCCAAGAGACTGTGGCTGTTTTAAAGGAATTCAACATCAAGAGGCACTACCAGACGAAACATGCTAGCTACGACAAGCTAACTGGGAGCGAACGTGGTGAAAAAGTGAAGCAACTGGAAGCTGTTTTAACGGCACCGCAGCGCTTTTTCACAAGAGCCCGTGAGTCAAATGAAAACGCCACAAAGGCAAGCTACGAGGTGACAACGCTGATTGCAAAGCACTGCAAACCTTTCACTGAAGGTGAGTTTATTAAAGACTGTGTGATGACAATTGTTGAGAAAATTTGTCGCTCCAAGAAGCAAGAGTTTGCCAATATTTGCCTGCCTCGTAACACTGTGGTACGGAGAATTGAAGACGTTTCATCAGATATTAAGAGACAGTTAGAGGCAAAAGGAACTGAGTTTGACTTTTTCTCGTTAGCCTGCAATGAAAGCACGGATGCATCCGACACCGCTCAGTTACTGATCTTTCTGAGAGGAGTGGACAATGACATGAACGTGAGTGAAGAGCTTCTGGACCTCCAGAGTCTGAAGGGCCAAACAAGAGGAACAGATTTATTTGTTTCTCTTTGTTTCGCCGTAGATGACATGAAACTACAGTGGAATAAAGTCACTGGGATTATTACGGACGGCGCACCTGCCATGGCTAGCGAGCGGAGTGGATTATCAACCCTTGTGTGTAACAAAGTCAGCGAAGAAGGAGGCAGCGCTATTAAACTCCACTGTATTATTCATCAAGAAGTTCTCTGTGCCAAATATATGAAGTATGATAATGTTATGAAACCCGTGATAAAGGCTATTAATTATATTCGCTCCAAAGCGCTGTGCCACCGTCAGTTTCAACAGTTTCTTCTCGACATCCAGGCTGAATACGGAGATGTTTTGTATCACAACGACGTAAGATGGCTCAGTCGGGGGTCTGCACTGCAGCGCTTCGTCTCTCTCAGGGAGGAAATTGGACAATTCTTGACAAAAAAGGGACAACCCATGCCACAATTAAATGATCCTGTGTGGCTGGCTGATTTGGGATTTTTAGTTGACATAACACGGCATCTGAATGCGCTGAACACAAGCCTTCAAGGGCAAAATGCAGTGGTAAGCCAACTGTATTCGCACATCAAAGCCTTTCGGACCAAGCTGCTACTTTTCCAAAGGCACCAGTCACAGGCGCAGCCCAATACCGCACATTTCTCATCGCTGCAGGAAATTATGACCAGTTTCCCACAGAAAAATATCAGTGCTCAAATGACAAAGTATGCAGCAGACATCTCATCTCTGGTTGAGGAATTTCAGCAGCGCTTTCGGGACTTTGCAGCTATTGAAAAGGAGATCACGCTTTTTCCCTCTCCTTTCTCCGTGGACCCTGATGACGCTCCAGACCATCTGCAGCTGGAGCTCATTGAGCTGCAGTGTGACGTTGAGCATCGCAGTCGGCACCAACAGCTCCTTCTTGTCAACTTCTACCGCCAGCTGGATGGAGGTAGGTTCCAAGCAGTTCGGACATTTGCTAAGAAAATGCTGAGCTTGTTTGGCTCCACATACATGTGTGAGAAGACATTCTCCGTTATGAACATTAACAAGAGCCGCATGAGGACGAGACTGAGTGACTCTCACCTGCGTGACGTCTTACGCATCAAAACCACTGCTCTTGAGCCAGACCTGGACTACATACTGCAGTCAAGATCCCAGTATCACCCTTCACATTAGTGCAGGCAAGATATTGGTTAAGTCCTCTGAGTTGAATAAATTCTTAAATCTCGGTTAATTATTTTTTTTGTGATGGTCAAAATCACAGTTTAAATATGCTGTGATCACTGTTTTGAATTTTGTTTACAGTGAGCATATAATAGTGAATAACATGTAATGTTTCACATTAACTTAGATATCCTTGATAGTTTTCTTCATTTTTTGTGGTTTGTGATTTTGGTAAAAACTTAATGAAAAAAAAATGTAAAAATAAAAGTATGCCATTTGCAATTAAAAAAAATTGTATTTAATGTTAGTGGTTCAAAGAATGTCAGGCTGAATAGTCGGCCCCCACACATTTTCACCTTACCAAATCTGGCCCTCTTTGCAAAAAGTTTGGACACCCCTGATCTAGAGGGCTGAAGCCCAGGGGACACATGAGGAACACAAAGAGACACACAAGGGGGATTCTTAGGGGGGAATGGAGCACACAAGGAGACACATGAGGGAGACGCAGACAGACCATGACAAACCTAAAATAACGTTTCTCCCTGTTTGAAAATAAGTGAGTTCTTGGTATCAAAATGTGTCTTTAAAATTCACGGACATTATGTGTGAAATCCATGGCACATAACAAGCAGAATTAGAAAATAGCATCTTTAGCCACGTTGACTTGCATTCATTTTTTCGTTCTTCTGGGGACCCATGGTCCGGAAGTAGATGGGCGTGACTTAAGCTCCCTATTTTGTTAATTTTGAGAGGCACAGTTTGGTGTAGTTATCATTTCCTTTACACAAGTTGAAAATCATTGCATCGGAAGAAAAATACATATATTTTAGTCGACTAAAATTGACTAAACTTAAACAAATCAGATGACTAAATTGTGACTAAAATTAAAAAGAATTTTAGTCAAATGACTAAAACTAAATTTCAATTTCTTGTCAAAATTAAAACTGGTATCTTCTAGATGTTGTATGCAAAGTTGGAGAAAAACTACTGAAAGACGATGAACTCAAATTTACCTGTCAGAAAGATTTCAGTGCGCTTAGGTGTGTCTGGAGCCAGATCTATTAGGGAAATGTCACTGTTGATTGTCTCCTCCTGCTTGCCACCTAAAGAACAGAAATAAAGCATGCTCACAAGCAGAGAATTTATTTTTTCTTAGATTTTGTAGATTTTTGAACACTGAACTTACCTTTCCCAGCTGGGTCTAGTATTACTTTTGTTACAGTTTTTGTCAGCTCACCTTGAGGCTGGAAATAAAAGAGTAAAGTCTTGCATGTCAAATGTGCTTTAAAGTACACATGTCATCATTTGTTGTCCTTAACAATTCAAGTTTTGTTTTTTTACTTAACTTGTTAAAAATCTGAAATTTTAGAAGTGACTAATGATGACCCACACATTCATCTCAATTCTATTTATCTATTGTGCTTTAACGAGATTCAGATGTTCAAATAAAAGAAATTTTGGCTTTTGATTTTAATCTTAAATATGGTAGTGACACACCAGCAACAGTTCATTAAACCAAACAACAGATTGAAAATTTGTTTAATAAACCCGGACTAGTTAATATCCCAACCAACAATCAGACATGGAAAACATTCTAAAACTAAAGTGAAAATAAAAGTTGTAAAAGTAATAAAAGCTTTCATAATTATTGAATTTGTTTTTCTGTAAAATTGCCAATCTAATGTTTCTGTGTTAACTAGTGTAGAATTTTTATCTTGGGTTTTAAGAATTTATTGTGTATAAACAATTTTTACATTTTATGAGTATTTTATGCCATGTTTTGTTTTTTAATGATGTTGTAAATCAGCAAAACGAACCTCAAAACGGGTACAGCTTGAGAAATATGTAGGTCCAATCTGCATTTTACTACTCTACAAAAAATTTGCAGCTTCTATAAAAAAAAAACTGGCACATCAGCCTTGAAAAATTTCCTAAGGTACATAATTTATTTTCTCACAGGAAAGTTTAATTTAAGTAGTACCTAAATGGGATATTCCACCCAAAATTGAAATTTTGTCGGTGGACATATTTCCCAGTTATATAAGTGGGGAAAAAAAAACTGTTCTTAACCAGCCCAGTCATTCTCCTGACCTGGCTTCACTCCTTTAGCTTTAGCTTAGAAGAAGAAGAAAACATCATTTCTATAGCGCCTCTCAAGATAAAAATCATGAGGCGCTTCACAAAAACAAAAAATAAAAATATAAAAAAGCATTTAGAAAATGTTTAAAAATATATTTAAAATGAACACAAATAAGCAATTGCGATTTAAAAGAAAAAATGTTAAGAAAAAGAGAGAGTGAATAGGAAAGAGGGAAATCAGTGGATCCTGAGGAAGGTTGAATAGGTGGGGAGAGCAGAATAAAGAGAGAGTGGTGAAGAAGGTCATACAAAAGCCAGCTTGAACAAGTGAGTCTTCAGCTGCTTTTTGAAGGAGACCACTGAGTCCACTGATCTCAGGCTCAGGGGGAGAGAGTTCCAGAGTCTGGGGGCCACAGCAGCAAATGATCTGTCACCTTTGGTCTTTAGCCTGGTGCTGCACAACCAGTAGACTTTGATCACTGGACCTCAGGGACCTGCTGGGGGTGTAGGGACTAAGAGGATTACCAATGTAAGATGGTGCTTGTCCATGTAACGCCCTATAGACCAGAAACAGGATCTTGAAATGAACCCTGAAGTTGACTAGCAGCCAGTGAAGCTGGAGGAGAAGCGGGGTGATGTGGGTGTGTTTGGAGGACTTGGTCAGAAGCCGAGCACAGGCGTTCTGAACCACCTGTAGACGGTTCAGGGAGGTTCTGCTCAGACACGTGAAAAAAGAGTTACAGTAGTCTAAGCGTGAGGAGATGAAGGTGTGGAGAACTGTCTCAAGTTCAGAGCGGGACAGAATGGGACTCAGCTTTGCAATGTTCCTGAGATGGAAGAAGGAAGAGCGAACAAGAGAACTGACATGAGAATCCAGGGTGAGAGCTGGGTCAAAGGTCACGCCAAGATTCCTGATGGAAGGTTTGGTGTGAGAAGCAAGCTGACCAAGAGAGTCTCTGACTTTGGGAACCAGCTTGTCTGGGGCACAGATGAGGATCTCAGTCTTATCTTCATTCAGCTGAAGAAAGCTCCCAGCTGTCCAGGTTTTGATAGTCTAAGCAGGTGTGTAACAGCTGCAGCTTAGACATCTCATGGGGCTTAAAGGAGATGTACAGTTGGATGTCATCTGCATAAAGATGGTAGGAGATTCCTTTGAAGGAGCTCAGGATGTGCTGAAGAGGAAGCAGATAGAGGAGGAAGAGCAGAGGCCCCAGCACAGAACCTTGTGGGACACCATGGGTAAGAGAGGTGGTGGAGGACCTAAACTTGGATATGGCCACAGAAAAGGAGCGCTAAGAGAGATAGGAGGAGAACCACTTCAGAGCAGATCCTGATAGGCCTACCCAGTCTCTCAGCCTCTCCAGCAGCAGTTGATGGTCAACAGTGTCAAAGGCTGCAGTCAGGTCCAGCAGGACCAGAACAGAACAGTCCCCTGCATCAATGTGATTTAGAAGGTCATTAGAGACCCTAAGAAGAGCTGTTTCAGTAGAATGAGCTCTACGAGGGGGGCAACTGACGGAAGTGATTAAAACGACTGATTATGGTTTCTGTAAATACTCTCGATTAAAACAAAGCATATAAACAGGTAAAGGATGAAAACACAAACTTAATTCAAGTTTTATATTGAAGGTAGACTATCAGTGCATACTGTCTCACACTTCTATGCCTGTTTTACTTCACTGATGAGCAATCAAACTAGTATTTTTGCTTTCTTTGAAAATGAATACTTTTTCCTTCATTTTGCACTCTGTTCTTTATATTGCTGTTTCACTTTTAATGCCGGACTGTATAGCACATACAAAACATATTATAACATGTCTCTCTCTTACCACCACACGTAGCATTTTCTTGATTCCATCAGCAACTTGTGAGTTTTTCACAGATGCTTTGATCTCAATTGGAACTTCTCCATGCTCCATGGGAACAATGATAAATGATACAGAGCGTGTAGTTTGATGTCCGACCTGGACTTCTTGGCGATACCATTTTTTCTTATAAGCAGCACTGCAGACGGTGCCCTCCTCTTTGATTTCCACACGGACCTTTACAACAAGTTAAAATAGAAAGGTGTAGACAAAAACAGACTGACAAATTATATTTCAAAAAAGAAAAACATGAACAAACTTTTGAAAACGTTTGAGTGCAAATGTTTTCCAAGATTAACTCGCTAAATGTGTTGATAAAATAAAGGACTATGTTGGACTGTCTTCAGTTAGGTTGTCATTGACAGCCAAATTCTGTCAGTCTAAAGTGTTATTGAGTTTGAAACCTAAATGGAGCATTATGCCATGAATGTTATTGAAAATACTTTTTGATTTGGTGGCTACGTGATGTGCCTCAGGCTTGTGCATCAGTGTTTGGCGAAGACTGTTAAACCATCATTTTCTTTACCCACAGATACCACGCCCTGCTGTATGCTCTGACCATAACTTTCGAGGCTCTACATGATCAAGCCCCTCCTTATGCTGAACTGTTAAAGCCTTGTGCTCCAACCCGAGCCCTCACGTCCCCAAACCAGAATCTTCTAGAAATTCCAAAGACCAGATGTAAAAGTCAAAATGATCGCTCTTTCCAGGCCGTTGCACCCCCAACTGGAATTAACTTCTATTTTCATTACGTAGCGTTGACAGCCTGGTCACCTTTAAAAAGCAGCTGAAGCCCCTTTTATTTAAAGCTGCTTTTATCTAAATTTTTTTGTTATTTATTTTTTAACTCAAATTTATAAATGTCTTTCATTTGTCTTATGGTCATTTTATCATTTCATAATGTTGTCTTTTCTGATAAAAATTAATTTAATGATATTTGTTGCTTAGTTTTTCAGATCATTATGATTTAATGACTATGTTTTTGTTTGGTTGATCTCTGTAAAGCACTTTGTGATTCTCTTTCTGTGAATGGTAAATGGCCTGTATTTGTATAGTGCCTTCATAGGGTTCTACAACCCCCCAAGTCGCTTCACAACACAATCATTCATCCACCCATTCACACACACGTTCACACGCTGGTGGGGATGAGCTATGATGTAGCCACAGCTGGCCTGGGCACATCATTTGGAATCCTAGGATGTCTAAGGAAGGTCCCTGCTTTCTTGCCTCTGATTGGCTAGAAGAGCTCTCCTACAATTGGCTATTTCATGTAAGAAGAAACTGTTTTTCCTCACTGCAGGTTTTTATCTTTGCAGCCAGATCTTGAGGAGTTTTTTTTAAAGAAAATGTGAGCTCTTCGCAACATCCTTACCTGTTTTGCAACAAACCAGTTCCAGTTTCTTTCATAAAAGAACCTAAAAAAATGTGAACTTGCAATAAATTTTGTTGCATTTCATCACACTGTTAGACTGACTTTATCTGTTGGCTCTACTGGGGTTATCTTATTACTCAATTATTAGGCCATCTTATGTTTTCACTTTAATAGGTTGAGGCTGTTAACAAGTTAGAGCACATCTCTCATCATCAGATTAAATGTGTACCATTTAATCAAAAATTAAGTTAATGCTGATTATGATTCAGATCTATTTTTCACCAGTTTACATTATTCTAGAAAAGAAACAGACCTGATAAAAACAGCTGGGCAGAACAGGGAAGTTTTATTAAATTTCATAGGTAAGGAATATATGTTTATGCTATGTACTCTAATGCGTGAGAATAAAGAGATATAAAATAAGTCCAACAATTTGATAAATGCAACAGGATTATAAATTCAAATTTTATTTTTTTCAGTTTTTTATGGAACATAAAATATAAAATGTTTTGCTAAACAGCACAGAATGGTTATTATAACGCTAAGTTCACATTTTATTTACAAAACTCCCCAAAACAGCTTTCTGCAGATGGTAGAAGGAAAGTCTGCTCTTAGAGAGGACAGCTGGTTTGCTGCTAAATGAAATAGCCAATTGTAGCAGAGCCTTTCTAGCCAATCAGAGGCGAGAAAGGTGGTATTTTTCCTTGGACATCCTAGGATTCCAAATGACATGCCCTGGGTGCACTGACGGAAGTGAAACTGCCAATAACAGGCACCACCGATCCTTCCGACCACCACCAGCAGGCAAGGTGCATTAAGTGTCTTGCCCAAGGACACAACAGCAGCATTCTCTGGCAGAAGCCAAGATTGAACCTACAACCTTCTGACTACTGCTCTGCTCTGAGTTACTGTTGCTGGATAAGTGCTATATAAATAAAATGTACATACTTAGTAAAACAAAGTAAGACAGACATTTCTGAAATCTGTAGACCTTGATAATTATTTGAATGGAACCGTTCAGACTTACAGTGATGGGATCTTCACTGTAGTTGTGGAGAATTGCCTTAATTTCCAGCTGTTCTCCACGTACAGCAGAGTACGGGAGCCTGAGATCAATGAAGAATTGCTTAAAGACTGTAACCTCTACTGGACTGGCCACACAGATTCCTTAAATATGAAAAAAATATATGTGTACTTAAAAAAAAACAAGGAATATATAGAGCAGAAGATGGAAAAAAGGACTATTGTCTTTAAAATTCTAACTCATAAATCCAGGACCTGCTTATCTGTCAAGAATAACTTTTTAGAATTTACTATTAAAGGCTATTCTGTGTTTAAGTGGGTGGTAATCCATTTCGACTGATCTGCTTAATGTCTGGGTGTTTTCAGCATATATTCATGATAATTTAACCATTTACAGTAAGGTTTGAGTACTTCTTACAAAAAAGAAGTATGTACAAAACATGACTTGGGAAGAGCATTAAACATAGTAGATAACAAATTCTTACCAAGAGTTCTTGACAAACTCACTCCAGTCAGCTGCCAGGTTGTTATTGAGTCTGGCAACGACTCAATAATCTCCTCTGATTTGGTCGTACTGAAAATAAAACCAATTCTGATTATAGGCCTAAATATGTAAGGATGCAGCTGGCCATAAAATTTGAATATCATTACAAAGTTGCTTTATTTCAGTGAATCCAGTCAAAAAGAGAAACTTGTACAGGTCCTTCTCAAAAAATTAGCAAATTGTGATAAAGTTCATTATTGTCTGTAATGTACTGATAAACATTAGACTTTCATTTATTTTAGATTCATTACACACAACTGAATAGTTCAAGCCTTTTATTGTTTCTAATATTGATGATTTTGGCATACAGCTTATGAAAATCCAAAATTCCCATCTCAAAAAATCAGCATATCAAAAAAAGGTTCTCTAAACGAGCTATTAACCTAATCACCTGAATCAACTAATTAACTCTAAACACCTGGAAAAGATTCCTGGGGCTTTTAAAAACTCCCAGCCTGGTTCATTACTCAAAACCGCAATCATGGGTAAGACTGCCGACCTGACTGCTGTCCAGAAGGCCATCATTGACACCCTCAAGCAAGAGGGTAAGACACAGAAAGAAATTTCTGAACGAATAGGCTGTTCCCAGATTGCTGTATCAAGGCACCTCAGTGGGAAGTCTATGGGAAGGAAAAGTGTGGCAGAAAAGGCTGCACAACGTGAACAGGTGACCGGAACCTAAGGAAGATTGTGGAGAAGGACCGATTCCAGGCCTTGGGGGACCTGCGGAAGCTGTGGACTGAGTCTGGAGTAGAAACATCCAGAGCCACCGTGTGCAGGCATGTGCAGGAAATGGGCTACAGGTGCTGCATTCCCCAGGTCAAGCCACTTTTGAACCAGAAACAGCGGCAGAAGCGCCTGACCTGGGCTACAGAGAAGCAGCACTGGACTGCTGCTCAGTGGTCCAAAGTACTTTTTTCCAGATGAAAGCAATTTTTGCATGTCATTTGAAAATCAAGGTGCCAGAGTCTGGGGGAAGGCTGGGCTGAGGGAAATGCCAAAATGCCTGAAGTCCAGTGACAAGTACCTACAGTCAGTGATGGTCTGGTGTTGGTCCACTGTGTTTGATCAAGGGCAGGGTCAATGCAGCTAGCTATCAGGAGATTTTGGAGCACTTCATGCTCCCATCTGCTGAAAAGCTTTATGAAGATGAAGATTTCATTTTTCAGCACGACCTGGCACCTGCTCACTGTGCCAAAACCACTGGTAAATGATTTACTGACCATGGTATTACTGTGCTCAATTGGCCTGCCATCTCTCCTGACCTGAACCCCATAGAGAATTTGTGGGATATTGTGAAGAGAAAGTTAAGAGGCACAAGACCCAACATATGAACTTAAGGCCGTTATCAAAGCATCCTGGGCATCCGTAACACCTCAGCAGTGCCACAGGCTGATTGCCTCCATGCCACGCCGCATTGAAGCAGTCATTTCTGCAAAAGGATTCCCGACCAAGTATTGGGTGCATAACTGATCATAATTGTTTGAAGGTTGACTTTTTTGTATTAAAAACACTTTTCTTTTATTGGTCGAATGAAATATGCTAATTTTTTGAGGTAGGAATTTTGGGTTTTCATGAGTTGTATGCCAAAGTCATCAATATTAGAAACAATAAAAGGCTTGAACTACTTCAGTTGTGTGTAATGAATCTAATATATATGAAAGTCTAATGTTTATCAGTACATTACAGACAATAATGAACTTTATCACAATATGCAATTTTTTTAGAAGGACCTGTATATTCATTACACACAGACTGATATATTTCAAATGTTTATTTCTTTTCATTTTGATGAATGAATTATACCGTAAATCCTCTAATATTGGCCTGTATTCAATTAACGGCCGGGTATCACATTTTGGCCGGTGTCTGAGTCGGCGGAGGCGAATAATGGCCGGTTTTTTATTGTGGCTGGGTGGAATATGGTAACAAGCAAGTACCACGGGGGGCGGTTGTGTCATCCGTCTCACTTTTGATTTGCCAGTGATAGACCGCGAGGGTAACTTTAACCATGGCAGGTGCGGAGACGAAGAGGAGGCAAAAATTCGATATCAAGTTCAAAGAGAACGTGCTGATTATGCTGCAGAACACTCTGGGGAGCAGTAGGGGTTGTATGAACTAGTCACTAATCGACTTCACCGCGCTATAGTGACTTTTTATGCCTGTCATCGACTAGTCGCCGTCACGTGATAATGACCGGCAATATGCAGTCCTCGGAAAAGACAGCAGCCTGCTGTCAGCAGGTGACAAGCTCCTGCGCATCGGGAGGCAACGCGCTGTGCCAGAGCGTTGGTACTGACACCCGCCGTAAAACGGACATTTAATCAAATTGTGACCTTTACCCTCTTGCATTTTAACCTTCCCTTCACCCCCATCCTAACCTAAACCAGCTTGCGCATGCAAAGCTCTGATCGTTGACGCGCTCCAGACATCTGCGTCCTGAGCATGGCCACAGTAACATTATCAAATCAGGTGTCGCCACCTCAAAAACAAATTTAACACGCAATCGTTTATGTCGGCTCATTTCCTTTTATGTTTTCTGTCTTTTATTCTTTTATTTGTGCCTGATGCTTTTCGCTGCTGTGGATCGGGGCGCATCACCTTGTCCTCCGGTGACGCACCTCACCGGTGCGACCGGCGCACAGCGCGCACCCCGCTGTTTTTGCGGTCGGTAGATCTTTTAGAACTGCAGTTCAAAGGTAACTCATAAGGTGAATACATATGAAGCCAGGTAGCAGTTTTTCTTTATGATTGAGAGGAGATGCAGGGAGATAAACAGAGACTGGACAGAAAAATAGTCGGATAAAATACGTTTGTTTTTGTACCTGGTGGTTGCAACAAACAGACACCATTCAAAGTAATCAGAAGTGAGGAACAGAAAATGAAATTAATTATTTTAATGTTTAGAGCAGCAGGAACTCTGAGAGGCTGCAGGCGCATCAGTGAGTTTGTGGCCGCTGCGCAGGGGGAGGGGGGAGAGGGCTGAAGCAGAAACTACCATTGTTAAAAGAAATGTGTTTAACTTTGAAAATGTGGGCGCAATTTTAATTGTCAAAAGTGAGGCCTGCCTCTAATTCTGGCCCTCCTTCCAATAAAGGCCTGGAGCTTGATGAGCTTGAGTAAAATACAGGCCCGGGCCTGTATTAGAGGATTTACGGTAACTGACAACTAACGAAAATGTAAAGTTCAGTATCTCAGAATATTAGAATATTATGTAAAGGTTCAGTACTGAAGACCCCAGGTGACACACTCTAATCAGATAATATCTCTCAAAGTACCTACAAAAGTATTTTAATTGTCTCTCGGTCTAGTTCTGTAGGCTACATAATTATGGGGAAGATGACCAAGACACAAAAGGTCATTGCTAATGAGGCTGGCTATTCACACAGCTCTGTGTCCAAGCACATTAACAGAAAGGTAAAGGGAAGGACAAGCTGTGGTAGAAAAAGTGTACAAGCAATAGTAACCACACCCTGAACTGTATTGTGAAACAAAAACCATTCTCAAATGTGGGGGAGATTCACAAAGAGTGGACTGCAGCTGGAGTCAATGCTTCAAGAACCACACACAGATGTATGGTTTTCAGCTGTCGCATTCCTTGGGTAAAGCCACTTTTGAACAAGAGACGGCATCAGAAGCATCGCGCCTGGACTAAAGACAAAAAGGATTGGACTGCTTCAGAGTAGTTCAAAGTTATGTTCTCTGATGAAAGTAAGGTTTGCATTTCCTTTGGAAATCAAAGTCCCAGACTCTGGAGGAAGAGAGGAGAGGTACATAATCCACTTTGGTTGTGGTCGAGTGTAAAGTTTCCACAGTCAATGATGGTTGGGATGCCATGTCCTCTGCAGTTGTTGGTCCATTGTGTTTTCTGAGGTCCAAGAACAATGCAGCCATCTACCAGGAAGTTTTTTTATCACTTCATGCTTCCTGCTTCTGACCAACTTAATGGAAATGCAGATTTGATTTTCCAACAGGATTTAGCACCAGCACACGGTGTCAAAGCTACCAGTACCTGGTTTGAGGACCACGGTATCTCCATCCATGACTGGCCAGCAAATTCACCTGGCCTTAACCCCATAGAAAATTTATGGGCTATTAAGAAGAGGAAGATGCCATACACCAGACCCAACAATTCAAAAGAGCTGAAGGCCACTATCAGATCAACATATCACCACTGAGCAGTTCCACAGGCTGACTGACTCCATACCACGCCATAATGCTGTAGTAATCCAGGCTAAAGCAGCCCCAACTAAATATTGATTTCTGTACATGCTCATACTTTTCATGGTCATAATTTTCAGTTAGCCAACATTTCTAAAATTCCTTTATTTGCATTGGTCTTAACTGATATTCAAATACTTTGAGATACTAAATTTGGGATTTTCATTAGTTATAATCATCAAAATTAAGGGAATAAACATTTGAAATACATCAGTCTTTGTGTAATGAATGAACCTAATATACAAGGTTCACTTTTTTAACGGAATTACTGTAAAAAATCAACTTTGTCATGATATTCTAACTTTATGACCAGCACCTGTATATAAATGTCAGAAAACTTTAATGCCATGTCTAGGATTATCTCACTTACCAGCGGGAGTCATGTGAAGGGCAGGAGGGTAGTAATACATCCCTCCAAAGCCAACTTTCAGGAAAAGTGTGGCGACTTATTATTTCATTTCTGTCCTTGTAGCCATCCTCCTCAAGACCTAACGAAAACATACATTATTCACTGGAGCTGGTTTTTTCCCCTTAATACAGTGATTAATGAAATACAATTATCCCATGCCCTTTGTACCCGTTTGTAAATTTCTTACTGCGAGAAAGCATTAGCATCTCCTCCTTTTTGTCATATTTGTGTTTTAGCATCTCCGTACAACATCTCAGGAACGCTTCAATGCATGCTGAACCATCCATGATGTATTCGCTTCGTCTCTCACAGCTGTATGATAAAGGGATATCCCTCATACCATCCAAACAGCATTGTTTTTTTAATGCTTCATTTTCATAATTACTTGCTGAAAAGAAAGAAGATAAATGATAATGATAAATGACCCACACTTGTATAGCACCTTTCAGAGTCAGAGGACTCCAAACACTACTGTGTACAAAGATCATAAGAAGGGTGGATAATAATGTACAGGTGAAACCCGAAGAAATATGATATAGTGCAAAAGTTAATCTAGTTTCTGTAATTCAACTTAAAAGGTGAAACTCGTTACATGTAAAGCCAGACGTGTCAAGCCTTTATTTGTTAGAACTGTGCTGATTATGGCTCACAGCTTATGAAAACCCCACATTCAAAATCTCAGACAATTAGAATATTGTGAAAAGGTTCAATATTCTAGGCTCAAAGTGTCTCTCTAATCACCTAATTATTCCAAAAGCAAAGGGTTCCTGAGCCTTTAGATGGTCTCTCAGTCTAAGCTGGATCACTAAAATAATGGAGTTTTGCACCATGTTCTAATTTCACCATCTTTTTTATTCAGGTACAGTTCTATCTGAAACCCCCATAAAGCATTTTAGCCACCCCACCAGTCTCACAGGGAGAGGAAGAAGAAGATAGGAATCACAAAACATCAAATTAAACTAAATGATCTACAAATCTTACAGACTATAGGTGCTGTGTATAATCTGTTAAGTGTAGTTAAAAACATTTCTCGCACAATTTTACCATGACTGTATCATCTTGTGACATATTTCCTGTTCCTTTTCCGGTGTAGCAATCTTTACTAAAGACCTGCGCCATAACTGGCACATGCGGGCTGGATCCCCCTCCAATACAAAGAATAGGGGAGCCTCCTAGTGCAGTCTCAGGCAGTCTCAGATCAGATCAGGATGTTCTTCCGGAACCAGAAACTCTCCACAGTTCGTCTTTCTATTCTTTTTTTTTTTTTTTTTTTTTTTTTTGTTTTGTTTTAGCTCACCATTGTGTGTTTGTTGAAGGGCAGCTGAGTACACCTCGTGGACATTTTCTATTATGGGGAACCGAAAATTTATGGAATGTGGCATTGAAGATTTGTAAACACTAGGATTTACAGAAAGTGTGCAATAATAGTTTATTCTAAATTAGGCAGGTGCATTAATTTGGGCACCACAAAAAAAATAAAAACTATTTGTTAGATCCTCCTTTTGCATAAATAACAGCCTCTAAATACTTCCTATAGCTTCTGGGTTATGGTTAAAGGTATTTTGGACCATTCTTCTTTACAAAACATCTCTGGTTCATTCAGGATTAAAGGCTTCTGAGCATGGACAGCTCTCTTTACCTCACACCGCAGATCTTCAATGATATTCAGGTGTGGGGACTGAAATGGCCATTCCAGAATGTTCTACTTGTTCCTCTGCATGAACGCCCTAGTAGATGTTGAGAAGTTTTTAGGGTCATTGTCTTGTTGAAAGATCCAGCCACAGTGTTTTGAGACCCCCATGATGCTACTCTTCAGAGAACATTCAGAGGAGGGAAACTTACAATTAGCCCCTTAAAAATTCTTTCTCATAACTGGATTCACCTGTGTATGGAGGTCAACGGTAACTGAGCTTACCAAACAAAATTTGAGTTCCAAAAATTTGTTCTAAAGGTTTTTGAATCAGTAAAATGACAACAATGCCCAAAGTTATGCAACTGCCTTATTTAGTTTAAACAATTATTGCACATATTCTGTAAGTCCTATAAACTTTGTTTCACTTCTCAGATATCACTGTGTGTCTCCTATATGATATATTTCATCAACATTTTTTTTTTCATAACAACCAACAATTTATACAGGGAAATTATGAAGATTAACAAGGCTGTCCAAACTTTTGCATCCCACTGCAGAATTGCACAAATCAAGTGGATATATTTTTTTATAGCATGGATTATTATGACCATAAACCAGCAAAGATAAGACTGAATTTATGCTTTTGAATTCATGAAATGAGCTTTGTTTTCCTTTTTATTTCCATGGCTTATTATCATTGGGTGTTGTTGGGGTAGAATACATACCGTTTTGACGAGCCGCTTCCCACTAAGTGTGTGTGCAGTTTGCATATGTGGGTGAATATTAGGCATGTTTTTGTAACAACTTTGTTGCTGGGAGTGCTCCTGGATCTGGTACCAGGTCCATTGGGTTCTATTTGTGTGACGCATAAGCATAGTGATGTGGCATTGCGGTTAACACATCTGAAAAACTGATGCAAAAATGTGCTTCACCGTGTCATGCAAGCTCCAAGGTCTGTAACAGACACAGTTAGAAGATTGACTAAATAGTGACTCTTACTCAGGGTGGCTCTGACTTCCATTATAGTGCCCGATCGTTTCTGTCTGCTTCCGCTGGAACTGGAGCAGTTTACATCTGGAAATGCAAAACAAACAAGTTCCACCAAATGTTACTGAACTGCATGGCATCAGTAAAATGAGCTCTAGGAAAACTTGTTAATTATTATAAATAATAGTAATGATGTACTCTAGGATTCTACAACCTCCTAAGGTTCCTCACAAAACATCCAGTCATTCACACGCACACGCGCGCGCACACACACACACACACACACACACACACACACACACACTGGAGTCAGAACCAGGAAAGGTGGAGTTGGGATGTAAAATACTTCACTAATATAGTTCATCCACAAATTCAGGATCACACTTGTTAAGTCTCCCGTTTTGGCTAGGAAATGGCCGTATCTGACTCTATCCCTGCTGTCTTCCCACATCAGTAGTTTCCCTGAAAGGATTCCTGTGTGAAGGTCATTCACGGAGAACACCCACCCCCTTTTCACAGAGACCTGAGAGAAGCTTCACTCCAGCGCTACCCCCCCCCCCCCCCCCCCCCCGGATTTTCAAAAATTGGATTTGTTCTGTTCAGACTGTCACAAAAAAATCAGATCTGATGCACTTTAGCCTGCAGTGTAGGCGTCACCTATCTCACCTCTTTTAGATGACTCAACAATATTAGCTGTGTTTTTCCTGTTATCTGGGAGCACCTTCTGGCCACCAAATGCCTCTCTCAGCCCCTCCCTGAAAACCTCACAACAGTCTTTGTTTTTCAGTTTCTACAATCTGGTCTTCTGTTCAGTTGTTGCTTTTTTCGTCTTCCATCCAACAGTAGCTGGCTCACTAAACTCTAGCCTTATGTCCTTCTAATTAAAACATCTATATAAGAGTTAGTGCACCTGTGTGCTCTTCCCTCCACTCATATTAGCTCCCCTATGTTCAGCCATTTCCATCTTTTTTGCGAAGTCAATCAACATCTGTCCTTCCTTGCTCCTATCCTAAATATCAAACCTGTCCATCACTTCCTCGTCACCTCTTTTCTCATCGCCAATAGGTCCGTTAAAGTCTAGACCAATATTCTCTCAACTCTTAGGACTCTATTTCTCTTTCCAACTACTGAACTACACCATTGTAGAATAACTTAAATCCTTCTCCTAAGCTTCTAGCCTTGCTATCTTTCCACCTGATCTCCTGAACCCATAGTATATCCACCTCTCCTATATTTTGATTTACCTGTCATAGTTCAAATATTCACACTCCCTTCAGTTCCACACTCTTGCCTTTCCTCTTCTCTTTCTGCCTGTGAACACTCCTTCTCCCCACCAACAATTCTCCAGTTTCCACCAGCACTAGGTCAACAGTTAGCCCAGACCTCAGTCGATCTGGTAAGAAATTCCTGTTTGCGAGTGACATGATTGATAAGTCAGATGCTCTTCTTGACACAAACCTCCGCATTTATCCAAACTTGGGACTGACACAAGAAATCCCTAACTTGTGACCTCACACTGTTGCATTCTTTATAATAAAACTATTGCGTTAGCTTATTTTTCCTCCATCATAATGACAACAAATATCATATATATCTTATTAAAATGATTTTTTAATTGCTTTATTAAATTCATTACATACTTTTTTCGAATAATGGTCAATTTCTTCTAGTTGTGTGTGTGTGTGTGTGTGTGTGTGTGTGTGTGTGTGTGTGTGTGTGTGTGTGTGTGTGTGTGTGTGTGTGTGTGTGTGTGTGTGCACAAAATCAATGAAAAACAAAATAAATCTAATGGACGAATTTGACAAATATTATTATAAATTTGTTTATATGCATTTCAATTAGCAGTTTTGCATTACTTAAGGAAAATCCATGTTAGGGAATATTATTACCATCTCTGTACGGTGTCCCAACATGGCTGGTTTGAAGCAAAAGTCCAGCATCATAGAACACATTTATGTTGTCCTTTCCTCCTCCTGCAGTGCAACCAGTGTCGTATTGCTCCACAACATCCCAAATCTAAACAGAACAAGTGAATCACCAGCAGTCATGCAGATGTTGTAGTCAAAGATAACACAAAAATGTGTGTGTTCCAACCAGGATTGCGCAACACTAATAAGAGCTGGCCTAATGTTTCTGCTCCTTGTTTTCTTTCTCTGTTGCACAGATTTCTGGAAAATGCTAAAAAGATCGAGTTTTCACAAGTCTTAGGAACACAAGGGTTTCTTTATTGCATAATATCATCAGTGATGTATCTCTGAATAAGTGTTGCAACATGTTGATCTTTTTCCAGTTGAGATCAAATTTACTTGATTCTTTTTTCTATTGATAATCATTTTTTAAGGGGCACCAAAACAAAAAAAATTAATTATAAAAAATAACGCTTCAGCCATTCAGGAAATAAACTTTAGGCACTGGTATTTACAAAACACCTTGTGGCTGCGTTCGTGACATAGTTAAAGAGGTTCATGTTATTCTCTAAAATATAATTCTGTAATTTTAAAGTGAAATTTTAACAATTAAAATGCTATTAAATGTTGGCTGGTACCTTTCTCTGTGTCAGACGGTTCTTGTTGTTCAACACATACACACTTTTGTCAACGGCAACCATTCCCACTGTTGACCCTGGATCTCCAGTGATCTTCATTCTAAAACGTTTGCGAGGTTCATAGGATGGTTGAGCATTTACCATTTCCAGCCTCAGCTAAAAAAGAAAAAGAAAGAAGATTTTAAAATGTGCACATCGGCCAGTTTTTGTTTATTTTACCAACTACCTCACCGTTCCCATGCAGGTGTCTTTCACGTCGACCCAAACAGAGTCTGAAACCAGTTCATTGGAAGTTGTGTGGTAGTAGGTTACAATGCGGAATGATGGCAGCATTTCTTTGGTGATTTTAACCATTCGGGTAAACTGTTTTTGATTGTTGCTTTTATATCGATCATGGCTTATCAGCATACCTCTGCTCAAGATCTGAAGAAACAAATTTAAAAATCAGCGCTCATCCTTTACAAGCACAACAAAACTCAGTCTTGCTGACAAATGGATATGCAATTATGAAATAATTCTAACCAGATATGTGACGTCAATTTCTCGATTTTCATGAGAGCCGAAGAAGAAGTCAACTTTCATGGTTTCTCCTATTACCACCTCATCTGTATTCACACCTTAGATAGCAATATGTAATCATGTGTACAGCATTAAGACATATTACAGTAATATCTCACCATTAGCATAATAAAGTAGTTGCATCATGATTTAGTTACAAGTCAATACTTACTCATATAAATGTACTGATTATTTGAAGATCTGTATGGGTACGCCTGCATTGAGGCTGTTGCTTGTTTGTCAGAATCTAGCTTGGCATCATTAGTCTTCACCTGTAATTACAGTGGCTTACAGTTAAAGGAAATTCAAGGGTTTTTTTTTTTTATGAGGATAAAAAAATTGTTTCTCATTGCAAAAGAGACAATAAGGTTTAAGCCATTCCTGGAATGTGAGAGCTACATAATAATCTTCCATACTGTCATGGTCCGTGGTGAGCTGCCTGCCTGTAACCCTGTTTTTCTTCTGAGCATTGTCCACAGGTGGGCGTGTCTGAGAGCCACCAGCTGCAGCTGATCCTGTCATCAAGGCCCAGGGGATTTAAGGAGCAGTGTGACACTTCACTATGCCGGATGATTACTCTGCTTGGGTAGCTCTAGCCTCTAACCTGTCTCGAACCAGTATCTCGTTCGAGTTAACCTGCTGCCTAAAAAGACCCTGAATGTCCTTCCCTGCTCTCCTTCAGGTTTCTCTCCACGTTCCATCATCTCCAGAACCAACCCGGACTGCTGCACTCCAGACCACACTGCCTCCTCCCCTGGCCGCCCGCTCTCAGCCGCTCACCTGCCCTCACCAACCTCCGCTCCTACATCCCCTCTGGATAAATCAGTTTTTTCGCCTTCTGGATCTCCTCTGCTCACCCGGACCTGACCAAAGCCCCCCCTTTTCATTCTACCGCTACCAAGAAACAGTGAGCTCCGTCTCAAGATAAAATCACCATAATTCCACCGGATATTCACTCTGTCTCCCTCCTCAGAACCTCCTCCTGGAACCCTGCTGCCAGTCCAGAGCATCTTTGGTTCCCGTCTCTCCTTTAGCTGTCACGAGCAGAACTCAGAAGACCCGTGATGACGCCAAACACAGTGAAAAGTAGATAAAAAGTCTTTATTAGATGTGGAGTTACCAGAGGAGGGCGAGGCTGGAAACAGAGTCGGAGGGGAGGAGTAAGTCAAAAACCAGATCGGACAAGCAGGTACAGGGAACAGGCTGGAGACGAGGTGGCAGACAGGTGAGGGTCGTGGTGGCAGGCAGAGTTCAAGGCAGGGGTCAGGAGTGAAAATGAGGTCTGGAGGCTGAGATCAGGCAGGGTAAAAGGCTGTAAGATTTACTAGCAAAGAGCGTTCAATAATCTGGCAATGGTTGGAGAGCAGGCTGGGAGTTAAATAGCAGAGAGAGCAGGTGTGTGGGACGAGCTGATTACAGGAACAGGTGAGATGAATGAAGTTGATTGTGGTTGCCAGGGAAACGGGGCTTGGCTGGAGCTTGATGAGGGGACCAGGTGTGCTGCATGAAGGCGGAAGGCTTGATGAGGAGGCAGAGGAGGGTAAAAGATTGGGAGTCATGACATTAGCTCCTCATTTAAAATAAAACCTTTTTACACACTTACCTGTTTCTGTGAGTGATTCTGCATGTCCTGGGTCAAGAAATTGCCACCCAACATGACACATACCAGAAGTTACTAATTTATCTGTGCAACTTAGAATTTGAAATTGTTATTGATGTTGGACTCCCGCTCCATGAACAAGCCCAGCGCCGCTCCTTTTGCGTTGGTTTCAGGACCTTGGAGGTCGTCACTCAGGCTGGCCTCTCCACCTCAGCCTGCTCTCCGTGCCCCAGCTGCAGGTCATCAGCTGACGAGAGCTGATGACTTAAAAGACAGCAGCTGCCAGACCTCTAGGAGAGCGAACTCGCCGTCAACAGCTTGAACCGAAGCTAGACAGTAGAGTCAGACAGATGTAAGGAGGGAGTTGAGGGTGAACTATTATTAAACTGTGGAACTGAAAGAAGGAATTCGAAGGTGATGTTGGCTGTGGGGGTCGTTTGGGTGGTTGGCCGACGGCCTGTTCGAGCCTGGTAAGACGACGGCTCAACTTCGCTCTGAGTTGACTTCGTTTTGCGGTGGTGAATGGGAAAGAAGGGAGCTGGAAAGGCTGGAGTGGACGATCTCTGTGGGGTAAGTATTCTTACAAGAATGTGTGTGTGTGTGTGTGTGTGTTCAGTGGGGTGGGCTGGTTAGGCTGTGTTGGTTGTTGTGGCAGCAATGCTCCTTTTTGGCGTCCAGCCTGCCTATTTCATAAAAGAAAGAAACCTCTGAGGAGAGAACCTCAGCTGAACATGCTGTTCGTCTCCCCTCGGTCCTCGATTACAAACGGTTTGAACAGAATTAAGAACTTTGTACTTTTAGTACTTTAGATAATATAGTTCTTTTGGTTAAATACTTTGGTTTAATAACCACTTTCGTTTGTGATCATCGGTGCATTTTGGTCTGCTCTTAGGGCTTGAATTTCAGTTATTGTAGCCATCTTCATCATTTTTATAGAGTAAAATTTCCGCTGCAGAGCTCGTTTTTTCTTTTTGGTAACTTAACTTAATGTAGCCGTTGAGTTTTGACTTCGTTTAAAGATATCTTCCTTTCGGCTTTGCATAGCTCCGGCTTGTATATATAAATAATTGTGCTTGTGTTTTCCTCCTGAGGTCCTTTTGCCTCAGGTGTTTTGAGTTCTTCCCCATCGTCTTCATGCACTTTTTGTTTAGAATAAGTAGAACCTCAGACCCCCGTTGTAATTTTCCATCCAGGACTGAGTTATTTTTACCTCTTGTTAATAAAAACACCTTTTTATTTAAAAACACCCTTTTTCACTCCAGTTTCACACAAATCTACAGCTGTAAAGGATTTACTCTAATCAAGCCAAACATCTTGTAAAAGTGCATAAAATATATAACTTTTAAACGAAGTCAAAAAGCGTAATGGTCTTTTAGCCATATGAAAAGTGGATGAAAAAAGCTGATACAGTTTCAATCACTGTTGGAAAACTTACTTTAAAAGTCAGGCTTTGTGAGCTTGCTACAGTATTCACACTGAACCTTGCTATGCCATTTGCTGTGGTGGTGTCGTAAAGTTTGTCTTCTTTGTCTTCAGGTTCAAGCACCATATCTATCTTCGATGCTGGACTGTCATCAGGATTGGTGACTTCAACCTGCCAACAAAGAAAATTGTAGAATGAAGAAAAGGATCGACAGCAAAGTGATCCTTTTCATGGCATTTTAGCGTGGACAGAAAGTTTTACTTTACCATAACATTAAAGGACATTCCCGGTTTGAAATATTTGGGTGTTTTTTTGAATGTGATGGTGTATGGAGATTTGACAATCTTGATGCCTCTCAACTCCGTCTCTACCAGTTCACCTCCTGTTTGGACCACCAAAGCAAAATTGTTTATTGAAATATTCAGCTTTAAGGTGATTTGATAATGCATCACTTCAAAATAAAACAACCAATTATATGGTTTTTCCATTTATTATACGCAGTACCAAGATTCAGTGCTAGGGACATTGCCATTTATTTAGTATGAATTATACTTGCAATGTTCCTAAACTATTTATTGTATTGTATGAACGATAGGTTGTGGAAAAGAGTTAGTCATTGACAGAAAACTTGTAAAATACATGTTTTTGTTGATGGATAAAAATGTACTTCATATTTAAGTATCAACAGCTACAATATTGTTAAATTAGAGTGTGGTGATGCTAATGAATTACTTTATACTTTAACTACAGAGGTGAGTACAACACTAATTTAAAGACAAACTAAAGCAGTGAAGAGCAAAGTACATTTCCTGTTGGCTGATCTTTTGTTTTTTATTTCTGAATTTAAAAAGTGACTGTTTTTGATAGACTAAACAGATGCAGTACAGATAGTGGTGTACTCACTCATCTCTAAAGGCTACACATAGAGTCATTCTCACCTACTTCCAGACAATGAGTCCCCTATTGTCCAAAAACAATCAATGGGAGTCTAAGAGGAGATAGATTTATTTTTGATCCTGTTCCATGGATTTCACATATGATGTCCGTGAATTTTAAAGAGACATTCTGATGCTAAGAAAGCCCTTTATTTTTATTTTTATTTTTTTGAATAGGCAGAAAAAGTTACTTAAGGTTTTGTGTAAGATGTAGTGGACTCCAACAGTTCATCAAATTTACATCATCAAAACAAGAGAAGAAGAGTTAGTTTAGCCAGTTTCGTAAACATCTTCCAGGATTAAAGAAGGCACACTAAACGTGGAGAAAACAACTATAAATCCAGCCAGTTGGTAAGTAGCCGATACGTCATAAATGCGACTTTTAATTTGTAGTAATTTTAATTATGAATTTTTACAACCAGATCTCAAACTACCTGACAGTCAAAACACACATAATTGTTTTACATTTAACTGAAGTACACCATATGTGTGATTCAGCACACAAGGCAAAGCAGACCAGAATTTTTTTTTCTCAGACATTGGACTCAAGAACAAACTGGAAGGGGAGGACACTAAAGGCTGCTTATACCACAAACACATGTCAGTATCCATCCATCCATTTTCCTACACTTATCCGGGGTCAGGTTGCAGTCATGTGGGCAGCAGCCCAGTGGCCCAGACTTCCCTCTCCCCAACCACTTGAATCAGCTCCTCCGAAGGAATCCTAAGGCATTCCCTGACCAGCCGAGAAACTTTGTCCCTCCAGCAAGTCCTGGGTCTTCCCTTGGGTTTCATTCCGGTTGGATGTGCCGGGAAAACCTCTCCAGGGAGGCATCCTAATCAGAAACCCGAGCTACCTCAACTGGCTTCTCTCGATATGGAGGAGCATCTAATCTACTCCGAGCCTTTCCCGGATGACCGAGCTTCTCACCCTATCTCTCATAGAGTCCACACACCCTGCAGAGAAACTTATTTTGGCCGCTTGTATCCGCAATCTCATTTTTTCAGTGACTACCCAAAGCACATGAATATAGGTGAGGATTGGAACGTAGATTGGCCGGTAAATCGAGAACTTTGCCTTTTGGCTCAGCTCTCTTTACCACGACAGAGCAGCAGACAACACCTTGGCTGTGCCTAGAAATTTTCTACTACACATACTCTACATACACGTAATATTTCTAGAAAACATTGAAAAACCAAAAGTATAATATTTCTTGAAGGTTCATATTGGAGAATAATAACAAATCCAGGCGAAGCAACAGTGTCTGTTAGCTATGTACCCTTTATACCTGAAGGACAGGTCTGTAGTTTGAACAATGTCTTTCTTACCACTTTTTGTCAGCACGCTAGCGGCTACATATATGGATTTGCCCTCCAGAGCAAGAATGTCTCCAAAGGTGCTTGTGATGTAATTTTTCCTCAGTGTGACCTCTCCTCGACCATGCTCGATCTGTTGAAATATCAATAAATCAATAAGAAATTGTCTTATTTAAATATATAAATCACTGTAATATTAAAAAAATGATTAATGTGTCTCAAAAAAGCACATATGTTTTACTTTTTCACTGGAGCAAGGGCGAATATGCAGTCTCCTGGTCTGCAGCTGTGTACTATTGTGGAATTCACACAAGGGGAAGCGGGGTTTGACCGAATCGAAGCATCTTATTTCTGGTTTGAAGGAATGGCTCGCGAAAATAAAATGTGAGGTCAATGTGAATAAAATGTGTATGAGTTCAGCCCTTCATAAGGCCATACAAATTCAATTTGAGCAAACTTTAAAGGACATACTCTTCAGTACACCAATCAAGTAATGTGCTCACCAAATTTTCTGTAGCAATGCTATGATAACTTGCATCAGTTTGTCAGATTTGAGTTCAGACATGCAATACTCAACCAAGTAAGACGAGACCATCTGACAAGGTGAATGTACTGACTGTTAAGTTTCACCTACAGATCCTTTCGAAAACCATTAGCCAACAACTTGCGATGTCAAACTTCATAAAGCTTGTCATTTTTGTTCACCTAATATTTTTGTTTTGTGATCAATTCTATTCATATATTTTACTTTTTATCTACCTCACAGTCTTTTCCTGTTGAAAGCAGAGAAGAAAATAACCTGCATTCCTTTTTATAAAAAAAAAAGTTTTTTACCCTGTCCTGTATTCCAATTCATAGCATTTTTTTGTGTGTGCGTGTGTGGTAGAAGTATCGGTATAGGTAATCGGTATCGGCAAGTACTCAGGTCCAAGTATCGGTATCGTATCGGTTTGGAAAAAAGTGGTATCCTTGCATCTCTACTTACAGTTGTATTTTTAAGCTTTATAACTAAATACAGCCTAACAAGTTAGGATCTTTTATTTTTTTAATGTGCTGCCTCAGGGTAAATCCATAACTGAAATACAAAAGCTGTTGTATTTGTATTTAGTCCCATCTAAATTCAAGCTGCAGCCATCATCAGTTTCTTCTGGCTTAAACCTCCACATTAAATTCTTACATCTATTTCTTTTATTCACATCTATGATCCACACCCTCTAAAAGGGGAATATTGAATTGTGTGCATGATATCACACATTTGTCCCAAGTCCCCAAAACCCAAATAATTATCAATGAATGGAACTTGCCAAATCATGCCACAATTTAAAGGTGGTCTAAAATAAAGATGGGATGAACACGTCTTTAGTGAAGGTATATTTAATATACGTCCTAACTGTATTTATCTAATTTGTTTAATTTTATTTTTTGGCAAAGCAGCATATTTGGGGGATTACAAAACTAAGGCCCAACTTTCAGCTGAGAGATGTATTGTGGGAATACATTTGCTCACCGGGACTCTCTGAAGGGAGTTTGCAAAGCTCTTTTTGGAGTCCCCCTGGATGAGCCCAAAAACCACGTAGGCTGTTCCATCCACCTCTTTACCAAACATATACCTGGAAGCACATGATTACTGTCAACACGTCACCAAGAAAATCAAGACAATATGAATTCTGTGTTATCTTACTTAGCTGTGATAGTGAAGGTAAGCTCATTGCTGTTCATGTAAAAGAATGGGGTCTGAGGTGGAGGTGTAATTTTTACCTCAAAGCTGGGAAGTACTGTGAAACAAAAACCATTTTAACTGCTATTTCAACTACTGTGGACATTTTAAAATCAACTGGAATAAAAAAGGACCAGAAAAATAAATAACACACAATTAATTGAAAAGCCCACCCAGGTAACTTCATGCTCAGAACACTCATAGATTTTTTATTTGAAAGTCAATCTGAAATAAATACTAAAAACTTTAACTATACAGTATAACTGGGTTATCGGATTATAACGCAATTGTTTTTCTCAAGGAAACTTACCCACAGCTTCAGTTTCTTTTCCAACAATTTCAAAAAACCAAATGCTAAATCTGGAGGCAGCTTTACTGAGGAGTAAGTGGAGTGAAATGTTGCAAATCAGGGACATAAAGAGCTCCACCTATCTGTTTCTCACAAAAATCACTGAAGTAATGTTAAGCTTCACCAAAAAGGAAAACCAGCATAAAACAAGGTGGATTCTTCACCTTGGCTAAATGATGGATGTAGAAAAGAGATAAACTACTTTAAAATCATTGAAAACTCAATTCCATACATTTCCAATGTATGCCGATGATGCTGTCATCATTACTAGTGCAAAAATACTCAGGAGGCTGCTTCCATTCTCACTTAATCTTACCTAAAACTAAACAACTAAAACAGTCTGTATGATGTTCACAAAGCAACCAGTAAACATCAAACATTTGGGTATATATTTGGGAGAAGAATAAAAACGTATCCATTCTCTTGTTCTTTTTTTTTTACACAGTTTAATAAAAAAGTAGTTTTTTTACCTGACATGTTTCAGCTAGTATCTCTAGCCATCATCAGAAATCGCCGGTGTTGGTGGCGTCACTTTCTTTTATGCACGAGCAGCAGAGGATGGTGTCATGCTTTGCCCACATCCTTCTGGCTGATGACACAGTCCGATGCGTGGTCCATTGTGAATACACCATCGTCTCTGTTCATGGTTTACTGTCCAGGGCTCCTTATTTCTATGGCTTCCTTTATCCATCTTTTGTATTTTTGTTGTCTCTTGAGCAGTGGTCTGTTACAGCAGATTTCTTTAGTGTACTTTCTGCTTCTTGTGTGTCTTCGACTTGTTTCCCTCTCGCAGTTTCTATGAGGTTCTATTTTTCGTGTGTTAAGTTGGCGTCCGGTTTCTCCTATGTATGTTTAATTGCAGAGTTTGCATGGTATTTCATATATTACTCCACATTTTATATCTGTTGATATCTTTTCCTTTGGGTGTACTAATGTATGATAAAAGGAAGTGATGCCACCAACACTAGTGATCTAGCTAGAGATGCTAGCTGAAACACGTCAGGTAAAAAACATTTTTTACTAAACTGTGTAAAAAAAAAAGAACAAGAAAATGGATGACAAAGATAAACACGGAGTGAATGTACAAAAGAGAACAAAAATTGTTTGGGTATGAAAAGTAATCTGCATGTCTGTGATGGGTTCCTTTGGTAATTACTGTTCTGCTCTTTCTTATAATTTTGTGTGACCTGCCAAGGCAATGCAGATGTAAATTAGCATTGGTGATATAATCCAGCATATTTAGGTGTTTCGGTTCTTCAATAGATGTTCATTTATGAGCATGGTCCCTACCAAATGAATGAATGCGTTTTCTTAACAGGTGGCTTCAAAATGTTTGAGTAGACTTACCGTATTCTTTGACCTCAAACTCTGCCGTAAAGGCCTCCTGTGTGTTACTGCCAATTTTTGCCACCACTTTCCACTGTCCGAAACTGCACAAAAACAATATTTCTAATCACATCTACCCTTTAGGGGATTTATCATGTTGGGAAATTGTTTACCTGACAACATTAGGAAGTTTGTATTTTCTTGAGTGCATCGGTGTAGTCGTTGAAACAGTCTCAGACTGTATTATGATGCCATCAGGCGTCTAAAAATAAAATATAAATTTAAAAAACTTCCTAGCTTTATTTCACAATGTTTCCTTTCTTATCTTGAAAATGAAGCTCCTGTGTGGCATGTTGCTCATAACTTTGAACAGAACCAGCTGATTAGGTGGATATTGTTGTCACACCCTAAAGTTAATTATTTTTAAAAACTTTTATTGGTGTGTGAAGTAAGAGTGAACTCCTGTGGTCAAATTTGGGTACTGCAGTCCCTGTTTCAAAACCAATGACTGTAAAAAAAATATGTATGAACCCTTCGTGACATTACCATAGGTTTCTGAGGCTTCAACTTGAAACCTGGTGGGCGGTTGCAATCACCACCATTTTGGCCATATCACATGTCTAGACAAACCTGGACAATACAAAAATGGGCACAGAGGTTGGAGCTGAGAGTGGAATTTTGAGGACCTCATCCCACCTTTGCTCCCAACTACAAGCTAAACTGAGCTAACTGAAGCTAACGTAAGTTTGCTGGTGGTTTTGGCCAGAAAAATGTTAGGGACTCTAACGTGAAGCATGCATCATCTCACTGAGCTTCAGAGTTTTTGTGGTCTCCCTCAGAGAGCTCCACAGGCGAGAAGAACAGCCCCAAAAAGCAAAGATTGAAGCAGGGCGCCACGTTTAGCCTCTGCAGTGTTCAGAGATCTGCGGGGCCATAGGCTCTGCTGTGGTCAAAGCCCCCGCCACAGGAGCGAACCAGGGAGCCAGTCCTATTAACGCATCTTATTTCAGCCCATTTCTGACCAATCAGCAATAAATACACAGCATTTTCCTCCATTCAACCAGCAATATAAAGAACAGATTTATAATTTTACCTACTGATAAAAATGAAGCAGATACTTTTTGCATGGTCTGTTAGTGATATCAATACCACAGTTTGCCATCTTTGTCCAGTAATTCCACGATGAACATGAACACACAGAGGACACAACTACAGTTCAGAGAGTCAAAATGGACAATCATTTTTAACAAGAGGTCGAGGCTGAGGCATTCCCTGAACCTAGCCGCTAGCGCTGACGCTCATGCCACCTGCCAATCAAATCTAAATATTCATAATTTCAAGCACTGAATTACGTCCAAACGGAAGAGTTAGAAAACATTTGCTCCCCTCAGAGTTGTCATGACTAAAACTACACCTATTAAACTTAAAGGGACTTTACGGAGTTTTGAATTTTTATGCTCGTGATTGCCTCCTCAGGCCAAAAGCGTAATGGCAGCTTCAATAGTAGGCTCGTGCATGAGCCGCGCATGCTGTACGTGCATACTCCTTAACGAAAACAACAGCTAAGACAGTCCCTTGTGTGTGTGTGTGTGTGTGTGTGTGTGTGTGTGTGTGTGTGTGTGTGTGTGTGTGTGTGTGTGTGTGTGTGACCCAGAGGACAGAGGACAGGAGAACGTGCAGCTAATTAATTAAATAATTTGGTTCTGTACCTTTCTCTTCAGCACAGCCGACAAAGTGAAAAGTTGAACCCACATCTTTTTTATCGGTGAATTCAATGCCATTCGGCGAGTCTCTAATAAAAGTTTGGGCATCTTACTGTAAAAATTATACCATTAATGTCAAAAAGAACCTCTAAATAAACTGCGTTCACATCCAGAATCAAACCGAGGTCTCCTGCATGAGAGTCCAACGTCTCACTAGGTGATCTATAGCACCAGTGACATCCTTAGTATCTGTAACATTTATATCCTTGATGACAGCTGAAACAACGTTCAAAGAACGGTTCGGAGCGAAAATGGCTATTTTTTTGCTAATTTGCAGGAAATATCTGGAAGAAAGTTCTACAGAAAGTAGCTTAGGGTCCTCAGAAATGTAGCTAGCTTTGTCACTAGGCGTTAGGAACAGCGACAAAGACTAAAGCTACGGATAGCAAATGCTACGGGCGATGCCTGAGCGTGAACGTGCATGAAGCCAGGCCCGGAGTGGCTAATCGGGAGGGTCTGGAGAATTCCCGGTGGGCCGCGCGATGTTTGGGCCGCATGGGGCCGGTGCTCTCGTTTTTGTTTTTTATCATTTTATTTTTATTTTTTGGTGCCGGTGTTCAGTCATGGCACTGAGGCCGCCGGGCTGATCACATACGCTCCTCCCGGCTGTCTCTGGCTGGCTCTACCTGCAGGCTGCAGCTCGTTTTTTTCCCCAGTATGCGCCTGTGCGCACCACGTGACCACGCAGTTGACGGAAAGATGGAAAGTAGAAAGAGCAAGGGTGGCGCGGAGAAGGCAAGAATTAAAAAGAGGAAAGCGTTGGTAACAGATGCAGCCAAGGCCGGATTAACCATATGGGCAACTGGGCAATTGACCAGGGCCCACGAACTCTAAGGGGCCCAGGGCAGCAAGCGCACGAGCAAAATACTGTAGGCATGTCTGTAATCTCCCGCATTATATTAAACTAGGGTGACCGTATGTCCGGTTTTCCCCGGACATGTCCACTTTTCACTCTCTGTCCGGGCGTCCGGACTGCGGGTTCTTGTATTGATGAAAATGTCCGGCTTTTCATCCAGGAGCAGGGATCGAATTATGGGGGGGCTGTATATCTTACACATCCAGGGGAGCCGGAAACAAGTTTTCTATCTATATTACATCATTTATGGACTCTTCTGAGCAGAGAGCACAAAGAGCGGCACAGCGCGTTATTGCGCAGCGATCCAGGCAGCTGCGTCCAGCGCACGGTCCATTCTCAAAGTGGCGCAACCAAAAAACTATAATTAGCACACGATCGTTCATGTCCGCACATATTCTCTATTTTCTGTCTTATTTGTGCCTGAAGCGCTCTGCTGCTGCGCAGCTCATCACCTGTGCTGCGCGGTGCTGCGGTGATTTCACCTCACTGACGCAGCATCGAAAGGCGCACTCCGCTTTGCGGTCAGGAGATCCATTTGATCTGCTCAAAAGTAACTGATGAGGTGAAAAAGTAAGAATCCTGGCAGCAGTTTTTTCTGGAGAGTTTAGAGGAGACGCAGGAAGACGAGAGACAGACAGGACAGGAAATAGTTCAATAAAAACAAGAAAACAAAACTAAGTGTAAAGTAAAATGTAGGTAGATTTATCTCCACTACAAGTTTTTACCAGTATAAAACAATAAGTTATACACATGTCATAGTTATACATCTGATACAATTCAAATCACCTTCAAAACTCAGTCACACACCCAGGGCCGTTTCAAGACATTTTGGGGGCCAAGGCAAAATGACCCCCCCCCCCCCCCCCACCCACCCCATAACTGGGCTCCCCAGAAGCCTCTGTGTAATTGTTACCCTCTCCAGTATTGTTAGTTATCCAGTGTTTATAAAAGCTCCTCAGACATTACTGACATGTTCTAATATTATCAGATGAAATTGAAAGCCACTATTTGTGGATTCTCTGAAAGTTTCCATGGAGTGTGTGACAACTTATTTTATCATTGATCCTATCGTCTAATCTCACAGCTGAAACAAGCACCCTTAATAATCTGTGCACAGGAAGCGTACCGATGCTGTAGTAAAACAAAAGTTATAATAATTTATTATTATTAAAACCTTGTTGCAGCACTAAAGCAGAAAAATGAGATTTTGCAATACATATGCTAAATATTTACATATGAATTGTTTTAGAGCCCTTTTATTGGCAGAATCTGATATTAATTTAGTTCTTACAAGAAAATGGGTCCCAACGTGGTTTGTGTGGTGTTGCCATAGTGTGACGTCATAGGCACAGATCCCCTGTTCTCTTGTTTGGAAATGGAAATATGATCACCCTGTACTAAACAAACTGTCCACCCGGGCTTTTGTGCTGCACAGACGCTTCGCTGCCTATGACTAAACGTCAGTTGAGAGTCAGTCTCATGCAGACTGACCAATGAAGAGAGGGCCTCAAGTTAAGACCCTCTCCTCATTGGTCAGTCCACACAAGGTGGGTCAAAGGTTACCCTGAGCGGGTTACGTGATGTCAGGCATTCAAGCATTGAGTATATTTACTGCATATTACAGTAAAATATTCTGTATGTGACCATATTATGGTGATCCTTGGGTCGTGATGATGGGGCCCTTGAATATTGTTGCCCAGGGTACAACGAAGTCTTAATCTGGCCCTGGATGCAGCTAAATGTGCAAAAATGAGCACCTTTTTTTCTCAAACAAGCTTGCGGTCTTTAACTTCAAATGAAGATAAAACGGGTAAGGCAAGTCAAGATGTTAAACTTTACCGGCTGCAAATCACCATTCAAGTTAATTAAGCATCAATAATGAATTATATGGCATCATGACATAACGTTATGTAATATAATTTACAGTATGATGTGACTGATGCCACCAAACTGTCTTGTCAGAGTCAAACACAAGATCCTGTAGGCCTAATAAGCACCAGGCAGAAACCCACAATTCCAGAGCGGGCATGTACTGGTAGGATTACTTATTGAGTCAGTGAACTGAATATTATTGAAATTTATATGATGAAAACTATCCTGGCTCTATATGAAAGTGTTCTAAAATGCTAGATGATTCAGCATTGATCAGAAAGCATGTAAAAAAGGAAAATGAATGCTGAATTGTGACAATTTTCACACAATGTAGTGTCAGAAGAAGAGCCAGGAGCCAGCAGTGAGGGTATTGCTCCTGTTGGGATAGAAGGTGAGCCAACTCATGTGCAAACAAGCAAACATCAGTTTCATTATAATAATTTTAATGCCCAAATAATAGTAGTGACCTGATGTATTTCTGTTAGTAAATGCACAAAGCCCACAACAGATCGTTATTAGAATGAAAGTAAAATTAAATAAGCCTGCATATTTTGCCATAGAAAATATTTTAATTGGTTACAAAGATGTGTTTTCCATATCAAATGTGCCAAAGCTTTACAGATGATTATTTTAATTGTGTGCAGGTGAGTCTAGGGAAACTGGAAAAAGTGTGAAAGGGAGTGCTGAGTCATTTCATTTTAAAGGTTTGAAAATCTCAGAACAGCTGTTTGAACAGAATGTAGATTGCTATATTGTTAGAGAATGTGTTGTAAAGAACAATGTTGGAGATGTGCACTGATGTTCAAATAAACCTACATTGTAAAGCAACTCTTTCTTGCTTTACAATTACAAGGCTTTACCGAGTAGTGTGCTTTTGTAGACTATACATATAAAGTTCTAACATGATTTTAATAATAATTCGTTAAGTGGGCCGGTCTGGGGTCTGAAACTCCAGGGCTGAAAATGTGTCCCACTCCGGCCCTGCATGAAGCAGCCTGCTCGACCCGAGCAGCTCTCTTTTTCTGTGATTTTACAGAAAAACAGGCAATCACAGTAAAAATGCCAGGGCTCATTCTACAGGACCAGGGCATTGCAGGAGAATGTATGAAGAAGACATTTATTATTTCTATACATGTTTTGGCTGTCAAACTTCCATAATGCCCCTTTAAAATGTTTGAACCAGGCTGGAAACATGTTTAGTTCTGCAGTGAAGTTGGTATATGGGAGGCAGTGAGAACTTTCTCTGTTTTGGAGACATCACCTAGTGGATAAAGGGGGAACTGCAAAGAAACACCCACACACTCCTTTGTGAGCTTTGGGAGTGTCCATTCGCCACTTGCGAATGAGCGCCAGAGGAGCCGCACACAGTAAGTTGATAGGTTGATAAATGAATTTCACTGTGAAATAAAGAGTTTTTGGTAATTGAAAAAGTAGCTTTTAGATATTTTGAGCTGACAATTTTTTTCTAATTACTGTTAGCATTGTTGGCTCAGCATTAGCCTCTAGTCTACTTTTCCCAATATTAAAGTAGGACAAAAAAAGTTTTATTTTCTTTTGCTCACATGTTTTTGCTTCTTTCTTTTACTTCTTGGCCGCTCCTTTTAATGGCTTCCATTATGTCCCCAACGCTGTTTCTTTCTTTTTTTATCCAATGTCAAAATACAAATGCCAGCGCAGTATTTTGCTGTTAAAGACTTGGAAACCTTGTTATTGGACAGATTGTAAACAGTGACTGCATCCCTCTTTGGTCTTTTTAAAAGAAAAGAAGCTGGCAACCACCCAGCCGGCTGAGAAGGAAATCTGTTCAATGTAACCCTCCTTCCAGCATGATTGAGACATTACACTGTTTTGTGAGTATTTCACTGTAATATTCTTACTTATCACACCTTTAGTGTTAAAATGTTTTATAACTTGTTAAACACATTTGTAACTTTAGTTTTACCATGTAAGTGTATTCCTGTGTGTGTGCATAACAAATGTGTCAGTACCATAACATCCAATGTAATAGCTTCAGGCTGACTATTATTCAAAGGCTCCATGCCAGGTCCCATGGCAAAAACCCTGTATTGTACTGAGAGAGAGAGAGAGAGAGAGAGAGAGAGAGAGAGAGAGAGAGAGAGAGAGAGAGAGAGAGAGAGAGAGAGAGAGAGAGAGAGAGAGAGAGAGAGAGAGAGAGAGAGAGAGAGAGAGAGAGAGAGAGAGAGAGAGCATAAAAGTAAGCTCTGACAGGAAATCTCATGACTACTTTTAGCCATCCTGCATTTTGCTAAATACCACACAAATGATAGCAGTTAATACTGAAATGCACAAAGAATCAATGTTAAATTTGGTCTTTTACTTTTTCATATCTATCAAATCCCCTCATTTTGGGTTTCTATCACACTGATCTTTAGTTAATATCACACTTGATGAAGTAGCCTCACCAAGAGTGCCGGGGTTGTAGATGGGCTTGTCGGTCTGAATGAAAATGAAGCCAGACTGGAAGGAAACTAGAACATATGTTTCAAGAGTTGTGCCTGTGCTGAACTCTGCTTGAAGGGAAACCTTGTTTGCCCTGGAATTGATGAACTCTGCAGCAGGGATCTGAAAAAGAGGCAGTGTAGGCAATGAAAAAGTACTTGGTTAAATACAAGGTACACGTTATTTAAAGTTGTTGAATGTTGTAACGTTGCAGTGGTCTCTAGAAAGAACGAATGCCCTGTCAGTCGTGGAAAGAAAACACTGATGCACCATTTTAAGGAATTAGAAGGGAGCCACATCACAGCTGAGCTTCAGACAGCAGGTTTTGGAGTCTTATTTCCTGAGATTTTCCTGATATCTTGCATCTGATTGGATAATAACGTGACTCTACCACCGACGTGCAGCATCAATGTTTTGTCTCCACAAGTAACACAAGTCTGGAGGAGTTCTGCTGTGTGGTGGGGTTGCTAATGCTAATCATTTTTTAAGTTCTTTTTTTAAGCACAGCAAAGTTTTTTTTACCTTGCTAACAGTTTTGATCGCTCCTGCGATCTTCTGTTCTTCTGTTTAAAAAAAGAACTTTAAAAAGCGTTGAGAAGACAAACACAGACTGAATATACAAAAGATGCTAATGCTAATGTTAGCCTCTATTTGTTGAGACACTCTTTGCTGTTTCCTGGATGCTAAACCAACAACAGCCTTTACCGTTGCGATGGGTAAGTCCATGTTAAGTGATCAGTCATGCTTTTCAAATCCAAGAGTTTCACCATCTATTTTCTATCATAAACTAATGCAGGAGATAGATGTAGGAGACTATTTTCATGTTCAGCCTGCATGAAAAAGTCGGAGTGATCGATTATAATCAGAAATAAGATTTTTAAAATGATTTCTCAGATTTCCACATCTTAAAATACAAAGTAACATGATTAAAAGAGGTTATAAGAGGCTAAGCTGACTCTTTCAACGGATAAGACTGCAGTCAGTGCTTTTACTAAGCTGGTCATCAACTCAGGATCTCACCCAAGAATATCTGACTCTGGGATATCAGCGCGTATTCAGAAGAAGAAAGAATTTTTTATATAGTGCCTCTCAAGATGAAAATCATGAGACGCTTGTTGATTTATCAGAAAATCAAACAAGACACACAATCATTTCAAGTATTATAATTTTCTGACATCCAACACACACACACACACACACACATTATAGCTGGGCATTATAGTTTTAAAATAAAATCTCACAATTTTTTCATTCCAAATTTGATTTTTAATTACATTTAGTTTTTTTCCCCTTTCCTTTCTTAAGCAAAAATTGGAAATGACAGAATTTATTTTAAAAACCCTGCTGAAGCCAGTGATGCCAACTTTCTCTGACAGAAAGTAGCTGAAGTTGACCCAGATATTTGCCAGATGTTGCCTGACAACACATGCTAATTAGCATTTTGATTGTGTGTGTGTGTGTGTGTGTGTGTGTGTGTGTGTGTGTGTGTGTGTGTGTGTGTGTGTGTGTGTGTGTGTGTGTGTGTGTGTGTGTGTGTGTGAAGAGCAACAACAGCAGTATTTTACCGTGACCCTCCCAAAATCCTGGAAATTTTTGTCCTTTCTTAGTGTCACAGTTGTGGATGCCAGAGTTCTGGTTTTGGTTGGGAAATTCTTCACATGGATGGTAACGGTGACATCATTACTTCCCCCAAAGTCCTGGATCTCTACAAAAATATTTTCTTCTGTTCCCACTCTCAGTAAGTTAGGAGCAGACATCACAGGCCTGGAGAAAGGAGCACAAACAAGGTTAATACTTCTGCTTGTAGTGAATGGTTGCTGTTTTTGAGATGTTTTACAAACTCATGTTAACTAAAGAGTTCATGCAAAAATATATAACTTTTTTTAATGCATCTTTTTACTATTTATTTCAAAAATACATTAGTCCAAATGTTTGGTCATTTTGATGAAAATTTGCTTTTTCTATTTTTGCAATTAACTCTTAAAATGTATCCATTATACACTTCAGCATTTATAAACATTTACCAGTGAGTGACCTGTGGCTTACCTAAAACAGCAGCTAGAGTGGGTCAATAAACCCTTTTTGCTTGCTTTACTGGAATCTGTTTGTTGTTTGTGGCGCAATGCACCTCTAAGCAAACTCCAAATGTGTCCAAATTTACTGGAATTTGAAGGATCAAAGTCTTTCTCCTATTTGCTAAAATCATTTCTCAAATATCCTCCCAAAAAATCTTGATCTGTTGCGAAATTTGATTAGTTGAACTAATACGCTCAGAATGACGTGGGATTCTAAAATGCATTCGAGCCTTATTTAAGTTAATCACCTGCTTTATATATTTATTTTTACAGAGAAGAGGCATGTCAGCCATACTAGTTTAGACAATAATGGTGTCTCTTTTAAAGTGAGTGAATGATGATGTGGTACAACAGAGCTCACTCCTGGTCCTGGAGAGCCAGCATTTAACGTGTTTAGTTTTAACTCTGCTTCAACACACCTGATGTCAATCAGCAGCTTCTGAAGAGCCTGATTTTCTGCTGCACAGGTGATTCAACCACTGCATTATGTGTTAAGGAATATGGTCAAAACTGATACATTTCATGGGCTCTACATGATGACGGCAGGGCTTATTTTGAGCCGGATCTTGTGGGAACAAGATCCGGGAACTATTTTATTTTGAAAGGACCATTCCGGCAACCGTCTGCTAGGATCCGGCAACTCACGCGGCAAACTTGACATCAGTATTTGCGTTCCGGGAACGTTTGATTTACAAATTAAGCACTGGACGACGGGTTAATGCATTAAGTTAAAAGTGAAGCTGCTGAGGGCTGCGGCTTTTCTTGGTGCTGACTGCAGAAAGTTTCATATCCTTCTCAACAGAACTTCCTCATAATTCCAGATAACAAATTAGTACACAAAACTGTACACACAAGCACTTTGCAAACACACGAGCACGTTCACATGAGAAGGAAGGCCATGCGGACAGAGGCCTAAAATCAATAACACAACCTGCTACTTTGAGGCCTCTTTTTTGTAGAGCATAAAAAACTCTGAGACATGCAGGTATCCAGCGTCTTCTTCTCATGTTTTCAGTGTGCATGTTTGACTATTTTTACTGCTGGCTGCAAAACAAATTGCCCCAAAGGGACAAAAAAGACTTCTTGAATCCTCAATGCCGAGGATGTTGAGGAAGGACATGTTGAGAGGAGGAAGACATTAGCAGGATTTTGTGTAAAGGTCTTTTTTTTAAACCTTAAACTGCATAAGCTTTAAAGCTGTCCCCACCTTATCCCACCATTGGTTAGTCAGCCGAATAGTTCCTTCCTAGTTGGAAATGAACACACGAGTGCATCATGTTCCACCATCATATTCACTAAACACAAGTGATTTCTCATTAAGTACCAGCGAGGGTCTGAAGGTTTTTCCAAGGTTAATCAGTGAGTGGCAAATGTAGGAAACAAAACAAAACAGAAGAGGTGCAATTTCTACTTTGAAAATAAAAAAATTAATGGCACACAGGTAAATTGAAATGTCAGTATATTAGAAAATTTACAAAAGACACCATTCTTGAATAAATCTCGTTGGCTTTAATCGTGTCACACAATATATGATGTTTATAATACATAGAATGATTTCCACAGGGTAAAAAGTGTCCTTTTTATTCATTTTACAGAGCCAAGAAAAGTGAAGGTGTGCAGAAATATGCAAGTTTTTCTGCAAGCGCTAAAAACATTATCAGTGATTTTTAGTTGTTGTCATCAATGGGAAAAAATAGCTTTTAATGGATTATTTTTTTGTAAATGAAGTATTCACACATTTTACCCAAAATGATCAATGTTAGACACTAATGTGTTAATATGAGGTAAGGAGCATTTACTTACTGAGGTGATCCTGCAGATGTGGGAATCTGACAGAAAGCTGCCAGAATAGAAATCAGCCACAGCTGGAGCCAGCACATCCTCCTAATTGACCCCATGTCTGCTGTTTTTGCTTCATCTGAGTCTTTTCCTCTCTTTTATACGCCACAAGAAAGTTGGGAAATTATCTGCTTTAATCTCATCCAAAAAAAAGAACGGTTTCTGCACCTATGTTGACTCTGCTTGTTTTGATCCCACATCTCTGTGTTGCAATTTGCAGCTGAGTACACACACCCCTAAAAAAGTGACACGGTTTACCGGCATTGGAAGTCCGAAAGGTTTACCGACACTCGAAGTCCAAAAGTACATTGATGGGTAAATATGTGATAAATAAACGTTCATAACGTTTATTCCAGGTAGATCTGGACTTACTTAAGTTCAGTGCATTTTGTACGCAGCACTATGGTACATTGCATGATTAGACGCGTATGTCAGTGGCCAGGGCAGCAAACCGCAGGGGTTTAAAGAAGACATGGGGCAGTGTGGAATTCTGGCTCTCTGGGATATCTCTTGAACAAGCTTCTCTTCAGATCAGCAGTGTTCTAAACAGTGGTGATGGCAATTTAAACTGTGGGAATTTAATACCATTCACTTTATGCAGCATTGCACTTAAATAACAACTAAGAGGATTTTTGCTCGGAAGACAGCGAATCACGGGACAGCCTGCTGCAAATGGGGAGGGGTTGCAAAGCTATGGAGAGCCTAAGGCCCTGTCCACACGTAGCCGGGGATCTGCCAAAACGTAGATATTTTTCTACGTTTTGGCCTGTCATCCACACGAAAACTGAGTTTTTTCACACGAAAACGGACCTTTTTAAAAACTCCGGCCAAAGTGAAGATCTGCGTTTTCTCCGTTTTGGGTGTCTGCGTGTGGACAGACAAAACCGGAGTTTTAAGGTCCGCAACGTCACTTTCCGCGACAGAAAAATGCTGACATCACGTGTGCGACCTGTGTTTACACTAGCCGATAGCATGGATGCCCTCAGAGCTGCGCTCGCTTTATCAATGGTCCAAGCGCTTTTTGCTTGTTTGTTTTTGCAAGCGGAATTACTGCTCCTTGCGGAAGACCACAGACGAAGGACGAGGTTAAGAACGGGGGAAGTACTGCCACCTACAGGTCTGGCATGTCCTTAACAACGTATTTATCCGGGTACGTGTGGACAGAGTTTTTTTTTAAACGAGGTGGTGTGGATGCAAGTTTTTGGAGGGGCGGATATTCGTTTTTAAAAAACCCCAGCTATGTGTGGACTAGGCCTAAGTCACGCCCAGGAGTCACGCTCATCTACCATTGGCCCCCAACTGCCCAAAAAATGAATTCTGAATCTATTAGAGAATAAACTTTATTTTCTGATCCCATTTAATATGTGCCATATAATGTTCAAGATTTTAAAAGACACATATTGATTCCAAGAAAGCAGTCATTTTAGAACGACAGCAAAAGTTATTTTAGATTTTGTGTGAAGAGACGTGTAGGACTACAAATGTTCACATCATCACATTGACCCTAACCAATCGAACCAGACACAGAGAAGAGGAGAAGATTAGTTTAGTGAGCTTCAAATCCTTCTAGGACAAAAGGAGAATCAAACGTGGAGAAAACCACCATCAATCTGGCCATGTGTTAAGTAGCAGCTATGCTAGGGATAAAGAGGTTCTGTGTGATGTCATCAGCAACATCTGATTTGTAGTCACTTTCCTTAAAAGTTTTTAAGAGCTAAGAAATAACATTAAATTATGTGACATAGACAAAACACACTTTGTTACTTTTCATTTAAATTGAAGTGCAACATTTGTGTGATTCAGGGTGCGAGGCAAAGCGGATTAGAAATTAGCTTTTTAAGCCCAATTCACTTTGATTCAATTCTCTGTACATTTACAGACTATACATAAGTACTTGATCGTTCATTAATGTGCATTGTCCCAAAAAAAGAAATAATTATGTGCTTTGTGAGTTGTGATTTGAAACTTGCACACAGAATTTTTTTTAGGACTGCAAGTTACAAAAGTTTAATTTACTAATCGAGAATTACATGCTACAAAACAAAAGTTACACTTGCAAAGCACGTTACAAGTTACAAAACATGGTACAAGTTACATGTAATATTGCCCCATTTCTAGCTCCATAGCGAACATACTAACTCCACTCAGAAAGGAAGCTGTCGAGATGTGAACCAGCAACCTTGCAGCAATGCAGCAACGCACAGTGCCACCTAGCTCGACTTCCATCAGCTGTTCTGTATGTTAGTTCTCTTACTGTGCACGTAGTGAAGAATTTTGGAATAGCATTTAATTAAGAAATTTGAGTTCATTCGCTTTTAACAATTTATAACAAAGTCTGACTGCTGGAAGCAACATATGAAGAAATAAGTGGTGATTTACATTTTTGTACAGCTTTAAAATGTACATTTATCTGTTCAGATGGATTCAATGGCATTCATATTATGTTTCTTAGTATAAAAAACCCAAAACAATTTCTTCAAAGCAGCAGTCAGGTCATGTTAGTGATGAGAGAAATTTGAAGGCCTGTCAGACATCCTGATGACGTCAATCAGCGGTAGAATCATCACATGGTTTTTGTTCTGGAGTGGATCATCTTCATGTCTGTAACTCGGTATTTGAGCTTCTAGCCAAGGAGCCGAAGGGCGTCTCCTGTTTAGGAAAGTCCCTGCATGAAGGATACCATTTCACCAGAGGTGTCAAAAGTTTTCAGTTTAACTACACAAGTGTAGATACTAACTTTTAAAAGACTTCTGTAAACGTGAAAGTATAAATTTGAGCTTTCTACTCAAGTAAAAGTAAAAAGTACTTATTTGTAAAACTACTTAAAGCATAAAAGTAAATGTTATGCAAGTTTGTACTTTGACACCTTTGCTATTCACTCGTGATTACTCATCATTCATCACCAAAACATCTCAGTAGCAGCCTTAAAATCTGTATTTATTTCACTCACTTTACAAGATACACTGGTTTAAGTGCTTGTTAACAAGATTATCTGATCATCCACTGTCAGTCATATCAATCATTTAATCTCCAGAAATCACACAGAAACACATTAGAGTTCATTTTATAATCAAAACGCTTTATTTACAATTATACAAAATCTAATCTGAAAAACGATGAATACTCAACTTGCTTTGCCTGCTTGCAACTTTAAATTACATGAAACGGCAACTTTTTCACAGTGGGCCTCTGAGATTTATTCATTTTTCATTATTATTACTTTTGACATTTTTGCCAAAAATCTAGAGAAATCAGACGACTGACATGGGAAGCTAAGAGGTGTCGCCACCCAGTGCCGAAAAGCTTTAAAAGCATGAGTGTGCTGGAACACGCAGATAAAAAAAGTAATAAAATAAATAAACCAAGCCCACCTTCATGCTCTGCTTCCTTCTTATGACACTGAAAGGTCTGCAGCTGCAGTTATTGAGAAATCAAACAACTTCTGCATGTTGTAACTCCTCTATCTGTTTTCATTATAAGACTTAGTCAAATGAAAACTTTTCATACCATTAGATATAAACATTAAAATAAAGTCAGCAGCCAGTGGAGTCAGACACTTTTCCTGCAGGATAGTCGTGCATTCAATCTTTTCAGTCTCTGCAGGGATCTGCATCTAAATTCGCAATACAAACAATAACAATCAAGAGAACACAGGTTAATATTTCTTATCACACACTGACTTTACAATGAACAGTCTGTCTCCTTTATCGTCGACGCTTGTGCAAAACAGAACTGTGATCCTTTTAGTAAAAACAGTGACGAATCAGTAAATGATTATTCCATTAAAGGTTTTTTAATTCCTCCCACTGTCTTTACGGGTGACCCCGCGAGGAAAGTTGACCATTGAGCAGGGTTGATGGTTTATCCCTTGAGGTCCACGTGGCAGGGATGAGGTGGTGCTCACTCCTCACCCCTGCCACGTGGACCTCAAGGGATAAACCATCAACCCTGCTCAATGGTCAACTTTCCTCGCGGAGTCACACCCATTAGGACAGTGGGAGGGTTAATCCCTCTGTTTTGGGTCAAAGGTTGCTGAAGAGCTCTTTTTTACTGCTCCAGTCCATAGGGGGAGCTCTCTTCTTGTTGCGTGTGGCGAGGACCTTTTGTTTAGCCTCAGCAGCCGTAGGACTCAGGCGAAGACCACTTTCCATGAAAGGGTCTGAAATACGTCGGTCATCTTCATCAGGAACCTGCGCAGCAAATAAATGCACGGATTAATACTCCCACAAGTATTGAATCCTTAGAGGTTTGTTACTTTTTGGCTTTTTTGACACGCTCAAATGTTTCACATCAGCAAAAACAATTGTTTTATTTCAGACACATTGGAGGGTTTTCCAGCATGAATGGCCTCTTTAAGGTCAAAGGTCAGAATCATCCTTAAGGGTTTGTTGCAGGAAAGCAGAATTCATGGTTTCATCAAAAACAGGAAGTTGTCCTGAAATTTGACTACTACTATGGTGGTTAAAGAGACAATGTGTAGTTTTTACCATTAATTTCTGGAAATATCCATCAGAATGTTGAACATGAATGAAATGATGCCCAGTTGTTGAAAAAAAAATGGCGACTTTGTAACATCTAACCATAAAAATCAGGTATAAAATACATGGTAGTGGGTCCAAGTCTCAGGGCGACGCCATATTATATGCCGTGTTTCCTTCTATGGGAGCCCATGAGGACAAACTGTATTTACTGATTTTTAACAAACTTTCATCATTCTTAAATGTTGTCGTTTTACTCATTTACCTCTTCACTTGTTGACAGTGATGAAAGGTAGTATGATGTGCTTGTTATTTTGCTAAAGTTTGCACTCCCTAAGGCTTTTTGACCCTAATGGACATCTGTTGTTGAGGTCTTACTCCAACAGAAAAATACAGTTTTAGGTATACGGTGTCACACCCTGTCCTGTCTTCTCCTAGGTTGTAGTCTGTGTCTCCGTTAATTGCTCCCACCTGCCTCTTGTTTCCCAATCACCATAGCTCCTGTTCCTCATGTATTTAAACCCCTGCTGTTCTGTGTTCCTGGTGGTGTCATTGTTCCAGTGTCAGCGTGCTTAATAAACCCATGTTAAGATATCCTACCTGCCTGCCTGTTTCCTCCCCGGTCTGGATCCACGCCTTTCCTCCGCTCCACTCCGCGCACGTCGTGACAGAATGACACCACCCAAACCCGTTGATGGATCCAGCCGGGAGATTCTGCCCTGGGAGAACCTGCTCCAGTGGCTCACGTCCGACCACCGGCCAGCTTCTCCATCTCCTTCTGCCCCAGCTCCGCCTCGCCGCCGCTGGCGTCGCCGACCTTCGGCCGCAGCGTTCCTCCCTGTCCTCCCGGAACCGGAGGCATGTTTGGACCGGGAGCCGCTGCCAGATCGCTCCAGCTATGAGGGCACGGGGCTGGCGATCTGTTCCCCCGGAGTCGGTCCACGGCGTGGGGAGAGACGCCGGAAGCCACCACAGCCCAGCGCTTCTGGACGGAGCTTCGAGCCCGCCGCTGGCCGTGCCCGGCGCGGCAGTTCGGACACGCCCCCGGCCAGACCACCAGTCCCGTCTCCTGCCGAACTGGAGCCCCCGTCGGTTGCAGAGGAAGGAGCAGCAATCGCGGCCCGGCTGATGGAGCAACGGGCGGAGCTCGGCGGTTCCGCGAGCTCCTCAGCCGCAAGGAGTCTCACCTGGACACCCTATCCTCCTCGTCCCAGGGCCAGAGGAGCGAGCGCGGGGTTCCCCCAGCGGAGCTCGCCGGTCAGCGGGCTGAGCTGGCCCAGCTCCGTTGGACGCTCAGCCTCAGGGAGCTACAGCTGGACGAGCTGACCTCCCACCTCTCCTCAACGCTCCAAGCCCTCCTAGCAGCGGCTCTGCCACCGGCCCAGAAGCAGACGGCACCGGCCCATAAGCCGACGGAGCGGGCCGAGAGACGGAGGGTACCGTCCCGGAAGCAGATGGAGCCGGATCCGGTCCAAAACTCGGCGGTCCAGAAGTCGAGGGACCAGAAGCCGACTCCTCCGGGCCAGAAGCAGACGGTTCCGGTTCCGGTCCAGAGGCCAGCGGTCCAGAGGTCGACGGTCCGAAAATCGAAGGACCAGAAGTCGACGCCCCTGGACCCGAAGTCGATGGTGGTCGACGCCCCTTCCTGTTCTGAAGTCGACGCCCCTTCCTGTTCTGAAGTCGTCGCCCCTGATGACGACGTGTCCGAAGTCGTCGCCCCTGATGACGACGTGTCCGAAGTCGTCGCCCCTGATGACGACGTGTCCGAAGTCGTCGCCCCTGACGACGACGTGTCCGAAGTCGTCGCCCCTGATGACGACGTGTCCGAAGTCGTCGCCTCCTCTTCTGATGACGACGTGTCCGATGTCGTCGCCTCCTCTTCTGATGACGTCCCGTCTGATGACGTCGCCTCCTCTTCTGATGACGTCCCGTCTGATGACGTCGCCTCCTCTTCTGATGACGTCCCGTCTGATGACGTCGCCTCCTCTTCTGATGACGTCCCGTCTGATGACGTCGCCTCCTCTTCTGATGACGTCCCGTCCGATGACGTCGCCTCCTCTTCTGATGACGTCCCGTCCGATGACGTCGCCTCCTCTTCTGATGACGTCCCGTCTGATGACGTCGCCTCCTCCTCTGATGACGTCGCCGTCACCTCTGAAGTCGGCTCGTCTGATGACGTCGTCGCCGTCACCTCTGAAGTCGGCTAGTCTGATGACGTCGCCGCCGTCTCGTCGTCTGAAGTCGGCTCGTCTGATGACGACGCCGCCGTCTCGTCGTCTGAAGTCGGCTCGTCTGATGACGCCGCCGCCGCCTCGTCCTCTGAAGTCAGCTCGTCTGATGACGTCGCCATCGCCTCGTCCTCTGAAGTCGGCTCGTCCGATGACGTCGCCGTCTCGTCTGGGGATGCTCTTTGCACTCAAGAGGCCGACGCTCCGTCCAGCCCGGCGTCTCCACGGTCTCCAGTTCCGATGGTGGTTTTGAGGGCAACGCCGGTCCAGCCTGCAGTGACTTTGTCGCCGGCCCAGCCTGCAGTGACTTTGTCGCCGGCCCAGCCTGCAGAGCTCCTACTCTGCCGCAGGCGCCGGCCTCCAGAGGCCCGTCGCCTCCTCTTCTGCAGCAGGCGCCGGCTTCCAAGGACCCGTTGCCTCCTCTGCCGCAGGCGCCGGCCTCCAGAGGCCCGTCGCCTCCTCTTCTGCCGCAGGCGCCGGCCTCCAAGGGCCCGTCGCCTCCTCATCTGCCGCAGGCGCCGGCCTCCAAGGGCCCGTCGCCTCATCTGCCGCAGGCGCCGGCACCCGGACTCTGCCGTTCCCTGCCGCCTCTCCATCGTCCTCTGGGCCCTCCCTCCGGGTCCCCCTCCCCCCGCCCTGCTCCTGGTTCCTGTGGGCGTCTGGGATCCGCCCTTTGAGGGGGGGGTACTGTCACACCCTGTCCTGTCTTCTCCTAGGTTGTAGTCTGTGTCTCCGTTAATTGCTCCCACCTGCCTCTTGTTTCCCAATCACCATAGCTCCTGTTCCTCATGTATTTAAACCCCTGCTGTTCTGTGTTCCTGGTGGTGTCATTGTTCCAGTGTCAGCGTGCTTAATAAACCCATGTTAAGATATCCTACCTGCCTGCCTGTTTCCTCCCCGGTCTGGATCCACGCCTTTCCTCCGCTCCACTCCGCGCACGTCGTGACATACGGCCCCTATCGCCAGAAAAAATACACACTGTCACTTTAAGTTTTACTCCAGGTGGAATGGGATTCACGCCTTCCAGAAACTTCCCCTTTTGTCTCATTCATCAAAAGAATATTTTCCCAACAGAGATGGGTCTTTGTGCTCATTTTGGTCATCAGAGGTGGAAATGTCCCATGATGCTCCCGGTCTCTTCCTTATTTTTTAATCATGAACTCTGACCTGAGCCAGTTTAGACCTGCTTCCTTTAGATGTTCAAGTGGGGTTTTTCCTTTTGCTCTTGAATTTATTTAGAACAAGGCCAGATTTGTCTTTCAGCCGACTTCCTGTTTCCATTCAAATCATCAGTCCTGAGTGTGGCTGGTGCAGCTGAACTCAGCTTTCCACGTGATGTAATTAATCACATTTAATTTCACAATTTAAAGCGCTCATTCATTTGTTATTTAAATACATCTGGTCTTCAGTACAAACAATTGCCTCATGAGCATACATAGACGGAACCTTCATGGGATAAACTGAGGGTTTCTGAAAAGCTGAATTGAAGCTCAGTGGGCGGTTCCCACCATCATCATCCTGGCCACTTCACGTGTCTTTACTGTCCCGGAAAATACAAAAATAGGCAAATAGTTGGGGGTGACAGTGGGCCAGTGAGGATGGGGGCAGATGATTGACACCCATTAAACTCTGAGCTGATGTAGCTACAAGCTACCTGAGCTAACCTGAAGCTACCCTTCTGAAAAACAAGCATATGTTGTGTTTTCAATGTTGGTATGCTAGCTCAGCATGCTGTTAGTTGGATTCTGGAACAGCACGCAAGACCAGCATTCCATCCTGAACCAGAATCCAATTAACAGCATCCCATGCTGGACTAGCATTATATGCTGAATCAGCATACCAGCATCCAAAACACAACATATGCAGGTTTTTTTTCAGCAGGGTAATGAAAACTAATCAAGGTTGGTGGACATTTTCAGCCATAAAACCACAGTTGTGCGACCCTGCCTCCCTCTGGCTTCTATGAGGCAGAGACTGAGGCCTTTCCTGGAGCAAGCAGGGGGCAAGCCACTAGCGCTAGCACTGACGACTCATTACACACACGTCAATCAAAAATGGTAAAAAGTAAATGGCCTGTATTAGTATTGCACCTTCTTAGGGTTCTACCCCCCCCCCCCCCCCCCCCCCGGCGCTTCACAATACATTCAGTCATTCACTCATCAACCCACTCATTCACACGCTCACTCACTCACAGAAGCTTTTTTTATCACTTCTGTGTTGGTTTTACTTTTGGCAGGTGCAGAGTCCCCATTCTTTGGGGGGGGGGGGGAGCTCTGGCGCCCCTGTTTTCAGGACGATGGAGCCAGAAAACAGAAGGATTTGAATCTTACTCATTATTATTCATGATATTCAGACATCTCCCTTCTGATTGGCTAATAACTACTTGACTCTTCCAATTCCTCCATTCACTCTGCAATGTTGATGTCCACAAATAACACAAGCATGAACGAGTTCTGCCCTGTTGTGAAGTAGCTAATGCTAATACTTAGCTACCACTAGCCCAAATGTGCTCTGCCCTCTCCCGGCTGCAAAAGTCAACAGTCTTCCCTGGTCATGAGCCAAGGTAGCGGAGTCCATAATCAAACAGACCATTGGTTTAACTCTATGTTACCATCAAGATTGAAACTTGTTTGTTGATCTAAAATTTTAAGTGACAAAAAAGCAAAATCAAAATAGGTAATTATTTTTTTCACAGCACTGCACCTTCCATTCTCATTTTTTTGTGTCGTAATATTTTTTTCTCCCACCTGGAAGCTCATATCTGAGCTGCTGATCTCTGACTGGGTGGTGGAACTTCTGGAAGACTGGGAAGCTGTGCTCCCATTGGCCCGGGACTTTGGAGAAAGGTTTGTGATCGTGGCGTCTGTCAGAGTGACATTTACAATTGGTGCTTCGGTGGAGGGCAGCTCGATGGTTGGAGAGGGAGTGGATGGGGAGCTTTCTGCAGTTTGCTCATCCACATACATCTCTGAATAAAAAAAACACAGTTAAACATCGCCTCGGAAGTGATGAGAGCAGCGTGTGTATCCGACTAAATGCTGTTTGACCTTTAATGTGAGCAATGGTAGGGATAATTCCCAGTGTGTGGAACAGTTCATCTGTCTCCTGATTGACCACTAGAAGGTGGACTTCCTCTTTCCTGGATTTGATAAGCGCCACCACCTGGGAGTGCTTCAACCCTCCTGTGTTCACTCCATTTACCTGAGAGATTAGAGAAGCAAAAGTTAAAGATAGAAAAAAAAACAGACTTCTTCCATGAGAGGCAGGTTGTGAGCTGCATTGTTTATCTCAATTAAAAAAAACAGATATAAGCTATGATGTGAAGAGGAACTAATTTGCATGAATTCTCTTCCTGCTCCAGCCCTCTCACACACCATTACACAGAAATGGAAACAGTAGAACAAGTGTGCAGGAGAAAGCATCCTCAGATCTGTGGCATACAAGCAAAAGTCTACATGGAGGTTGGAATTTGTCTTATGAACCTCTTTTTTCAACAGAGTAACATGTTTTCCTTCTCGTCTTTATATAAACTAATTTTATCTGCCTCAAGCCTTACATGGGACATACCGGTAATATGATTGTTTACAAAATTCAATGATTGATACGAAATATGTTCATTATGTTCTTTGCACTAAATACCTCTCACATAAAGCAATTCCAGTGATTTTATTCTTGACAGTTTCAGTACCTTCTAGAATGAGTCATTTCAGAGCTCTGTCACTTTAAGAAAAACTATTGCTGGTCATGCCCACCCATTCCTTCAGGCTGCTAAAAGCTGAGAAGCTCTAATTTGGGGGGGGGGGGGGGGGGGTCCTCCAGCAGCTCCAGCTCTCTCTTGCATATGAGTGGTGGTTCTATTTTACTTTCCCCATTTGTGATGTCACAAAAGGTGCATAATTCCTAAAACCAAACACTGACAGAAAATTAATGGGAGGTTTTATTAGTTGTACCTCCACTATTCTGTCTCCAGGCCGAACTCCAGCTCTATCAGCTGGTGAGTCGGGGTCCACGGCACGCACAAACTGCCCGCCTTTCTTTTTGTCGTTTTGCAGGTTGAAACCGTAGCCATGCTCCTCCTTCACCAGGTGACACAGACGAGGAAGGAGCTCATCTGTCGGCTCTGGCGAAGGCCCCATCTGTAGCTGGAAACAGAGACGAGATGACAGCAAAGATGAGGAGTTTCCTGAAAAACTGAATTCTGAGATTAACTTTTCTGTGCACGAAGGTTTATTAAGGTTGAGCTCTATTTTGACTCTTTGCATGCTGGATTTTCTTTTAAAAATCTGTTTATTTGCTCTTTGAGTCATGCAGACAACATAATTATGGCCTTAAACAACATGTCCTTTACACACACACACACACACACACACACACACACACACACACACACACACACACACACACACACACACACACACACACACACACACACACACACACACACAGAGAGAGAGATTTCCTTACAAGGCTGTTGTCTCAGACTGAAAAAGACTGCGTAGGTTGGGGCTGGGCACAAATTCCATGTGCCATATCATTTTCCAGTATGATTGTTTCATGACAATACCATTGTATCATATAATCTATCCGCAAACCTCTGTTTGTGTAATTAGGTTAGCAAAGTCACTTAGTGAAAATACATTCACCAGTGTTGACGTGTCTCATTGATTTACGTATATAGCAGAGATGTGACCAGGTCACTGCTTTGCAAGTCACAAGTAAGTCACAAGTCTTTCCAGTCAAGTCTCGAGTCAAGTCCAAGTCAAAGACAATCAAGTCCAAGTCGAGTCCAAAGTCAATGATGTGGAGGTCCAAGTAAAGTCCAAGTCATTTTCAAGTCATAATCAAGTAATCTGTCCAACTTCTGTTTAATGGCAATAATAAATAAATTCCAGAAATAAAGCTTCTTAAAGCTTCATTAATTTGCTCAAACAAGCAGAAAGTGCAACAGAAACTGATTAAACAAAGTGCTGCTGCATTTAGCGGTACAAGATCAAACCCAGAACGAAGAATGATTTCTGATTTCTGTCCATGTTGGGCCAATTTTGTGCTGAAATATCAAATATGCTCAAATCATCATCAAGTCAACAGATGCAAGTCGATTCAAGTCACAAGTCATTGGCGTTCAAGTCCAAGTCAAGTCGTAAGTTTTTATAGATTTTATCAAGTCATAGGTCATTAAAATGACTCCAGTCCAAGTCATGGGACTCGAGTCCACACCTCTGGTATATAGCAGCTGTATGAAGAGGTAGGATTTTAGGGCACTAATGCAAAAGCATTGGAGCACCATTGCAACTATTCAATTTGCAAATCTGCCCCAATTTTTGTCTATTTTCATGCTTAAACTTATCAAAAAAGAAGCAAAAAGCATGCAAGATGAATCAAAATGTGCAGCTGAATCTGAAGTGTTGTGCTACGACGTTTGATTGCAGTACGTTGTAGGACAGGGACTAATTCAGCAAAAAACAGCAAGAAATTTCCCATGAACTATACATTTCTTTTGATAGTCCTCTTTAAATTTCAGTTTATTCATCAAAAATTAGGCATTTTTTCCAAACCTTAGATTTCTGTCTCTTCTCTTATGAGTGGATTTTAGCTCACAGAGCTGGCCACGGCACATTAAGTGGACTTGTCTGAGACGTTGTGCCCATCATCAAGAGTGAACATATTCCGTGTGTGGAAGCGTCTTTAGCTATAATAAATGTTATGACTAATTTTTATGATATGACCGTGTGTGTGTGTGTGTGTGTGTGTGTGTGTGTGTGTGTGTGTGTGTGTGTGTGTGTGTGTGTGTGTGTGTGTGTGTGTGTGTGTCGGTCACAGGGCATCCTGACTGAGAGGTCATTGGTGATGTTGGCCCAGATTCATTGACACATTGAGATCATGCACCACTGATCTATAATCAGTTTTCATTCTACATAAAAACTATTTCCAGCTAGTGTGCTTTCACAGTTTATTGGCCTGTTTTTGCTCAGTTTATTACAGCTCCAATTATTTCCATTTGGTTTTAAATTTAATTATGGAGCTGATTTGATTTTCATGATTTTGTACTGCACTGGCTCTCTGCTAAGTTTTATAAAGATCATGTTTTTGTTTCATTTTGATTGTTTAGGCTCTGCTACGGGCTCCCCTGCACAGCCGACTCTGTTTTCTAATTTTCATACCTGCATCCCTTTCATTTACATGGCCCTGTGTCCTTTTGCCACTTATCAGATCTCTGTTATGTGTTGCTGTGTTTTGAAGCATCCAGGTTTAGTGTTCTATGCTCAGCTGTGCATCTTCTTCTAAAAGTATTTTCTTTAGCGGTTTGGTTTGCAGCCTCTTTCCTTCCAAGTTAGTGACCTGAGTTTTACACCTATTTATTCATGACCTTTGTTTAGGCAGGAAACACTTGTTGAGAATTAAAATCTACTTTGTACAATGGTACTGGCCAACATGGCAGCACAGAAACAGTTCTGGTGTCTATATGGGTTTTCAGCAAGAAAAATGCATTTGAGCATCTCAAAAGTAAAACAGCGTCAACAAAAAGAGCTGCAGTGTTTCTGTGGTCCCTCTCAGAGATCCAGCATGACTACAGCCTCACTTCGGAGTCGGCCCAGCTGCCCCGGTGACAGGAACAGCCAGCCACCTGCTCTAATTGTTCCCGGGCAGGAGATAAGAGAAGCTGGGCACTCGCTCAAGGTTTTTATGCAGCCCCGCTAACATGTTTGACCAAGCAGTTAAATGACACATTCAACCAGCAAAGTAAAGTATATAATTTTACTTCCTGATAAGAGAAACTGCTTGGATGGTCTGTTGGTAACCACAGCTTGCCCTTTTGTCCAACTAATTCCATGATTAACATCCAAACAAACACACAGACAAAACTAAAGTTCAGAGTCTCGAAATGGCAAAACATCTATTAATGTGAGGCTGAGGCCTAGGCTGAGACCTTTCCCTCTGAAGTCACATGGATGCACATTAATTATTCAGATTTTTAAGCATTAAATAACACTTGAACAGAAGAGTTACAAAAAAAAATCACCGCCCTCAGAGTTGTCATTAATGTAAACTAGATCTATATTAAACCTAAAATAGTTTATTGAACCAGGCTGTAAGCATGTTTATTTCCACTGTGAAATGGGCATTGTTAACATGGGAGTGAATGAGGATTTGCGCTCTTTTGCTGCCAGACCCTAGCGGATGAGAGTGGAACTGCAATTTTGCCACTTCCTTTTTGGCATCATGTTTGCTGCAGAATATTGGGGGCTTGTAGAAGATCCTAACTTGAAGGAGTTTCTCTTGCGTATGATATGTTAAACCAGCTTTTCTCAGAACAAACCTCTTCTGTGCAGCCATTACAACATTCCTATTTACACAGGAAATCAGGTAAGAAACCACTTTAATTCAGTGCTTTTAAAGTTGATTGAAGATGCAAAAAAAATGCTAATTTTAAATTAAAATTAGGATTTAATTATTTGGTTAATGTGTGTCGGATGAGTGTGTGCCAGTCAACTCTTTATGGGTACTTGTTAGCCATCATAAAATTACAAAACAATGATGTTTGTCCGTATTTACATGTTCCACAAGATTAATGTAGTCATAGGACTGGGATTTTACATTACAAAAACACTGTGTGTCCTGTGTGCTTGCAAGTACACAAAAATTCAAATCGGAGTTTTGTTTTTTAGAACCTTTTTTTCTAATGTGTTGCAAATTACATCTACATAATTTGTGACTATAGAATTTACTCAATTCCACTCTGTGCAGAAGAAGCAGGAACTCCTGCACCACATATTGCATCTTGCTGAAATACATTGATTTAACTGAGTCACTGTAATTGTATGTTGCACAGGAGCAGATTTGCAAACTCGTTTTATTTTATTTTATTTATTTTTTCCAAAGTGAAGAAATAAAGTTATGATGAGCAGTACAGAAACTGCCTGTATTTACGCTGCCTTCAGATAAACAGATGGGAGTCTGAAGTGAGCAGACAGTCTTGCAAAAACGAGTCAACTTTGTTTAAAGTAAAAATAATGAGCCCAGTCTGTGAGAGTCGGTTCTTCGTTCCCATGTGTAGTTCAAACGCCACTGTGACGTGAGCTACGGTATTTTTAGAAGTTGACTGTGTGTGTGTGTGTGTGTGTGTGTGTGTGTGTGTGTGTGTGTGTGTGTGTGTGTGTGTGTGTGTGTGTGTGTGCGCCTGCTCTGTCTTCTCGATCCCCAGTGAGTCGTGGAGGATGGCTGCTTATACTGAGCCAGGATTCTCTGGAGGTTTCTTCCTGTTAAAAGGGAGTTTTCCTCTCCACTGTCGCTGCATGCTTGCTTAGTATGAGGATTGCTGTATAGTCACTGACACTAGTCAGTGACTTGATGCAATTTGCTGGGTTCCTTATATAGGAAACATTATTTCTGATTGGCTTAATGAACTGTGAATTGGAATGTTTATTATGTGAAGTGCCTTGAGACGACTCTTGTCGTGATTTGGCGCTATATAAATAAACTTGAATTGAATTGAAATCCAAAGTTTAGGAATTTGAGTGTTTTAGTTTGCATTCATCAGTGTTTTATTTATTTAGCTGTAACCCACTAGACCTTAAGCATCAAACAGTTGATTAAAGGGATTTTTATGTTGTTAATAAAGAAACATCTGGATTACAATGTTATTCTGTTGTTTGTGTCTGACCCCACGGCTGTGGCTACAAGTAGCTTACCATCACTAGCAGTGTGTGAATGTGAGAGTGTGTGAAAGCGTCTTTGGGTGTCTAGAAAAGCGCTAGTTCAATGCATTATTATTATTATTATATGTTGCACGCTTTCAATGAAAACAAATATCTCAGCAACTGCAGGGTGGATTGTCGGGAAAGTCTCAGAAAGTGAAGACTGGATGTTCTTCTAAAACTGATTAACTTTCAAAGGTTTGCTCCATTCAAGATGGCTGTTGTAGGCAATCAATTGCAGCAAACACAAAAAATGTGTGTGTGACTGGCTTTTTGTCTCTGTGTGTCCCTGTAGAGACCTGTCCAGGGTGTCCCTGCCTCTCGCCCTCTGGTTGCTGCAAGCCATAAATGTCTCCCTTTTGAAGACAACCTAGAATGTGGTGGAATTGCATTCCCAGTTGCCCTTTTCTTGATTTTCGTTATTGCCAAGATTACAAGTCCTCTAAAAACTCCTCTGCAGGCCAGCCAAGACCAGATAGGAGCCTCAAACCTGATGAGACCAAAAAGTCTTCTTACCTCTGTGTCTGTTGCTGAGCTGGATGTGACCGATGATCTGTCTTTATCCTGGGTGCTCGCAGGGGTGGGGGACTCTGCAGCAGGAAAAGTAAACACTTGTCTGTAGTTGGGTTTCAGGAACAGAGGTGAGTCTCCTCTGGATATGGGAGAAGCACAGGGTGTGGGCCTGGGAGAGGGGCGCGGGGACAACGTTCCCATTTCAACAGCCATGTCCTCTGTGCAGGACAGGCCTTCCCTGAGGAGATAATCATCTGTGTCTCTGTCCACCACCAGCAGCCTGGTACGGTGGGGCACCTCACAGATCCGGTTCACCACCTGCAATAGGAGGGACAACCAATCATAGTGATCAGTTTCATTCATATTAAAGATACTTTGTTTTAGAACAAAGAGAACCAGTGATTCACTTAGGTTTGCATTGACCCATTTAGTGCCTTCCTTCTCCTCAGGCAGAAAAAAAGCTCTCCAACAGGTAGGATCTCATTGTTCCTCTCCTGGATCCTCATGGCACAAACTTTCTTTCCTTTTGCTCTAAAAAGCTCTCATCAGAAGCATCACTCACTTTCTGATGAGTTTCACTTTCCACATTCTCCCCGTTCACCTCCACCAGCCGGTCCCCTGCTCGGAGCCCGGCCAGTTCCGCCGTGGAACCGGGCTCCACTTGACGGATGACCTGTCCGCGTTTGTTCTTCTCCCCATGCAGGTGGAAGCCATATCCGTTCTCTCCTCTGATCAGAAAGCAGAGCCTGGGTCTCAGCTCGAATTCCATCCCAGAAGGCGCAGGGGAAAACGGTCAGGGTGTCTCAGAGGAATAGGTAGACAAGTCTTTGGAAAGTCGCTGGCTCCTAAAACAACGCGCGTCCGTTCGCTCCAAGGACAAAAACTTCACCATTTAGCAGCATCCGGTTTTTGTACACCCCGAACTCTAAAAGGATAAACAAAAAAAAACTCAAAAATAAAAGGGTGATTAATCCATCCTGATATGCCAAGGGCGCAAATAAGAACGCGTAAAATGGTGCACTATGTGCGTAAAACAGTGGCGAAAGCATGCTAAATCCCGTCCATCGGTGTAATCCACCAAGATCAGAGATTAAAGAAAGCTGTTCCACACACGCAACTCTTAATTCTCCTCCTCAGCGAGCGTCTGTTCTTCTGAGAGGCCAGGTGGGAGCAAAGAGGAGGCGTCAGCACACCCGCTGGACGCAGCTCAGACAAAACTATGCAACCTTCTGCAAAAATAAAGACATATACATGTTTCTGTAATATGATTTGCTAGGCCAGTGAACTCGATCCGCGGAGAGCAGAATGTGCTTTGCGTTCAGTGGGTTCCCAAAGCTGGTGCTAAGAGATTTGCTCCTTAATTCTCCCCAGAGACGCAGAAAGTCGCCCCAGGCGGCGGCGCAGCTGAAACCCGACAGGCTGTGACCTGAGAAAGAAAATCCTCACCCATCCTATCTCAGCTGGAGATCAATAAGAGCGCAACTGCGTGAAAAGGTGGCGTGAAATAAAAACATTTCCGGGCTTTTGTTTTGACAGCAGGCGGGAACTATCGGAACAAGCCGTTCGAGTTTATCCAGGATGGATCTCTCCCCAAATAAACAATCATGTTTTATATAAATTATAAATCTATAGTTATCTTGTTTCTTTAAAGCAGTTTCACTTCTGCTTTACTTCATTTTCATCGATATATTGTTAAATTTGCGAATATTTTTTGGGGTCACAGATGTTTGTGTTTGGTTTTAGTAAACTAAATATGGAGCAAGTGCCGCAAGGTGGAGAAATGAGGGTCTGGGCGGGATTCGCACCCCAGACTCCCAGGTGAGAGTCACGCGCTTAACAGTCAGCCAAAGGGGCATCCCCTTGCCCAAATAGCCAGGGTCAGTTGGGATACAGTGACACTCACCCTGTCACATTTAAGTTAATTTATTTCAGTGACGCAATTTAAAAGGTGAAACTAATTAATGAGACAGACTCATCACATGTAAAGTCAGATATATAGGCCTACATATTATTTGTTATAATGGTGATGATAACTATAATAAGCTTATGAAAATCCCACATTCTAAATCTCAGAATAATGTGAAAAGGTTCAATTTTCTAGGCTCAAAGTGTCACACTCTAGCTAATTAATACAAAACACATGCGAAGGGTTCCTGATGGTGAACACACACACCAACACACAGCAAGAGAAAAAATAGTAACGTTGTATTTGTGCAGAAGCCCATGCAGCTCCACTGGTGTGTGTGTGTGCGTGCGCGTGCGTGCGTGCGTGCGTGTGTGTGTGTTTTGTGGCCGTTCCTAACATTTGCATTTTGTGCTTTTGTCTTTGGGGTTGATGATCCTTGAACCTTTCAGCTTTGTCATGATTCCAAGTCTAAAATGGCGCCTGTGGTTTCTTTGTGTTTCACTTGAAGTCAGCATGATTATTGAGGTCACCAATCAGAAGTAATGTTACTGACTTTTTCCACACACAAGGCTAGTTGGTACCATTCACTCACATTGTTTAGTGCTAATGACGCCAATCCACCAAAAGTAAAATACAAATTATTTAGTAAAAAAGAAGGCATACCCCTAAAATGAATAGCACTTTAGCTAAGCTAAAAAGTGCTCCTGGATCAGGAGAATGACGGCTGGTTACAAATTGTTTTTCCTACTGATGGGAATATGGCAACAGACAACATTTTACTTTGGGGTGGAATATCCCTTTAAATCGGTCTCTCAGTATAAGATGAGTTATTGAAGTAAATATGCTTTTGCAACCATACCCAGTTTCACCTGTAGCAAGGCAGTGGTTCCCAAACTTATTTAGCCGCGCACCCCCTTCTATGTCCCGACCATGTCGACGCACCCCCCAGCCCCCACATCAGGGCATGGATATATATATATATATATATATATATATATATATATATATATATATATATATATATATATATATATATATATATATATATCAGACGTCAAGCTAAACAGTCACTCGACAGACAGGGTTAAAAAAATTTGATGACCTTTTTCCCCATCACTTTCATTTTTTAAATAGTAATTAATAAACATTCAATACCATTACAATTTCCTTTGATTTAATTTTAAATAAATATGTAGAGTGCCCAGGTAGCACATAAACAATGCAATTTAACTTTTTTTTTAAGTAGGAACGTTTCTCCTTCCTTCTGCTCTGCGTAAACCTGAGCTGATCACCTACTTGTGCGTAATCAAATGTCTATAGGGGAAAAGATGGAAAAGATATAGCCACGAGGTTCACTTTTGCCTCAGACCGACTTATTGCTGTTTTATGGTGTGGCTGAATCTGCGATCCGCTGCCACGCGGACTGGAATAGCAAATGCTGCAGAAGCATGAGTTGTGGTCAGGTTCGGAGTCACTGGCTGGAGGACTCGAATTACATACGTCATCCCAAAATAGAAGCTAATATCTTAATTTGACCTTGAATGAAAAATGTTATAAAACCTCTTAAGAGTTTTCATCACGGAGGAGGCAGCGCTCATTTCTGTCTTCAGTCTGCCGCGCTGGAGTTTGCGCAGCTTGCGCTTATTGAATCTGTGTGTGTGTGTGTGTGTGTGCGGCATAGCTCCATGAGCCGCTCCAGTCACCGCGTCTTGGCGCTATTTAAACCATGTTGTAAAATTACTTCTGCCCAGCCCAGATGTGCTCACATGTAAGCCGTGGTTCCGCTGGAACGCGTCGCACTCTGAACTTCAGATCTTCAGCGCGCTGCCTGACACGTTTAGAATGCTGTCCCACAGTCAGTGTGCTAATATAATAATGCTAAAATGCTCAGATGGGAATCATTTCTTGATTTATTTAGTTATATCCATAATGTTCTGTGTGTGAGGTTTACAACGTCAGAACACCTGCATGAGACAGGTGTTAATTACAATCTGCCAGAATGACCCACCACCTTCAGATTTCTCCAACACCGTTAAAAATGATCAAATACGGAACATATCTTGCTACTGACAGTGTGCACAGGCCAGAGCGCTGAAGCTCGGCGCATTATTATTATGAAGCTAGGGCACATGCGGAGGAGGACACACACACGCGCAAAATATACTTGTTTTCAATTACATTTTTTAGGCCCACTTACTTTTTCTTAGGCCCACCCTTAAATGAGTTTCTGGCTATGCTGATGGTGACTCCGCAGCCATTACACTTTTCATCTCGCGCACCCCCTAGCGGCAGCTCTCGCGCCCCCGGGGTGCGCGCACTACACTTAGGGAATCCCTGGCTTAAGGCAAAGTCTCACAGATGTTTCCTCCTCCAGATGACGTGTGAATCGCATTAACGACCCCATCCCACCTAAAGTAAAATACAAATTATTTTGTAAAAAGAAAGCATACCCCTAAAATAAAAACAAATCAGTCAAAAATGATAAAAAAAACAACTCGACTAATTAATTATGAAGTTAAAAAAAAATAAGACAATGCACTGTTATTCTCTGCAGTAGTAATAGTATAAAAACAGTAAGATAAATGTTCTTTTAAACGTGATCATGTATGTGAATATTTAGTAAAACTAAGAAAAAAATAACATTTTACTACATTATCTTTTTTATTTGGTTGAAAAAAAATTGAAGAACAGTACAAAAATATAATCTATAAAATATAAAGATGCTTTTGAAGTGTTACAAATAAAAAACAAACAGCATAAAGCTGGTTGATGTTCACTAGGATAATATACGGTTAACGTATGTTTTTCTACAGTGGGCATTTGTTTTTCCTCCTTGGTCTCATGTAGGAAACCGTTTCTGGCCGTGGCTCCTGCTTTATGGTCTCATCATTCAAAGCCAGTTCTTGTCCAGGTTCAGTTTTAGTTTTAAAAGGGAGACTCTTGGGAGAGCGCGGTGATCCAGCTTTGGGCCTTTTGACCGGAGAACTCTGATGAGCTGAAGGACAGATGTTCTGGTTCAGACAACTGGAGCACAGGGGGCTGACAGGAAGACAAACCTGTTGCCCGAATCCCACCAGAAGCCAGTTGATCTCGCTCCACAGCTCCCTGCAACAAACGCACCAGTGTTGATTGTTTCTGACCACTAGGGGGCAGCATATGAGCTGTATGGTGGATCACAGCAGTGTTTAGAAGTTAAATTTGTATATTTTAGGATTGTACATTTTTTGTGATTACAAAACATCTAAAATAGCCTAAAATTGATATTGAATTTTATAATGAACCCAATTAGCTGCAGCTTGTGATGTATTAATTTTCTTTATGATCTTTGTTGGTCATTGGGTCATTTCTAGTTGAGTTTCATGGAATAAGCATATCTCTATCACATTCTTACCGAGGTAACCACTCCTCCAGGGCCTTGCGTGTTTCTTCTGGATTCTTGGTTGGTCTTCTGAACCAGCCCAGCCGGTTAGAGATACGATGGACGTGGGTGTCCACACCTAAAGGGAAACAAACATATCAAGAATCATACAACTTCTCAGAGTTGTCTCAACACTTCTTGCACTTTCCATAACTAAAGTCAGAAGGGTTCCAGACACCTTGGAGGACTCCGAGATGTTAAAACAAGCTAAATGAGAGCAAAGCCCTGTGACTTCACTAGTCGCAGGAAGCTGATGTCTATTTCCATCAGGTGAAAGGAAGGGAACACCCTGGACAGGTTGCCAGTCCATCACAGACTCACACCTAGTCTCCAATCAACCTGATGTATGTGTTTTTGGTCTTTGGGAGGAAACCGAAGAAACTGGAGGAAACTCACGCCTGCAGGAGAGAGCATGCTAACTCAATGCAGAAAGACCACAACCAGGATTCGAACCTGCAACCTTCTTGCTGCACCACAGCGAAGCTCCAGCCACTGGGATGCATGTAAGAACCCTCACAAACATTTAGACATTTTGGAAACTCCCACCATGCTACTCATGTTTTAAAGCTAATAGTTAGGGCTCTGGCTTTAGCTGCACCAACACTGATACGCAAACACCAAATGATTCGGTGCAATCTGTAAGTTTGATCTGTGAGCATCTGTTCAGAACCCCACCGATTCCAGACACTTGGTTCCAGGCGATGTCCATTGCAAGGTGAGCCATTTTAGGTCCAACTCCTGGCAGCCGGACCAGTCCCTCCACACTATTTGGGATATCTCCTCCAAAGTCCCTCTGCAGCACAGCTGAGGTCTGCTTCAGATATTTCACCTTGTTCTGGACAGGAAGTGGAGGCAGAACAACAGGAATGAAGGTTTGACCCTGTTGTTTTTTATAGTGAATAACCAAGCTGGAACGGGGGAATTCCTAATCAATTTCCCTCTGGGATTAATAAAAGTATTTTTGATTTGAATTGAATTCCCAGGTGTTACCCTCCAGAAACCAACAGGATAGATGAGTTCTCCCAGCTTCTCATCAGAAGTGGCCAGTAGATTCTCCACAGTGCAGCCGTGAGCACGAAGCTTCTGCATAGCAGCTCCTGTCACCTGGTCTTTAGTCTGACTGGACAACATGAGGGACACCAACACCTGAAAACGTCTCACCTGTATTAACAAAAACAAAATAATGTTATGGTGATATCAATTACAGAGACTTTAAAACAAGGAAAACTCCCACCCACACGTGGAAGCGCCTCTGTGTCGTAGCACTTTTCTGCTCCCATCTCATCTACAGGTGCATCACGACCGCTTCTCATCTCACGGATTAATTCAAACTGCTTCTTCCAGTTCAGAGGTTCCCAGAACTCCATCTTAAAAGGTAAATGACCGTGGTTCTCGTATTCCACCTTAACTTGTTTCCTCCTACGTTCAGAGGAAGGCTTTGTTTTGAGTTTGTCACAACCTGCAAAAAAAAAAAAAAAAAAAAATATATATATATATATATATATATATATATAATAAATAATAATACACAAATAAAGTCTGCAAAGCAAGTGAGTTGTGTTTCTGCACAAGTTTAGACTAGGTAATGTATTAGTTTGTTATATAGAATCATGTCAGTAAATCACTGATGTAGGGTCTAAAACAGTTCATGCTTTTGTCCGTTCCTGCTTGAGGACAAACCTCATAAAACTCAGACTAATGTCACATGGAATATATTTACTAACATGGACAAAACTGTTGGTAAAAAAACTCACAATGGTCACTGAATCAGACAGAAGTAATAATAAATAAAAATTCTATAGAATAAAACCAATGAAAGTCACACGTCGCTTTCAATCAAGCTTCAGCGGAATAATTTTAAAAAGTGATGGTACTCCTAACTCAAAATGTTGTTGCACAACCTTTTGAGGCAGTCACTGCAATCAAACGATTCCTGTAACTATCGATGTGACTTCTGCACCTCTCAGCAGGTATTTTGGCCCATTCCTATTAAGCAAACCACTTCAGTTGTCTCAGGTTTGAAGCGCCTTTTCCAGATGACATGTTTCAGCTCCTTCCAAGGATGCTCAATAGGATCGAGGTCCTATGACCACTGCAAGTTTTCCTTTCATTGCCCAACAATTTTGTCCACGTCTGTATTTTATTAGCCTGACGAGCCAGCCCCATGCATACTTGTGGGAAGCATAGTTCTCTGTGCAGAATTAAACAGAGGACGAGTCCGGCAGGCCAGGCTACGGCTAGTATTTTATGCACTATTATCTCTTTCCTCGCCCTGGGCTGTCACCTTACCGTGGTGGAGGGGTTTGAGTGTCTCAATGATCCTAGGAGCTAAGTTGTCTGAGGCTTTATGCCTCTGGTAGGGTCACCCATGGCAAACAGGTCCTGGGTGAGGGATCAGACAAAGAGCAGCCCAAAAATCTCTTATGATGAATTATATAAATGGAAACCGTGTTCCCTCGCCTGGACATGGGTCACCGGGGCCCCCCTCTGGAGCCAGGCCTGGAGGTGGGGCACGTTGGCGAGCGCCTGGTGGACGGGCTTTCACCCATGGAGCCCGGCCGGGCACAACCCAAAGAGGAAACGTGGGCCCCCCTTCCCATGGGCTCACCACTCGTGGGAGGGGCCAAAGGGGTCCGGTGCAGTGTGTGATGGGTGGTAGTTGAGGGCGGGGACCTTGGCGGTCTGATCCTCGGCTACAGAAGCTGGCTCAAGAGCATGAGATGGAATGTAACCTCTCTGGTGGGGAAGGAGCCTGAGTTGGTGTGTGAGGTTGAGAGGTTCCGACTAGATATAGTCGGACTCACCTCAACGCATGGCTCTGGAACCAGTTTCCATGAGAGGGGTTGGACTTTCCACCACTCTGGAGATGCTCCCACAGAGAAGCGCCGAGCAGGGGTGGGCATACTAGTTGCCCCCCATCTTAGTGCCTGTACGTTGGGGTTTACTCCAGTGAATGAGAAGGTAGCCTCCCTCCACCTGCGTGTGGGGGGACAGGTCTGACTGTGGTCTGTGCTTATGCACTAAACTACAGTTCAGACTACCCACCCTTTTTGGAGACCTTGGAGGGGGTGCTGGAGAGTGGTCCTTCCGGTGACTCCCTTGTTCTGCTGGGGGACTTTAACGCTTATGTGGGCAACAACAGTGAGACCTGGAGAGGTGCGGTTAGGAGGAACGGCCCCCCTGATCCTAATTCAACGTGGTGTTTTGTTATTGGACTTCTGTGCTAGTCATGGATTGTCCATAATGAACACCGTGTTCAGACGTAAAGGTGTCCATATGTGCTCTTGGCACCAGGATACCTTAGGTCGCAGCTTGATGATCGACTTTGTTGTTTCATCTGACCTGCGGCCGCATGTCTTGGACACTCGGGTGAAGAGAGGGGCAGAGCTGTCAATTGACCACTGAGTTAGCTCAGATGGTGGGGGAGGATGCCGGTCAGACCAGGCAGGCCCAAAAGTATCGCGAGAGTCTGCTGGGAACGTCTGGCAGAGTCTCCTGTCAAAAGAAGCTTCAATTTCCACCTCCGACAGAACTTCCAAAATGTTCCGGGGGAGGCGGGGGACGTTGAGTCTGAATGGACCTTGTTCCGTGCCTTAATTGTTGAGACGGCCGACCAGAGCTGTGGTCGCAGGATCGTTGGTGCCTGTCGTGGTGGCAACCCCCGAACCCGCTGGTGGACACCGGCGGTTCGGGGGTTGCTGTCAAGCTGAAGAAAGAGTCCTATCAGGTCTTTTTGGCCTGTGGGGCTCCAGAGGCAGCTGACGGGTACCAGCAGTCCAAGCGGAACACGACTTGGGTGGTCGCCGAGGCAAAAACCCGGGCATGGGAGGAGTTTGGTGAGACCATGGAGCAAGACTTCCATACGGCTTCGAGGAGATTCTGGTCCACCATCCGACGCTTCGGGGGGAAAGCAGTGCTCTACCAACACTATCTATAGTGGGGACGGTGTGCTGCTTACCTCTACTCAGGACGTTGTGGATCGATGGGCAGAATACTTCGAAGGCCTCCTCAATCCCACCGACATGTCTTCCAGTGAGGAAGCAGAGTCTGGGGACTTTGAGTTGGCCTCTCAAATCTCTGGGGCTGAGGTCACTGAGGTGGTTAAAAAGCTCCTCTGTGGCAAGGCTCCAGGGGTGGATGAGATCCGCCCAGAATTCCTTAAAGCTCTGGATATTGTGGGGTTGTGTTGGCTGATGCAGCTCTGCAATATTGCGTTGACATCAGGAGCAGTCCCACTGGACTGGCAGACCGGGGTGGTGATTCCCTTATTTAAAAAGGGGGACCACAGGGTGTGTTCCAACTACAGGGGGATCACATTCCTGAGCCTTCCTGATGAGGACTATTCAGGGGTTCTGAAGAGGAGGGTCCATCGGATTGTTGAACCTCAGATTCAGGAGGAGCTATTTGGTTTTCGTCCTGGCCGTGGAACACTGGACCAGCTCTATACCCTTAGGGGGATCCTGGAGGGTGTGTGGGAATTTGCCCAACCAGTCTACATGTGTTTTGTGGATTTGGAGAAGGCATTTGACCGCATCCCTCGGGGGGCCCTGCGGGGGTACTCCGGGAGTATGGGGTACCAGGCCCTCTTAGGTTCCTGTATGACCGGTGTCAGAGCTTGGTCTGCATTGCCGGCAGTAAATCTGGCTCGTTCCCAGTGAGAGTTGGACTCCGCCAAGGCTGCCCTTTGTCACCGATTCTGTTCATAACCTTTATTGGACAGGATTTCTAGGCGCAGCCAAGGTGTGGAGGGCATCTGTTTTGGTGGCCTGAGAATCAGGTCTCTGCTTTTTGCAGATGATGTGGTCCTGTTGGTTTCATCAGAACATGATCTTCAGCTTTCACTGGAGCGGTTCGCAGCCAAGTGTAAAGCAGCTGGGATGAGAATCAGCTCCTCTAAATCTGAGACCATGGTCTTGATTCGGAAAAGGGTATGCCTTCTCCGGGTCAGGGATGAGGTCCTGCCCCAAGTGGAGGAGTTTAAGTATCTCGGGGTCTTGTTCACGAGTGAGGAAAAACTGGAGCATGAAATCAATAGACGGATTGGTGCTGCATCTGCAGTGATGCAGGCATTGTACCGGTCTGTCGTGGTGAAGAGAGAGCTGAGTCGGAAGGCGAAGCTCTCGATTTACCGGTTGAGCTACGTTCCTACCCTCACCTATGGTCATGAGCTTTGGGTAGTGACTGAAAGAACAAGATCGCGAATACAAGTAGCCGAAATGAGTTTTCTCCGAAGAGTGGCTGGGCTCTCCCTTAGAGATAAGGTGAGAAGCTTGGTCATCCGGGAGGGGCTCGGAGTAGACCCACTGCTCCTCCACATCGAGAGGAGCCAGTTGAGGTGGCTCGGGCATCTGGTCAGGATGCCTCCTGGACGCCTCCCTGGTGAGGCATGTCCAACCGGGAGGAGGCCTAAAGGTAGACCCAGGACACGTTAGAGGGACTATCTCTCACCTGGCCAGGGAAAGCCTTGGGATTCCCCGGAGGAGCTGGCCCAAGTGGCTGGGGAGAGGGAAGTCTGGGCCTCTCGACTTAGGTTACTGCCCCCGCGACCCGACTCCGGATAAGCGGATGAAAATGGATGGACCCCCCCCAGTAGAGCAGGGTTCAGCAACTCCGGTCCTCGAGGGCTACCATCCTGCACATGTTAGCTGCTTCTATGCTCCTACACACCTGATTGAAATGAATGAGTATTTAACAGGCCATTGTAGAGTTAAAGAGAGGATTGTATTACTCCATTCAGGTGCGGTAGAGCAGGAAACAAAAAACTAGCAAGATGGTAGCCCTCGAGGACTGATAAAGAAAACAGAAAAACAAAACCATATGTTGATCTGATCGTCTCATGACGTGTTTGACTTGTCATGTGACCCAAAAGCTCTTGGAACATCATGTGTGACATATCTGCTGTTTTGTTGTAAAAAGAAAAAAAAAAAGCCACCTGAATCAAAACAATGAGTAAATATCTCCAGGATCTACGCATGCGCAATGGTGTTGATATTGTAGGTGAAGAGGGACCGTATTACCTCTTCGGTCGGATCCAGGATCTGTTAATGAGAACTTACCCGCCGAAGAAGCGACCGAGACGGGTTCCAGCTCGGATACACTCGCCTCCTCCACCTCCAGCGTCACCGCCACAGGAGGAGCCGTTTTCGGCTGTCTGCTGAATAGTTTGGACCTAACAGAGGCCGCAGGTGTGACCCCTGCGCTTTGACTGCTACTTCGGGTGATAACAGACCTACTCTGTGTGAAATACGGAGAGCTCATGATCAAAATCCGGACCAGTGAACGGAGACTCCTCGCGCCACAGCGGACGCTAGGAAACATCGACCTGGAGCTGAAGTTCGCTTCAGGATCGTGGTGACTCATGCCTGCAGAGGAGCAATAAAGGTAGAATTTGTTAATTCAGTCGTATCCACCTTAAAAACGTTAAGGTAGACTTAATTAAAAAAACATAAGTGATTGCATTCATAAACCTACAGATATCAGGATAAAAATAATTTAAATCAACCTAAATTAATAAATAAAAGATTCTTGTTTCACATTTAAATAATGTCTGCATAAGTTGTTCATTAAATAGGTGTTTGTCTCCAAACCTTTTCTCCGAAATGGTTTGCAACTTCACAATACAATACAGCTTCATTTTATTTGGAATACATTTTATGTTTGTAGGATACTTTAGTTTCCACATATTTTGCTGTTATTCTTCGTTTGTTGCCTGGTTTTAGTAATAAGTAAAACTGAGATTTATTGTAAGCGAATCTGTTGTAAAAATGCTAAAAATAAAAAAGATTTGGACAAAATACAACCTAAAGCAGGATTATAAAATACAAAACAAACAATTGCAACTAAACATTTGGAACCCTAAGCTTTAAATTTTTATTTTTGATTTTTCTGAAGTGTCAGATTTATAAACGATCTTGTAACTCTTTTACTCTAAAAATTTCAACTCGCACAAAACTCGAGCGCAACTTGTGATGCAAAAATAACAAACTAACTTCAGCTGCGTTAGCATGATTAGCTAACAGCTAGCCAACTTAACATTTGTGTCTATATAGTTTATCACAAACGCTTTTGGCAGTGAACAGTTTTGTGGAGATTGGGGATATCAGAACCGTGGCGTGACATTTTGAACATTTGTTTAGCACTTTATCACTTAAACGTTAAGTTCGAGTACTTAGAAACAGGCTTTTAGCAGTGCGTTTTAGCTTTGCTAGCATCTGTAGAAACTACAAGTCCAATGAAGCCGTGCAGCGAGCGTGTTTTTACAGGAAGTCTCGCAGGCAGAGCGTCAGTGTGTCATCCGGTTGGGGAGTGGAGGGCTGAAAACAAGCTTTCGGGAACAAATACTGAGTTAAATTAAATCAATGCACGAACGCTGAGCGTCTTCTTGGCTGCTTGAAGAACGATGCGGTGAATAAAAGAAACCGGAAGCGAGTCATCTATAATAAGGTGAGAGGAAAGGGGGAAAGTACGGCGAGGTAATGGTGTTTAGGTTCCCAAACTAGAGTAGTGTTTGCGTTGGCCGCACATCTGCGCTTGTGGTGTGCACAGTTATGAGTTATTGTGCTTGGTGAACACCTTTCACCTATGTTGTTGTTGTTGGACTGAAACAGAACAGTCGTTGTCTCCCTGCTCTCGTCCCCTCCCCTCTAGTCTCTGTCAAATCCACATGACAGCAGATTGTGAACACAGCCCCTGGGTTTAAACATTTACTGGCTGCAGCCACTAGCGCATAGCGTTAAAGGAGCTGTTTACCTAAGTTGCATAATTGCACATAATGATGTTTTCATTTAAATTCATGCGGTGATTAAACAAAACGCTTGTTGTTGCTATTCTGCCTCTAATCCATAATCTCGTGTGTGTTTGATTAATGGATTTATCCCGCAGTATTTAAAAATTACAGCTTCAAGATGTTCCTCTTCACCATCAATTTAGGTTTATATTTCCCCCTTCCCTACATTTTATTTAATTTCTCTAATTGATTATCAAAACGCTGGAAGCTGTCAGAAAAAATCTCAGTTACTCATAGAGATTAACCAATATGCTTTGTTTTTTTATTATTTGTGCGTGTGTGTGTGCATGTGTGTATATGTGTATATATATATATATATATATATATATATATATATATATATATATATATACATATACATACATACATACATACACACACACACAATGTATATAAACAATACAATATCAGCCCGATGTATTGGGTGTAAGTAACCCTAACTAAAACAAACCGTACAGTTAGTTTATTATCTCTTTTGGGGAAAATTGGAGCACAACAGCAGTCAGAGTAAAAAACACAGCACAATCTACACATTCAACATCCACCCCATAATAATAGGGGTGTAACAGTACGCTGAAATCGTATTCGGCTCGGTTCGATTAATTTTCGGTATATTATTGTTGTTAACATTACATTTATTTATTGAATATGTAAAGCGGCTCCTATAGTGAGCAGAACCAGGTGTCATCACAGGCTGCTGATCTAGTTATTTTTGCAGCTATGAGTGTCACGCTCATACAGACGAGTGTTGTGTTTGACTGTTGATGCTCCTGTTTTTATCTCTGCAGCAAGCCTTAAAACCTCACCTCACACTGCCCCGAGTTTCTTCTTTAAAACTCGTATTAAATAACGAGCTTCCTCCGCGTCGTATTTTTCATTGTAGGATGAAAACTTTACATCAATTGTCACAGGGGAAAGTTCAGCAGACGGGGCGATATGACGATTTTAGACCGTTTTACGATCAACACAGCTGACGGTCTGTCATTTTTGAGAGACCTTTTTATCACCATTCACAGCTCTGCTGATGGAATTCTGCCTCTGAATGAAAAGAGAACTTACTCCAGGCGAATTACACGCCTTTGTTTGACCCTTAACCAATCAGAGTGAGTCATAGTAATATATTAGTGCCCCGCTTGTTTTCACCTGTGTGTGAACAAACATGGCTTCGGCCGCGGCTGAGAGCGACAACGAGGTTTTCGTTCCGAAGAGGAACGCCTCGTCCGTTATATGGAACTGGTTTGGTTTTTCACCAGATGACAAAGAGCAGCGAAACGTCATTTACAAGGAGAGCGTCAAGGCTAGGGCTGCAACAACAAATCGATAAATTCGATGAAAATCGATTACTAAAAGCGTTGGCAACGAATTGCGTCATCGATTCGTTGTGTCGCACAACTCTTCCAAAAGCGCCCCCCCCCCCCTTCCCGCCCGCCGTTGCGCGCAGACCAGAGCAAGTCAGATCAGCGCGAGGGAGAGCCGCAGATCAGCGCGAGGGAGAGCCGGCAGATCAGCGCAAGGGAGAGCCGGCAGATCAGCGCGAGGGAGAGCCGGTAGCGGCAGATCAGCGCGAGGGAGAGCCGGTAGCGGCAGATCAGCGCGAGGGAGAGCCGCAGATCAGCGCGAGGGAGAGCCGCAGATCAGCGCAAGGGAGAGCCGGCAGATCAGCGTGAGGGAGAGCCGGTAGCGGCAGATCAGCGCGAGGGAGAGCCGGCAGACTTGCGCTGCTGCGAACCGGTTCCGCATTGTTGCGCAGCAATCCAGGCAGCTGCTTCCAGCGCACGGTCCATTCTCAAAGTGGCGCAACCAAAAAACTATAATTAGCACACGATCGTTCTTGTCTGCACATGTTCTCTATTTTCTGTCTTATTTGTGCCTGAAGCGCGCTACTGCGGAGCTCATCACCTGTGCTATGGTGATGTCACCTCACTGACGCAGCATCGAAAACGCGCTCTGAGCTTTTCGGTCAGGAGATCCCTTTGATCTGCTCAAAAGTAACTGATGAGGTGAAAAGGTAAGAATCCAGGCAGCAGTTTTTCTGGAGAGTTTAGAGGAGATGCAGGAAGATGAGAGACAGACAGGACAGGAAAATAGTTGAATAAAAACAAGAAAACAAAACAAAGTGTTGAAAAGTAAAATGTAGGTAGATTTATCTCCACTACACGTTTTTACCAGTAAAAAACAATAAGTTATACACATGTAATATTTATACATCTGATACAATTCAGATCACCTTCAAAACTCAGTCACACACCCAGGGCCGTTTCAAGACATTTTGGGGGCCAAGGCAAAATGCCCCCCCCACCCCCCCAATAACTGGGCTCCCCAGAAGCCTCTGTGTAATTCATGCCCTCTCCAGTAGTGTTAGTTATATGGTGTTTATAAAAGCCCCTCAGACATTACTGACATGTTCTAATATTATCAGATGAAAAACTACATTATCAGACATGCTGTCTCATCTGCTTCTTTTATAAACTTGCAAAAAGTAACAAAACCATTTGAAAGCCACTATTTGTGGATTCTCTGAAAGTTTCCATGGAGAGTGTGACAACTTATTTTTTCATTGATCCTATCGTCTAATCTCACAGCTGAAACAAGCATCCTTAATCATCTGTGCACAAGAAGCTTACCGATGCTGTAGTAAAACAAAAGGTATAATAATTTATTATTAATAAAACCTTGTTGCAGCATTAAAGCAGAAAAATTAGATTTTGCATTAAATATGCAAAATATTTACATATGAATTGTTTTAGAGCCCTTTAATTGGCAGAATCTGATATTAATTTAGTTCTTACAAAAAATGGGTCCCAACATGGTTTGTGTGGCGTTGCCATAGTGTGACGTCATAGGCACAGATCCCTGTCCTCTTGTTTGGAAATGGAAATATGGTCACCCTACATTAAACAAACTGTCCACCCGGGCTTTTGCGCTGCACAGAGACTCTTCGCTGCCTACGACTGAACGTCAGTTGAGAGTCAGTCTCATGCAGAATGACCAATGAAGAGAGGGCCTCAAGTTAAGACCCTTTCCTCATTGGTCAGTCCACACGAGGTGGGTCAAAGGTTACTCTGGGCGGGTTACGTGTTGTCAGGCATTCAAGTATTGAGTATATTTACTGCATATTACAGTAAAATATTCTGTATGTGACCACATTATGGTGATCCTTGGGTCGTGATGATGGAGCCCTTGAATATTGTTGCCCAGGGTACAACAAAGTGTTAATCTGGCCCTGGTTCCGCCGTCACATTCCCGCAGAAACTGGTTGATCACACCGGGGCCAGACTACTAGCATGTGGTTTTACAACCACAATGTCCTCAGAAGCAAAAACGCTTTTAAAAGGGAGGGAGGAGTCCTAACTGTTGCTGCAGGCGTGTTGTGTGAGAGTGCAGTTATAAACTGGTTAATATATTTTTGGGTTCAGTTGCTTTCATGTGGCCTAATGTGAGTCTATTTGGGATCATTGGAATGATCAGCAGCATTTCTTGATGTGACTTTATGGCAGTTGCCCAGGGCATCATCGCAAGGAGGATGGCATTCATTTACTTTTGTTTTATTTGGTATTTTTTCAGTCATTTTTGGAAATAGTGATCAATTTTGATTAATTCACGGCCTATGTTTAATTACATTTAAAATATATGTCAACAGATGAGATCAAACAAAACAGATGAGAATTGCCCTTAAGCTGTTTAACTTGGACCAAGCATTTTAGGTCACAGATAGATGTAGCTTAGGGTCTCTGTCTATACACCTTATAAGACAATTTAGGTGATGGCATGTTGTTTTTCTGCTATTGAACTGTTTTCTAATAATGTTGTGTTAAATAAAGTGAAGGAAGGAGAGAAATAACGTTTCCCTAGCAGTTTTTAAAAATTTCCCCATGTAATCCGATTAATCGATTAATCGTGTCGAGACCCCATCCGATTAATCGATTATCCAAATAATCGTTTGTTGCAGCCCTAGTCAAGGCAAGTGATGGCAACACCACAAACTTGTTTAATCGCTTGAAAAGAAGGCATCCCAAACCATACAATGAGAGCCAGCTGGCAGCTAAAGCTAAAAAGCCTGCGGCGGCAGCGGCTAGTGCTTCTTCCAGGCAGCAAACGCTAACAGAAACACTCACAAAACACTGGTGTCAAGCCAGCCACCAGTTGAAGACTTGCAGTCAAGCCAGCCACCAGTTGGAGACTTGCAGTCAAGCCAGCCTCCGGTTTATTGTCACTTCCCCGTCTATTCAAAGTATTACGGGAAGGGATGTGGAATCCGGATTTCAAAATACAATTCAACTTCGAGTGAATTATCAGATATTTTAAGAACATAATAACAAATAATTTAGGCTTGTTCACTATTAGCGCCCTGTCAATATCAAGGCAAACTTATTTTGGATTTCAAAGTAAAAGCCCTGTGAATTTTCATTTTTGAACTACTCTTTCAGTGACTTCAGAATGCTCTTAAAAGCAAAAGTCATATTTCCAAAGAGCAGTTGCATTTTGTATCAACACTATCAAACCACAGCAATTTGAAATTGCCCATATTTGACCGACTCTTTTAACAATTTCAAAAAGCTCTAAAATGGAAAATTGCTGTTTCCACAGGGTACTTCCACTTTACATCAACAGTATACAACCCCACAGTGATACCATATGAATATCAAAACATTCTGATGTTGCGTTTCAAAATAAAGGCTTTTTAAAATTGTCCATAATTGACCTACCTTTAACGATTTCAAAATGCTCTAAAATGGAAAGTTGCCGTTTCCACAGGGTAACTCCACTTTATATCAACAGTACACAACCCCACAGTGATACCATATGAATATCAAAACATTCTGATGTTGCGTTTCAAAATAAAGGCCTTTTAAAATTGTCCATAATTGACCTACCTTTAACGATTTCAAAATGCTCTAAAATGGAAAGTTGCCGTTTCCACAGGGTAACTCCACTTTATATCAACAGTACACAACCCCACAGTGATACCATATCAATATCATGTCATTCTGATGTTGCGTTTCAAAATAAAGTTCTTTTAAAATTGCCCATATACGACCAAACTTTAACGATTTCAAAATGCTCTAAAATGGAAAGTTGCTGCTTCCACAGGGTAACTCCACTTTATATCAACAGTACACAACCCCACAGTGATACCATATCAATATCATGTCATTCTGATGTTGCGTTTCAAAATAAAGTTCTTTTAAAATTGCCCATATACGACCAAACTTTAACGATTTCAAAATGCTCTAAAATGGAAAGTTGCTGCTTCCACAGGGTAACTCCACTTTATATCAACAGTACACAACCCCACAGTGATACCGTATGAATATCAAAACATTCTGATATTGCGTTTCAAAATAAAGGCCTTTTAAAATTGTCCATAATTTACATACCTTTGTAGCGTTATGGTTTATGCTCTTTTATGAAAGAGGAACCATTCTACATTGTAATTTGTGATATTAATTTTATTAAATTAATAACCAAATTGTATAGTTTTAAGAAGACTCAAAGGTTGTTTTCATCGATAAACTGTCGATAATATCCGCTGGGTCTGTGTTTCAGTTCAATGAAGAAACAAGTTTGACAATTAAAAGTTTTAATTCTTCAAATGAAACTAATGATTTTGAAATTGACAAACAGGAAATAACAATCAACATTGGCAACTTTGTGGGACAATCTTTAACAGTTGATATGCTGTTCTTGCTCAAATAGACCTTGTGGTGAATGAAGATTGAGAGTGATATGATGTGATTATGGATGCGTGTGTGCAAAGTGTAGTGAGAATTGAAAATGAGGTGAGATGAATGCGTGTGTGCATCTGATTTTGCTTCAGGAAGAAACAGGTGTCTGAGTGAAAAGTGATGGTTTGAATAAACTTAGGTTTAGTTGGAAAAGATTCATCAAAACGCTATCTGTCGTGTTCTGCCTCACCGAAAATCGGACTCCCTGTTGGACCCGGGACGTCACCTTAGGATGATGTTTCATCCAGGGCACCTTGGCTGGCAAAGAAGACAAAGATGCGCCACGAACCGGTCCAGAGTTGCCCTCGGTACACGTTGATGGTAAAGCGTTTTGTCGATGCGTTTAGTTAAGTTTAGTCACTCAGAAATCAAAAGACTCCGTATGAGTCTGCGTTAGAAGTTGTGATTCAGCTATTCTGTCTGGCTGACAGGAACAGCGTGAGGGGGGGGGGGGGGGGGAACGAGCCGACCGGCTCTGTCCCCCCTTTGGTTTCGTCAGGTCCTCTCTCTTTCGTTGTCCAGCACGAACTGAATCATAAGACTGAAACTTACCAAAAGCCTTTCTCTTCTCAAAGCAAACGTGTACGTCAGCAAATGTGTTTTGGAGTTTACTGTGAGAATCTGTATGTGGGTGTGTTTGAGTGTGTGTGTGCTTGAGTGTGTGTGAAGGTCGCTAACAAACATCCTCAAACATTATTTAATGAAGTATGGATTCATTAATCCATTATAATTACCCAAAGCATAAGAATCATTCATTTGATTAAAACACATTTATAATGAGCAAAATGATAATGATTATTCTTTAACATTAAAATCAAGAAAAGAAAGTTTTAAGACTTGTTATGTTATGACTACATTTCCTGGGAACAACATCTTCTGGCACGAAGCTGCAGGTGGCAGATGTTATGGTTTCCAGCAGACTCTTGCAGACTTCATGTCTGCAAAGGTCTCAATCTGTGGGTGAAAGTTCTCAGCGACCCAGCTCTTTGACCCAGCCGAGTCAAATGACCTTTTGCACAGAAAACCCATATTTCCTCACATTACACCTTTAACGATTTCAAAATGCTCTAAAATGGAAAGTTGCTGTTTTTTTTAAGCGGACCATTATGGCTTTGCAATATTGCTCCACTTGATGGAAATTGTAAAATATCTTTATTTATTCAATCATTTTATAGAAAAATTTAAATTTGCAGTTATTATCAAATAAATACACATAATTGGTTGATAGGAAATATTAAGACTTAGACAAGAGACGTTCAAAAGAGGGGAAAAAATAGGGGATGAGGGACTGTGACACAAGACAGTAAATTCCATTGGATTACCTACTGGAAGAAAAAACACAGAAAATAAAACAAACTATAATATAATACAGTACACAACAGCAAGTATCACAGCCACAACCTAGATAAGAATAACTAACAGTAGATAATAAATATTGATGTCAGCACAGCCCCTGCTGAGAAACATTATCATGTACATGTATTTCAAATTGAGACGTGGGCACCGGCAACTTAGGAGAGGTTGAATACACAGACCATCCCTTGGACGCCATTCAGCACAAGTGATGTTGATGTATAGATTGTGGAATAAAATTGAGGTGCAGGTGGTCGGATGGGGACACAGCAGGAATGTCTCACACCCAACTCAGTGAAACAACTGTACGCCAAAGCCCTGGATGTGTGGCGGTGTGATGGAGTGGGGATGAGGAGGGGAGGGAAGTGAAGGCTAAGTACTCTCTCGTGTGGCCAGGTCCCCCGCTGACCCAAGTAGGCACCCCTGGAAGCCACAAATGCCCATCTGGACGGGGGCCTACATTAGCAGCACCACCAAGCCCCACGGAGCCTGGGGTGGTGGGTGCACATCGTAACCCACCACAGAGGAAAATACATCCACCCAAACATTCAATAATCTCTGACTGCATAAAAAAAAATGGTAAATGGCCTGTATTTGATATAGCGCCTTTTAGAGTCCTAGAACCCCCCAAGGCGCTTTACAACACTATCAGTCATTCACCCATTCACACACACATTCACACACTGGTGGGGATGAGCTACAATGTAGCCACAGCTGCCCTGGGGCTCACTGACAGAGGCGAGGCTGCCGAGCACTGGCGCCACCGGTCCCTCCGACCACCACCAGCATAAGACAAAAGACACCATGGCTGAGTTTATTCTCCACCTCTGTACTAATTTTAAAGTTAACTATTGTCTTTTTTTGTGGGTTTTAAATGTAGTGAACACTTGACAAAGTAAAAAAGAAAAAAACAATACAAGACTATTCTAAATTAAAGGGCCTTGGAGATTTCATTCAAACTAACACCAATGCACATCAAAACATAGTAACAGAAAGAAAAAAAAATCACAATAATCTAAGGAGGAATTACCCTGTGAAAACAGAAATTATTCTTTTTAGAGCATTTTGAAACTGTTCCAGGACTGAGTCTGATATGAGCAGTTTGACAATGCTTTTATTTTTTAAAGCAAAATCAGAATGACTTGACATTGATACAGTATCACTGTGGGGTTGTATACTGTTGATATAAAGTGGAGTTACCCTGTGGAAGCAGCAACTTTCCATTTTAGAGCATTTTGAAATCGTTAAAGGTAGGTCAATTATGGACAATTTTAAAAGGCCTTTATTTTGAAACGCAACATCAGAATGTTTTGATATTCATATGGTATCACTGTGGGGTTGTATACTGTTGATGTAAAGTGGAAGTACCCAGTGGAAACAGCAATTTTCCATTTTAGAGCTTTTTGAAATCGTTAAAAGAGTCGGTCAAATATGGGCAATTTCAAATTGCTGTGGTTTGATAGTGTTGATACAAAATGCAACTGCTCTTTGGAAATATGACTTTTGCTTTTAAGAGCATTCTGAAGTCACTGAAAGAGTAGTTCAAAAATGAAAATTCACAGGGCTTTTACTTTGAAATCCAAAATAAGATTGCCTTGATATTGACAGGGCGCTAATAGTGAACAAGCCTAAATTATTTGTTATTATGTTCTTAAAATATCTGATAATTCACTTGAAGTTGAATTGTATTTTGAAATCCGGTTTCCACATCCATTCCCGTAATAACTTGAATAGGCGGGGAACAGAAAACAAACTGGAGGCTGGCTTGACTGTAAGTCACAAAACTCACTCCCTACGGCAGAGACAGCAGACGATGGAACAGCGTGACAGATGCAGTGACGTACCACTTGGTTAAAGATTTGTGTCCCGTGCGAACAGTAGGAACATGATAAAAACATTGGATCCGCGATACGAGTTTTCCAGCCGCAAGTATTTTTCGAACACCGCCATTCCACGCAGGTACGCTGAATGCAAAGTGAGAGTTGCAGAAAATATTCAGAATGCGCAGTTTTTTGCTACCACAAGCGATCTCTGGTCCAGCCGCACATCAGAGCCGTATTTGAGCTTAACTATCCACTACATGAGCAACTGGGAGCTACATAGTATTTTGAACAAGTTAATGTTTGCACAATACGTTTGCAATTGACATGTTTGCACTTTAAATATGTTTACGATTTTAATTTATGTTAAGTTACTTGAAAAACGAGAAAAACTGATTTTTTTTAATCGTTTCTCTCAGGGCTTTTATCATCTCTGGTGTGAGTTTAAAATATAAGTGTGTTAGCACTGTGCTGATTATCCCTAATATGAATAAATGTTTATTTATTCAATGTTTCTCTTCTTTAATACGCAATAGAAGTTATGCTATTCATGGATAAAAAATCGTGATAAAATTGAAATCGTGATAAAATAGTGGAAAAATCGTGATATTCCATTTTTGCCATATCGCCCAGCCCTACGTGTTTGTTTACATTTTTGCCGCTGTGTGCCTACAGAGAGAAGGGAGGGAGGGGCGACGCAACGCTCCTCAGCGTCTCTACAGGCTCCTCAGTAGCAGTGACAGCCAGCTGGTTTGATCTGCTCTGAAAGGCGTTGATCAGAATTTGCCGATATTTTTTAAACTGAGATCGGGCGCGTGCAGCCATCATGCGTCACTCAATACTGCATCTGTGCAGAAACTCGCCTAGGAATTTTTATCTGCTGCACTTAAATCACGCTAGGGCTGCTCGATTATGGCAAAAATAATAATCACGATTTTTGTGACTGAAATTGAGATCACGATTATTTAGGACGATTTTTCAATTTATGTTGATTTTATTTGTTTTTATTCTGTCATAAAACTGCTCAGGGCACAATCAGGACAAAAATAAATAACAAAGAATATGATCACTAAAAGAACTCCTGATTCCCAGTATAAAAAGACCAATATACTTATAGCTCATAGTTTATGACCCAAGGGCTATAGACCTTGGTTTAACTCATTTAAGTCTAACCAGTACAGACCCAAATACCAATATCTTGCAAATACAGACAGCAAGAATTATACAGTGGCATTTATAACAAATAAACGCAAATAAGTTGATGTTCATAAAATGTTGCATAACATTTATTTAGTCGTGTCAAGGTGCTGTAGAAGCGTGCACTAGCACCGTGTCCTCAGAGAGGTTAGTTATTATTTATCAGCGTGAGGAACTTATTTCTACCTTATTTATAAACTATTGATTTACAAGTCCATCAGTTAATGCAATAATTGTCCCGAACACAGCTGCACCCCCCACCCCCCAACCTGGTCTCACAGCAATCAGGAGCAAGCTGCACGTGTGTTTAGCGCGCCGCACGCGCACATTTGGCTGTTTTTAGTGGCTCAGGAGTCCGCAGGTGCGGTGTGTGTGTCACTCACTCTGGTTAATCCAACAGGAAGCCGGCTCCGAGAGCCGTTTCTGTAGCGACTGACACATCACTACATCATTCCCTTTCCTAATGTCCTGAAGAATGGTCCGGAGCGCAGGCGGAGTGTTTAGCTAACCTGCAGGAAATGTCGACGACAGTTATCCAGAAAGTAGCTAAGGGTTACCAGAGATGTTTCTGAGGTGTTCGCTAGGTACTTTTAAGTTAAAAAGTCAAGAAAGGGGTCTGAGAAGCTGCTAGAAATAGCGTCAAAGTCGCTAAGTTGGCAACACTGTGGGAGGAGCGCTTCATTTGCTACTCAGGGCAGCGCAAGCGGGAGGAGCAAATAATCGGCTTGTTTTGTTTTTTATAATCGTTCAAAACTCAGATCGTAATCGTGATTAAAATTCGATTAATTGAGCAGCCCTAAATCACGCAAATAAAAATTAATTATTTAACAGAATAAATAAACCGAAACGGTACGCAAGTGGACCGAACAGGCCGAACCGAAATGGTTCAACACCCCCATGTGAACCATTACACCATTACCCTTTGTAAAATTAATCTAACCGAAATAAAAGATTCCATAAAAATAAGAGTAGAAAACAACATAAGGCATAAAAAGCTATATAAACATGATTAAGAACAGATGAATACTATACAGAGCAAGACGAAACAAAGACCATCTCAAAATGTCTACTGCAGAAACAAAAAAACAAAAGTGTGTGTGTGTGTGTTACAGCCAGCCATCAGTCCCAGCCTGCACTGTCAATCTTCCATCCAGGGCGCGGCCATGAATAAACAACAAAGTAAGGAGAGTCTCAAGGAGAAGGTCAAGGGGATCTTTGGACTCGGGACTTCTCGGCCGCAGACCAAGCCGTGTGACAACAAGCTTCCAGAATTTATTATAACACCAGAGCTCATAAAGGTCTGTGGAACTCTTCTTCTACTTACACACTCTAATCCTGTTTGTGCATCCATAATGACCGTTTGTAAACATATTTGTTTGAACTTCTTTTATTTAGAGACTCTCTGAAGCTACAGATGTGATTGTACAGATGTTAGCCACGGAGTTGGGGTGTTTGCCGCTCTGGCTTGAGCCCAAAGCTGTCCATGCATCATAATTCTTGTCATTTTTCTTGTTTCTTTTCATTTTCCAGGACCTCCAACCAGATTGTGGCTTGAACAATCGAATTCGAGTGATTGGCCAAATATGTGAACTAGCAAAAATGAAAAAATTTGAGGAGGTGATTGATTTATTAATATTATTTTTAAAGTTCCCGTGCAACAGCAGCTCGCACAGTCCTCGGTATTTGTTAAGATGTTTGCCTGTTCTGATGCTCAGCACGCCGTGGAGGCTGTGTGGAAAGCTGTGGAGGACATGCTGACCCCAGAGCAGCCACCAGAGGCCAGGCATGCTGTCCTGCTGCTCCTTAGAGCCATCATACAGGGACAGGTATGCCCACACACACCATGCACTAAACCGCACACGCAGCAGTGCTGTCAGTGTTTGGTTTGAGCCTTTCTGTTTACTTGAAGGGCGAATGGCTCGGTCATCTGAGAGCTCACTTCTTTAAAGTGATCAGAGATTACCAACCAAGCAACGAGGACCTCTCGGAAAGACTGGAAGTGTTCAAAGCTTTAACTGAAAACGGGAAGGACATCACGTACCTGGAGGAGGACATAGGTAGAACGTTTAGAGATGTGGAAGAGTAGTCTGGATTAAATTTGACGTCATCATTAACTTTTGATCAACATCATGAATTCTGATGTTTATTTCTGTAAATTAGTTCCATTTTCAAACAAAGCACCTGAAATTCACACTTACCTGATAAATCTTGATGTTTCTGATTTAAATCCAGTCTTCTCAGAAACACTGACATTATTATATTTTGTATTTTCTCAACCGGAACTCACCAGTCCTACTAATGATTCCCTGTGTTCTCAGCAGTGACACCCTATTTCTGCTTTACTATTTTCTCTCTCAGCACCTTTTGTCCTCCTGTGGATGGACATAGGTCTCACCTCTGACTTTCTCCATGTTTTGGTCAATCTGGTGAAGTTCAACAGCTGCTACCTGGACCAGAATGTCTCCGTCATGGTCCAGTAGGTGTCAGATCCACAGCTGATATAGGATGTAATCCTATATTCACACCATCTCACTCTTTTTCTCTCTCTCTGCAGGAAAATCTGTCTGCTGTGCAACAGAACAACATCGTCCACAGATATTGAGGTTGGTGTTGCAGCACAGTTGGCTTTAAAAACTATTCAAATGAACTCGCTTGCAGCTTTTCTGATCTTATGTAATGTTGTAGTGTTGGTTTGTGTTTTGCAACCTGAGTTGTTGAAGAGTTTGAAGATAATCTCGTTTAGAGTAATGAAGTTATTTATGATTTGTAACAATGTGCTTGTTTTCTTCTTTTGTTTGCAGGTGGCTCTTCAGGTCTTGGATGCTGTTGTTTGCTACAACTGTCTGCCCTCAGAGTCCCTCACCATTTTCATCATAACACTATGTCGTACGGTTAATGTGAAGGAGTTTTGTGAGTCCTGCTGGAAGGTGAGTGGGAAACACTCAGACCAACATTTTCCCATTGGAGGTTATTGTTCCTTATGCGAGTGCTTTGCTGGTCTGTGTCACCAGTTGATGAGGAAGGTTTTGGGGACTCATCTCGGCCACAGCGCTATTTACACAATGTGTCGCATCATGGAGGAAAGGTAATGCTGTTTATGTTGTCTTTTTGAGCCCCGGACCTCCGGTTTGACACTTTCTGGGTTGCAGTAACGTTAATTTTCACTATGGTGTTTTTCACGTAATCGCCCTAAGACCTGCGAAGGAAAATGGTCAACAAAGAACGCCGGATAATCCAGGCCAAGTGTAAGATGCCAAAATGTAAAAAAACACAATGGTTTAAAATTACATGTGTCCTCCTGCATTCAATAGGACAGCTTTTACGTTAAAGCAGCGATCCAGAGTTTTTCTCATTCAGAAATTAAGTCTGTTTTTTAAAATATCCGTAAAAGTGACAGCACTGTGATAAAATGTACAGTGAGCCCACGCCCCGTTCCGGAGAGCCCCACAGATTTAGAATCGAGTGCTGCTCAGCGTTAGCCAATAGTGTTAGACATCTGCTTACAGATAGATGTCAATCAGTGTGAATACTAGTAATGCGGAAACTAGGGATGCTCCGATCTGATCACATGATTGGAAATCAGGCCCGATCATGTGATTTTCAAAAATCTGAAGCAGGCAAAAAAGATCGGATTTAACCTTAAAAAACAATAAATATAACTATTAAATTTCATCCTGAGAGAGATTTTAAACGAAACAATGGCTTAGTTTTAATCTCAAATAGTTCCTTTACATCAATACTGTTTGTGTCTTACACCAATGCCTCACACAAAACACGCAGCTGTTAGCTAGCAGGCTAACGTAGCACTAACGTGTCTGTATTTTGGGGGTATTTTAAACTGGACAGCGAAGGCCGGTTGTAATGTGTGCATGCTGGGCATTCAACATGCTGGAAAATGACAGCTCCATGATAAGCAGCCTTCAACACGGACTACTTTCTCCTTTGGCTTTTTTCCGTTCAGGCGTCGCCAAAGCCAAACATCGGTCTGCATCAAGTCTCAGTTCACAGCAACATCTCTAACAAAAACATGGAGCCAGCCAGCAGTGAACGATACCCTAATAAACACAGAGAAGTTGGCGACAGACAGCAAAACGTCGTGGTTTCTCATTCTGCAGCACCTGAGCTGACCGCACCGACAGCTACAGGTGTTGTGCAGATAAAAGTTAGACTGTAGGCCGTGGTGCAGTGTGCCTCCCCCATCATGGGAATGTGGATCTCTCAATAGAGTAACACATTTTTTTAATCAATGTACTTCCTAAACAAGTGTTGCCTTTTGGTAGATAAACTAAGGAAATAATATTTTTAAATAATTAAAGGGAAATGTGGTCATGTTTCCCCTTTTTTCTTCTTATTTTAATGCTTTGTTGAAGTATCAGATCGGGAACTGGTATCGGCAGATACTCTTAACACCTCGGACTCTGATCGGGATTAATAAAAATGTGATCGGAACATCCCCGGTAGAAACTGTTGATATGATATCAATTTAGCCACCGACAGATTTTGACTCTACTTGCCACCTGCCATGAATGTTGTTGAGCAACTCTGGACATAATCCTCGACAGGTCCTGCAGGGATTGCGTGAAAAAATACTGTAAAGAACACTTAATAGTACCGTGGCCCAGAAGTGGTACGGCCCGCTGAAACGGCAGGAAGCGTCAAATCCAGCCATGGCTTGTATCAGATTGTAGTTTTGTCTAACTCCTTCTGCTTTAATGAAAAGGGTGTTCTAAACTAAAATCTCCACCAGGGTGTACATGGAGGACGCACCGCTGCTGAGAGGAGCGGTATTCTTTGTTGGGATGGCGCTGTGGGGCGCACACAGACTCCCTGCCCTGAAAAACACACCAACACTTGTTCTGCCATCTTTTTACAAGGTAACAACTGTGCAAGTGACGCCTTAAGGATTGTATGAACTCATGTTCCCAAAATATGAAGGAACTTGGACACTTTCATGCATACTGATTTAACCCTGAGGATGGATCTTGTGTCTTTAGGCCATGTCTTGTGCCAACGAGGTGGTGTCTTATGAAATCGTCCTCTCCATCACCAGACTGATCAAAAAATATGGCAAAGAATTGCAGGTGGTCACATGGGACATCCTGCTGGGCATCATAGAGCGACTGCTGCAGCAGATCCAGGTACATGCAAACTCAGACAGTAACAGAAACTTGGTTATGGACTAAGGGGTTGTTTTGTTTTCTCAGACGATCGGCAGTGCAGAGCTGAAGGCTATTGTCTATGAACTCCTGACTACAGTGGAGGAGCTGTTTGAGCAGAACAGCTACCACGGATCCACAGAGAAGTTCTTCAGTCTGGTGGAGAAATGTGCCGACAAGAGACCGGTTTGTGCTTGGATTTATCAGCTCGCCCGCTGAGCCGTCTGTTTTCTGATTTAAAATTTGTGTGTGACAGGACGCGTCGGTCCTGACCCTCATCTCATACCGAGCTCAGTCTATCCAGCCAGCCAAGGACGGCTGGATTCAGAGCCTTCACCGCCTCATGGAGAAGTTTTTTAAGTAGGACACGCTCTGAGGCGTTTGTTTTTCATCCTCGATCCCTGGGATCACACCATTCTCTGAGCATTTCTGTCACTGTGTTTTATCTTTGTTACAACGATAGGAACGAGACCCGCAGTGTGATAAGGATCAAAGTGCTTCATATCCTGTCCTTCGTTCTCAGCACCAACAGACAGCTTTATGAGGTTTGTACACTCACACTCGGATGCATCTTCAGCTTGATGAGCCTTTAAAAATCTTCTACTTCATCTTTGTCGCCAGGATTTTGTGGTTAAAACTTACATTTAATATTTTCTCATCACTTCTTATGAGTATTAAAGTTTAAATTGGTCCTTTTACTTAATGTTTTTGAAAATGATCGGCCACTTCGAGTTTAACTTGCAGGCTGAGCGTGAAAATAATGTCCTGCACCTATTTCCTGTATTAGCTTCTAGTAGAAAATAGATGGTGAAATGTAGCGATGTGTAGGTGCCTTGTGAGGCATTGTGGCTCATTACCCAAACTTTATTGATACTGTGTCACTGTGTTGGTCTACTGACACCTGCTGGATCTTAAGTATCATTGCAGGCTACGTAATTGGGAGACTCGATTGACATACTGATTAACTAGTATATTGATAAACTGTATTTAATTGTATTCCATATTGTACAATGCATTATTTCATATCTTCATTCAAGCTTAAATTATCTTTAATACATTTAAAACACAAGATAAATAATGTGAATGTGTCACAATTAGTGAAAAAGTGAAACTGTTGTGAACTTGAAGTTGCTCGTGATTCTCATTTGCTGGCATGCATTGTGAGCTGTAAGGTCTTCTATAGACAGATGTCAGGTAGTCAGGTCCAGTCAGTATAATCAAACACAGCTGGACTCCAATGAAGGTGCAGGACCATCTCAAGTATGATCAGAAGAGCTGGAAAGCGCCTGAGTTAAATACATGAGTGTCACAGCTAAGGGTCTGAACACTTAGGACCATGTGATATTTCAGTTTGTCTTTTTTAATAAATCTGCATAATTTTCTAAAATTCTGTGTTTTTCTGTCAGTACGGGGTACTGAGTGTGCATAAATCAGGGAAAAAATGAATTAAATCGATTTTAGCAAACGCTAATATAACAAAGAGTGAAAAATCGACAGGGGACTAAATGCTTTACGTACCCACTGTATGTCACCCTCTCAGTTAACATTCATGGACTCACCCATCTTGACTCACGATCGGGAAGGCAGTTGTTGGTTTAGCATCAATGTACAGTGAGGAACATAAGTATTTGAACACCGTGCGATTTTGCAAGTTCTCCCACTTAGAAATTATGGAGGGGTCTGAAATTTACATTGTAGGTGCATTCCCACTGTGAGAGACAGAATGTAATAAAATTCAGGAAATCACATTGTACGATTTGTAAAGAATTTCTTTGTTTTGCACTGCTGCACATACGTATTTGAACACCTGAGGAAATCAGTATTAATATTTGGTACAGAAGCCTTTGTTTGCAATTACAGAGATCAAACGTTTCCTGTAGATCTTGACCAGGTTTGCACATACTGCAACAGGGATTTTGGCCCACTCCTCCGCACAGATCTTCTCTAGATCTGTCAGGTTCTGGGGCTGGTGCTGAGCAACACGGAGTTTCAGCTCCCTCCAAAGATTTTTGATTGGATTTAGGTCTGGAGACTGGCTAGGCCACTCCAGGACCTTGATATGCTTCTTACGGAGCCACTCCTTGGTTTTCCTGGCTGAGTGCCATGTTGTCATGTTGGAAGACCCAGCTACGTTGGAGGAGGTTGTTGCTCAAAATGTCACAATACATGGCCCCATTCATCCTCTCCTTAATACAGTGCGGTCTTCCTGTCCCCTTTTGCAGAAAAGCACCCCAAAACATGATGTTTCCACACCCATGCTTCACAGTAGGGAAGGTGTTCTTTGGATGCAACTCCTCCTCCTTTTTCCTTGGCGAGTAAAGTTTAGACCAAAAAGTTCAACTTTGGTTTCATCTGACCACATGACTTTCTCCCATGCCTCCTCTGGATCATCCAGATGGTCATTGGCAAACTGCAGACGGGCCTGGACATGTGATGACTTGAGCAGCGGAACCTTTCGTGCAATGCGTGATTTGAAACCATGACGGCATAGTGTTCTACCAACAGTGACCTTTGAAACTGTGGTCCTAGCTCTCTTCAAGTCATTGACCAGCTCCTCCCGTGTAGTTCTGGGCTGATTCCTCACCTTTCTTATCAGTGATTCCCCACGAGATGAGATCTTGCATGGAGCCCCAGTCCGAGGGAGACTGACAGTCGTCTTTAGCCTCTTCCATTTTCTGACAATTGCTCCAACAGTTGATCTACTTTCACCAAGCTGCTTGGCAATTTCCCCGTAGCCCTTTCCAGTCTTGTGGAGGTCCACGATTTTGTCTCTGGTTTCTTTTGACAGCTCCTTGGTCTTGCCCATGGTAGTAGTTGGAGTCAGACTGACTGTGGGGTGGATAGGTGTCTTTAAAAAGCTCAGACAGGTGCTACTAATTAAGATTACTAAGTGGAGTAGAGGTGGACTTCTTAAAGGCAGAGTAACAGGTCTTTGAGAGCCAGAATTCTTGCAGATTGCCAGGTGTTCAAATACTTATGTCCAGCAGTGCAAAACAAATTCTTTACAAATCATACGTGATTTCCTGATTTTATTTTATTTTTTTTACATTCTGTCTCTCAGTGGGGAATGCACCTACAATGTGAAGTTCAGACCCTTCCATGATTTCTAAGTGGGAGAACGTGCAAAATCGCAAGGTGTTTAAATACTTATGTTCCTCACTGTAGCGGTAGAGAATGTCTCAACTAGCAGAAGCTAACCGTTAGCATTAGCAACTCCACCACATGGCAGAACTCTGGCAGAGAATGTCTCGACTAGCAGAAGCTAACCTTTAGCATTAGCAGCTCATGGCAGAACTCCTCCAGGCTTGCGTTTATGGAGATAAAACATCAGTGTAACAGTCAGAGGTAGTTATATTGTTAGCCATTCAGAGGCAAGATGTCCAAATATCAGGAAACAAGACTTCAAATCCTGTCGTGTTCAGCTCAACTCTGATCTTGCTCACTTCTATTCATTTCAATTCAATTGTATTCATATAGCGCCAAATCACGATATGAGTCGTCTCAAGGCACTTCACATAATAAACATTCCAATCCAGGTCAGTTCAATAAGCCAATCAGAAAATATGTTTCCTATATAAGGAACCCAGCAAATTGCATCAAGTCACTGACTAGTGTCAGTGACTTTACAGCAGTCCTCACACTAAGCAAGCAATTAGCGACAGTGGAGAGGAAAACTCCCTTTTAACAGGAAGAAACCTCCAGAGGATCCTGGCCCAGTATAAGCAGCCATCCTCCACGACTCACTGGGGATCGAGAAGACAGAGCGCGCACACACACACACACACACACACACACACACACACACACACACACACACACACACACACACACACACACACACACACACACACACCAAGCAATGTGGCTATGGTTACATTGTGATTTCTTAGTAAATATTCTATTTGGCGAGAGATAAACATTATTGTATTCATCCTAGTGAATCTATAATTAAACGGATAAACTAGCAGTAACACATCTAACGTCTAGGAAAGCAAAAAGTTATTATCGGGGAGGGAGAATGTTTAAGTGATTAGCAGCAGTGTGCTAGACAATGGCCCCCTCCATGAGGTCACCACAGCTCAGCAGAACATCATTGTGGCTTCTTCTGGGGAGAAAAACACTTAGAGAAAAAATAAAGTTAATAGCTGAAGTTGCAGGAAATAATACTGTTAAAGAGCAGATTGTAGAAGAAAGCAGTAGAGTGTGAAAAGTGGTCAGTGTATCCTCCAGTCTAAGCCTATAGCAGCATAACTACAGAGATAACTCCTGATAACCTAGCCTTTTAGAAGGAAGCATGTTGGAGGCAGGGCAAGGGAGAGCCGTCTTTACCGACTGTACACTCCACCTCCCTCTACTCCCCCACTTGTCCAGATCTAGGCTAACATCAGATTTTAACCATAGGCCCTATCAAATAAAAATGTTTTGAGCCTAGTCTTAAAAGTAGACAAGGTGTCTGCCTCACGGACTAAAGCTGGGAGCTGGTTCCACAGGAGAGGAGCCTGATAACTAAAAGATCTGCCTCCCATCCTAATTTTTGATATTCTGGGAACCACCAGTAAACCTGCAGTCTGAGAGCGAAGTGCTCAGTTAGGAACGTATGGAACAATCAGATCACTGATGTATGATGGAGCTTGATTATTAAGAGCTTTATATGTGAGAAGAAGGATCTTAAAATCTATTCTGAATTTAACAGGTAGCCAATGTAGGGAAGCTAAGACAGGAGAGATATGATCTCTCTTTTTAATTCTCATCAGAACTCTAGCTGCAGCATTTTGGACAAGCTGAAGACTTTTAACTACATTCTGTGGACTTCCTGAGAGTAATGAATTACAGTAATCCAGTCTTGATGTAATAAATGCATGAACCAGTTTTTCAGCATCACTCCTGGAAAGTATGCTTCTAATCTTAGCAATATTCCGAAGGTGGAAAAAGGAAATCCTACAAACCTGTTTAACCTGGGATTTGAATGACATGTCCTGGTCGAAGATAACACCAAGGTTCCTTACTTTGTTCTCGGAGATTAATGTAATGCCATTCAGGTCAGGTGACTGACTAAGCAATTTCCTTTTCTGGATTTATGGTCCAAAGATGAGAACTTCCGTCTTGTCTTGATTTAAAAGCAAAAAGTTTAGAGTCATCCAATTTTTTATGTCCTCAAGACAAGCCTGTAATTTACCTAACCGATTAGGTTCATCAGGGTTAATGGATAAATATAACTGAGTATCGTCAGCATAACAGTGGAAGTTTATCCCATGCTGTCTAATGATTTTACCAATTGGGAGCATATATATAGTAAAAAGAATTGGTCCAAGCACTGAACCCTGTGGTACTCCACAAGTAACCCTGGAGTATGAAGACGATTTGTCATGTACATTTACAAAATGAAATCTGTCAGACAGGTAGGATTTAAACCAGCCTAACGCTGTTCCTTTGATCTCTTCAACATGTTCAAACCTTTCTAAAAGAACATTGTGATCAACTGTGTCAAAGGCAGCACTGAGATCTAACAAGACTAGAACAGACACAAGATTCTTATCTGAGGCCATGAGAATATCATTTGTAACTCTCACTAATGCAGTTTCAGTGCTGTGATACTCTCTAAAACCAGACTGAAATTCCTCAAACAGAGCATTAGTGTTTAAATGCTCACATACTTGGATGGCCACTATTTTCTCCAGGACTTTGGATTAAAATGGAAGGTTAGATATTGATCTATAATTCATTTGGTCATCTGGATCCAGAGAATGCTTCTTAAGTGAGGGTTTGATTACAGCAACCTTAAAATCCTGTGGTACATATCCATTTACTAAGGATAGATTATCAGTGTTGGGAGTAATGCGGTACAAAAGTAATTAATTACTGTAATGCATTGCTTTTTGCTGTAATGTGGTAATGTAAGGCATTACAGGGAAAGAAAATGGTAATATTTACTCGGTACAATTGTCAGTAACGCGGTAATTACAATGCATTTTTAAACCCAGAATCAAGATGTGTTCCTTAAAAATTCAAATTGCGGGAAACCCGAAGAAAGATCCAGTATCTGCATATATTACGTCATTTATGGACTCAGCTTTGCGGGCATTCTATGAGCAGAGAGGACGCAGCGGTAATGACTCAAATACTCCTGCTGCTCCTGCACGCGGCCGCTGCAACAGTCGCAAAATCGCTCCACTGAAACAAAATAATTCACTTGCGATCGTACATATCAGCGCATATTCTCTGGTATTTTGTGCTTTTCTGACGTGCTTTGCCTCAGCTGAGTTCATAATCTGTGCCCCGGTGATTTCAACTCTTTGCTGTCGGAGCGCAGCGCATATTAAGCTTTTTTTGTGTGTGTGTGTTCGGTAGATCCCTTTGGCTGATTGGTTAGAAAGTAGGGAATCTAGGAAACAGTTTTTTCTGGAAGACGGAGAAAACATGCAGCATACAGGAAGGTTAGAGAGAGAAAGGGCAGGAAATTATTCAAATAAAATCAAGAAAACAAAACAAAGTGCTTGAAAAGAAAAAAGTAGGTAGATTTATCCCCAATACACTTTTTTACCAGTGAAAAGCAATAATATATAAGCATTTAATATTTATACATGTGATAGAATCAGACCACACCAGAAGTCAGTCCCACATCCAGGGCCGTATCTAGGCATTTGGGGACCAAGGCAAATATAGGCTTGGAGCCCCCACCACCCCACTCCCTGCTCAGTTAATATAAGATGGCAGCGTGCTGAGAGTACAGATTGTTGTTGCTTTTATTTAATAAACAATCATTTTAAAGCACTGTTATTATATCTGACTGTTTTTAACAGCAATCCTAGCTCAGACACCACATCATTTTCCACATATATGTCATGAGCTCACTGAGCGTCACATTACCAGATTCATATTGAAGTTGTTTTGGTGAAAGTAACTTAAAGTAATGCAAAAGTAGTGCAAAAGTAGTGTAATGCCTTACATTTTAAAATCAGTAATATTGTAATGTAATGAATTACTTTAAAATGAGGGTAACAAGTAATAAATAATGCATTACAGTTTTGAAGTAACTTGCCCAACACTGTTGATTATATCTAGAATAGGGGCAGTAATCAAAGGAAATGCATATTTAAATAATTTGGTTGGGATTGGATCTAAAATGCAAGTGGAAGGTTTAGATGAAGCTAATATTTTTGATAACTCTGAAAGCTCAACTGGATCAAAACGGTTCAAGCACAGATGAGGTTCTACAGTTACCTCTGATGCTGCCTCACTTACTGAGGAAGAAGAAATCACATTAGGGAGGATGCTAAAGATTTTGTTTCTAATAGAATTAATTTTACTTGTAAAAAATCCAATAAAGTCATTGCTGCTGAGGGCTAAGGGAATAAAAGGTTCAGAGCTACTGTGTAAGTTTGGCAACTGTACTGAAAAGAAATTCAGGATTATTCTTATTCTCCTCAATTAACGCTGAGAAATAAGCAGTTCTAGTTTGTCTTCTAGTTCCCCAAACAAGCGCACTTGAGCTTTTTTTCTCCAGGATATAACTTACAGGGCATTCCTTCCGACTAGATGCCGCTGCAGACGTATTAAAAAATAGTGAATGACCTCTTTAAACTTTGTTTTGATGCATGTTTAAAAAAAGTTCTTTATTTTTTTTCTAGGATGAGCTGATTGAAATGGTTGTGATCCCTCAGCTGAGTGGGATTGCTGAAGATAAGGATCTGGCTGTCAGAAAGCAGGCCACCCAGCTTTTGGTGGACCTCGCTGAGGGCTGCAACACACACCACTTCACCAGCCTTCTGGACATCATTGAGCGGGTACACACACACACACACACGCACACACGCAGAAACATGTTCTCACTGGAACCCTCACAGGTTGGGTCCTTGTCCCTCAGAGTGAGGTTAGTGTGGTTTCTGTCCAGGTGGCCAGTCGCTCTCTCGTTTGTTCGGGGCCCCTGGAGGTTTCCGAGAGAGACCCCACAGCAGAATCTCCAATGGAGGACGTCAAGACTGCGGTACTGGGTCTGCTGGAAATTCTTCAGGTACGCTCATGTACAGTGTGAGAATGACAGCTGCTAACTGTCACAGTTATGGATGTAAACAGTTTCTACAGATTAATGTGTCAAAAACACCCACAAAACTAATCATAGAGCCAAAAAAGAAATGACTCAAACCATGCAAAAAATTATTAGAGTATTGATGACCTTTAGAGGTAAATTACATTACTGATCCCAAAAGGAAATTAATTTTTCTTTTCAGAATCAACAATAATATTTGTACAGTTTCATTAATTAGCATTATTAAGGGAGCCGCTGCTGCTGCTTCAGCAAGCAGGGCCCTTATTGTTATGCACCTGGGTGAGTTTTCAGACATTATTCACCTTTATTATCTTTCTTCCATGGATGTTAATGTGGCTCAAATGGCAGCATGTACCCCCATATAATACATCAAAACAAACAGCTCGGCAGTGGGAGGTGGGCTATTACATTTCCAAGCAATCCGATGCACCATAGCAACATTATTTGCAAAAATAACAACAAAGGACTTCTCAATTTTGGGCAGATTTAGCTACCCTTTCAAACTTTGACTGTGCAGCAATTTTTACATTTGCATTAGCACTGTCTTGTGCCAGGTAGGTGGTCGCTTTTATTATGTGTTCAGGAATTTTCTTATTATTTGCATCAAGCCAAAAATGGATTTTTAGGAACATTGAATAAGCCTGTAACTGTTTCTCATTTTAACTTTTGATGCCTAATGCATTGTCAGCTTGCTGCTTTTTAATAAATTCTTTAAAAATTTCTCTAATTCAACGACACTGAATCTATGTAGAACCACTCTTTTAGCTTGATTTCAATTCATGCAGCATTTCTGCAAAATCTGAATAGATTCAACATGTTGATGCAATTTTTTTAAGATGGTCCCCCTTTGTCAAGGTAGACAAACCATAAAAAAGATATTTATTTTAGCCTTTTCACCCATTTTGCAGGTTTAATCATTTTTTTTAAATTAATTTATTTCAAAGAAAAATTAGACGCTGAGTTGCAACAAAGCAGAAAAAATGCATATAATTAAAAAAATCCCCCAAAAATCTAATCAATGTGAACTATTAATAAAAAAGGCACATTTGTACACATTAGTGATATAATTTGTTAGAGAAAGTGTAGGATGAAGTAAAAAGATCACACCTCCAGCTGCTGATTCCTCACACCTAAACATCCTAAAACCTTTTTTCCATCTTGAATTCATCTCTGGATCCTGCCGGTTTGTGAGTAAATGGCGAGATGTTGTTTGGGAAAATGAAACTAAAATTATCAGCAGAAATATTTTACTTTAGATTGTTTTTCCCACCAACAGAGCAAACTTTACAGCCTCCCAGCCAGCCACGCGAGTCGTGTTTATGAGCTGCTCATTAGTCACCTGCAGCTTCACTACAAGAACAAGTACTGTTCAGCCATCGCCTCCACCGTCAGATTACAGGTAAAAACCATCACTTCTGTTGTTAAACGCTCACCTCTTTCTGCATTTCCTTGCTAATGATCTTTTTGCCGTCTCTTAAATTTCTTCTTCAGGTCTTTGATTTCTTCTTGATGATGCGAGCAGACTCTCTGCATCGCATCGGCGTTCCCAACAAAGACGGAGCCATGAGGTTCAGTCCTTACTGCTACTGTGACATGGGGTGAAAACACAAACGCACAAACAGATTTATTCTCCTGATTTGATAATATGGCTAAAGCATGCGATTTATTTCAGGGAGCCCGAAAAGCGCGTTGGTGAAAAAAAGCAGATGGGTTCTACATCTCCTCCTGCTGGGAGTCCTGCTCCACCGGCTGCCCCTCCAGCTTCAGCAGCCTCCATCCGCTCGGCTTACCTGCCCTACGCACCTGCCTTCAGCGTCCTGCTGCAATGCCTCAAGATGGTAAATGATGTCTAATCGCACAACGGAACAAAGCACAAGGCTCTATGTGATCAAATTAAATTACAGTCATCTTAGAAAGAAGACCGTTCCTCTGGATTTTGGCTTATTTGGGCAAAATCCTTCTCTAAGCAAATCGCTTTAAAAATGACATTTCAATATATATAATATTGTTATGTGGAAAAGGTAAGATAACAGTTAAAATTCACCATTTTAAATGTGTTTATTATCTAACATAAGAAAAAATATTTCTATAGAAGATTGGAATCATAGATTCAGAACTAATTCCTGATTTGAGTCCAACTTCAGGGTAAGCTCCTGCTCTGATGACTGTAGGTTGTTCTCCAGTGTTCAGAGAAATCAAAGAGGCTGTTGAATAAACATTCAGTCTTGTTTCGAGCTTCTTCTTACGGATAGAGAGTGTTATTTTGTGAAGGGGCTGAGATGGAAGTTGCAGAACTGAGTGGACTTTTGTGTGGATGGTCATGGTTTTGTTGATCCGCATTAGACACCCCCATGATTCCGCATTAAGTTATTTAAAAATGCACTCTGTTGGACTCGGGGTCAATAAATAAAGGTCGTCCAGAGCAGAAAAAGTTCTCATCGATTAGTTTAGCCTTAATCTATCATTTAAGGATGCTTCAATAAGTTATTTTAATTAGTCTGGGTAGAAGATGGTTTTCTGTATCATTTTTTCCACACTGGTTAAAATGCTCTTCACATACCGATAGCAACCAAAAAATGTAATGTTTTGTCAAAAATATGTATTTATTTTAAACGCCTCTAAAATGTACAATTCTGAAAAAACCTAATTCAATCATTGTGAATGTCCCGTTCTTGATGATTGGATCATGATCCATCCATCAAACTGCCATCTCCACATGCCCTTCTATGGGCATGAATGGTACGTGTTGCTTTACGTGTTGGGTTTAGCGTCACTTGTTGGGAAACAATTAGGTGACGGAGCTGTTGCCTGTGAACACAGCCTGTCGTCTGTTGGCTGGCAGAGCTGCATGTCAAACACATCTGTGTGTGTCATGGGCCGGCTCAGAGTAGGGTCGAGTGTGATGACCTGTTGATCATGGGGTTTTTCTAGACAGTCGGTGGTGCTGAGCTGCTGCGATTTTGAAGTTAGGAATAAACAAAGAAAACTTTAAAACTTAAATGTGCTAATACTGGATAGAAAAAGTAAGATGACCTTGTTATTTATTTATTTTTTTACGATTGTCTGATAGTATTCGTTGTGTCCAGGTGATTTACCATTTTCTGTGACCATCAGTTTATGGAACTCTAGAGGAAGTCTGAAGAAAAGGGTCAAGTGTTTTTTTTTTGTCTTCTGAAACTGTGGCTGGGCTGAGCAGCTTCTTCCAAGAAACACACACCTTATCTTTAATGTTTTCTTATGTTTGAAGAGACGTGGTTGTTTATTCTCTTGTAGGAAACCGATTGGAAAGTGCTGAAACTCGTTCTTGACAAGCTTCCTTGGATGCTCCAGTATAAAGTCCTGCTGCTCACATCACCATGCAGCCTAGACCAGCTCTGTTCCACCCTCTGCCTCATGGTACGGCATCATTATACTCAAACATTATAAACAAACCCATGCAGTTCAAACACGACAGTGGGGTCAAGTATGACTTCTGTTTTAGGTAACGGATCGTCTGATCTCAGAGCGTTTGAAAAAGACACCAGAGGGGTTTTCCCGCACAGATGTTCAGCTGGCTGTAGTTCCCGTCCTAACGGCCATCACATCTTACCACAACTACTTGGAGAAGTCGAGACAGGTAGAAACGATTGCGTAACATCATCAGAGCTACTGGATCAGGTCTCTGAGTTAGACTTTCAGGTTCTGCCCAATTAAACTCTGCTGACGTTGGTTTCCTTTTCCTTCTGTAGAGAGAACTGGTTCAGTGCCTCGAGACCGGCCTAATTTATCGATGTGCCAAGCAGTGTGTGGTGGCTCTTACAATGTGCACTGTGGAGATGCCTGATATCATGATCAAACTCCTCCCTGCGCTCATCGTCAAGCTAACCCACATTTCTGCCACCGTTGCCATGGCATCTCCGATGCTCGAATTCCTCTCCAGTGAGTTGTCAACGCTGATCTTGGCACCTCTAACCTGTTGATATCTATTCAGATGGAGCAGAATTTACCTGCTGAACGTCTTGTCTTTCACAGCTCTGGTGCGTTTGCCCCATCTATATGCCAACTTTGTAGCTGAGCAGTACGTCAGCGTGTTTGCCATCTCGCTGCCCTACACCAACCCCTCTAAGTTAATGCTGCCTCGTGTACATCTGCGTTCTTTGCTCCACCGATTCTTCTCTGGCCTTCATATTTACTTTGTTCCCTTCAGGTTTAATCAGTATATCGTGTCTCTGGCCCACCACGTGATTGCCATGTGGTTCATTCGCTGCAGACTCCCCTTCCGCAAGGACTTTGTTCAGTACATCACAAAGGTACGACACAGCCTACGAAGCTTCCAAACTTTAGTTTTGTTCTTGGATTTAAGAAATGTAGTTCTTCTTCTTCCTCTGCTTTTGACTCTTCTTCTTCTACCCCTTTTTTCTTCCTCTTGCCTCTGCTTCTTCTGCCTCTTTCAGTTTTAGCCTTTTTCTTCTTTTTCTTCTTTCACCTCTTTTTCTTCTGCCTCTTCTGCTACCCCTTCTTCCTCTGCCTTTTCTTCTTCTTCGTCTCTTCTTCTTCATGCTCTTCGTCGTCTTCTGTTTCTTCGTGTTCTTCTGCTTCTTCGTGTTCTTCTGCTTCTTCGTGTTCTTCTGCTTCTTTGTGTTCTTCTTCTTCTTTGTGTTCTTCTTCTTCTTCGTGTTCTTCTGCTTCTTCTTCTTCTTTGTGTTCTTCTTCTTCTTCGTGTTCTTCTCCTTCGTGTTCTTCTGCTTCTTCTTCTTCTTTGTGTTCTTCTTCTTCTTCGTGTTCTTCTGCTTCGTGTTCTTCTGCTTCTTCTTCTTCTTCGTGTTCTTCTGCTTCGTGTTCTTCTGCTTCTTCTTCTTCTTCGTGTTCTTCTTCGTGTTCTTCTGCTTCTTCTTCTTCTTCTTCGTGTTCTTCTGCTTCTTCTTCTTCTTGTTCTTCTTCTTTGTGTTCTTCTTGTTCTTCTTCTTCGTGTTCTTGTTCTTCTTCGTGTTCTTCTTCATGTGTCTATTATGTGAGGTTGTTCAAAAACATCCTTTTGCTGTATTTAAACAGTGTAACGATTAAATTTACATATTATTTAATGACCCATAAGATATCAGATTCCATAGAAAATATGAAATCAACCTTATGGATCTTTGGGTACTTTTAACCAGAAGATTGGAACTTTTTATTGGAGGCATTATGTAACAAATTTGTATTCACTCAGAGACAACAGAAGAGAGAGTCAAGTTTTAAAAGTTTAAAGATTTATTACTAAACAAATTAAAACTAGACTAAACACTAAATGTATGGTGTAACTAAAGTGAAGTGAGACGGAGAATGGTGTAATGTGCAATGTTGTTCAGAACCAGCAAATCCAGAGAGACGATTAGTTCTGATGGGAGTGAAGATGATGTTTTTGCACTAAGCTTTGATTTGGAGATTCATAACACACATTGAGATGCCATTCTGTCGGTCTACGCACCCTTAGCGGAAGTCCCCGTCTAGATCAGGAGGTGTAGAGGTCCAGCTTGGACCTTTCTGGAGCCGAAGCCTGTAGAACAGCCGCGGCCGCCGACCAGTCCTGTCTTTGAGATACTCCCAGGTCACAACAGTTTTATTGGCATCCAGCGAGACCCAAAACGGGGTCGTGATAGTTCAGCTTTTATTCTGAAAGGAACCGTTGCTTGGTTGGTAAAGTGCAACAGATTTTATCCAGCTTGTGGTTGGTTCTTTCGGCTGAAGAGGAAAGTTACGTATTGGCCACTCCGACAATTTCTCTAGAAAGCTTTAAGATGACGTGGGCATTAGGGATGGGTACCTTTGACATTTGAATCGATCCGGTACTAATTCCCGGTACCTACGAGTCGATACCGGTACTTAACGGTACCAATTTTCGATACTTTTGAGTGTTTATTATTTTAATTCTCTTTTATAATTAAATATATATTTTTCTCAATATATATATATAACCATATATGATAAATATCACGATAAATAACATACAAGTTTGTATTTTAACATCGTCCTTGTAGTTTTATAAGCTGATAATTAAACTGAAGCAAACATCTTTACTGTGAACTAAATTTACTGTGTATCTTCATTCCTTTTGCCGTCCTTTTTCTTTTGATTTTTCCTACTGGGAAGTTAGAATTTCCGAGGAGAAAGCGAACGCACCATTAGCTGGAAACAACGGTGGCAATGGAAGCTAACATATCAAGCTAACGTTATCTTTAACAGTTTATTTAGCTGCTGGAGCAGATTAAAACGATGATGCCTCAAACTTAGATCGTTGTCGCTGGTTTTACCTTCATCCATTCACCCGTCGCATTTAGTAAAGTAAAGCCAAACTTTAGAGCGCGTTCATGTTCTTCTAGTCGGAAATTCGGAGTTCCGAGGAGAAAGCGAACGCACCATTAGCGAAACGGAAGCTAACAAATCAAGGTAACGTTATCTTAAACATTTTATTTACCTACTGGAGCAGATTAAGATGAGGATGTCTCACTTAGATCGTTGTCTGTCGCTAGTTTCATCACCCAGTTACCCATCACATTTAGTGAAGTGGACCCAAGCTTTAGCGTGCGTTCTTTCTACCATGCTTGCTCTGTTTACAACGGGCTCGCAGGGACCGGCAACATAACGCTCTTGCGCATGCGCAACTGTCTTGGCAGTACCGAAACGAGGCACCGTTTGAAATGACGTGAATCGGTGTTCGGTCGGTACTATGGAATTCGGTCGGTACCTTAAAAAGTACCGAATTCGGTACTCATCCCTAGTGGGCATAGTTTTATAATTCAAATGTTTTGATTTACGGTCGAATGAAAAGAGGACAGATTTACCAAGCGCCACCATAACCACGTCTCCGTCAGATCTGGAAGATTCTGACTGGATCAGTAAAAGCAATGTGTCATGTGTCTTAACCCTATGTGTAATCGGTCTCTAGTGGAAACATTTAATATTACTTATTATATTCTGTAGGATTATAATATCAAGTAATTAATATTTTCATTTCACAAATTGGTTCACATTTTTATTATTGACTAACACTTTGTTTGATTAGCTTATTAAAATAGAGTTCTTTGATTTATTTAAAAAAAAGAGTCCTTTGTCTTCATTCTTCTCTTGTGCTGGAAAGGAAACAGTTTAGAAGCAAAAGCCTGAGACCTTGAGCAATATCTCATGCAGATTAGTTCTTGCTGAGGAGAGGGGGGGAATGACTTTTAGGTGGAAAACAGTCATTTCATTCCATTACAACAGAAATAAAGAAAATATCGTTACTGCACGGGCTTTAGATTATATGACAATATAGACTTGAGGCCATATCACCCTTCCATATATGTTAAGGTACATTAATTATCTAAATAATTTGTGATTTATTGCAACTAATCATGATTAGAATTATTGGTCAGCTGACAGCCCTAATAAAAAGCACTGTTAACAGGCTCATACTGATGCAGTCCCTCTCTGTTGTGGTCATGTAGTTACCTGCAGAAGAACTCCCTTCTGCTTCCTTTAAATCTGCTTTTTTTTGGTTTGTTCAGGACATTTTAAAATGTGATTTTGCACATTTAAGGCTAATTCTTTACAGGGTTGAGGAAGAATAACTTTATCCACAAGCGTAACAAACTGTTACCAGAAGTTTCTGCACAACCTGAACAGACTATTTCATTTTTTTCATACATTTCTTTTTTCATCTCTTCACATTCCCTCCTTTATCTTTTTTTGTTTTTAGGGTTTGCGTTCCAACGCCCTGCTGCCTTTCGACGACGGGCACGAACAAAGCCCGTTTCGAGCACGAAGCACCAGTCTCAATGAAAGACCCAAAAGGTAAAGCGCAATTTTCTCCCTCTGCTGACGTAAAAACTAGCTGTCCCACGTGGCTGCTGTTGTGTAACAGGGTTGCCACGGTAACAACGGAGTCAGCATGACATAAATGCGGCGATAGCTGCTGTGATGCCCCTCAGGTTGCCATGGTGATCATTATTTACTGTTTTATGATTTAACATTTTAACATTTGTTTCGTCACTTTTTCTCCTCGTTATTGTTTCCCCTCATACCGAGAACGCACAGGCGGACAAAATAACATGTTATTTTAGTTTGCTTGGGTCATTTTGTGTGTCTGTTTTTATTTGTCCGCCTCCTGTGCCGTTTTAGAATTGTGATTAAATAAAGAAATAGTGATTTCCTTCTTTCTGTCACACAGGTGTTTATTATGACAATAAGCACAAATTTTCTGAGTTCAAAGATGATGATTCTGTCTAGTTCAGCTGATGATAATTGATCTTTTGAGTCTTTTGAAAGTATTTTTGGATCTTTAGAAGATAACTGAATTGGAAATGCTTAAGTGTATTAATATGACTTAAATAGCTAATTTTAGATTTCTTGAGTATTTTTGCCTGTTTGTTAAAACAAAAGGCAACGATTTCTTGTATCTCTACTACATGCATTTCTACTTTTAATTAACCCATATAAAAAAGCTCACATTTCATTAAACTACATTATAAATAAAGCGTCTGATGATAATTTTTCCTAATTTTCAGTCATGCGTGTATGGTATAATCATCCTTGTGCTGCTCATCCAGTCGGAGTTCAGAGCTCAGCACGTCTGATCTTTAAATTTGTTTATTTTATAGAAAAATAAAGTCTAAAACTTAGGTTTAATCATAAATGTTACATTTAATCAATCGTTTCTTCATCATTGGGCGACAAATCTAACCTGTTTATTCCAGACCTGCTGCTCTCTGACCCAGGTTTAATCCATTGTTCCCTGTTATTGTTTTCTGATGTTTTAACTCTTATTCTGTAAAGCTAGGCTACGTCCATCCCTACATCTACATTTTTCACTCTGAACCTGCTCAAATGTTTATTATTTTGCTCTCCTGGATATGTTTAGTTTCCTTTCTGAGCAGCAGAGGCTGTTTTCTGTTTTAGTGAATGTGTTTACCCTTTCAGAAATCTTTATTTCCGCTCTTTTGTAATCTGATTCATGATGTCCACTGCTGTTAATTTTCACCTTGTTTTGTTTGTTTTTTTGTCGTTTTCTTCATTCGACCCCCCCCCCCTCTGCTGCCTCCTGCGGTTTGATGCTGCATTGTGGTTGTGGTTTTGGGGGTGGTTGTGTCATCCTGGATCCTTTCTACGTTGCTCCTGCTCCCTCCCCCTCCCCTCATGTGAAACCTGCCCTTTGACCTTTGTGTTCTGTGCCCCCTCCCTTCTGCGTGATGTATCCCCTGGCCGCCTGCTCGTGTTGCTTGGGTGATGATCCCTGCTGTGTCCTGATGTATTTTTAAAAACCACACATCTACTGTTACTCCCAAACCACCGCCACCACCCTCATGATGACCCCGTCCCTTTACCCCCAACGTAACGCCAACCCCGGCCCCGTTTGCCCCTCGCTCCCCCCCCCATGGATTCTCCTCACCGCCCAGCCTGCGGGCTGCGAAGGTGTCAAAGGCAGCTGCTGTAGCCAATAGCAGCAGCTCTCCAGTTAAAGAGCTGAGGGACCTGTCAGCCATGGATGCTTTCCGCTCCCGCAGCATCAGCGTCTCCGAACATGCCAATCGCAGGTTAGAGAAGAACCTACTTGGTAACAAAGCAAAATCCAATAACAACTTCAACACTTCCTGCTTCCTCCATGGGGGGGTCATTGTCATACGGGCTCGATTGGGGAGTTTCTTGATGCGGTTTGTTGCCAGGGGCACCTGGAGTGGGTGGTGCATGCTGGAGGAAGGTGTGTGATGATTGCTATTGGCTGTGGTTGTGTATGTGCTGCTTTAGTGTTTGATTTATAATTTGCTTTTGCATGAAGTGTGTGTTGGAAAACATCCCGATTCACATGGAAGTTTTCCCGTTTCTGTTTTTTGTCTCTTTGTTAATGATTTGCATCAGCGCAGTTCTTGTTTTGTTTTACCCGAGTGCATCAGCTGCTGGTTTTTAGCCACTAAGCATGTTCAAGTTTAGATTACTTTGGATCTATTTATCTTTTGTTTGATTGATTCAACTTTTGGTGTGAGTTTCCCTCAATGCGCTCAACAGCAACACCGCAGCTTTGTTTGCTTGCTTGCCTTTTTTTTCTGGTTTCATTTAGCTTCACTGAAGCATGCACTGTGCTGCTATGACCATGGCAATCTCCTAGAGCGCAATGTTAGGACTGTTTGGGCCGAGTTTTAAAAATGTATTTCCAATCAGCTGAACTGCATCATCCACATCACCACACAAACATCCACAGAGACGTTTTTGATCGTACCTTCCCGGTTAGATCAAACACTGCAGTTGTCGGCTGATGTAGTCAAACTTCACTTCAGTGTAGTACCTCAGGCTCCCAGTAGGTGGCAGCAATAGCACAACTTTATAGTCAAATCCATCACAGCTGCAGTCTTGATCTCCCAATCCTGCTTTTTATGTTTACAACTTTTTTTTTGCTTTTCTGTAAAAATTGGTAAATTTGTTCCGTCCTAAAGAACATGACCATGTTTTTAATTTATAAAATTTTAAGATTCAACTATTAAACAAACTTAATTGGTAATGGGTTCAAAGTTCAATCGATGAATTGCAAAAATTACTGTTTCGTGGTCATGTTTTTATGGAGTTTGTGCCTTCTACAGTCTAAAAATACAAATGATTATGTTAATGGGATGTGAGGTAAGTGTAAAATCTTCATATCCGGGGGCCTGGTCTGAGCGAGAGGTCCAAAAGATCAAAAGAGTCTCCACTATGGTCTGAAAAGCTTTAATATTTACCTAACATTAGGTTATTTATGATGAAAGTAATTTAATTCAAAATTCCTGAACACTACTAAACTATACACACAGCTTTTACTCAACAATAAAAGCATCCAATAAACCACAAGTTTAAATGTGTTTATCTGCTGATCTACGAGGGGAAAATTAAATAGTTGTTTTATTTTTGCTAAGTTCCTCCATCTCACTGTCACCACTTTCTAAGCAGCTTTTGGTCACATTTGTTACCTTATTTCTTTTTGTTTCTTCATAGTGTGGATTTGAAACTTCAAGCACAACGTTACGAGTTGGATTTTTAACTTTGACGTTACAAGTCAAAGTTGTTCCTGAGCCGCCACCATCTTTTTTGTTTTGCTCCTTTGCAGCTCTGATGCTTAGCCTGCCCAACATTCAAAGATAGAGCGCTGTGATTGGTCTAGCCTAAACTTGGCTGAGCCAGTGGTAGACCTGATGAGGCTACAATTAAGTATGGCTGCACCAACTTTAAGAGAAAAATCTTGTCTAGATTGATTGTTAAATTGGTGGCTAACGTTTCAGACCTTTGTTGTGAAAAATCATCTTGTTAGCATTCAACAGTTTCCACACATGCTGAGTTACATCTGTCCCATTCCCATAATATCTCAAACTTTTTCTTTATAATGTCGAATTTATACCCATGATTTATAACAAATGTGTGTTTTTAACCTCGTGCTCAACAGCAGTGTTGTGAAATCCACCTGGACTACTAGATCATAAGTTCAAATTCACTAGAGGGAATACAAAAGAGTGAGCTCTGGAGTGCTACTGGGATCAGATTAGAGTTTGACTATTCAGCGTAAACTATAAAAACATTTGTGTCTTTGAAGCCTTTAATGATCTGGCGATCCTTTATCTCAACCCAAGAACAAGCTGAACAAACAGCTTATAAAGCCTCACACCCAAACTATAAAATCTCACACTGCGGCTTCTGCTCGTCTGAGCAATCAACCCTCACTTTTGCCGTTTAGCTTCTGTTTTTTAGCCAACACACACACACACACACACACACACACACACACACATTGTAGGACTATTATCACTGTCTTCAGCCCAGCCCCATCACTATCATGCTTCCTGAGCAACCTTTGTCTTCTATGTAGAAAGTAAACACGCTATAATAAACAACAACAAGAAGTTGGATTTGAAACCAGCAGCAGCTATAAACCAACCAGTGAGGCTGCAGATTTCCAGTTCACATCCGGTTTCTTTCTGGAGCCAACTGAGACCTTTTATAGTAACACTGGGCGGGCAGTTTCCTGCTCCTCCACCCTACTGGTAGAAAGTGGAATTACAACCTTACTGCAGCCTGCTGTAGCTAGCGCTAACAACAAGCTAACACTAACACGAGCCAACTAAAAACCACAAAGCAAAAAGTTCCACACTGTTGGACAAAAACTATTACTACTTACAAGTCCAGTAGCATCAAAGCCAGGTCACCATCAGCCCATGATTTTGTAGCGTCCTTTAGCTCCCTGAAACTAGCGTAAGCTGTGCTGATGTTCACTCTGGTTGTAGCTCTTTGCTTCACCTCCAAATACATTACTCTCTTACTGACAGGATCCACCATGATGCCAACAGAAAAGCAAACTCCTTTTTCTTTTACTTCTTCTCGTGCTTTTTATTGGTGAACTGAAAAGCTAACCGCTAGTATTACAGCTAACAGTCTTAAAGCAGGGAATGAGTGCCCCCATAGGACACCGACCTGCTCCACAAAACTGTTAAAGAGCAAGTCACCCCTACCAGATTGTTACTCAACTCCCACTTCCTGTTTGAAAAATGCAACAAATGCTGTTGCCTAGCAGACCGAGAGGGTGGAGCCACTAACAAATACGCACACTCACGACATTGTGACATCATAATGTACCATCTAACATCATAGTGTACCTCTTAGCCAATAGCAACAGCAGATTTTAATTCAAATGCAGTGCTGAGTTTTTACCTGACGACGGTGCAACACTGACAGTTTTAGGCAGAATATTTAAATTTTAACTAAGATGCACTAAAGTGCCGAATTATTGACTACACGTGTCTGCAGCACGATTAGACACTCGTTTATTTAGTTTATCAGCAAAAAAAAATGTTGATTTGGAGTGACTTGCTCTTTAAGTGCAGTATCTGGCAAGTAGACAGCTTCAGAGTGGCTTCAAATATGAAACTAGCTTCTAACTCAACAATCACTGAGATTAATTGTAAAGCTCTAGCTTAAAGTTAAAACAAATATTCTGTGTTACTTTAACTTTTCAACAGCTGCAGTCAGATCCATCTTTTTGGAATTTTTTGTCATTTTGTACCAAAATATGAAGCAAATTGAATTCTTTCTATAGAAAACCTGTTTGTATTTGAAAAGAGATCACATAAAAGCATCACTTGGACCAAGTCCCGGCCTGTTTCTGTTCTTGTTTGCTTGGAAAACTGTATGATGATTTTATATCTTTAAATGCATGCATCTACATGCTTGGCTTGAAAGTCCTTTAGACAAAAATTTATTTGTTGGAGCTTGCATGACTTTTTTTCACTGATTAGTCGTGTTTTTGCATGCACTCCTGATGCTCGCCAGCTGGTTTGCCATCTCCCTTTTTTTTCCCCTCTTACAGGATGCACACTTCAACCACCACCTGCAGTTTGGGATCAGCTGATGAAAATGCTGTAACTCAGGCAGACGAGGGTCTGAAGACCGTCCACCTGGAGCTTACAGAGACTTGTTTAGATATGATGGCACGATACGTGTTCTCCAACTTCTCTGCCCTGCCCAAGAGGTCAGTGTGAATCTGGATCTTAATCTGGTCCATTCTGTAAAATTATGTAATTAATGAGATGATTTAGCTTCTACCTGTTTTTTATTTTTTTAGGTCTCCCATTGCAGAGTTCCTATTAGCCGGCGGTCGCAGTATGACCTGGCTGGTGGGCAACAAGTTGGTGACCATAACAACCAGTGGAGGCATCAGAACACAGGCATTGCTGGGGCTGGACATGTCAGAACGTCTGGGAGGAGGAGGAGGAGAAATGACCAGGTAATGCAGCGATTAGGAGATCTCTGTACTCAAGTCAGCTTTTCCTTCTGCCAGCAAACTGGGAGGTATCCCTAAATTACTGTTTCTCATGCTGGAAAACTAACTCTTCAATCAATCAATCAATCAATCAATCAAAGCTTTATTTATAAAGCGCCTTCCGCACCCCTGTCAGGAAGCCCAAGGCGCTGAACATGGTACAGTAGAAGTACAAATATAGTGAATAAATCAAAAATAAGAGCAATTCAAAAATAAAAGCAATTCAAATTACAGAATACAAATTACAGAATACAAATTACAAAATACCAATTACAAAAAAAGGTGAAACATTCTAGTACAGGACAGATGGGTAAAACAAGGGATAGAGTGAACCAATGAAAACTGTGAAATAAATTCAACGTAAAAGAGAGCCAAATCAAACATATTCAGGAAACGCCAAGCGGAGGAGGTGGGTTTTTAGGCGACTCTTAAAGACTGGCAGAGATGGGGACAGCCTAACTGAGGGTGGCAGCTCGTTCCATAGTGACGGTGCTAGGACTGAGAAAGCCCGGTCCCCGCGAGTACGACACCTAGAACGAGGGACAGCGAGCAGGCCTTGGTCAGAGGAGCGCAGAGCGCGTGATGGGGAGTGTTTGTTCAGGAGTGTGGCTAGATAGGGGGGAGCACCACCCTGGAAGAAATTGTAAACAAAGACGAGGATTTTGAATTGTGCACGATAGCAAGCCGGAAGCCAGTGCAGGGAGGCCAGAACTGGACTGATGTGGTCCCGTTTCCTGGTCCCAGTCAGGAACCTGGCTGCGCTGTTCTGCACAACCTTTAGGCGACACAGTGATGACTGACACAAACCTGCATATAGAGAGTTGCAGTAATCAAGCCCAGAAATTACAAAAGCATGCAGTACCCGCTCCAGGTGGGCTCTCGACAGCATAGGCTTGATTTTTGTAAGGCGTCTCAGGTGATAGAAACTGGACTGGATCACTGAGTTGATGTGAGCATCAAATTTGAGTCCAGCATCAATTTTCACCCCCAAACTGGTAACAACTGGTTTTGAGTAGGGAGAAAGAGGGCCAAGATCAACATGACGATCCACATTCCTGCTGTTGGGGTGAAAAACAATGAGCTCTGTCTTTCCCTCTTTCAGATGCAGATAGTTGGCCATTAGCCAAGACTTCACCTCATTAATACAGGACACAAAGGACTGGATAGAGTGACCTTTCTCCTGACACAATGGAGAGTAAATCTGGCAATCGTCAGCATAGAGATGGAATGATAGGCCATGTTTACAAAAGATTGACCCCAGAGGTAGCAGAGGACCAAGGATCGATCCCTGCGGGACCCCCCAGCGGAGCCCCTCCCAAGATGAAAAAACATCACCCAGTTTAACGCAGAATGTCCTGTTGTGGAGATACGATCTAGACAGAACTTACCAGAGAGAAAATGAACGGACACGAACGACTGTGCGTTAATTATATATTTTTAGTGACGCCACTTAGAAACGTAGAAAATGTTACTGTGGCCGTGTGCAGAACGCAGCTGGAGTTCATGAATAATCAGCGGTCTGCCTGCCGCTGTCTGCATCTCTGCCCAAAAGAATCCCCGCCACGCCGAGTCCATATAAATAATATAAAATAGGTAGAAACTGGATCTTTTTTGTGCTCCTTCTGGGTGTGTAAGGTAAGGGCATCAGGGGAGCCTGACAACCTTTAAGGAGAACAAGTTGCTCTCCTGTAATTTGAACCCAGTATCCGAGTCCGGATCGGGGCTTGGATCGGGAAGTAAAGCCCAAGTCCCGATCGAGTCTGAAACCACGTGATCGGGGCCGATTTCCGAGCATGTGATCGGATCGGGACATCCCTAGTTGAAAGCAGAACAAATGGACTTCAGTGATGTTGAGATATTTTAGTTCTAGGTGTTTTGTTGACCTAAATAGTGTTTTCAGCTTTCAGCTTTTTGTTCAAATAATCTCATCTTTCACTCATGATTAGTTATTTGATGCTTAAAAAAAGCGCAAATCTGTGAATAGACGGGACTTTTTAGTCCAGCTCCTCTAGTGTGCTGCAAAAACACACAACAGCATCCGTAAACAAACACCGAAACATCACAGCTTCAGTTTTTCAGCTGGCGACATGATCTCTATGTGCTCGGTCTTGATTGGGATCCGCATGAAACATCCATCTGGGTAATCCCGCTCGTCACAGCTGGGTTCAGAGGGACTTTGAGGATAGGAGCAGCAGCTTTCTCATTCATAACACCTCCGCCTGGATAAATGTGGTGTTTTGAACCTGAATTCATTTGTCTAGTCCCAATGAGGATGTGCAGGTCGCTGGCAACACCAGAATTGATTGGAATGATAAATGGTAGGGATGTAAGAAAATATCGGTACAGTGAAATAAAAAGAAAAAAAAACTGCAGAAAATTTTCTTACAGTGCTTCTTTTTGTGCTGTTGATACAAATTGGTGAAGCTAAATTCAAATGTGTTATTAGCCAAGTTGCTGTTTAAATGCCATTTCTGCAGGTCGGATCCGTCACTTCACACCCGAATAACCAAAGAGGCTCCGGCCAAACTGGAGTCCCAGTCCAGCCAGCAGCACAACCGATCCAACCGGATACGCGTCCGCTCCATGTCTGGTAACGTCTGCGCCTCCTCTTCATATCTGATGCATTCAGACCTTTGGTGGAAATGTTTTTTTTTTTTCTTTATTGGTTTATTTAGAATTGATAAGTGAGTGGAAATTTAATTAGCATCATTTTTTATTGTGTAGTTTCCTTTAATGGGCTTTACCTGAAAAACATTAGTTTCTATTTGAAGTTTTCCTTTTTCATTTAAAGCAGGGGTGTCCAGTCCTGGTCCTGGAGGGCCGGTATCCTGCATGTTTTAGTTTGAACTCTGTTTCAACACACCTGATTTCAATCAGCAGCTAATTAAAAGGCTTCTGCAGAGCCTGATGAGCTGCTGCACAGGTGTTTCAACCACTGAATCAAGCCTGTTGGAGCAGAAAAACCACGAAACCTGCTGGATACCGGCCCTTCAGGACCAGGATTGGATACCCCTGATTTAAAGGGACACAGTTTTGCTTGCTTATAGCACCCCCTAGTGCGGTTAAACCAAGAAAGAAATGTATCTCCTCATTGCCGTGCGTTCCTCCTCTTTTTAACACCTTTAACTGCTGAAAGGTCTCCTCAGCTTTCATTAGTTTCTAGAGGAGTAGTTAATCACTAAATCAAACAAATCAGCTGTGGTCACGATCTAAAACCTGGAGGAAATGTGCTGGAAGCAGACTCTAGCTCCACCACGTCTGCTCCGCCCCACTCCACAGCTCCCCCCACCTGAAGGGAGCATCCACCAACTCTGAGGTTGCAAGTTTTGTAATCTGGCCACAGAGGGCGGTGAGGTCTGAGTGACATTAAAGGGTCATTTTAGCAAATATTGGCTCAAGAAAATAATATAAAAGTATTCAAAAGTAGCATAGTGTTCCATTAATGTTAATTTTAAGTGTATAATTAGCCGAGCCATCAGGCTGTAATGTGGGCTTTTAAGTGGATTCTGCAATTCTACTGAGCCTCCTTTGGTTTCCAGGTGGTCACGCTTTACGCGGCGGTCCGACTCAGAGCCTCAGTCCTCTGGTTTCGCCATCTGAGGGAGAGTTGGCCACTTCTCTCTCTCCCTCCTCGGGTCCTGCTCTGGACAATGTTGGACCTCCCTCGTCCATGGCCTCCTCTGCTCCTCCTCCTCCTCTCAAAGACAACCCAAGCCTGGCTGAGTTTGTCCCGATGCTCACTCAGGGCTGGGCAGAAATCTTCATACGGAGACCTTCAGGTGTGTTCAGAGGCAGATCTGTGTAGTTTGTGAAGACTTTTTAAGTCTCAAATAAAAACAGAGCAGCGTGCATTTAGATAAAATGACTTTATTTATCAAAGCTGTAGAATTCAGCATTAAAATCAGAGTGGTTGTGTTTTCCTGGGTCTCCTTCCTCTCAGGTAACACCAGCTGGCTGATGTGTCTGGAGAACCCCCCCAGTCCCTTCTCCTCTGAGCTCGGCAACATGCCGCTGCAGGAGCTCTCCACCGTCCTGATGGCAATGGAGGGAGTGAAGGAGCCTCCCGCTCAGACAGCCAGCGCTCCCGCCAGCACGGCCGCCCCGGCTCCCACGTCTGTCTCTGAGCCTCTGAGTCAAACGCAGAGCGGCGTTGGAGGGAAGCCGAACCTGATTCAGTGCTCCAACACTGGTGAGGACCACTCTTCTCACTGGCTGGGATTTGTTTATTCTTAGTTTTGTGGTTTACCCTTAAAAATAAACACCTCAGAAGCTTCAGAACATTGATATTATTGTTGCTCACATCCCTACCTGTCAGCTAAAAGGATAATTTTTCTGTCAATAATTGATTTGATATTTTCTTCACTCAGATTAATGACTAACTTTGTCTTATTTAGAGGTTTTCTGTTCAGTACTTGACTTGTGTGCTTGTTCATTTCCCCGATCACTCTGAGACTTTATTTCCTCATCTTCATTTTTTAAACTTATTTCCTCTTCTTTATTTTTACACTCTTTCTTTCAACATTTTGTCGACTTGTGTTGAGTTTCTTTGTCTCTTCATGCTGGTGGGAATGCTGAAATGTGATTGGCTGTGGCCTGTTCATGTGGCTATATGTGCCACTAACGTGTCTCCTCTGGCATCCCGCCTGCAGTGGGCGGCTCCCTCTGGTCTCTGGGTCTGGGCTGTGCCCCCCCAGGCCCCCCAACTCCTGGCAGGTTGCACAGGAGCATTTCTTGGGCAGGTATCGTCTACATGAGTGACCCAACACCTCCACCTCCCTCTTCCAGAAAAGTCCTGTTGTAGTATATCTCCTCTCACTTGTACAAATTAGCAGTCTCCAATCACAGTGATGAATTGGCTTCAGCTTTTCTTATTCATAATTTTAATACAGAAGTTTTAGATGAGTCATAAAAGCATGCTGAAAATGCTTTTTTAAGCTGGAAAACAAATTAGTTAAAAAAAATTTCAGGCCTCCTAACAACATTCTAACATAGTATATTGCGTAGATTTAAAATTTAATAAAGTGGTTCTCTCGCATTTGTCTACAAACCTCCACCAATAACACATTTCAAACCAAAATCAACCATTGGATCATTTGGTTGTCGGTCTTGCTAAACGGCCGCATTTCCCTGGGTCCTCCATTCATTACGCACTCGGGTATTAAGCAACCGAAGCGGTTCTCTGCTCAATAAATTTATAGAAAGATTAACAGTTGGCTGCTAGCATTTCAAATTTAGGACAGACTAACAGAGTCCCATAAAGAAAAACACCATTTGAAGTCACGGACAACAAAAGATGTTTGGACGTAGAAAACGACAACTGGTGTTTAGCGCTGTCTTGTTTTTGTTCGGCATCACGGGTTTCCGGATCCAGCAGAAGTGTCTCAGGGAAGATGCCCGAAGGGAGGAATGAGTGTTCAGTGACCGTGTTTGTGTTCAAAACGTAGCTTGTTAGCAGTTTCGTCCTGACAGCTTTAATATCTTTGGGGTTTTTTTCCTTGCCCGTGTCCTGTTCGGTGGTAATGGAATCAGGTTTGATATCTGATTGCCACAGACAAGCCTTACAGTTTTGATCTCCTAGCTATAATACCCTACTTGATTTTGTTGGAATTTAAAACAACCGAAAACCTTTCTAATAGACACGGAGACAGAAATGAAAGAGAAAGGGGGGGGGGGAAGCAAGATGTTGGGGATTAAAGTTCATAAAAGTAAACAATACAGGATGTACAATAATTTACTTCTAGACCTGCAGAAAGAGGGAGAGAAAAATAGAGGACACACAAAGATACACCAGAACCAACATATCACTGCACCAACGGCATGAGGATATATAACAGTATTTGCCGAAAAGCACACGGTAATAATTCATAGTGCATTTAGTGCCAGCCACAGCCCTAGGCTATTTGTCAAAAACACCCAAGTCCATACTTGTGAGAGTACCATGTGAGCACCTGTGTTTTTGTACACACACCTGTGTATGTAAAGTTTCTCAATAAGAATGTCCAATAGTGAGTGTAAGAAGCCACAGACCTGACCCCAAGGACCTGCGGAAGATGGAGGGGATCCAAGCCCGGAGCGTGGAGACCCAATGGAGAAAAAAAGGCTCAAGTCTAAATCGTCCAAAGTTGATGCCAAAGCCGTTTCAAATGAACGCTGTTCCTGAGCTGATGCCATTTTTGTTGTTTTTCTGAATTTTGTTAAGTTGCTTAATCGGGACAGAGGAAATGCAAATCAGTTAGCTTGTATTTAGAGATTTTCTAGAGATTTTAATTGACTAAAAGACTCTCAGTTAATATTTAACATTTGGGGAAATATTTTTCTGAAGTTGTAAAAGTGGTGAGGAATAAATTCCCAAAATAAAAACTTATTTTTGTGAAAAGATTGAACCACTGAATAGTTTATGTTCATTTAAGTGATATTAAAATTGAACTATTGTCATCCTGTAAAAGGATTATGCAAAACCCCTCTTTTCCATCCTTTTGTGCTGCCATTTGGGTCTCTGCTGCCTCTGTAAACACTCCAAACGTAAGGAAAAAAAAGAACATTTTTCTCAGAGTTTGGTTTCAGGAATTATTTTGCCTAAAAATAAGTTGTTTAAAAATTCCTCATTTGTGACATCGCAATATGGAAAATTAACATAGAATCACCTCACTTTTTATACGATGGAGTAGAAGCAACACAACTCCAAGCCACTCCAGTTATCAAAGCTCCTCAACTAATAGCAGCCTATCAGGGGGTGGGTGGAGGTGGCCAGCAACAGCTTGTTTTTTTAAAGTGAGGGTCAATGCATGGGTGGAGACGTATTTCATCCACACTTCCTGTTTGGAAAACGCTTCCGAAAGAGGTGTCACCTGGTAGACCGAGAGAGCGGCACTGAGGCAGTGGTAGACCGCACCCTAGAGCCCTGCACTGAAGCCCGGCCCTCGGGTGGGCCCGGCCCGAGGGCCGGGCTTCGGGCCAACGACTCTGTAATTATCTCGGACACGGGCCGGGCGCCTTTATTTTTAATCAAATTCATAAAAAAATAAAATAAAAATAAAAACTAAAACACTTGAACGCAGCAGCACCTGCCTGCTTCTCATGCACCGGCACCCGTTAACTCAGTTAAGGTCTGTGTGGTTTATAAATGCGCCTATATAAACAAATTCTCAAACTGCTGATTGAAACATGTGCCCCTATTCTAATATGCCATTTAATGTCCACTTTGATGTCAGAAACCATTCGTTTATTCTCATGAAAATGGCAGCATTCTATTTTTCTGTGAATAAATTCGCTCTGCAGTTAAAAAAATACAGCATTCATTGCTGGGTTTTTTTCTAACCGGAGAGCGCATTTTCTGAGCGGCAGAATAAATTTACAAACGCTATAATAATTGGGGGCGTTTATTTAATCTGCCGTTCTGAAAATGCGCTCTGCAGTTAGAAAATTAGAATGCTGCTTTTTTTTATTGCACAAGAGCGCATTTTCAGAGCAGATTAAATTTACAAACGCATCCAATTAATATAGTGTTCATACATTTCATCTGCCGCTCGAAAAATACGCTCTGTTAAAAAAAAGCTGCATTGATTCTGTTTTTCTTTTTTTTCTTTTCTTTTTTTTATTTTATTTTTTTTTTTTTTACTGCAGAACGCTTCTCGCAGATAATTTGAATGCTGAGCATTCCATCACGCTAAAACATTATGAAAGGTTAAAAAAAGTCGGGCTCGGGTCGGGCCAGAGAATCCTGAAAACCTTTTCGGACCGGGTCGGGCTGGGGCTCCACCCCCTCGGGCCGGGCCGGACACGGGCTCAGATTTTAGGCCCGTGCAGGGCTGTACCGCACCCCCCTCAACCCCCCGCGTGTGCTGTCGGAGTTTCTAAATCTAAAAACGAGTTGTTAACAAGAGCGTGCGCACCCGTGCGTGCACGCACTCACACAAGACATACCGCTAAGGAGAACAGCAGACACAGATTCTGCAGCATTCTGGAGGATTTCCTGTTAACCACGATCACTAGATGAAAAGGGGAGGAGTGCTTTTTTTTCAAGGAGGCAAGCAGCTCAGAGAGCCAGCGTGCCATGCCGGCAGGTGATTGGCTGAGCCGGGTGGAGGTGCAGCTGCCTCACCTGGAGATCAGTGCAGTGCAGCCACGTAGTACTTTGCTGACAACGTCACGCTTTTCAGCTTGGCCATCAGCCACAGCTGGTTCTACATAAATGTCAGGGTTAGGGTTAGGCTTAGGCTATGACAGAGCCCTGAAATGGCTTATTCTGGAAGGTACTGAAACTATCAGGAATTAAACTGTTTAAATCACTTTATGTGAACGGGATTTGGCACCTAAAACCACATAAGGGCCATTCCCATCTGTACCGGGTCGGCCCAGGCCGGGTAGCCCCAGTCGGCCCCATCCTGGCCCGGTTGATTCCACACATCCTTGCCTTAAGCCCATGTGGGCTGATTCTACCCACCAATCAGAGGCTTGCTCTAATGGAAGGTGTGAATTTGCTGTCAGCAGTGGGTGTGTTGGCCCTGGTCGGCCTGAAGCAGACCCCCTCGAGAAGAGGGTTGAGAATGAGCCTTGGTTGGCCCGGAAAAATACCAGGCCACCCAGATATGTAAACAACCTACGCAACCCGGCCCGGGCCGACCCGGTACAGATGGACATGGCCCAATAGACATGTTTTGTATCAACTAACGAAATAGTATTAACTTATTTTTAATACAAAATAAAAGCTATAATTTGTCCCTTTAAAAAAAATTTTAAGTCCTTTTCAGGAACAAATATTTATTGTACTTATATTTGTAACTTTGTTGAAAATGAAAAGAAAAGTCGTTTGTGCCAAAAACCTGCTGTTTCCTCCTTAAAGAGTGTACAAGCTGAGATCAGTTGTGTCTTTTATTAACATGGGAGGGAGGATCTCCTGAGTGATGATTAATTAGATGCAACAAGTGTTGGATTTTGATTAAATCTTTGACTCCTGTGATTATTTTTGTCTTTTTCATTCTAATATCTTCTCTAACTTTAGAGATTCTGAAATCTCCTTCCAGAGTGCTCTTTAACCTCTGATAAAGCCCAGACCTAATCATGCTCTTCCTGGTTTAGCTGGAGGATCAGTAGAGGGCTGGGGTCTCATTTGTCAAACATTGCGTAGAATCCTTACTAAAACCGTACTTAAGCTAGCAAAAATATGTACTTACGCCAAGCAGGTTTGTGATCTGTCAAACATGGAGTACACACAGCCGCATGCAATCTCTGCTTTATAAATCAGAAACTATCTAGAAATGTTCTCAGCTGCTTTTTAGTCCCATCCCGGCCTCACCACGCCCACTTACTGCCATAAATAGTCAATGCAAAGTGCCTTGTGGATCTCATGCATATGCATAAGCTGGCTGTTGCAGCATTTCGATCACGACCGCAGAGCAAAGAAGCGCTATTTCACAGAAGCAGAAATTCAGGTACTTGTGGGTGAGGTGGAGAAATTAAAGGAAGTGCTTTTGCAAAACAAATAAGAGAAAATCCACGGAGTGGCACAGCTTTGCTGAAGCTGTCAATGCTGAGTTCTTCAGAGAGATCTGTGGCGGATATAAAAAAAAAAGATCCGATCAGGATTTGATCCCCAGACTCCCGGGTGAAGGTCACACGCGCTAACCAGTCAGGCAAACGGAGATCTCCCTTGTCCAAGTAGCCAGGGCGCATGATCAATCGGGTCACAGTGACAGGACACACACTGTCACAGACGCATGACATTCTGTCTCAATCTGTCCCCCTGCTGATTTTCCGCATTCCGTATTCTGCGCTTCAGGGTGTGTGCGTGTGTGTGAGTGTGCGCATGTGTGTGTGTGCGCGTGTGGGGGCTCTTGTTCTGCGTGAAAACGAAGCAGTACAAGTGATAATGCTGCAGGATTTCATAATTTTATCCTCCTCAGCAGCAGCTCTGCAGGTGCTCTCCATGTCCAAAATGTGCGTAAGCCAGGTCCTTAGTCAACTTCAAGTTGCGCACATTTTTTCGCTAAGTTTTCTTTCATAAATCCCAAAGCGTGCGTGGAAAGTTGCTTACGCAGTTTTCCGACCCCGTTTTGTGCGTAAGCAAGCTTGATAAATGAGGCCCCTGGTCTGGGTTGTTGTTGTTGTATTATTAGATGCATCATGTTTGAAATAACCAACAAGTCAACAAAACTGATGCATGAGTTGATGGAGAATGAGTAGACAAAGCCTTGAGAAGATGTAGCCTGCTGCTGATCTGAACTCAGCCTCTGTAGAGCCAGATTTTTCACTTTGAGTTTGTTGATCAGCATGGATGCATATGATCCTGTTTCATGCTAGAAATTTTTTTATTCTTACACCTGCATAAACGTTTTAGTGTGTAACTAAAGTGGACATGCATGGTTTGATTTTAACGTCTTTGTGTGTGTGTGCGCGCGCGCATGTGTGTGTGGGTAGCTATGCATAACACACAGTTGTTTTTGTTGTGTCCTGCTTTAGACTCTGTAGTGGTGCTAGAGGAAGGGTCAGGGGTTACCACACCACACACCCCTCTGGAGTGGGTGGAGGGTGCAGAGTTTGAGCCGATGCCCTCCGAGCCCATTTACATCTCCACCGACAAGACTCCTCCTCCTGGAACACTCAGCAGAGTGAGAAACCGATACTGGATCAGTTTGTTCACATTCACACATTTACTGGTTCCCATTAAAAGAAAAAAAAAACATCAGGACATATTTAATGTAATAACGTAACTGGTGTTGAGCTGAAATGGCCTTAAAGGTCTCGTTCCCATAGAAACCATGTAATAATTATTTTTGACATACATCTGGTTACTGATGCACATGCATGCTGAAGGTGAGCATGTTCTTCAACCCCCATCACCTGCATTAACCACAGAAAGGAAACCGACAGGAAAATGATCGAGTCAAAAAAGGCAATTCACTTCTACGCCACAGGGAAAATTTATATTCATGGCACTGCCTATCTTGGCTTAGGACCGCCTACATCTCAGCTGGTTGAAGCTAACCATGAGGAGCCTAAGTCACGCCCATCTACTTCCAGACCATGGGTCCCCGGAAGAACGAAAAAAATGAATGCAAGAGCTAAAAACGCTATTTTGTAATTCTGCTTACGTGCCATGGATTTCACACATGATGTAGACACATTTTGATACCAAGAAAGTGCTTTTTTTTTAACGGGAGGAAACGTTATTTTAGGTTTTGTGTGAAAATAAGTTCAGTACTACAAATGCGCATTATGAAAGTGACATCATCGAACCAGACACGAAGAAAACAGAGGGAAAATGGTTGCAAGTTCAGCGAATTTAAAATCCTTCCTTTAGGAGGAAAAAAACACCATAAATCTGGTCATTTGGTTAGTAGCAGCTACGCTAGAGGAGAGATTATATTGTGACGTCAAATATGCAACGTGCCAATTTCTAATTTGTATTTCTTCTAATTAAGTACTTTTACAAGCTGGTAAATCTCAAAGAACGTGACAGATGTGTTCGAAACCCCCTTCATTAGTTTTCTTTTAAATTGCAGTTAAACATATATGCGATCCAGGGCCTGAGGCAAAGTGGATTAGAAAATGGCTCCTTTTGCCCAGTTGACTTGTATTCATTTTTTCGTTCTTCCGGGAACCCATGAGCCGACCGGAAAGGGAAGAGACTTGGCTCCCCATTATCATTAGCAACACTGCAACATGAAGGAAAATGTTTAAGCTTGTGTTATTTATTGAAATGCCACATCAGTGTTTTTTACCTAAAAAGAACAGAAGCAGCAGAAGAGTTGCGTTGCTGTTAAACAATCATTGGCCAGATGTTTTCATATCATGAATATTAATGAGTAAGACTCATAATCCGGTCATTTTCTACTACCTGAAACAAGAACAAGAGCTGTTACTCCACAAAAAAGGACTCACTGACATTCATTCATACTAGAGACTGCAGCAGATTTAAAAAAGTTGCAAATGAGACCTTTAAGGCACACCTGCTTATAAATAACCTGTTTAAAAAAAGACCCTTAAATTAAAACTTCTTTCTCTAACTTGTAGTCCTCCTCCACCTCCAGTCAAGATGATGAAAAGTCAACTCTGGAAGAAGTGAGTGAAGGAGCCATTCCCATTGACCAGCCCGCTCTGGGTCCCTCCACTCCAGGAAGCCAGGGACCCGAACTTCCTTTTCAGAGCCAGTCCCAGTCTCAAGGTCATGGACTCAACAAGTCCAGCTCCTCCCCAGAGCTCCAGACACTACCCGAGGCCTTTGCCAAAGCTAACATGGAGTCTGAGAGTGTTCAGGTGGACGTATCTCGCCCAAGAGCACCCTCAGATGGAAAGCCTCAGTCACAGCAGCCCCATTTTGAAAAGGACAAAGTGGAAGGAAGCACAAGAGGGGATTTTAATGTGCTGGGAGGTCAGAACCAAGGAGGAGAAGGTTCAGGCTCATCATCTCAGAGTGGAGGAGCAGGGATGAGGTTGGCTTTCCCAGCTGCCCAAACACAATCTGGACCCATCTCTCCCAGTGGAGGGCACCGACCCCGAGGTCACACCATTTCAGTTTCAGCTCCCTCCTCCAGGAGAGAGCGGAGGACTGAGAGGGACTCTTATCACAATCGATCCGGGCCAAGCAACACTGAGAAAATGTCTGGACTGAGCCCCAGGTACTCCATAGTTCATACAGGACGTAAATTAAGTTGGGAATTGGGGAACATGATCTAAGGGTCAATTCTAGACTTGGTAAATGATTGAAAGAATGACTAACAGCCCTTGGATTTTAAAAAAAAGCTACTTAAAATGAGATGCATTCAGTGTTAAGACCATTCAAGGCTTTCAGTTTTTCCTTCGCTGCTATTAGAGAGAATTCTTCTGATATGGTTGAGGTTCCAGGGATGGAAGGCGGCCGTTTTGGGAGGTTAGATTGTCGAAGGAAAGGTCCAGGTCAAGAACTGTGCTAAGGCATTCTACTTGTAGTTGCTAGAGTCATTAAAGTTATTAAGGACCAAAAAGCATGAGCTCAGTTTTGTCAGAGGTGGACCAGAGGACATTACGGGACTTCCAGATCTGTACCTTTCTGATCTGATTTGCTATGATTGGATGGATCAGCTCTCAGTGGTGAGTAAAGCCATGTGTCATCAGCATATCCGTTAAAAGGATTGGGCCTAGAGCAGAACCCTGGGGAACACCCAGATGAGGACACAATACGAATACATGAAAATTAAACCAGGCTGTAGCTATACTCTGTGCACCAACATTGTGAACCATCTGTTTTTATTTATTTATTTATTTATTTATTTATTTTTCTTTTATAGTTTTGTGTTCCTGCAGCTCTACCACTCTCCTTTCTTTGGTAACGAAGCCAACAAGCCACTGCTGCTGCCTAAAACTCAGGTGAGTTTTCTTACTTTTTAAAATACATTGTGAAATCTGCACATCTTATTTATTAACTTTTGACTTCTAATATTTGATATTAACACTGAAAACAGAATTTCAGAACAAATGTAAATCGGTTACCAACTGAATGTTATGGGTCCTCTAAATGTTTTACTGCAATTTCAGATTATCTTGAAGATTTGGCACAACGTAAATGATGGATTTTCATATTTAGCTCAGAATGGTTCCAGGTTTGCTCAAATCAGTGGGAAAAAAACTCCAAATATTTGATTCTCCCAATGTGATGAAACTTAAATTCTCTTTGTTTAACGGAGAAGATCAGAGAGATCAGGCTAGAAGGAGATTTATGGATGCAGAGGAAATGAAGCTGATTGGTGGGCGAGGAGTTGGAGCCAGATGATTCGCTGTGGCGGGTTTATGTTGGCAGAAATCACCTTCATTAACAGTGTTGGGCAAGTTACTTCAAAACTGTAATGCATTATTTATTACTTGTTACCCTCATTTTAAAGTAATTCATTACATTGCAATATTACAGATTTTAAAATGTAAGGCATTACACTACTTTTGCATTACTTTAAGTTACTTTCACCAAAACAACTTCAATATGAATCTGGTAATCGGACGCTCAGTGAGCTCATGACATATATGTGGAAAGTGATGTGGTGTCTGAGCTAGGACTGCTGTTAAAAACATTCAGATATAATAACAGTGCTTTAAAGGGACTTTATGGAGTTTTGAATTTTTATGTTTGCGATTACCCCCTCAGGCCAAAAGTGTAACGGCAGCTTCAATAGTAGGCTCCTGCAAGTGGCGTGCATGCTGTACGTGCACACTCCTTAACAAAAATAACAGCTGAGACAGTTGTGTGTGTGCGTGTGTGTGTGTGTGTGCGTGTGCGTGTGCGCGTGTGTGTGTGGCCCAGAGGACAGGAGAACGCGCAGCTAGTTAATTAAATAATTAGGTTCTGTACCTTTCTCTTCAGCACAGCCGACAAAGGTTTATGATGGGTCAGTCCTCCTGCATGCTCAGATCATTCCCTTCCCTTGCTTGAAAAATTGTTCCAAAATGAAAGTTGAACCCACATCTTTTTTATCTGTGAATTCAATGCCGTTCGGCGAGTCTCAAATAAAAATTTGGGCATCTTACTGTAAAAAAAATATACTATTAATGTAAAAAAGAAACTCTAAATAAACTATATTCACATCCCGAATCGAACCCAGGTCTTCTGCACGAGAGTCCGACGTCTTACTAGGTGAGCTAAAGTGCCAGTGACGTCATTAGTATCTGTAACATTTATATCCTTGATGACAGCTGAAACAACGTTCAAAGAACGGTTCGGAACAAAAATGGCTATTTTGTTGCTAATTTGCAGGAAATATCTAGAAGAAAGTTCTACAGAAAGTAGCTAAGGGTCCTCAGAAATGTAGCTAGCTTTGTCACTAGGCGTTAGGAACAGCGACAGAGTGGCACTGCCTCTCTCTCTGCTGCTAAAGCTACGGATAGCAAATACTACGGGCTATGCCTGAGCGTGAACGCGCATGAAGCAGCCTGTTCGACCCGAGCAAAACTCTTTTTCTGTGATTTTACAGAAAAACAGGCAATCACAGTAAAAATGCCAGGGCTCATTCTACAGGACCAGGGCATTGCAGGAGAATGTATGAAGAAGAAATTTATTATTTCTATACATGTTTTTGGCTGTCAAACTTCCATAATGCCCCTTTAAAATGATTATTTATTACATAAAAGCAACAACAAACTGTACTCTCAGCATGCTGCCATCTTATAATAACTGAGCAGGGAGTGAGGTGGTGGGGGCTCCAAGCCTATATTTGCCTTGGTCCCCAAATGCCTTGATACGGCCCTGGATGTGGGACTGACTTCTGGGGTGATCTGATTCTATCACTTGTACAAATATTAGATGCTTATATATTATTGTTTTTCACTGGTAAAAATGTGTATTGGGGATAAATCTACCTGCTTTTTTTCTTGATTTTATTTGAATAATTTCCTGCCCTTTCTCTCTCTAACCTTCCTGCATGCTGCATGTTTTCTCCATCTTCCAGAAAAACTGTTTCCTAGATTTCCTACTTTCTAACTAATCAGCCAAAGGGATCTACCAAGCACAAAAAATAAATAAATACCAAAAGCTTAATAGGCTTGGAGCCCCCACCACCTCACTCCAGCCCCCACTCACCTGTGCTCCAGCAGCAATGACTTGAAATCACTGGGGCACAGATTATGAACTCAGCTGAAAAGTACATGAAGTACCAGAGAATATGGGCTGATATAAACGATCGCAAACGAATTACTTTGTTTTGGTGGAGCGATTTTGTGAAAATAACAGCGGCCGCGCGCAGGACGCAGCTGGAGTATTTGAGCCATTACCGCTGCGTCCTCTCTGCTTATAGAATGCCCGCAAAGCTGAGTCCATAAATGACGTCATATATGTGGATACTGGATCTTTTTTCAGGCTTCCCGCATTTTGAATTTTTAGGAAACCCACATCTTGATTCTGGGTTTAAAAATGCATTGCAATTACCGCGTTACTGACAATTGTACCGAGTAAATGTTACCATTTTCTTTTCCTGTAATGCCTTACATTACCACATTACAGCAAAAAGCAATGAATTACAGTAATTAATTACTTTTGTACCGCGTTACTCCCAACACTGTGCGTTTATTCTGCTGGAACATAATTTTTAATATTTTAGCGAGATTTTTCCAGCTGGGAAAAAGTTTCAGTAGAAGAGTGGATTTTTGCAGAACATCAATCATATAATAAGTTCGGTGATCTGATTATTGTTCTTAAAGTTGGAGATGAAACGCAAAAAGGCAATAAACTGAGTAAAGAGAGACACTTTGACACTGAAGAACTTTGACCTTTAGGTGTTTTAAACCCAGCTGAGCCGTTACTCCAGCTCCTCCGGTGTTCACCTGTGTGTAAACATTTAGTTTTTTGTGGCAGGTGATCGATCGAGCTGTGAAGGTTCTGGACCAGATGCCTCCTTATGACACCCATAAGATCGGAGTGGTGTTTGTTGGAGCCGGGCAGGTGAGAAAACGTACAAATTTATGATTTTAGTTTTGGATCTCGCTTGTAGCTTTTCTTTAACACCTCGATAATCCTCCTCAGGTCAACAACGAGGTTGCCATCCTGTCAAACGAATACGGATCCAACCGCTACGCCGCCTTTCTCACTGGTCTCGGGAAGCTAATCCACCTCAAGGACTGTGACCCTGACCAGATCTTTCTCGGAGGACTCGACCAGTATGGAGATGATGGAGAGTTCACCTACTGCTGGCACGACGATATCATGCAGGGTGCGTACCCACGCGTGACGGAAGAGACTTTAACACAAATGAACTTTCTCATCCAGTCCGCTGTGAAAGTTTAACATGAAACCGCATCTCTGCAGCCATCTTCCACATAGCCACACTGATGCCAAACCGAGAGAGCGACAAGGGCTGCTGCAACAAAAAACGACACATCGGCAACGATTTCGTCATGGTGGTGTACAACGACTCGGGAGAGGAGTACAAACTGGGAACTATAAAGGTAGACATGCAAATACAGATGTTTAAATATAAACATTTTGTGCTTGAATACAACTTATTTTGTAACTCTTCTTTTAGGGCCAGTTTAATTTTGTAGAAGTCATAATTAAACCTTTGGATTATGAATGCAACCTCGTTTCCCTTCAGTGCCGTAAAGGTGAGTTCACCACAGCTTTTTCTTTCTGCTCCATTTCACTTTTGTCAGATTTGTGTTCATTTTCTTCACTCTGTCCTTCAGATCTCGAGGGTTTAGTCGACACAACGGTGGCGAAGATCGTTTCAGACCACAACCTTCCCCTCTTAGTGAGACAAATGGCTCTGCACGCAAACGTGGGTTTTCATTTCAAACTCTGGCATCTACCTAAATGCACAAGACGGGTTCTCTCATTTTTGTTTTTGTTTCTTCCCAGATGGCTTCTCTGGTGCACCAGTACAGGGCTAACCCCTCGGATGCGTATGCCTCCAAGTGGCTTGCAAGATTACGACACATCAAGAGGATCAGAACCCGAGTAAGGCAAAAAAAAAAAAAGATTTAAAACAAGAACTAAAAGCCAAAATCGGGGGCCTCATTCATTCATCAAACATTCATAGAAATATTCCTGTAATCCTCCCTATGAATGAAATTTAGAATGTTCGTATGAACGGCCAAAATCCTGATTTATGAAATATGCAGTTGCCACTTATACGCACATTCCTCTGCAATTATCTGTTGATCAATTCCATGTGTGTGTGTTTATGTTTATGTATTTAGCAGACACTTTTGTCCAAAGTGACTTACAAGTGATAATCGGCATGTTGCCCTTGAGGCTAACAACAACAATAACAACAACTTGACATCAATCATGGAGAGGAGGGAACAAGGAGTGGACAGTAGAGAGGGGGACAGGTGCAGGGAAGGTGCTAGTTTAGAAGATGCTCTCTGAAGAGCAGTGTCTGCAGGAGTTTCTTGAAAATTGAAAAGGAAGCTGCTGTTCTGGTAGTGCTTGGTAGGTCATTCCACATTTGTGGAACGATGCATGAGAAGAGCCTGGATTGTCCTGAGCGTGGTGTAGGCACTGCTAGCCGACGATCCTATGATGACCGGAGCGGCCGGGCCGAGACGTAAGCCTTTGCAAGAGGATTCAGTTAGATGGGAGCTGTACCATCTTGGACTTTGTATGCTAGTGTTAGCGATTTTAATTTGATGCGTGCTGCTAGCAGTAGCCAGTGGAGCTCAATGAACAGAGGGGTAACATGTGCTCTTTCTGGCTGATTGAAGACCAGACGCGCCGCTGCGTTCTGGACCATTTGAAGAGGTCTCACAGTACCACCTGGAAGACCATTTAGAAGGGCATGGCAGTAATCGAGGCGGGAGATGACAGTAGATTGCACCAGGAGCTGGGTGGCATGTTGTGTTAGGTATGGTCTGATCTTTTGTTTGTTATACAGCGCAAAGCTGCATGAAGGAGCAACAGAGGCAACATGATTGTTAAAGCTCAGGTGTTCATCAATCACAACACCCAGATTTTGAACTGCCTTTGAAGGAGCCAGAGATAGGAAGTAATTTTGGATTGAGATATTGTGCTGTATGGCTGGTTTTGCTGGGATGACAAGTAGTTCAGTTTTAGAGAGGTTGAGTTGGAGATGGTGGGATTTCATCCATTTTGATATGTCAGAGAGACAGTTTGATTTTCGTGCAGAGACAGTGTGGTCATCCGGTGGAAATGACAGATAGAGCTGGGTGTCGACTGCATAGCAGTGGTAGGAGAAGCCATGTGATCGGATTATCTCACCCAGTGAGGTGGTGTGTATGGCAAAGAGAAGAGGTCCTAGTGCAGAGCCCTGGGGGACTCCTGTGGCAAGATGGTGCATGGTAGAGGATTGTCCAAGGCAAGATACACTGAATGATCGTCTTGTGAGGTACGATTCAAACCAGGCGTGTGCTTTCTCTGTGATGTCCATGCTAGATAGACTGGACAAAAGGAAGCCATGGTTGACAGTGTCAAATGCAGCGATAAGTCGAGCAGGATAAGCTCACAGGATTTGGCAGTCGCTCTAGCTTCTTTTAAGGATTCCGTCACTGCCAACAGAGCAGTTTCAGTTTTGAACCCAGATCGGTAAGGGTCAAGCAGACAGTTTTGTGAGAGGTATTCTGTGATCTGCTTGAAAGCCACCCTTTCAATGATTTTGGACCAAAAAGTGAGGAGAGAGATAGGTCGGTAGTTCTCCATACGATTTGGAGGAAGAGATGTTTTTTTTTTTTAGCAGCGGTTTAACCTGAGCATGCTTGAGAGAGGTGGGAAATGTACCAGATGTCAGTGAAGCGTTGATCACATGTGTGACTGCTGCGGCTACTGTAGGAGCAATAGCTTGGAGCAGCTTAGTCGGAATGGGGTCGAGTGGGCATGTAGTAGGGCAGCTGCACGTGAGAAGCTTGGACACACAGTTCTCAGTGAGAGGGGAAAAGAGGAAAATGAAGCAGTAGAATGGTTGGGCTGTCGCGTGCCCGTCCCATTTACCGGTTCCTTTAAAACCTAGTTCCGTTAGAACTTATGAGACGGTGCATCCATCAGGGTTCGATGGGGATGTCGGTGAGTATTATAGTATTAGATCCTGGTTTGGGCGTCCTAAGTTAGAATCATATCTTTTATTTTAAAGGTGAAATAATATGTAAGACCTTTCCTTTTGTAGTAGCTCACTTCTTTTTAAGCAATCCCGTTATCTTAAGGTTTCTTTATATTAATCTGTCACAAACCGTAAAGTAAGTCCTGATAATTCCAGAACCCATAATTAATGTGCTTACCTCTGTGCAATTAATGATCAGAGCCCCCACTCGTGAAGCTTTAGAGAAAACCTGAAAGAATCAGGATTATGTTTCTTTTTCAAAAAAGGTTTATTACAAAATCAAAATACAAAAATGGGTAGATGAAAAAACAACTGCTATCCCCCACGGAGGAATTAGTTCAAAATGATTAAATAAGAGTTAGTTTACACCAGCTCTTGTCTTCTCAGAATCTCCCCAAAACTCTCCCTCTCTCTCTTTCTCTCCTAAGAGTCTCTTCTGTCATCCCCCATCCAGGCTTGGACGGGGGATGACCCCTCCAAATCTGCTCTGTCTCTTCTTGTCCTCTGCCCCAGCTGCTGTCCGCTCTCCCAAAACCTCTCTGCTGTTCAGAGCTGTTCTTATATACCCTTCCTGGACCAGCTTAAGGTCAAGGGGTCATTTACCAGATACACACTTTGTAGCTCAACACAAAACATTTGGTGTCATTTTCACTACATGCATTCTTCTTAACACAGGTCATTGCATCATCTTTTGCAGCATTCTTCAGTTTCTCTCCAATGTTCCCGAGAGGACTTCTGGATCTGATGGGCTTGTCTTCACTCTGTTCTCCTCCAATCCCATCTTTCCAAGCCAGGGGTGGGGCAAAGAGGTGGGGTCAGTCTCCTGACCCTTCGCCCAGTTCTGTCCTCTTGTCCCTGTGACCCTTGTGTGACCCTTGTTTCTGACCACAGTTTTTTTGACCTGCAGCCCAGCTCCTGTCGACTGGCTGATTTTGCTCGCACAAGCCAGTCCAGTGTGGCTCACCTTTTGACCCCGTACTTGCCACTGTCTTTGGCATGTGGGACTCGCAACAGGGCTAGAAGGAGTTTGTGGTAGCGAATGTTCAAGAGTGGCCAGTTGAGTAAACTCTTTGCTTATAGCTGCCACTTTGTCAGTGAAGAATGAGGCAAAGGTGTCAGCTGATAGATTGTTGGTAGGAGGTGGAGACGGAGGGTTGGGCAGAGTTTTGAATGTCGAAAATAGTTTCTGAGAGTCAGTAGAGCTGAGAATTTTGTCAAGTGTAGAAAGCTTTCTTTGCATCAGTGATGCTGGCAGAGAATGAGGACAGTAATTCATGAAATTTCAATTGATCACCAGGATCTTTTGTTTTGTGCCATTTCCGTTCTGCACCTCTAAGATTGGTGCGTAGAGACCGGAGGGTATCATTTAGCCAAGGGCGCGACTGAGAGGATCTAGCAGGTCTAGTGGCTAAAGGGCACAAGTTGTTGAGACAAGAGCAGAGTGGCTCGGTGGCTTCATTCACTTCATAAATAGAGAATGTGCTGGGAGGTGGAAGAGTGGAGGCAACAAGAGAGGAGAAGTGGTTGGGTGCCAGATTGCGGAGGTTGCGGCAGAATGGTGCTCGTGTTCGTTCACTGTCATTTAAAAATAGAAACACCCTCAATTAACCATATTTCGTCACACTACGTCTTCAGCTCATGAGGGAATTCCCTGTGTTCCTGGAAAAACAAGGAAAACTTTATTGACAGCTAGATAAAGACACCGGCTGCCAAATTAGAAAAGAACAAACAAGTTGCAGAGGCTGTAATTTCATTATTGTAATTGCAGTCAGGACAGAGATGTCCCTGTCAGAAATGAAGAAATGGGTTAAACATAAATTAAATATGAAAACTGTGAAGAAATGGACTGAATGTTCCATTCTGTTGTCATTTACAGTTTACGTTTAAGGAGTTGAATGCATGTTCTGTTTAGATTTAGTTTTGTTCTTATAGGAAATGTTTGACTCTGCAGCCTCAGCCTCAGCCTTCAGTTTGGCAATGTGTGTTAGCCTGGCAAGCCAGACTAAATAAATACATTTAGTCAGGAGACTGGAGGACGGCGGCGGCGCCAGGCCTGAGGCGGGTCAGACGTGTCACAACGGGCATCCCTAGTCTGCTCTTAGGGGACTAAGTGTATTTTGTCTGGGAACGCTTCACTGACATGTTCTACCGTTGTCTTTCAAACGATCTCCACGTGCTACTGAGCAACGAACAACGAGACGCATTCACCGCAACTGATGCTGGTAAACAAGACAGTCCACTGTTGAAGAAGAGAAAACCCATCCTTTTTCTAAGTAAAGGACTTAAATGCATCTATCTGCTAAAGCCATGTCCTAATAGTCCAAAATTGATGTAAAAACCGTTTCAAACAAGCTGCCACCATCTTGTTCCACTCCGTCGCATCATCCCGCCTACCAAACCAATTATGTTCCTTGATTGCCCCACAAAGCCAAAGCCGATAGAGCGCTGTGATTGGCCCACAAAGCCGATAGAGCGCTGTGATTGGCCCACAAAGCCGATAGAGCGCTGTGATTGGCCCACAAAGCTGACAGAGCTCTGTGATTGGCCCACAAAGCCGATAGAGCGCTGTGATTGGCCCACAAAGCTGACAGAGCTCTGTGATTGGCCCACAAAGCCAAAGCCGATAGAGCGCTGTGATTGGCCCACAAAGTCGATAGAGCGCTGTGATTGGCCCACAAAGCTGACAGCTCTGTGATTGGCCCACAAAGCCGATAGAGCGCTGTGATTGGCCCACAAAGCCGATAGAGCGCTGTGATTGGTCCACAAAGCCGATAGAGCGCTGTGATTGGCCCACAAAGCCGATAGAGCTTTGTTCACCAATATGGACCAATCAAAGTACTCTGTCGGTTTGAAACCCGGTTAGAGAGCTCTGATTGGCCTGCCAGAATGATGCTGGGGTTATCGTAGTTTTCAGTCTTTATCCAGACTGGAATTAGATTTATGTGGTTTGGTTGTCGCTCCAAAAAGGGTTCCAAATCACAGCTCCAGAAGGATCTCCTTCAGGAAGTGATATCTGCTCAGGAGCCACTCTGGATCCTCAGCAAGCAGAAAGTCGCGTTTCCTCTCGAGTCTCTGCTAAATCCTCCAGTAACACCATGCTGCAATGTCAGATACCCGTCGGTCACAGGTTTCTTTTAGCAGCAGTTATGCGACAAAGCTTTTTTCCCAACCCAAATATTTATTGGGTGAAATAATTATTAGGTTTGTGCGGACGACTGAGACCTTCAGTACTGCAGTTCCTCCGTTCTACCACTAGATGCTGTTCCTAGCACAGGTACAAAAGGAGGAATACCACACTATGTGTAAAGGGCACCATCTAGAGGCAGAAAAATGTGTTGCACCTTAAGCCCTCACCCTTTTTCCCTAATTACAACTGTAAACAAAACCTCTCGTTAATGAATGGGGACCTCTCACGTTACGTTGTTGATTCAGATATTTATATTAGAAAGTCTTGTCCTTATGAAAAGTCTACAACTCCACTTCGGTTTAGGTTCGTCCTAAAACGCGATCACATTTTATAGATTCCTAAAAAAAAATCATCCATAAGTCCTGAATGGGGGAAAACTCCAGACTGCTGCTTTGAGAGTTCTTCTCCCTCTCGATTTTGTTTTTTATTTTTCCATCTAAATCTCGTATGTCGTCACTCAGGCTCAAGAAGACATCCAGTCCCGCTCCAATCCCGGGATCTCTCTGACCCAAGGACACACTCAGCAGAACAAGTCGTTTCAGCAAACCACGTCAGCGCCAAACGCCGAGCCCTCTGGGCAGAGGAAGAGACTCGTATCCACAGTGGATGATTTCACCGATTTTGTTTGATTGTTCTCTGACAGACACACTCACACCCCCCGACCACAGACAGGTGATGTTTGTGGGTCCGTTAGTGTACGGAAGAAAAGTGATCATTAAAAAAATATCTGAAACAGCGAATTTGGCTTTTTTGTTGATTTTTCTGGGCAAATGAATATAACTTGTTTGGTTTGTGACCATTCTACTGTTGAATTCAGTTTTACATCCTGAATACTTGTCAAAGAAACCTTTAATTTAAAAATAATCAGCTGTTTTCTGTTAACCTTAAGCTGCGAATGATTCCAAAGGCACAAAGAATGTTTTAAGTACATTACATAAACGTTCAAAAGCAAACCTTTATTACTTGACATCAATCATTTCATTGTACAGAGTTCAGCTGTCAACGCTTTTATTCGACATTGTCAAGTGCAAAAGCAGAAGTGCTACAACTGCAGAATAGATTTATTTTAAACCAGCAGGAAAAAAAAGCTTTTAATACTGTTTGAAAACAAAAAGCAGCAGCAGACGAAGAGGAGAATCAGCCGTTAGACGCTGCACAATAACAGGGTTATGAGTGAAATCTAAGGAGCCTCCTGTGGTTTCTACTTATTCAGCAAGTGTAAGAAAAGCTTTGGCTGTTGGATCGGAGAAAAGTAAAACTTTGAGGCTTGCCATACCAGTGCTCGACCTTTGTGTCACTGAGCAAAGATCACATATAGCAGAATTTATACATCCTAAAGCTCAAAAATATACAGAAATTTACACAAAGTGAAAAGAATAAGTATTTCTAAAAGCAATGGATAGAATGTTTAGAATCATTTCAGGTGTTACTTTTTTAACTGCACAGAAAAGAGAAATATATATATAATATATATATTTAATAGTACCTATTTGTTTTCATTTAAAATTTGTACCAAATGTTTTTCTATTCCTGAATTTCTTTCCAGGTTTGAAGTGAAGGGTGGGTTCCCTGAGATCTGCCCACTGAACACAGGAAGTGTGCATGTCGACAAAAAAAAAAAAAAAACAAACTAAAACTGTGGTAATAATAAAACAAAACAGACATTTCCTTAAACGTAGCAGTTACTTGACACACAAGATAAATACGGTGTTGAACGTCCGCTCCATTAGAGAATAAAGTGCAAGTAGAACAGGAACGTATTATTTGAGACGCAAAAAGCTTTGGTTGAATACAAAACATTTAGATTTGGGATACAAAGCTTATTTCATGTATGCCTCCTTTTAAAAATCAACAGGAAAAAAAAGTGCTTTAAATTTTTCTCTACATTGAAAACAACAAAAAATACACTTAAAAGATCATTAGAATGGGATTCAGAATAGCTGTATGATGAGAGAACTAGTAAATATTAGGTCATCCATACTTCCTTTGTTTCCTTTAATCTCATGTCCCTCCACACCTCTTTCTCTGCTCTCTCTTTCTTCCATCTCTTCACTTTTTCATATCTCAGCCTCCCGAAGTAGCAGTTTGCTGGAATACCAACAGCGTTTATTGTGCATGAGTAGGTTTGGTGTGTGTGTGTGTGTGTGTGTGTGTGTGTGTGTGTGTGTGTGTGTGTGTGAGTGACGCCAAAATACACAACCCAAGAGTCGGGAATCTAACAGATACACAAAAGTCTGATTGTGTTGGTTCAGTTCTGGTCTTCTGGTGAGCACGTGTCTGTGCTCCTGTCAGTAGCAACATGTGACCTCCGGGGTCACATGACCTGGGGGGTGGAGAGTTAAAAAACAGTTCTTTGTTTGAATCAAACAGCTCTGGTAGAACCTAGCGACTGGCACCGTGTCTCAGAGCGGAGTCTGGGATGCGTCTGATCCAATTCCCGGGTTTAGAGAGGAGCCTACGGGGGGGTAAAACCAGCCGCCCCTGTTCTCTCGTCCTTAACCCGACTTTTTCTTCCCTTTTTCACCCCCGTGTTCCTTTGACACACTTTCACTTCCATTTATCCTTCCTTTCCATCTACGTTGGGTGCACCTTGTTTTTGAGGGGTGGGGGTTTCCGTTTCCTCTTGCGGGTGGGGATGGTGGTGGTGTGAGCCGGATGGTTGAACAGGCTCGAGGACGGGAGGGTTTCTCGCTCCGTGGGAGGATCCCAGTCTCGAGGGATGGGTGTGGGACCGTGGGGATTTGGGGTGGGTGTTTTGGATGAAGGTGGCGATGATATGGACGGGGGGTCAGTGGGGGGCTTGTCTGTGACTGGTTTAACTGATGGCCGAGGGGGAGGGGTGTGGTCAGAGGAAGGTCTGGGTTTTAAATGAACAGGTTCGGCTACAGAAGTCGTTTTGGCGTTTGTAGAAGAGCTGCCAAACTCTTTTAGAGTTCTCTCTGCCCTTTTGCCCTTCCTGTTGTGTTTTTCTGTTCCAGAAAGTTCTTCTTTCAAGTCCTTTTCCACCCCTGCCCCCCTCTGCCTGGCTCTGCCCCTCCCCTCCTGACTGTTGTCCCTTCCTTTATGCCTCATTTTTCTCTGGGCTCGCTCCAGTCTGCACTCCATGTGGTACACATCCTCTGTTGCCATGGTGACACGGTCAAGCTGCTGCAACAGAGCATCCAGCATGGGGAGGAGCTTCCCCAGAGGGGCTTCTGTCTCCACCCACTCCCTCCAGGTGCCCCCCCCCACCATCATTCCCGGGCTGAAGCCCAACCCGAGGCCCAGTCCGATGCTGAGGCCGGGAGCTTCTGTCAGGCTGCAGGGACTGGAAGAGGCTGGGCGCCACAAGGCCTCGGAGCCAGCGTCCACGCTGTCCGGGGTGGGGGGGGAGTCTGGGCTGTCCAGCTGGGGCAGACACAGGGACTTACGGTCGCTGGTGGAGGACGAGCGCGACGGTGGCAGCTCCATGCCCTCAAAACGCACTTTATGACGAAACTGAGAAGAGAAATGAGGTTTGATCAGGTGCAGGAAACTTTCTGATCTCACATGCTGTTGAGGTAAAACAGGAAGCTACCTCTTTCGTCCTGCTGAGGCCCATCCACATTTTGAGCCGTCTGACGAACAGCTCCACCATCTCGTAGTCCTGGAGATCCACAGCAGGTCGGTACAGCTCCGCTCGCGCACGCCGGTAGTTCCTCAGCAGCACGGAGACGACCAACCACAGGAACACCAATCGAATCATGGCGAAGCTGGCATGGAACGCCAGCAAGGAAAAGGTGCTGGAGGGGCCAGTCATCATCACAGCAGGATGCCACGACAACGGGCCTCTCCCACCAGCCCCCAGCAGGGACCGACAGGCCGACGCCACGCTACCATAACCGTCCAGCACAGAGTGGAAGAGCTGCAGGGGAAAAACTAAAAGGGTGAACCCAAATGCTTGATATGACTGATCTGTTGTGTTGTCAGTAGAGGGAACTGACCAGGTGTCCTGTGTGTGAGTAAGCCAGCAGCAAGAGCAGAAGGGCCGCCGCAGCCACAAGGAGCTCCCAAGCTGAGCGGCGCAGAGCTCTGCCGAACACCGCCCACTCTCGAAGAAACCGCAGCTGATGAGAAGCCTGTCGGATCAGCAGATGTCAGTCTGGTTAATGAAGCAACTGGTGATCAAATAGGTGTGAGTTTACTTTTTTCCCTACCTTGAGCACCAGAATGAACAAAAGCAGGGCAGACATGACCGTGTACGTCTCACTCAGTTTGGACAGAGGGTGGAAGTCCGTGAAGGCGCCCCGCGGATGTTTCAGGAACGATTCCCACTGCTGCTTGGCCATGACGGAGCGGCTCAGGTGCAGCCCACACACACACACTGCCAGAGACAACTTACAGATTCCCATCAGCGTCCAGACTGAAAGCAAATACCTGTAGCCCCATCTGAGAAAAGCCAGGACCCCTTGGACCAGGAAATACAACACCAGGCCGAGCAGAACCATCTAGAAATGAGAATCACAAAAGTTTAAGGGCACCAAAAAAAGTTTCTGTGTCGCCAAATCCACAGTCGGGTTAGTTTCCAGGTGTTACCGTGAGAAGAAGTTGGAGGTCCAGGCCTGTGAGTGGCCACAGCGTGAGGACGGTGAGTTCAAGACTGGACTGAGCGCGCTCAGAAACGGGGAAGTCGAACAAAAAGGAGAAGACTGACAGCAGGTTAGTGTTGATGTTGTAGAGGGAGAACTCCACGGCCACGCTACGAGTCCTGAGAACACAAAAAGTGATTTGTGCATCAGAGCACAGGTTGATCCTTTAGTTTTGGATGGGAGTGTTTATGTCAGATGCTTTTGTGCTGTGTTCTGGGTCATTACCTGGGGTCGAGCCAGTGCAACTGCTGTAACCGCCATAAACAGGAAGAGGCCTCCTCCAGGCTCCCGTTGAACAGGTGAACTGCATCTCTGCTGTCATTCTCCATCAGATCCAAACGCCACACCCTTAGGAAGAAGGTTGAGACGGAAAAACCAAGTGAAACACATGGTGAATCGACATTGGAAGCCATTTCTATTGAAAGACTCTGACTTTTTCCTTACCAAGCTGCACCGACGGCACCAGAAACTGCATCTTTAGTCTGGGTTGTAACAAAGTTGGAGCCTGGACTAAAATCACCTGCAACAGAAACGCCCATTTTTGAAAACTCTGAATAGTGCATCTTAACCAAAAGAAAACTAAATTATGTTTACAACCAAATGTTCATTCCTCTAAAGTGGTTTAAAGGAGACGCAACTTTTTTTTTCTTCAGTTTACGAACATTGGCTGATATGAGAATTTTTTTCTCTTGACCGTTGTAACACCTTCCAGAACAAGCCATTTCAGTGCTCTGTCACTTTAAGAAAACAAGTTGGAATTGACCACGCCCACTTATCCCCTGATTGGCTACTATAAGCCAAGGAGCCACGATATCTAGGAGGGGCTCAAAGTAGAGCCACTGCTCCACTAGCAGCAGCTCTCTTTTGCACGTGAGAGATGGTTCTATTCTAATTTCTCCGTTGGTGACATCACAAACTGGGACTTTTTGGAACCGTTTGTTTCAGGCACATCGTTCCTAAAACCAAAAACTAACAGAAAACAAATGGATGTTTTTTTTTATGTTTGGAGTGTTTACATATGCAGTAGAGACCCACATGGATGCAAAAGGTGAGTTTAACATAATATGTTCCCTTTAATTTAATTAGACAATTTTAGATTCGGGTGTTTTTTTTCTAGATTTATACCATTTCCACTTATCGCTTGAAAATGTTTTCACCTTAAGATGATTAGACTTTAATCGGCAACCTTGAGACAATGAGCATTATCATTACAATAAATTCTTCTGGTTTCCGTAGAGATCAGTAGTTTCATGGCTAATCAAAAAGACGAGCATGTTGAAGCTCACCTTGTTTGTCGCGAGTCTGTCGGATCCTCACAGAACCAAGCAGAACACTTCCTGTGTCTCTCAGAAGTAACGAGTCGTTAAGCAGCAGCGGCAGCAGGGATCCGTTCATCCACGTCAGAACATCGTCACGGCTTCAAGACAGAACAATCACTCCGGCATTACTCTGTTGCCAAACCTCACTTTGTTCACACCAAAAATTTAATAAAAGTCAAAGTTACAAGTTCAAAACTCAATTCACTTAAAAAAACAAAACTCCAGCTTTTTAAAGATGCAAATCCATCCAGGTCGATCCATCGGAACACAAAGGAAAATAGGCAGGACTGGATCTCAGGGTTGAACAAAAGAATCCGTGGTTTTTTATTTTGTAAAAGAGCAAGTAAGCACAGTCAGCCTTGAAAAATCTGAGCTGGTGACTTAAAAAAAGGCATCTGAGATTCATCAATCAGTACCTGCTGATGGTGCGGTACTCTGGTGTGAGGAGGGTCTGCTGCAGCTGAGTTCTCAGCCTCAGACAGTGTGTGTCCTTGGCTGAATCGGAGTAGTTCAGAAGCAAAACGACCAACAGGAAAAACACGTAAACCAGGAAGTTCTGAAAAACAGGAGGAAAAACGGCTATTACACAGCCGGCTGAGGTTAGAACGTCTCCAACGCAGCGCCTCGGTCCTCGCTGACCTTCAGCATGGCGTGCAGCATGTGGACCTTACGGGCCTGCTGCCGGGCTCGAGACAGAGCGAAGCCCTGAGGTGGTCTCACTCTGGTTATCCGCTGGACCACTTGCTCCACTCGGGAACCTTCCACCAGCATGTCCTGGTCCTCCGGACGCAGCCGACGCACACACACAGCAAAGTACAGCGCCTCACACACCACCTGCAAATAAAAAAAAACCCACAGTCAGTTCCTCGGATGTTTGATTTGGATTTGCACCAAACACATTAACTAAACTCTAACAAGGCCAGCTTGCAGATTTGTCTAAGTAGAAACATTAGAGCTTTTTCTAGGATGCAGATATCCAGTTGGAACAGAACCTGCAGGTAACATCTGGCTTTTCCTCATGCTTAAACAGTGATTAAGAGATGATTTATCAGATGCAGCCACTTTAATCTATATTCAGCACACCGGTGGGATGGCAGGTGCATGTCTCCACAGCTAGAGACATAGTTTGTCTCGGTGCTGCAGCAGGTGCATCACTAGTTTCTTAAACTGTTATACATTTGTATACATTTAACAGAAAGTCCTACAGATGGATTGTGTTTGTTTTCTGTTTTTGTCTTAGCGGATTGTGATTTTAACAATAAAATACCGTATTTTATGGACTATAAGTCACACTTTTTTTCATAGTCTGGCTGGTCCTGTGACTTATACTCCGGAGCGACTTGTATATCAAATTATGTATACCGCGCTGCTGCGGACCGGCTCTGGCCCAGGTTTCAGCTCCTCTGCCCCGCCATCACCTGCTGGAGCCTGTGGCAAGCTGCTGCGGGTCGGGTGGCTCCGACCCAGGAATGAGCTCCCATGTCCTGCTGGGAGGGTTTGAAACACTGCCATCCTCTGCTGTAGCCTGTGGCGGGGTGCTGTGGGCCGGCTCCGTCCCAGGAATGAGCTCTCCCCGCCCGCTGGGAGGGTTTGAAACACTGCCATCCTCTGCTGGAGACTGTGGCGCGCTGCTGCGCCCTGGTTGTTTATTCTGTTATTATTACTGGTACTTGTCTTGGAATGTGAAATGCTTGGTCTCAGATTTTGTAAGAAAAATAACATTTCCCCCCAAAATGTGACTTATACATGTTTTTTTCTTCTTTATTATACATTTTATGGCTGGTGCGACTTATACTCCAGAGCGACTTATACTCCAGAAAATACGGTAAGTTGCAGTTTCCCAAAGTCTGGACTCTATCCTGGATCTGGGCCAAACAACTCCAGATTAATAACAGCTTTCAGACCAAAAGCAACCAATGGACCATCCCGTTGTCCTCCTTTCATTAACACTTGTGTATTTTGCACCACCACTAGTGTGAGGTTGTCCGCTCACTAATATCAGAGAAGGAGAAACAGCCGGCTGCTACCACTTCAACTTTAGGACAAACTACTAGAGTCCCAAAGAGAAAAACACCGTTTTCAATCACGAACAACAAAGGATGTTTGGACCTAAAAAACGGCGACTGGTATTTAACGCTATCTCGTTTCTTCTGGATTTGCGGGTTTCCAGTTCCAGCAGAAGCGTCTCTGGGACAACACCTGAGGGGAGGGGTGAGTAGTGCGTGACCTTGTTTGTGTTTAAAACCTAGCTAGTTTGCTGATTCACCATAACAACAGGTATAAAGCAACAATCAACATGGCTGCCAAATCTTACATGCTGGGTGTGAGACACAAGCATCTCACGTCACACCTCCATTTTCTCACGCTGAGCGCTTGCATGACACGAGCCAGACTCCCCCCAGACAACAGAGGGACACAACATGAACTAGACCCACCTTGGTTGGGCCGTGCTAATTTAAGGAGGTGTGTTGAAGCGCATAACGTGTCAAACTAACGCCCAAAGCTGTCGTTATCAACAACAAAGTAAAAGCAGTTTTAAATACTAGAATGCTTTTAAAGGAATTGGCTTCTTCTTAGTTGTCCTTGATCTTCATCCTCATCTACAAATCGCATTCAAAGCTTTGAATCTCATGTTTGATAAATGTCTGGTTTATTGTAGTGTCTCCAGAAGTTAAAATGTGCAAAAGTAAAATGAAAAAAAAATATATATATATATATATATGTAGATTGTGATCGTAAGTTGTGTCTACTCCTGTGGTTTTGTGCCTTTTTCACCTTAATTGGCTCCAACAGCAGACAGGAGCACAAGAAACTGGCAAAGCAGGAGATCAACCACATCATGGACACCTTCTCGCTGAAGGCACGGCCAGCCCAGATGGAAACACAGCTGCTCAGAGCGATCCCGACCCAGCTGCCCCATAGGGCAGCCTGACCACACCAGGGAGGAAAGCGCCTGGGTCGGCAAACGTCCGTCACAACTGTGGCAAGAAAAACAAACCATTCTTTACGGTCTCAAAAGGCAGTTTTCAGCTAATTATCCATGCAGGCATTCAGAAAAGGTGGAAAACCAAAGTTCTTCTACGTTGTTCCGGGACAAACGTAACAACAGTACTGATTATGGTGCTGTCACTAAGCTACTAATACGGAGCTCATGACTCATCTCTCTTCTATCAACCACCATCAGAGTTAGCGCTTTGCTTATTATGTGCTCATTTACATAGCTGGCTCCACATCCTGAGTCACAAATCCACTTAAAGAGCATGTGGAAAAACTGTGGAAATGCTTGAAAATAATTCATTTGGGGAAGAAAAACAACATTTCTAGGATGTTCAAATTGATTGAACATCAACTTATCTCAATGTTTTGTATGTAATTAAAATTTAATGTAATTAGCTTCAGGAAGATTAATCTGTTTAGGCATCAATAAAGGAAACAGTCCTCGCTCCACTACCAGCTGATTACAACCAAAACCAGGAAGGAATCTTCTAATTTAATAACGCTTTATAGATTTAGTCAGAATTGACGTTCTTTTTTAGTTTTATTATTCATACCTGTGTTGGCGGTGAAGGCAGTTTTTGGTGGATCTCTTCTAACAGATTCCAGAGGATCGGGTTCACTCAGCTTTTGAAGGAGAATCACTTCTGTCTTGTCTCCAAAAATACTTGAACTGAAGGGAAAGCATTAAAAATATATGTGCATAAACACCCAAATGACCCAAAAAGCTCTGATGAAGGTTTTGTTTTGCAGAAAGAACTTACAGGTCGACCATCTCACTCTCATCGGGCTGAGGAAATAAGTTCTGTCCGTCTGTTAGAATGTGTTTGATAAGATCCTCGTCTGCTAGAGAAAAAAAAATCTTATTCTCTTTGGAAGTCGTTAAAAGTACAACCTTAGAGCAAATTGTGATCTAAAGAAAAACTAACAGTTTATGGTCAAAATGAACAAGACAGTTAACACACAAATTAATTAAGCTATGTTAAAATATATTTATCAATTACAAGATATTTCTACCATCAACTTGTTCATTCATTTTTCTATCAATACATCAATCCATGGTCCAACCATTTATTTATCCATCTGTTTTGGCCACCAGCCTGGCCTCTAGTGCTCCAGGAGCCAGTATCACCCAGCCCAGGTGATCAGCCAGACACTGCCCCTCCTCCTCCTCGCCTTCATGCTGCTGATGAGTAGCCTAGTGAACTAGACTAAATTCTTGCTTTGCAAAGTTTGGTCTAGGCACGCTCCATTGGAACCTCCGCAGCCCCTACCAGGACTCTGGCTGGCCAATCACAGCTCTCTAGAGGGGTTTCAAACACATAAAGAGCTGTGACTGGTCCGTAATGGTGGGCCAATCATAGTGCTCTATCTGCTTAGTGAACAAATCACAGAGCTTTATCTGCTTTGTGGGCCAATCAGGGCACTCTATATTAGAGCTGAGGAAAATAATCAAATAATCGATGCATCGGGATGCGGACATAAACGATTCTGCATCGTAGAAAAGTACGCCATAATCGATTATAGTGGAATGTAGTTTTGTTTTTTTAATGGCGGCACCAGCACCGCATCCAAATCTGTCAGAGTGAGCGTCCTCCACATTTACCTCCGCCTTAATGTTGTACTGCAGGGCTGAGCACTGGAGTTGTAACCTGAGACCAAACCGGAACCGAATCAGCCCGACCGGTTCTGTTGGATTTGGGCCGTGAATTAAGTTAATTGAGCGGGTTGTCGTGCTGTGCGCTCCACTCGCTCGATCAGCGAAAGAGAGGGAGGGAGGGAGGGAGGGAGAGAGAGAGAGAGAGAGAGAGAGAGAGAGAGAGAGAGAGAGAGAGAGAGAGAGAGAGAGAGAGAGAGAGAGAGAGAGAGAGAGAGAGAGAGAGAGAGAGAGAGAGAGAGAGAGAGAGAGAGAGAGAGAGAGAGAGAGAGAGAGAGAGAGAGAGAGAGAGAGAGAGAGAGAGAGACTGTCTGCTGACACAAGAGAGAGGATCGGAGGACGGTCCTCCAAACCGATGCTCCAAACACGCGTTATTATTTTCATAATTTAATTATTATTTCTCCTGGAAGCGCTCAGTCAGACTGCTTGTTGTAATGTAGGGAGATCCGGTCTTGGGGAGGGGGCGTGGTCGATGACGGCGGCTGCAGCGTGATCGTCTGTCTCTTTTATTTAGTGACACGGAGAAGTTAAAAGGCGAGAGAAATAGAAGATAGAAGTTCTTGTTCCACTTTATTCTTTTGTTTCATGATGATAAACTGATGTTAAATTCAGCTTAAAGAGAAACTGGGAGGAAGCTTTGGTTCATTTTAGGTTACAGGAGGTCTTGTCTCCTATCTGCTCCTCCAGAGACAGCATGGACATGGGGGTCCCACAGGACAGGTTAGTGGTTAGCTGGTTAGTGAAGGAGATCCATCAGCTGGGTAATTTAATCCTAATCCAGCCCACAGCCTTCTGCTGGTGTTATTATCAGGAAGAATAAAACACACATCTTAAATATTATTGGAAGTGTAGAATTTGTTTTATGTTTTATTATTTTCTGCATCAAACAGAACTTGATTCATTCTCCAACATTTCAGAAATGAACCACTGGGTTCAAATGAAATTAAGTCAAACATTTCATTTGGTGTTATTTCTGACACCCTTCAACTGCAGCATAAATATTTGACTCTAGAGCTGCTCAGAGACATTAAACACTCATATATGAACCCATTATGGATTTTATTATTACATTATGTGTCCTGTAGGTTTTCAGTACTTTTTTAGATTTTGTGAGTTTTTGCAAAGCGTGTTTTTCTCAGCCTGAGGCGTTTTGCTGAACGAGGAAACAGATGTTTTACTTTGTTAAATCTTCTTAAATGTTTTAAATGTTTTGTCCTAACCTGTTGTGAATGGAGAGCTTTTGAGGGATGGCAGGTTGTGTCAATTACGTTTTAGATAAAAAAAATAAAAAGCAATTATCTGACATCTTCTATTTATCGATGAAAACAAATCAATATGAAATAATCGTGATGCATCGGGATATCGAATCGAATTGAATCGTTGACCCAATAATCGTAATCGAATCGAATCGGGAGACAAGTGAAGATTCACACCTCTACTCTATATGACTGGTGGGTGGGATGATGCAACAGAGTGAAACAAGAGTATGTCACATTCATTGTCCAGTGGAATGCGGAGATCATTTGAAAGACAACGGTAGAACCCGCCCCACAACCGAGAGCCGTCAGTGGAGCGTTGCCATACTAAATAATACATTTATTTAGTCTGGCTTGCCAGGCTAGCTGATGAGCACAGCTGACCTGAATCCCTGTAATGACCCACACCTGGGATAAAAGGCTGTGCCATCCAACAGTCTGGAGAAAAAGAAATGTTGGGGTTATGCTGTCCTCCAGGCCTCAGATTTTGGTTTAAACCCCTTTGTTTTGAAGCTCTGAGTGATTCAGAGGGATCTTTTATTATTGTTGTTTTAAATGTTAACTTGGTTTTAAACACTTTCAGTTTTGGTCAAACTTTTAATAGATGTTTTAACCAGGTGTGTTAATGTTGGTAATTGGTCTTTTAATGTTAACCTTTTTGTTATAATTTTCGTTGGGCATTATTTTAATAATGCTCTCCATCTGTTTGCTCACTTGTTTTTAGAACCTTTTTATGGCAAAAAACAAGATGACGGGTTTAATAATGTTACCCCCTCCTTCACACTGCAACACCTCCCGTCGGGGACGTAACACCATGTGTTCATCTATTTTCGATGAATCCATCCATCCATCTGTGGTCTATCCATCCATTTATTCATCTTTGATTAATCCATCCTTATCTATTCACCCATTTTCATCCATCAATTTAAATCCATCCTCTTTTGCTTATCCAAAGTTGAGAAGCAAAGGTAAAACGGGTTCAGGAGGGAACCCCTGACATCTTTCTCCCAAGCTCTGGGGTCTCATTTATCAAACATGGCGTAGAATCCTTACTAAAATTGCACTTAAGCTCAGCAAAAAAAATGTACTTACGCCAGGTAGGTTTGTGATCTATCAAACATGGAGTACGCACAGCTGCACACAATCTCCGCTTCATAAATCAGAGGTCATACGGAAATCATTGGAAGATCTGATAATGGGAACTTTTTGGGAACACTGGAAGTCATCAGTGAATTTGACCCCTTCTTGAAAGCTCATCTGGAGAAATATAGCAATACTGGCGAAGGAACTCCATCATACCTGTCCTCAGCAATATGTGAGGAATTTATTGAGTTGATGGGGGAGCAGGTCCTTGCAGAAATGATCAGTCAGATCAAAATGGCTAAATATTTTTCCATCAGTGTTGATTCAACCCTTGACATAACACACAGACCAGCTTACACACAAACCCTCAATTTTGTAGGAAGGAACTGTATGAACAGCTGTTTTGAAACAGACAAATTCTTCAACTTTGTTCAAACACTTTTTAATTTTGCATCCAAATCAAAGTTTCATTGGCAGACAATCACAGCTGGTTTGGAGCCTAATGAAAATCAAAGGATAGAGACTGTCAAAAGTCTATCTGACACTAGGTGGTCAGCACATGCAGCTGCAACTAAAGTGCTTTGCCAAAACTATGCAAACATACAGCAGTCGCTGTTTGAAGGTTGGTTTATGCTTGACGCGTCCGCGAGGTCCGCACGGCTCTGCGTGGAAAAGTTGTGTCATTTTAACAACCACGCCCCTCCACCGCGCCTCCGCACGGCCCAAACTTTCCGCACCGCGCACCTAGGAAATTTTCTAAACGACGCGGACGGTCGGAGGCGGAAAAACATGGCGGACTGGCAAGAACTAGTATGGCAGAGCTTCGTAAACACAGACATTTGTATGATTCAGCTCTCAAAGATCACCGTGATCAACATGTTGTTAATAATGCTTGGAGAGAAATAGCTCACACTGTCGGAAAAGACGAGGACGCTGTTAAAAAATGCTGGAATGCCATGTTGTAAACAGTAATTTTTACTTCTACTATGGTGTAGTGTTGGATGCATGCCATAGAGCTCCATGCTGCCCCCTACAGTTTGGGAGAATATTGGCTCACTGCAGAGACGAGCCGCATGAACCATAAACGCTGCGAGTTGTGAAGCGCGTTCCATCCGCGAGCCGCATCACCAAGCGGAAAATAAATGTGTCAAGCATAAACCAAGCTTGAACTGAGTGAATATCCCAGTCAACATGTGACAACTCAGCGTGAAGCTGCCTCACTAAAGTCAAAGATGGAACAATTAGAAAATGCATTCCTTTTCAACCTATGGTATACTCCAACGTTTTCACAGAACAAGCGCTGTTCTGCAAGCAATGGACACAGATTTAAGTAATGCTGTTGATTTAAGCTTGGTTTATTTTCCGCTTGGTGATGCGGCTCGCGGATGGAACACGCTTCACAACTTGCAGCGTTTATGGTTCATGCGGCTTATCTCTGCGGTGAGCCAACATTCTCCCAAACTGTAGGGGGCAGCATGGAGCTCTACGGCATGCATCCAACAATACACCATAGGGGAAGTAAAAATGACTGTTGTTTACAACATGGCATTCCAGCATTTTTTTAACAGTGTCCTCGTCTTTTCCGACAGTGCGAGCTATTTCTCTCCAAGAATTATTAACAACATGTTGATCACGGTGATCTTTGAGAGCTGAATCATACAAATGTCTGTATTTACGAACCTCTGCCATACTAGTTCTTGCCAGTCCGCTATGTTTTTCCGTGTTCGACCATCCTAGGTGCGCGGTGCGGAAAGTTTGGGCTGTGCGCACACCAGGTGGAGGGGCGTGGTTGTTAAAATGACGCAATTTTGCCGCGCGGAGCCGTGCGGACCTCGCGGACGCGTCAAGCATAAACCAACCTGAAGTTGGTTCACTGAGGGGTTATGTGGTCAGCCTGCGGGATGATTCTGAATCATTTGAAAATGCTGCAAAAAAACATGTCTCCATCAAACTTACAAAGGAAAAGAAAAAAAATGCAGATGAATCATCTGAACCTGACAGTGTGCTACCAGGCCGAGACAACTTCAGGTCAACAGCATTCATCGCCATCGTTGATCGACTCCTTGCAGAACTGGATCGGAGATATGGGGCAGCAGTAGCTCAGGTGGTAGAGCGGGTTGCCTCATGATCATGGTCATGGGTTCAATTACAGCTCCCACCAGAGGTATTCTGCTGTTGTGTCCTTGGGCAAGACACTTCACCCAATTTGCCCGTGATGGTGGTGGTTAGAGGGTCTGACGGCGCCAAAAGGCAGCCTCGCCTCTGTCAGACTGCCCCAGGGTGGCTGTGGCTACATAGTAGCTTACCATCACTGGCAGTATGTGAATGCAAGAGTTCACGCAAGCGTCTTTGAGTGTCCCAATAAAGCGCTATATAAGTTCAATGATGATGATGATGATGATGATTATTATTATTCCTACAAAAACATCCAACAAATGTTTGGATTTCTGAACAAACTGTTATCCATTGCCTTGGAAGATCTGCGAAGTGAAGCTACAACTTTCCAGGAAAAACACAGAAGTGATTTAGGGGTAGATTTTGTGGAAGAAGTTGTACATTTTAGAGAATAAGTTAAGGAAACTCACAACAAGGACACCTATGCAATTTTACTCCGAACGGATTTGAGGGAAAAATACTACAAACGGTGTTCCCTAATGTTGACATTGCACTGCGACTTTTTATGACCCTGCCTGTGACCAATGCCGGCGGTGAGCACTCTTTTTAAAAACTGGGACTGATTAAAAACAGACTGAGATCCATAATGGGTCAAAACAGATTAAAGAGCCTGACGCTGCTGTCTCTAGAAAGTGACATTCTGCAGAAACTGGATTTTACAAGCCTCATCGATGACTTCTCTACCAGAAAAGCAAGGACGGCAAACTTCTAAAGGTAGGAACACATTTTGTTTATGTATTCCATTACTGTTGATTTTGAATGTCTGCTGTGGACCTATGACAAAACGATTTCCTCCACAATGACAGGCCTGTGTAATGCTTTAGTCTAATTGCTGCTGTAAGCTTGTGTTCAGCAGGATCAAGAGTTTTGTGAGAGTACAGTAATAAACTTGTTTGTGTATTTTTGGGTTTAGATGCTGTGATGTGGCCTAATGGGAGTGAGCCTATTTGATGTCTAGTTGTTGATGTTGCTTTGTGTACGCTACAGTTTGTGTAGCAAGTGAGTTGGCTGACCTGCTATCCAAAAGTCAATCATTCAGTTTAAGGCGTGTGTCAAGATATGTAGTGTTATACTACATAATAGTATAATAGCTGCTGTGTGTACAGTTGCCTTTTTGTATTTTTTCTTAACGGTCATTGATGTAGTGCTAGCTAATTCGTGTGGAGTGTGGGCCTATTTAGTTGTTGCCGCTGTTATTTATATTTTCAATAAAGAAACTTATTATGATAATTAGTACTACTACTTCTACTACAACTATATGTATGCGATTTGAACAATCAAAGCAGTTCTTGATATCAGAGACCTAGGTGGTTTCCTGGGGTGACATACAGTTTTGTCCTTTAACACCAAAAATTGTACTTTTTCAGTCATATTTGATTAATCATGTCTGAATCATGGTTAATTCACAAATACCCTACGATTAATTAGATTAACATTTTTAGTTGTTTGACGGCCCCAATTAAAATAAATATCTGCAGATAAGACGTAACAAGATGGATGAGAATATTTCGCTTGGACCAAGCATTTTTGGTCCAGAACAAGTGTAGTCTATGGGCTGTTCATCCCATCTGGGAGATAATTGAACATGGATTTGGTTTTGTTGTGTCCAAGGAGACATTTTTCCACTGAGCACGCCACATTTACAACAAATTAGAAAACTAAACCTTGAAATGTTTTCCGACCTTTCTGCCTGCAATAAGATTTTCTCCGGCTCTTTGTGACGTTTTTGTTGAACTGTAGAAAATTAATTTTAAACAAACCGACATCTGTTACCTGATGAGGAGAAGTGTTTGTGGTGCTGATCAGCACCTTCCTCCCTCTCCTCTTCATCAGGGCCAAAGGTCATCTCCACACCCAGGTGTCGGCTGCCCTGACGCCTCTTCAGTTTGGGCATTCCCGCCCCGTGTCCCGCTCCTCCCACAATGGACTCATCACTCAACAGCTCCGGCCAATCCCTGTCATCTGTGTCCTCCTCGTCCTCCATGTCCAAACTGTCCTCACTGAAAAACACAGTGAGGGACACATTTTTTTTTATTCTCTGAAAGATTTTAGTTTCTTCTGAATTGTTGAAACAACCTTGAACAAGTTGCTGCTTTTAAGCAAAGAGAAAGGATTCTTTATACATCTCGTTCTTTTCTCTGACTCTCTTTTGTTTGTTCTCCATCACTCTGAGCCCATCTAAACTTAAACCAACAAGATGGTGGCGTTACTTTACCTTCTGAACGATGAAGATGGCAAGTCCATATTTGTTTTCTCTGAGTTGGTCTGAGAAAATGAGACAAACAGTTGAACGATTGCACAGAAAATCCTATTTGCTTATTTTTCTGAGTATTTTGCTTCTCAAAAAGACTCCACCTCCCCGTTGAAGGAAAGAAAGGAACTCCCTCCTGTTGAGTTGTCCAGGAAGTCGTCGATCTCCACGGATTCCTGATCCACTTGAGGAGGCACCTGCTTCACCGTCACAGACTGATGTCCACACACATAAAAATACAAAATGTCCAGCTTGACTTTTAGACTGGTGGTGGGAAGAAAAGCTCTGCTGTGCATTCGCTTTCAGCATGTTTGGGTGTGCCGTACCTTGCTGCGGCTCATCCTGAGGATTGTAAAGACCAGCAGGTAGAGAGGGTAGACGACCAGACAGGAGACCACACCAGCTGCCACCGTCTCTCCATTCAGGGAGGAAAACCTTGACACGGCCCTCGCGCTGTGGGGCAAAAAGGGATTCAAGTGGAAAACATGCATCACAACAGAACTCAAGGTTTAACACTGGGGTGCATTGTTTAAATACTGGCCCTGTTCCATGATATAAATGTTTTATAATTTATATTCTCCCCCAAGTCCGTCCTCTGGTCTCCACAGCTAAATTAATTATTTAAAGTCACCCATCGCTGCAGCCCTCCACCAGTCAGGGCTTTGTGGCAGAGTGGCCCGTCAGAAGCCTCTCCTCAGTGCAAGACACATGACACATGAAAGCCTGCATGGAGTTTGCTAAAAGATGCCTGAAGGACCCGAGATGGTGAGAAATAAAATTCTCTGGTCTGATGAGACCAAGGTAGAACTTTTTGGCCTTAATTCTAAGCGGTATGTGTGGAGAAAACCAGGCACTGCTCATCACTTGTCCAATACAGTCCCCGCAGTGAAGCACGGCGGTGGCAGCATCGTGCTGTGGGGGTGTTTTTCAGCTGCAGCCAAGCACAGGGATATCCTGGGCAAGAACCTTCTCCAGAGTGCTCAGGACCTCAAACTGGGCTGAAGGTTTTTCTTCCAACATGACAATGACCCTAAGCATACAACTGAAATAAACCCTGGCTTAAACCCAATTTGACATCTTTGGAGGGACATAAAAATGGCTGCCCATCAACGTTCACCATTCAGCCTGACAGGACTGGAGAGGATCTGCAAGGAGGAATGGTAGAAGATCCCAAATCCAGGTGTAAGGAACTTGTTGCATCTTTACCAAGAAGATTCATGGCTGTATTAGCTCAAAAGGGCGCTTCTACTAAATACTGAGCAAAGGATCTGAATACTTAGGACCATGTGATATTTCAGTTTTTTGTTTGTTTTTTAAATCTGCTGACATTAAAAAATGCATTGTTTTTCTGTCAATATGGGGTGCTGTGTGTACATTAATGAAGAAAAAAATGAATTTAATCAATTTTACCAAGTGGCTCCAATATGACAGAGTGAAAAACTGATGGGGGTCTGAATACTTTCCATCCCCACTGTAATGTTTCCACAAGAGAGCTGTCAGTGAGCAGGAATCCGCCCCAGTCCCCTGCAACGCTCTAAGGGGTGCATTTGTCTCTGGTTTAAAGGTCCTTCATACTATCCATGATACCACTGCTGTCTTAACCATTTACTGACGCCATGTTGTTTGGTTGTACCCCACAAACCTAAAGGAGAAGTGAGGGACGGCTTCCAGCTCCTTCCACAAAGGGGAGGGGAGCTATAGCCAGTTAAGTTTAGAAAGTCTCCTCCTCCCCTCCCTGATGGCGTCATGCTATGGACCACGGCTTAAAGAAATACATAAGGGGCAGGAAAACACACACGCACCTGTATCTCCTGTCTGTCACGATGCTGTACCACAAAGTGTTAGCCAGCAGGAAAAGCTGCAGTAGCACAGCACAGCATGTGGCTCTCTGCAGCCTGGTGAAGGGGCTGCGGGGGGGCCTCTCGCACAGTGACAGCCACATGTGACTCTCGCATAGCGCCCTCTGCAGCTCACACCGGAGAAGGCGGGGCAGCTGACAGAGCGTCGTCTCTTCTGGGAAACCACAAAGAAACAAGATGGATCAAACAAGCCAACAGCGCCCTGCCGTTTTTAAACTTTTGATTCTTACCTGCAGCCTCCACCTCAATCTCCACCCGTCTACCTGTTTTCTCATTGTCCACAGACAGCCACTCCTCAACCAGGAAGTAGTAGCTGCTGTCTGTCTGCATGTCTTTGACCAACACGTACTGTAGCATCCATGCTGGTGACAGACCTTCATAAGGAGCAGTATGTAACAGTCACAGATCTGAAAACAGTACTCGCTCGTTGTATCCATGGATGTTTAACATTTTCAGACATTTTCACCTTTGTTGTCATGCCAGATCCGGATTTTCCACACATTCCCCAGGCTGGTGTTTGTGGAGATCTGAAAGATGTCCAGAGCATTGCGTGTGAAAGCTCCTTTGCTGTCAAGGTGACGATGACCGCTGCGACTCTCCCGCCCATACAAACTGATTCCTACGTGAGCTGTTGTGCCTGGATAGATAGAGACACTGCAGGAACTCTGAAAACATCATGGAATTCAAACTGAGATCTCCAGAGAAGCCTTTCCGTCTCACCTGCCCCTCTGTTCCATCCGGTTTTGACTTGGATTTCATACTTAAAGATCCCACTTTGGCCACAGAGAGGAACCACAGCAGCGCGACGAAGATCCAGCTGGTCTAGCTTGTTTAAGATGGCTGCTGCCACAATGTAGCTTAGCAAACCCATTATGCACACCAAGAGCACGATCAGGCTTGGTGCACCAGAACGCTCCTGATGAATGAAGACATTGGTTTAGGTATGCATTTGGTGAGTGCCCAAAAAACCAACAAAACTGCAATATTTAGTGTGATACTGACCGGCATAGTAAAGCTGATGGCGTTGGTCGGTACGAACAGCCCCGCGGCAAAGACGGTGAGGTGGCGGGTTCGACAAACAGCTCTGCTGGAGTTGGTCTCTGCCAAGGGAACCATGCCATCAGTCCTCCACTGCTTCTCACTCTCACTGAAGTACTGACACAGAGAGGTGTACACCCCGACCTCGAGGCAAACACCCTGACCTGAGTCAGGGCTGCAGGGTGTGCTCACGTTGATGAAATAATCTAGAGTGGTGTCGTAGGACCTGAGCAACACAAGACCAAAGTTAAACATGGTTAGCAGGAATTAAGGGTGGACTGGGACCAAAATTCGGCCCTGGCATTTTTACGAATCGTCGGCCCTCAGTCGGCCCTCCCCATTGGGAGAGAGGTGGGGGTGGGGGGTGTTGCCACCCGCGGGCTCGTCTCTAGGCCGAATGATCTAATATGGGCTGGGACTGTTAAATTACAAGCAGGGCCAGACCGCTGCGACCGGGAGCCCTGGCCTTCCATATCAGCTCATTCTCCACAGGGGGAGATCAGCGGGACATTAGCTACATGCTAACGCAGCAAAACAGCTCCTACATCATCACTCTCCTGCACTTTTATTGCTAAAAACGCCTGGGAAAACTCCGTTAGCTTCAGGTTACCATGTAGCTGATGTTCTGCAGATCACCAACTGTGGAGTAGTGTCGGCCCAAGCTGGGCTGAGCGGCCCACCGGAACAGTGCCAGAATGCCAGATAGGCCAGTCCACCCCTAGTACGAATGTGTATTGGTGAAATTATGGTGATACGATACATACAGGGGATACGATACAGTGTATCACAATACATTCAGTCAGACGATATTAGCGATTTTTTAGACTGAATTTATTGTAGGAAAATTCAATAAACAGTCCAAAGTGATCTTTAGCATGTTTAACATGAGGTATCTGAACCATAATGGAGGGATTTACATTTCAGTGGAGGAAACAACCCCATTGCACACTGCTGCCAACTAGCAGCCGGCGTTTGAATTGCACCAAAAGAAAAGAAAATACACACATTTTGGCTTTGGAATTCTTCCAAAAATTAGATAGGCTACACAGCTTTTGAATATCAATATAATATTGCTGGAAAAAAAATCACAATATATTGTCGTATTGATATTTTCTTACATCCCTAATGGTTAGCATCAAACAGCAGATGATGGCATTAAACAATCCAATCCAAACATCTATCTGAACCAAAGTACTGTTGGTGGACTTCCAACTAAAGATGGTGTAGCACAAACAAATCCAAATGTGGACAAATGAATAACAATGTGAGCGTCAAGCTGATTGTGGAGTGGGGGTTTAGGGATGAACAAGTAAGTAGAAATGTACTGCAAACTTGGTTTCCATCTGGCATTCAATCATAGTCTGGATATTACCAGTACATCCTGGTACCTGCGGTGCTCCATCATTCTTCTTTCTTTTCTTTTTGTCCAAAAAGAATGTTAGCAATAGCTCAGGCTAGCATTAGTATTCGCTCAGGCTGGCGTTAGTATTAGCTTAGGCTAGCATTAGTATTAGCTCAGGCTAGCTTTAGTATTAGCTACTAGGCTAGCATTAGTATAAGCTCAGGCTAGCTTTAGTATTAGCTAAGGCTAACGTTGTTCTGCAGTAAGAATTACCGCCACTGACATTTATATATTGCAGATGTTGAAATGGGTTGGGCCTAAGATTATGATGTGTTAAACCAGCTTTTCTCAGAACAAGCTGTTTCACTGAGGCCATTACAACATGACTAATTTGGGTTGGAAAGCAGGTTGGAGGACTGCCTTAAAAAGTCTAGTTAAACCAGAAATAAATTAGTAGTTGTTCTTGCATTTCCACGATTAGTTCAAGATTGATCCATCTGGGATTTTGCATGGAAAAAGGCATAAGCCATGATTTTGTACAAATGCATCCTTCCCATGGTGTCCTTCCAAATTTATATAGTAGATCGCTACTTGTTTTTAAAAAATTGCTCTGCAGAAAACACCAGGGGCATCTCCAACCTTCAGAATCAACGATTGGGGTAAGAGGAGCCAGACTGCTATTGTATTAAAACCATGCAGTTACAGTCTTAGTGCTTTACATAAATAAAACCAAAATAAATAAATAGAGCCCCAACCCTCAACCCAAGCAACACATTTATCTTACAGTCCATAAGTAAGGAAGACTTACTCTGGTGACAGGAAGAAAGTGTACTTCTTGTGGTCTTGCCCCCTGGTCATACTTAGTGTGATGTGCTTCCTCTGTGTGCAGTTAAACTCGTTGGGTTTTTCATGGGAATGAAGGTAGGCGGTAATGTACGGCTCCACATCGATCCGTCCCCTTTCATAACTCTCACTTTTTTCTAAAAATACAATGAGATAAAAATGTACTTTTATTGTAAATTATTGTAAAGAAAATGATTTGCAACTAGTGAGTTACAGTGTGTTCCATTATGCTTACACCCCCCACCCCAAATGTGTGTGTGAGAGATGGCTCACCTTCTAAAGAGGTAAAATTAAGCTGCACAAACAGCCCCGCGTGCCTGTTGCTGTTTCCTGCCCTGACCCTGACGATAACAGAGTCACAGTGGCTGATGTTAACCGCCCCGGATGCAGGGACTCTGCCGGCACCAGAACTATCAGCACCCGCCTCTGCACTGCTGCCGTTGTTAATGGCAACAGTGATGGCTATGCTATCATCGAGTCCAGAGATGGGGATCTGGGTGCCGTTCTCAGTGCGAAACTCCATTGACGCTACCTCGGTAGAGACGGCGTAGTTGGACACGTAGTTGAACGGGAAGGGATTGGACTCCACCTGAATATTAGAAGGATGAAGGAAAGGAAATGTGACTGAATACAGAAGTGGGGAAATGTTATATGCTTGCTTAGTATGAGGATTGATGTAAAGTCAGTGACTTGATGCAATTTGCTGGGTTCCTTATATAGGAAACTTTTACTGATTGGCTTAATGAACTGACCTGTATTGGAATGTTTACTATGTGAAGTGCCTTGAGACGACTCTTGCCATGATTTGGCGCTATACAGTATAAATAAACTTGAATTGAATTGAAAGCATGAAAAATCCAAAGGAGCTCAAAAAGTATTATTGACCAGATGAAGCACCTGAAAAATACCCTGAACAGATCATTGAATCAGGTGTGTGGGAGCAGAGGCATGACTAAAACATGCTCCAGGACCAGGATTGGCTACCCCTATCCTAAACCTAGTAGTTTCCATCAGCATGTTTTCTGAAGTTACCTGAAAAAGCAGCTGCATGATGCCGCTTCCTGCAGCAGCTTTGCCGAGACTTTTGTTAAAAGCATGCGGGATGGAGAACCTCTGGCATTCTGGAGGTGGAATGAAGATTAAAACATCTTTTTCTTCAAACTCAAACTGAAGAATCACTTGATTGCAGCCTCCAAACTGAATACCTCACCTGGGCTGTTGTTGCCGTGGTAGCAGAGCAGACTCTGGGGGTCAGCCAGTTTTCCTGTGGCGGCAATCTCTGCCCCCCTGAGAACCAGTGGCTCCTCGTTGAGGACACGGGCATGCATCAGTATCAGCATGAGCACCGAGGACAGGCTGTAGGCCTTGGCTGCCACGCGCAGGGGGTGTGGCTCCAGAGAGGAGGGCGGCGTGTCCAGCAGGAGATTTCCATGCTCAACAGAAGAAGAGGAGGAGGAGGAGGTGGTGGTGGAGGACGATGAAGGAGAATCCACATAGGGAAGTTGAAAGTTCAGATGTGAGGCTGACTGACTGACTTGATGGATTAGATCACCTGAGGACAAAAATATGAGAAGATAATTTTAGGAAGATCTGAAAACGCGATAATTTCTACTTATTTTTGTCAAGTCCGAAAAGAATAAATCTGTAATCAGCAAAAAGAGCAATTCATGGTGGCGTGATTAACTGGCAACAGTTAAATAACCAGCTGCAGGCTAGCAGGATTTAGCATCATTAGCTGAGTTACCCTTCTGATTTCAGTCACACCAACTCTTCATCTGTTTGCGCAGTTCAGCACTTTCCTTAATAATATGTTTACCACAATTAAATAATAGAGTAGAATTTAACCCTCAGAAATGATGACTCAGCATTCCTTCTTACCCATGATGTTCAGGATGTTGTCGGCGATTTCAGTCGGGGTGACGGTGCCCTGCTTGGTGTCCGTCTGTAGAATCTCCAACATGGACTCCAGCTTGTTTAGAGTGCTGTTCTGACACTCTTCACATATAAACTCTCGACTAACAGCCTGAAACACAAACACACAATCACAGCTGGTCTTTTGCCTGGATTGTCTGATCATCTGGGATTTTTGCCCTCTCCTGCTCACCGTGCACTGTGCCAGGGCAGCAGATGTCTGCTGGATGTCGCTCACGGTCTTCAGGTCCAGAGCGGTCAGAGCTCTGGTGATGTTGCTGCGGACTTTGACTCTGTAGCTGCGTTCCTCTCTAGACACCGGCGATGTCTCTCTGGCCTGCTCATACTGGGGGAAAGTAAGCAAAAACATAATCGATTATCAGCTGTTGAGAAACTGGATATGAACATCCTGGGTGGACAAGTGTCCTACTTCGTTCAGGACCGTGATGAGAGCCAGCGATAATTCTCTGACCCTCTGGGAGTCTCCTTGCTCCAGCAGTTTCTTGAGCTTGGTGTCTGTCAGCTCCGACAGCCAGTGAGGAAGACTGCTGTACTCGGGAGGGAAATCTGGCAACAGAACCTCAATGGTTCTGGATACAAACACAAAACAAGAAGATCTGCTGTGGTATTTCTACAAAATTATCTGCAACCCCAAATAAAAGCTGCCTCTAGAAAATCTTCCTTAAAATACAGTGAAGCAAAAAAGTATTTGGCAGCCACCGAGTTGTCCCACCTAAAAAGATAAGAGAGGTCTGTAATTTTCGCCACAGGTATACCTGTGAGAGTCACACTGTAAAAAAAATCCTAAAAAATTACATCGTATTATTTTTTTTACAAATGTATCTGTATAATTAATATAATAGAAAATAAGTATTTAGTCAATAATAAAAGTTTATCTCAAAACTTTGTAATGTAACCTTGGCTGGCAATGACAGAGATCAAATGTTTCCTGTAGGTCATCACCAGGTTTGCACACACTGTAGCTGGTATTTTGGCTCATTCTTCCATGCAGATCTTCTCTAGAGCTGTTGATCAGTAAAAATTAAAACATACTGTGGGACAAGGAGGAGCAGAGGAGTATGGCGGAGACCCGGAAGGGATTTTGCCATGTCTTCCCTCCGCTGCTCTGGCCACACAGCGTAAAAAATGGCCTCCCTCCTTTTTGTGTGTGTTCATTTCAGGTTTAAGGTATTTAAAAATAACTCAACAGCTGTGATGCTTTGGTACTGTCACTGGGCAACACAGATTTCTTCTTTTTCGCAGGTGATGTGTTTGGTATCATTGTCAAGCTGGGAGATCCAGCCATGTTTCATCTTCAATGCTTTCACTGATGGAAGGAAGTTTTTGCCCAAACTCTCATGATACGTGGCCCCATTCATCCTTTCCTCATTTGAGCCAGTCCTCCTGCCACTTTTGCAGAAAAGCAGCCCTTAACCATAACCTTTCCACCCCCATGCTTCACAGTGGGTACGGTGATCTTGGGATGCAACTCGCCATTCTTCTCCCTACAGTTCCATTTTTGGTTCTTTTTTAAACACAGATAAGGTTTTTCTTTACCTTGCTGACATTTCATTTGTAGCTACAAACATCTTCAGAGCTGACGCTGATGGTGGCGCCACTTCCTACTCCATCTATCCGCGGGCAGACGAGGACGTTGTCGCCCTCTGCTGCCCGCTCTCCCCTCTCCAATGATGCAGTCCCATGCGAGATCCAATGAGTAAACTCCATCGTCTCTGTTCATGGTCCCACATCCACGTCTCCTTATCTCTATAGCTTCCTTTATCCATCTTTTGTATTTCTGTTGTTCGGTGTTTATGATCCTTGTGTTGTCCCAGTCCATTATATGATTTTCTCTTGTGCAGTGATCTGTTACGGCCCCACCATACACAAAATGTCAGTAATCAGAACATTATTTCACAGAGCAAACATGATAGCAGAAGAAAAAGACCGTAAACAAGGACAAACACATACAACATGCTTTAAAGACCTGCGGATACCCAACATGGGCAATAAACAAAGGAAAATGACAAACAATAACAGAAAGAAAAGAACTTAAGCAAAGAACCAGAAACCCAGAAAGATGAGAACCACAACCAGTGATAACCTTACCACACATCAAAGGCATAACAAAAAAAAAAAATAAGAGCAACAATGAAAAAACACAACATAAACACACCAACAAAACCATACACAACAGTTAGAAACAGACTAGTACACCCAAAAGACAAGATACCAGCTGGACATAAATGTGGAATCATTTACGAAATCCCATGCAAACTCTGCAATAAAACATACATAGGAGAAACCGGACGCCAACTCAACACACGAACAATAGAACATAGAAAGGAGTGCGAGAAAGAAACAAGTCGAAAACACACAAGAGCAGCAAAACAAGAAGCAGAAAGCACAATAAAGAAGTCAGCTGTAACAGATCACTGCACAAGAGAAAACCATATAATGGACTGGGACAACACAAGGATCATAAACACCGAACAACAGAAATACAAGAGATGGATAAAGGAAGCTATAGAGATAAGTGTCACGATACGGTGGTGTGGACCCAAAATGCAGTACCCAGGATGACACGGAGGCAGGGATGAAGATTTTAAGTAAAAAGTCTTTATTTTGTGGGTGAGCCAAAAACCAAGGTAATCCAAACTGGGAGTCAAAATCCAAAAAGCCAAAAATCCAAAAGGTCAAAAAGCAGATTACTATCTGGGGATCAAGAAACTCTGGTTAAACACAGAGGGACTAAACTGACAGAATCAACAAACATTAATGGACCGACAAGAACACAGAGACAGACAGGGCTTAAATACACTGGGAGGAGCAATCAGGGAAAATGGCAGCAGGTGTGTGAAGTGAGAGCTGGAGGGAAGACAGGTGAACCTAATAATCAAAAATGGGAAACAGAAACAGAGGGCCAAATAACCCTAAGAAACTAAGACACCAAAACTAAACCTAAAGGCTGCAGGAAGGACTAACACACACACGTTGAGCTGGGGACAAAGAAGCTGGAGCTGACCTGGGAGGAAACAGTAAAAGATAACATCAGACACTAGACTGACACACAAACTGACAAAGAAAAAAGACACAAGAGGGCGCCAAAGGGCTACAACATAAGACACATAACAGGGATGCAGACAAGGACACATGAGGGCGCTAAGAGAGCACAAGGGGAGCTGGGGGAACAAAGGGACACAAGAGGGAATCTAGAGAGGGATGGAGGGCACCAGGAGGCACATAAAGGAAGGGGGCTGACACAGACCATGACAATAAGGAAACATGGATGTGGGACCATGAACAGGGATGATGGGGTTTACACATTGGATCGCGCATGGGACTGCACACAGGAGAGGGGAGATCGGGCAGCAGAGGGCGGCAACATCCTCTGCTGCCCGTGGAAAAACGGAGTAGGAAGTGACGCCATCATCAGCGTCAGCTCTGAAGATGTTTTCAGCTGTAAACGAAACGTCAGCAAGGTAAAGAAAAACCGTATTTGTGTTTAAAAAAGAACCAAAAATGGAATTTAAAGACAAACACAGCAAGGACGTACAAAAGATGTTCCCCCTACAGTAAATAGCATTTACACCAAAGACTCATGTGGTCACATGACATTCTACCGATCCTCCACCGGATCATTCAGATGGCTAACTTAAAAGGAACCTCAATTATTTTACATTCTGTCTCACAGTTGAAGTGTACCTATGATAAAAATTACAGACCTCTCATCTTTTTAAGTGGAAAAACTTGCACAGTCGGTGACTGCCAAATACCTTTTTGCTTCATTGTATTTAATTATTTCTTCTTTTTTTTAAAGTTGGGCCGAATTTCCCCAGTAAAAAATGTAAAAATATGTTAGTTTATATAAGTTTAAATAAGCAATAAGGGCATTTAGATTCGCACCACAAAGCTCAGATTTTGCACAGTAGGAGCTCCAGTTTGCTAAGGTTACCATCAGATCAGCATTCATAGAAATGGACAGACACAGATTGAATCCCCCTGCCAAATGAATTGTCACTGAAATAGGACTATTTTTTATGTACTCAATTACTGACCTTTAAACAGAAAAATGAGGCAGAAAAACCCTAAACATGCATGAATTTTGTGTAAAACAAAAATTGAAGTAGACTGCAGTGATTTGGAGCATAACAAATCTTTAACCTGCTGATTGAGTGGAAAAAAAGGTAGAATGTTCTTACTTATTCAACGCCAGGCTCGTGGCTCCTTGGTGGTCCTCCACTGTGATGGACACAGCCACACGATGTCGGGCTGAACTGAAGCCTGGAGGCAGGAAGGCCGAGTGTTCCGGACTGCTACCTTTGTAAACACAGAAGTCCTCGCAGTATTCCTCCCTGCATCGAGTCACCAGAAGGCTGTACAGGAAGGGCGTTTCTGACACACCTAGATCGCTGTAACCTGCAGGGTAAAGACAAAGAAAAACACAAGATTTTTTAAATAAGAAAGAATTCAGAGAAAGCGTTCAGGGGCAAGAGGATACTTCTTACCTGAGCAGTTGAAGTGAACCCGGTCCAGCAGAGTCCGTATCCTCCAGCTGTCTCCAGCTCCATCCATGCTCAACGCCCCTACCTCGACCGCCCCCGTCAGGTGACACTCCCCGCCTTCTGGAGGCGTGTTGTGGTACAGCGTGATGGAGGCGGCCCCTTCACCATCCAGACTGCTGTCAATTACGTGCAAGGTGAAGATGTAGGACTCGTTTTTGCTCAGGACTCCCTGCCGCAACACCAGATTCATGCTGTCGCTTTCTGTAGTGATGGAGGACGAGTCCAGGACCAGAGTCTCGTTGTTCAGTGTCATAGCGCTCCAGCGCTGAAAGGTGTAGAGAGAAAGTCATGTTAGGGATCCAGAGCAGCACTTACCAAATTCATTAGAATATTCAAATAAAAAATAAATAAAAATAGGTCCTAATCTTTGTTTTTTTCCCCCCCTTGAGAATATTTAAGGAGTAGACGAGGGAACTACATTTCTAAAGTTCCAGTAGGCACTTAGCATAAACACTTCTTTTAAATGATCTCAAAACACAATGCTACAGCCTTGGCAAAGGGGGAACTCGCTCTGTCTTCTTATCTTTTCATTTAAAAGCACAATTAAAACTATTTATATAACAGCGGTTGTGTGGAATCAACCCAGCTAGCTACAGTGCTACCAACACATTTTTAAAGGGACACCAGGCAGTGTTGCTTGCTTGTAGCACCCCCTAGTGTCTGTTATTAATTATCTGTGGTCAAAGCAAAAATGAAATTTATCTCCTCACTGTGAGTTTTTAACACCTTAATCTAACTGCTGCAATGTCTCCTCAGTCTTTATTAGTTTCTAGAATTTCATTAGGGAATATTTTTAATGAAATAAGAAAAGAGGAGCAAAAGTAAAAAACCTCCAAACAAAACAAAAAGTACGGGTCACACAGATGACATCAGAGCATTTTGTGTCACAATCACGTGACTAACGAAGCCTAAACCCTGTTTATTTACCTCCACAAGCAAATGCTTAAAACAGAGAATTCGCAAGTCTCAGTTAAATTTCTTTTAACTAAGAGTCGTTTTTTCTTCCGCTTCCGGTCAGTAACAAGATGGCACCTGTGCTTGGCTTAGCCGCAGTCACCGGCCACTTTTTCAAATGATTCTCCACTAACCTCCTCTTTTCCACCTCTGCGATCCTCTTCAGTAGTGTCCCTGCTACCATCTCCTATGATCGCCAGACACTTTTATCCTTCCGTTCGTTCACGATCGCCCAAGACGCACCGAGGATGTACCTCCCTCTTTGTTTACCTGAGTGGTGCACTGGCCCGGAGCCAAACAATGATCCCAACCTGCACGCCTCCAGCTATGTTTATCCGGTCCCGGGAAAACGTCGGAGGAAAAGAGGTAAACGAGCAGGAATCCAGGTGAGAATAAGACTTCTGTTAAAGCGCGGTTTATCTAGTAAACTTCTGGCTTCTCTTCCTCTGTTTGGCGACCTGAGCGCCACTTCCGCATTCCCGCCAGGCCGCGTTGCTGCGCGGTTTCTCTGTCCAAGCTCCTTTTCTGTGGCCGTCTCCAAGTTTAGGTCCTCCGCCACCTCTCTTACCCATGGTGTCCCACTAGGTTCTGTGCTGGGGCCTCTGCTCTTCCTCCTCTATCTGCTTCCTCTTCAGCACATCCTGAGCTCCTTCAAAGGAATCTCCTACCATCTTTATGCAGATGACATCCAACTGTACATCTCCTTTAAGCCCCATGAGATGTCGAAGCTGCAGCTGTTACACACCTGCTTAGACTCTATCAAAACCTGGATGTGGGAGCTTTCTTCAGCTGAATGAAGATAAGACTGAGATCCTCATCTGTGCCCCAGACAAGCTGGTTCCCAAAGTCAGAGACTCTCTTGGTCAGCTTGCTTCTCACACCAAACCTTCCGTCAGGAATCTTGGTGTGACCTTTGACCCAGCTCTCACCCTGGATTCTCATGTCAGTTCTCTTGTTCGCTCTTCCTTCTTCCATCTCAGGAACATTGCTGAGTCCCATTCTGTCCCGCTCTGAACTTGAGACTATTCTCCACACCTTCATCTCCTCACGCTTAGACTACTGTAACTCTCTTTTCACGTGTCTGAGCAGAACCTCCCTGAACCGTCTACAGGTGGTTCAGAACGCCTGTGCTCAGCTTCTGACCAAGTCCTCCAAACACACCCACATCACCCCGCTTCTCCTCCAGCTTCACTGGCTGCCAGTCAACTTCAGGGTTCATTTCAAGGTCCTGGTTCTGGTCTATAGGGCCTTACATGGACAAGCACCATCTTACATTGGTGATCTTCTTAGTCCCTACACCCCCAGCAGGTCCCTGAGGTCCAGTGATCAAAGCCTACTGGTTGTACAGCACCAGGCTAAAGGTCAAAGGTGACAGATCATTTGCTGCTGTGGCCCCCAGACTCTGGAACTCTCTCCCCCTGAGCCTGAGATCAGTGGACTCAGTGGTCTCCTTTAAAAAGCAGCTGAAGACTCACTTGTTCAAGCTGGCTTTTGGATAACCTTCTTCACCACTCTCTCTTTATTTTGCTCTCCCCACCTATTCCACCTTCCTCAGGATCCACTGATTTCCATCTTTCCTCGTCACTCTCTCTCTTTCTTAACATTTTTTTAATCACAATTGTCTATTTTTTGCTCATTTTAATATATTTTTAAACATTTTCTAAATGCTTTTTTAGATTTTTACATTTTTTGTTTTTGTGAAGCGCCTCATGATTTTTATCTTGAGAGGCGCTATAGAAATGATATTTTCTTCTTCTTCTTCTTTTGAAAGAAGTTTTTGGTGATGTTTATATTCACTTTCATGCAGATGAAAGAAACATTTTTTTGTTTCATAGGAAACCCGGATACATGTATAGAGGGTGTAAAACTCGACCACGCAGATGATGTGTGTGTGTATGTGTGTGTGTACCCCTCTGTGAAAGCCCTGGCAGTTGGTGCAGGTTCCTCTGAGGAAGACGTATGAGTTCTGGCTGACCTCGTAAATGGATTGGGCCTTACAGGACACACACTCCAGATACACCATGGGAATGTGACCGCCATGCACGATAACCTGTCACACACACACACACACGTTTCTATTTAAATAAAGAACTAATTTACTCTGATGCTGCTGATGACTACGAAGGTGAATGTGCACGCTAATAAGACTGGAAGAGTTTTTGTCCACTCACAGTCTGCGTGGTGGACTCTGGCGTCATGCTGTCTTTACTGATCGTCAGTTTGAACGTGTACTCGACGCCGGCTTCCAGCTCAGAACCTGAGATTCCCAGAACAGGACCGCTGGAGCCGAGGCCAAAGTTCAGACTGGAGCAGTGCTCCGGACCCTGAAACAGAAATCAGAGTTGTCTTTGAGTTTAATACCAATAAAAACAATAAACAATCATTGATTTGAAATGAAGTAAGAAAAATATTTACTAGTATCTTAAAGCTAGAGACGATCTGTCAGAAATAGTTCTTGTATTTTTTGCTGGGTTTGTTTGTTTGTTTGTCTTATTCAAGTGCTCTGAAATTCTTAGTTTTTTTTTTTTTAATGTTGACTTTCACTTTTGCATTTTAATATTCATTTAACCTTCGAATATTCAGGTATAAAGAAGATCCTAAACCCAAATTATCAGTTTGTGTCCACTACTAGAATAACAACAACCCGTGTGTGTGTGTGTGTGTGTGTGTGTGTGTGTGTGTGTGTGTGTGTGTGTGTGTGTGTGTGTGTGTGTGTGTAACTATCTGACAAGATGGTTGTTATAAAGCTTTTAGCAGAGAACTTGTCACACAGTAGGAGATGATGCTGCTCTCAGGTCTTGTTTCAGGACTTTTGTTCCTTATTCCTAATTGCATGACTTTTAGAAACTGTTCACACTTTGTTTTTTAGTCTTAAAACATCTCATTATTTAACTTCCACAGCACCGTGTTTTGTCAAGGTCACGGAGTGAACAGAAAACTACTAAAATTCAGCTAAATACCAAAAGGAACCTTGAGAGACTTTCAGAAACCCTTAAGAATTTTTTTTTCAAGAGCACTTTAAAAGCTTAGTTAGATTTCTCAGAAGCAGAATACGAAGAAAGTTGAGTGCTTCAATACTTGTTCTGCCTAAGCACAGAAACATTTCATGCACCGACTTCAGAGTGAGAATTTGTTCTTCTTATCACCACATACTGCTGGCTGTGTGTGTGTGTGTGTGTGTGTGTGTGTGTGTGTGTGTGTGTGTGTGTGTGTGTGTGTGTGTGTGTGTGTGTGTGAATTACAGACTCTGTAATTGTCAGGGTGGGGAGCAAAGCTGTGGCTGTGAAATGTTGTGTTTATCCAAACAGTCACATAACCTATTAAAGCAACATTAAATAGTTTTTAACTCTTTCAGATATTGCTTTAAAAGTGGGTTTCAGTGATTCTTGACATAGAAACTTTACCAATTTAATAACATACAGCACTTTACGGCCCTGTGTTGACCAGAACTTGCATTTAACAGTTTTGTGGGACAGGCAGGTTCACTAGGTGGAGCTCTCTAGCTGCTTTATGGCTGTTAGCTGTTTACTGTCCACAGACTCATGGTGACCTGGCTTTGTTGTTACTGGTCTTGTAAGTAATAATATTTTTTGCTTTACTTTGTGACGTGCTTAGAATCAATTTAGTATCAGTTCGCTTATGTTAGTGTTAGCTCGTTAATAGCACTAGCTACAGCAGGATGCAGCAGGGTTGTTTCTGACAGTTGTAAGCCCACTTTCAACCAGTAGGAGTGAGAAGTTGGAAACTAGTGTCACTTAAACGCACATACACACACATGCACACACTCACAAACACATGCAGAAACAAACACACATCTTTAAACACATCTAATCATACATTTAATTAATTGATCTGCCTAAAATTGAGTTATAAACCAAATATCTACAGCTTCCAGGATCATTCAGGTTCTTTTGTTGACCTCACTAGCACCAACAGATAATTTCCTTCTATTTTCTCTCTCTCTCTCTCTCTCTCTCTCTCTCTCTCTCTCTCTCTCTCTCTCTCTCTCTCTCTGTGTGTAACAGCAACACCAATAGATGTTAAAAAACATTTAATTAAAACAATCCCACTATCACCACTCGCTTTATTTTTAAGAGAAATTTTGTGAAGCTTCTTAATGACTACAAAGTTTTTTTTAAAGGTCTCTATATGGTAATATATGTCACCCACCTTGGAGGTGCTCTGACACTCCCAGTGGTAGTGAAGAAGAGACTGGCTTTCTGGGTCCATGTTTGGGTCGTAGGACTGCTCCGCGCTGAGCTGCAGGTCCTGCGTCCTTGACCACACTCTCCGAGTCCCACCTTCGATAATGGGCATTAGTCTGATGACAATAAGTGGATTCAAATAAAACAACAAAAAATACTTAATGTTAATTAAATAAATGTTTGCTTTTTAAGAATGGAACAGTAGCACTTTACATAAAGGGTCACTTTATCAACGTTACCTACTGCATTATTAAGCACTAATAAACAACGGATCCATTTTGTTAACATTCCTGATGTTAACTATTAAGTGTCCTTAGGGTTAGGACAAAGTGCCGGGGGTGGGGGTGGGGGGGGGGGGGGTGGGGGGGGGGTGTCTAATATTAAGCAGTCGTTAATACTTTACAGCAATGAGTTTTGTTTTTTGAACAGAATCAGCTGAGATGGTGAATTGGAGTGGTGCAGAGCTCCAGGAGCTTCTCTCCGTTAGACCTGGAGCTCAGATCACCAGACCGTTCACAGGGGCTGTGAATGACAGTCACCTTTAGCAGCAGCTTGTGAAAAAAAACTTCATGAGCGTGGCTTCAATCGCAATAAAAGCAAGTTGTGTCCAAGTTTAAAAAAATAGTCAGCGGCAGCGCAGAAACCGCCCCATACACCCTTCATACTGCCATCGTGTAATCTTTTGTAAAAAGAACATGATCACGTTTCATTACCACCACGGTCTGACCACTTAAACATGACCTAAGGCTCCCTGATGCCGGTTCAGCTTTGTGGCAAATTGGCAGCATTGTTTTGTAAAAGAGGCTTTAGTAAAGTGGCGCTGACGTGCTAGCGCTGGAGTCTGCTTCCAGCATCTTTCCTGCATGTTTTGAACACAACTGAATTATTTGATTCAGTGATGAACCGTTCCTGTAGAAACTAATGAAAGCCGAGGAGACAGATTAAGGTGTTAAAAAGATGAATGCACAGCGAGGAGACAGGTTTCACTTTTGATTTTACTACTGGACATTAGGGGGTGCTTAAAGCAAGCCAAAACTGCACAGTATCCATTTAAATATGCTTCTATTCGGTAAAATTATTAGAAGTCACGGATTTCTCTTGTTATGCTGATGATACTCAGTACGATTTATTAATAATATCTATAAGCGCTATCCTAAAAGCAACCCCTAACCCCTCCATGTTTGAATTCCAACTAAAGCTGCCATTAACTCCATTTCTCCTGGTTTCAACTGGTTAAAAAAAACAAATGAGCTTCTGAGACAAGTTTTGTTTCTCTCCTACTTACTTAGCAGCCATGACACTGAGCTGTAGACAGGCATCCTTCTTTAGCGGGACTCCTTCGTATGACAGAGAAAACTTTAAGCTGTAGTTCCCTGCTGCCAGGGACATCTTCGGTAACAGCAGCTGCAGCCGTTGCACGTCCACCTCCGGTGGAAGACGAACGGCTCTGGCAGGTGAAAAACGACAAGGCTCCGATCCGGAAGCAAAAGAGTCGTCTCTCATGATTTGCCAAAGGTACTGCGCGCCGTAGCGAATGCATCCTTTTAAGTCCACGCTGGCCTCCACCAAAGTGGACTGGGAGCGCCAGATGGCCAGGCGGGTTTGAGCCATGTTCACCTCTGGCTCCTCACACTCCAAAACACTGATGATCACCTTCACTTCGGATGAAACCATGCTTACCAGGTTACTGCAGTTAACCTGGCAGGAAACAAAGAGAAGATGATGAAAATAATAAACTACCTCACAGTGAAAGTGAAATAAGGTAACATTTAAGCACAAAAGTGCACACACTTTGACCATGTAGTCTCCTGGGTGTCTGTACTTGTAACCCACAGTCGTAGTGTTGGTGTAAACTTGTGTTGTGTCATCACCAAAGTCCCACATACACGCCACAGGATTAGATCTGGGTGTGATGGAGGCCGTCAGGGTGACCGTCTTGTTGACCAAAGTGTCACATGGTTCTGCAGACAGGTTTGCAGACTCCAGCCGGTTCTGCACCTGTATGCGCTTGGTGATGTTCTGGTTATGGAGACTGTTGACGGCACTCAGAAAGATGGTCAACCAGCCTGGATCTTCTGGAGTGCGGGTCACCTGAGGAAGAGATTCATCAACAGTCAAATAAAAGATGTAATGATGACAAAGAACTCAAAATGATAACAGGCTCTCATAAAAATAACCAGACCTCTTTGCCCACAATGGAAGACCATTGGTGCTGGTTTAGACTGATGGTCCACAAGAAAGTAACGCAATTGCCCGTCAGAATGTTGGCCACAAACAACTGTGGCTCACCCACAGGGATTGCTGGCCTGATTCCCTGGATGGAAAGTCCACTCACTGGCTCCATCACCACCACATGGAGCTGTCGAGTCTTGAAACTCACCTGGATGTAAAAAAACAATTAGAAGTTTCACTACACAAGAAAAAAATACACATTGTTTTATTTCAGTGCTGCATGCTGCCTCCCTTCCTCCAATCTGTTTAAGGCTCAGGTGGATATAAGTTTAGTGGGAGGTATTAAAGCGATTCGGCTCATATGAGCTGAACCACACCTGGATTACAGACTAGAGCAGACTGAGAGCAGTGAAACAAAAACAGTTATCTGTTTCCAGTTTGTGCAGGAAATCACTTCAACACTCACTTCCTTTCATTAGATAGTTCCAAGCCCATTTATCAGCAGCACACCAGGACTTTCATCACGGCTGTGTGTCTGACCTTTGCTCATAATTATCCTTCTCCTCGTAGATGTCAGTTTACCCACCATGTGTAAAGCAGCTAAACACAAAATTAAATTAAAATCTGAACTTGATTCAAAGGGACTTTACGGACTTTAGAATTTTTATGCTCGCGATTGCCCCCTCAGGCCAAAAGCATAACGGCAGCTTCAATAGTAGGCTCGTGCACGAGGCGCGCATGCTGTACGTGCACACTCCTTAACGAAAAAACAGCTGCGAAGCTCTGTGAAGCTGACCCCCGTCAGCTTCAAAAGTGGAGGCAAATAGGCTGCTCGGTTAGTGCTTCGTTTGTGCATGTGAAACTGAAGTTTGTGCTGCTATGGTTTTTGAGATATTAAACTTTATTTAATAGGTCCTTCAGAGGTCACCGTCCCCCCCCCCCCCCCCCCCCCCCGGACTGCTCCAAACTGCTCCAAAATGGACCACAATAGTCTACTTTTTTAGTGCTTCGTTTGTGCTGATTTGTGCAGGTGAAACTGACGTTTGTGCTGCAACGGTTTCTGAGATATTACACGTTTTAATTTAGCATGATGACATCATCAAATTCCCAAACTGCTCCAAAATGTGGCCCGGAGGACAGACGACAGGAGAACGCGCAGCTAATTAATTAAATAATTTGGTTCTGTACCTTTCTCTTCAGCACAGGTTTATGATGGGTCAGTCCTCCTGCATGCTCAGATCATGCCCTTCCCTTGCTTGAAAAATTGTTCCAAAATGAAAGTTGAACCCACATCTTTTTTATCTGTGAATTCAATGCCGTTCGGCGAGTCTCAAATAAAAATTTGGGCATCTTACTGTAAAAAAAATATATCATTAATGTAAAAAAGAAACTGAATGAACTATGTTCACACCCAGAATCGAACCTAGGTCTTCTGCTTGGGAGTCAGACATCTTACAAAGGGAGCTACACACCAGTAACATTCATAGCATCTGTAACGTTTATATCCTTGATAACAGCTGAAACAAAGTCAAACCAAAGAACGGTTCGAAGCGAAAATGGCTATTTTGTTGCTAATTTGCAGGTAATATCAAGAAGAAAGTTCTACAGAAAGTAGCTAAGGGTCCTCAGAAATGTAGCTAGGTTCATCACTAGGCGTTAGGAATAGCGACAAAGTCGCTGAGTTGGCACTACCTCTCTCTCTGCTGCTAAATCTACAGATAGCGAATGCTACGTGCTATGCCTGAGCGTGAACCAAGCCCCCACATTGCGGCTGTAAAATTGGTCTCAACCAGCTGTCTCCGCCCACCTATAAACGTTTGATCCCGCCCACATTTAGCCCCGCCCCGATCTCCGGGAGGCAGTCAGGGGTAGTTGAAAATTGGTCTCAACCCGGAAGTACCAAAAATTGCAGTTCCACCCTCATCCACTAGGGGCTGGTGTCAGAAGCAAGCAAATCCTCATTGACTCCCATGTTAAAAATATCAATTTCACAGCAGAAATAAACATGTTTACAGCCTGGTACCAAAACATGTTTTTGGTTTAAATGATCTAGTTTACACTCATGACAATTCTGAGGGGGTGAATTTTTTTCTCACTCTTCTGTTTAAGTGTATTAAAAGCCTAAAATTCTGTATAATTAATGAGCATCAGACCCACGTGACCACAGAGCTAGCTCCGTGGAAAGGCCTCAGTAGAGCCTCGGTCTGGCTTGGAAACTGCTCCGGGATTTTGAGTCTCTGTGTTTGTGTATTCTTTTTTGGATATTTTTTGTGCTATTGTTGGACAAAATGACTTGCTGTGGTATTAATTGCACTAATAGAGCGTCCAAGGAGTCTCCACTTCATTTTTTTCGGTAAGTAAAATTATATTTATGTATTTTAGGTCACTGCCGAGCTGAGCTTAGATTTTAACATGTACTGTTTAACCATGAAATTTAAATGTAATAGGGTAAAACCCCAGTGCATTTAACACAACGCTGCACTTTAGAAAATGGGTAGAAATACAACGGTTGGTGGAGCTGGGTTCTGACTATCGGCTTGTGGAGCTCTCGGGAGACTGATGTTTTCCACCCGTTCTCGCCTCCCCGCAGCTCGGTGCATCTCTGTCTGATTGCGGCTCCTGTCTGCTGCGCGGGCTGATGGCTTGTGGAGCTCTGGGATGGAAACCTTTCCACCCGGTTCTCCCCAGCGGCAGCTCTGCGCATCTCATATCGCAGCGGCGCTTGCCTGCTGTGCGGCTGCCGGCTTGTGAAGCTCTCGGAGACCTCTGTGTTCCACCCGGTTTTACCCAGCGGTCAGCCCGGCGTATCTCTGACTCAGAAGCTCTGGTGTTGTGCACAGTTAACTCCGGTTGTAGCTAGGTTGCTACCTCCGTTAGCTTAGCTCCCACCTCCGCATTAGCTTTGGGTTAGCTTCAGGTTAGCTTGTAGCTAGTTCGACCGGGTGTCGTCAGTTGATCCCAGCCTTACAGCCCCACCCTCAGCTCCACCTCTCTTCCCTTTTATGGGATTGTCTGGGCTTGACAGTACCTGTGACACGGTCAAAATGGCGGTGGTGGCCACCTCCCATTTTACTACAAAAACTTATTATTGGAGTCTATGGAAACCCATTGTCCATATATGTATGTCGATGGCGTGAACGCGCATGAAGCAGCTTGCTCGACCCGAGCAACTCTCTTTTTCTGTGATTTTACAGAAAAACAGGCAATCACAGTAAAAATGCCAGGGCTCATTCTACAGGACCAGGACTTTGCAGGAGAATGTATGAAGAAGAAATTTATTATTTCTATACATGTTTTAGCTGTCAAAACTTCCATAATGTCCCTTTAAAAAGCCAATAATTACAACTCTTATAAAGACTATGGTTGATTTCGGCAATCTTATTAGACTGTAGTGTGTTTTATCATTAAATGTTTCTACTTTTTGCAATAAATAAATGTAGTTAGTAGATTACTGGGTTTCCTTAGATAGAAAACGCAACTAATTGGAAAAATGAACCGAACTGAAGTTGGAATGCTTGCTTTATAAAATGAGATGACTCGTGAATAGGCGCTATATAAATAAACTGAACTGAAGTTCATTTAGTTCCGTTTATTTGAACAGGGACAATTTATATTAATCAACTTTATTCTGTAAATGCACCAGTATTCCAACCGTAGTCCCTGGGCAAGCCTTAACAAGCCAGTACCATAAAAGAAGACAACACCAATAACGGCAATGGAACTTAAAATCAGTCATTAAAACATGTTTTCAGTCAACCACACCTTTAAAGTAAAGGGTGGTTAATTGCATTTTAATGTCTTTCTGAAGTGGAAATGCAAGCATTTACCTGGTTGTGAGCGGTGAGATTCACCATGTAGGAACCCACCCTGCTGAAGATGTGGGTGTAGGTTTTGTTGGGTTGGGTGTTGAAGGTTACGCCCCCGCTGATGCTGAGGATCAGATTAACGTCGGTGCCTCCCTTCATGAGAATGGTGAACTCCACCTTTTCATTGACTGCTGCTAACTTCTTACTCGCCTTCAGCTCCAGCCACTGGATCGGGTCCTGAACGTGGAACTCCCTGGAAACCACCTGCGCGCTAACATCATTGGTGGCATTCAGAGTAATGACAATGGAATTTGGCTCCTCGAATTTGTGAAATGTTTGTCTTCCTGTATGGGTTTTTCCTTCGATCTGCCACGTCCAGGTCACATTAGTTCCCATCTGCACCTCCCCCTGCAGGGAGACGTTGACACCCGTTGCTACATAACTATGCCCGGTCACATTGGTGGCTGAGAAACTTAACCCTGTAATGACTTCTTGAACACAAACGACTGTTGCTGAAGACCCTGAACTAACTTCATTAAAGACTTTCAGAGAAACCTGTTTTAGACCCGGACTGGTGAAGATCTTGTTCAACCAAGGTTCGTTCCATGATTGACTGAGCCCTTCTATTGACCATTGGTACTGCAGACCTGTACCTTGCAAAACCAGTGCAGTCAGGTTTGTGGGAACACCAACAGCAACTGGGTTGTTGCTGATCAGTAAGTCCACTCCTCCAGCTGGTTCAACAAACTGGATGGTTCTGTTGACCAACAGCTGGCCAAGGAGATTCGCCACCCGCAGAAAGACGTCACACGGACCGGACTTTGAGAAATTCAACTTCACAGTCTTTCCAGTTGCATTGAATGAACTGAGAGGGTCCAAATCTCTGACAATGCTCCAAGTAAAGGTCATGTTGGTGCCTTCTTTCAGTCCTGCTTGAAGGTGAAGGGACTGGTTTGTAGGATAACACCAGTTCTCCAACCCTGCGCTTCCACATCCTTTGATCTCCTCAGCTAATATCTGCAGACCCTCCAACTCACGCAGGACAAACATGAAGGTGTTCGCCTGTGCTGTCCCTATGTTGTTCTCTGCTGTCACGATGATGTTGAACGTGCCAACAGAGCGAAAGGTGTAATGCATGGTGTGGGTCGACGGAATGGAAGTACAATGGTCACACACTATCCAAGAGTACCGGACATTGTCTCCCTCATCCTTAAGAGCCTCGAAGTGGACTGTGGTATTCACAGGGACATTTATGGAGCTAACATTAAACTTCAGTCTGAGTCCTCGGATTGGTGTGAGCACAGAAACCTGCAAAGCAGTTTCATTCTGACTGACGGTGTTGGTAGCTGTCAGCGTGATGTTGTAGTTTCCAGAGAAGTTGTAAGTATGGAGGACATTCTGCCCCGTCAGTGATTTTCCATCTCCAAAATTCCAGATGTAAGAGACATCTGAGGCCAAAGACGACGTCATGAAGACATATGGCACTCCCAGTGTCAGGTTATTGTGTTTTGTGCCATTGTGGTGAATAAAAACAGGTCCGATGGGCATCAGAACATCAATCCCAGCCCTTCTGCTACCCTCAGAGATGTTATTGGAGACCTGAACTGTCACAACATAGTGTCCTGGTTTTTTATACGTTGTTAGACTATTTCCAGAACCGTGGGTGAGAACTAGTCCTTCCTCTCTACCAAAGTCCCACCGATAGCTGTAGTTAAAATCTGGCTCAGCTGTGACCTTGAACTGGACTTCCTCCCCAACTGCGTAGTGTGACTTCTCAGGGATGAAGCTGATGTTGGTTAACGCTGGCTGTACACAGACCCAGTTAAAGAAATTGGCTTTTGTAGCCCTGTTGACTCCGCTGGACAGAAGCAGAGAGAGATGGTATTTTCCACTGGACCTGTAGGTGTGTGAGACTTTTGGGTTGCCTTGGTGTGTTTCATTGGGGCTTCCGTCCCCAAAGCTCCACTCATAAAGATGAAGCGATGCATTACCAGACACCCAGGCTTGAAAGTTGACACTGGTCTTCTCTTGAACACAACCGGATGGCTCCATCTTTATAACTTGGAAGACAAACACGTGAACCGGAAGGATTGTCCAGCCAGAGCTAACAGCATTTATGGCAGTGACGTTTACCGTGTAGTTGCCCTCTTTGGTGTAACTGTGTGACACTTTAGGATCAGGTGTATTATAAATGGTGCCATCACCCATTGAGAACGTCCATGTGATGTTGTTACCAGAACCAAGGTGGGCCCACACTGTGGTTGGACTGTGCAGCTCCGTGGGAGAGGAGCTGTTAGCCGTCAGATGTTCAATCTCCTCGTAAACAAATCTCTCAGCGCAGACTTTAGTGTGACTGATGGTGTTGTTCACTGACACACAGACACTGAAGTTACCACAGTGGGCAAAGGTGTGTGCCACACGACGGCCATGTTGGATGGGAGTGCTGTCTCCAAAGTTCCAGTCATAGTGAATGCCATATGGAGAGGGCAAAGGATGGGCCTCAAATTCAGCTGACTTGGCTGCGAGGAGGAGCGGTGGCTCTGTTTGTATGTCGACATGTGTGAGGATACTGTAAACGCTCATGTTGATGCTCTGGCTGATGTTACTATAGCGATTGGACACGGACACCAGGGCGGTGTAGATTCCTGCACACAGAGACATAAGAGGAATGAGCAACAACAATGAGCTGATGCTGCAAATGAAATTAAACCTCTGCAATAGTAGTTGCCATGGTTACAAAGAGGAAAATGGCTTTCTGCATAAGTCAAAGTGGTCTTAAAGCGTAGTTCTCCAGGATTTCAGAAGAGAAGTTTAATTGGTTTTTGGTTCCATTTCACCAATGTCGGCCACAGATTTAGTTTAGAAATGAGTAAAATGAAAATGAAAAAAACTGATTTTTTGTGCAGTAGATGAAGATTCTTAGAGTCTTTAAAAAAACATGACAACATCAGAAGTCCAGAGACATGAATCATCCTTTATTTTTTTCTATTTTACTTCAGACTCAAGTTTTCAGCTGAAAGCTCGTTTGAAGGGTGCTAAAATACTAATTTATGTTTAGAGTTTTTTTTCTGTTTTTCACAGTTTTATCTATAGGAAGAAGATGTGTCTTTATGACAAGCTGCTGCTGAAAAGTCTCTAAACATCTTAAACATTTTTATTTATTGAGTTTTACTTTAACATGAAGGTTGACATTACTCCAGCATTTTTTTGAATACATTTTACTTGTCATTTTTTTATTTAGTCACTAGTTTTTATGTTTCCTCTGCTTTTCTATTTTTGTACAGCATTTTGGCCAAAGACAGTTGTTTTTAATGGTATGTTCCATTTGTGTTTGGAACTCTGAAATCTGACTTCCGAGTAGGAAAAAATCAACTTGAGCACCCCACTGAAGTTGGATCTCCCACTCTGAAAAGCTGAGAATTTTTATAAACTTTGATTTCGAAAACCAGTATGGCAGCTCCTTGTATGAAAAACTGAAGATTTCATGGAAACTTGGTTGTTTTAGAAGACACGCTTGTCTAAAAATCAATGTTACAGTAATTGTGTGCTCTGTCTTCTCAAACCCCCAGTGAGTCGTGGTGGATGGCTGCTCGTGCTGAGCCAGGATCCTCTGGAGGTTTCTTCCTGTTAAAGGGAGTTTTTCCTCTCCACTGTCGCTACATGCTAGCTTAGTTTCAGGATTGCTGTAAAGACACTGACACTAGTCAGTGACACGATGCAATTTGCTAGGTTTCCTAATTGGCATAGCGATCTGAAGTCGGTGCACTGATAAGCAGGTTCAATTGGAACGTTCACTTTGTAAAATGTTTTGACGCAGCTATTGTTGTGATTTGGAGCTAAATTAATACACTGAATTGAATTGAAACTGAATGCAGTTGTTTGTTTTTACAAAAAAATATGGTTTTGATAGTGTCCAAGTCTTTGTTACTGTTGACATCAGCGTCTTCTTAAGTTTGAATACTTTATCAAAAGTCCTGAATAACAACTTAAGCGATGAGTTGAGGAGAGAATACTTTAATAGAGTAAATGCCACACAAATAAAGCAGCAAATAACAAAACAGTCATAAACCTAATAGAAAAATAAGTAACCATATTGGAATCCCGACTTTTCCAACTATGTTAAAGTAGTCATCTGGAGTTTTCCCCCTTTCAGAAATTACGTCTGATCTTTTAGAAGTCCGCATAGATGATAATCTTTAGTCCCTTTACATAATATGTCCATTTTTTTATTTTATTTTTTTTTTGCTAAGCCCGCCCTGCGTCCAGAGGAGCCTCATGCAATTTGAATTTACTCTGCTCAGCATTAGCAATAGTGTTAGACATCTGCTTATGTACAGATGTCTAATGAAACAACTAATAACATTATTCCACACTTCTGGAGTAAAATAAATAAAATGGTGGCACAGTAGCTAAGTGCTCGCACCATAATTGGAAGGCTGCACGTTCGAGCCCTGCTCAGTCTGTCGCTGTTGTTGTGTCCTTGGGCAAGACACTTAACTAGGGATGTCCCGATCAAGTTTTTATGCCCTCGAGTCCGAGTCATTTGATTTTGAGAATCTGCCGATACCGAGTCCCTATCTGATACTTTTTATACATTTAAAAAAAGAAAGAAAAGGAAGAAACAGTTCCAGAATGTTCCTTATTTTTTATTTAATTACCTTTTTATTTTAATTTTTAACAACAGATCACTTCTGTGAGGTAGCTTGAACAATCAAGTAATAAATAACATAAATTCTTCACTTTTGGACTTCTATTTTGCCTCGGCCCCCAAAATGCTTAGATACGTCCCTGGGCATGGGACAGAGTTTTGAAGATGATCTGAATTGTATCAACTATATAAATACTACATGCTGATAAATTATTGCTTTATACAGGTACAAACGTCAATCTACCTACATTTTATTTTTTAAGAACTTTGTTTTGTTTTCATGGTTTTTATTTTTCAATCTTCCTGTCCTGTCTGTCTCTGATCTTCCTGCATCTCCCAGTCCTCCAGAAAAACTCCAGCCTGCTTCTTTCTTTTTCACCTCACGAGTTACTTTTTTACTAGCATATCAAATTGATCTGTTGACCGCGAAAAAAGCGGAGTGTGTGCCGCACTGCCCGGCTGAGCCAGCGACGAGCGCTGCAGCACGAGCCACACGTCATGCTCAGATACAGACAGAACTTACCACAGAGAAAATGAACGGACACGAACGACTGTGTGTTAATTATATATTTTTTGGTGACGCCACCTAGAAACTTAGAAAATGTTATTGTGGCCGTGTGCAGAACGCAGCTGGAGTTCATGAATAATCAGCGGTCTGCCTGCCGCTCTCTGCATCTCTGCCCAAAAGAATCCCCGCTACGCCGAGTCCATATAAATAATATAATATAGGTAGAAACTGGATCTTTTTTGGGCTCCTTCTGGGTGTGTAAGGTAAGGGCATCAGGGGAGCCTGACAACCTTTAAGGAGAACAAGTTGCTCTCCTGTAATTTGAACCCAGTATCCAAGTCTGGATCGGGGCTTGGATCGGGAAGTAAAGCCCGAGTCCCGATCGGTCTGAAACCACGTGATCGGGGCCGATTTCCGATCATGTGATCGGATCGGGACATCCCTACACTTAACCCATCTTGCCTGCTGGTAGTGGTCGGAGGGACCGGTGGCGCCAGTGCTCGGCAGCCTTGCCTCTGTCAGTGCGCCCCAGGGGAGCTGTGGCTACATCGTAGCTCATCCCCACCAGTGTGTGAATGCGTGTGTGAACGGGTGAATGACTGATTGTGTTGCCTTGGGGGGTTCCGGGACTCTAGAAGGCACTATATCAAATACAGACCATTTACCAAAACACCTTGCAGAATAATTAATATGCAACGTTTGTTTTAATAATTAAAAAAAAGAAGTTTTCATTCATTTTTGTGTGGCCTGATAACGAATGGCCACTGTTTTGTGTTTGTTGTTCTGACTGTGATGGATTACCTGGCTGAGAGTAGATGTAGGTGATATTTTTGCTCAAGAGGATTTGGTTCGGAGCGTCCGGACACAGGAGGGATGGAGAATAAGGAGGCTTGAACTCAAACTCTTCATATCCACCATCACCAAAAGACCACCTGCAGAATCAAAAAGAGACAGCAGAAGTGTGACTGCGGACAGATTTATATCCTCACAACAATAGAAACTTCCCTAAAAAAAAAAACACGCTCACTTAAAGGCTGGAAAAATCCTAAAGAAGTACGTAAAACTCGTGGAAACTCTGCATTAGGAGTGAAGGGGATTAGTTTTCAAGTTGAGAGGGAGGAAAAAGGAAAGTAGAGGGAAAAAATGTGGAAAAAAGAAAGAATACAGTAGAGACAGTCGCACAGAGAGGAAAATTCTTGTCAGCAATCTTCTCCGACCACATGGTTATAAATCTGAGCCTTGACTGCTGTATTATGGCAAAGTCAAAGACCAAAACAGAGAAGTGGAGCAAAAAGAGAGCCAGTTAGAGGAACGGCACAGCTGTAGTGTGTTTTAACTCAGCTTAGAACTAAAATAAAAACAGAGCCGGATAGAAACAGGGTTTTTTTCCCCCAACCGGGAAAAAAAAATCCTACCGAAAAGTTGCTGGCACGGACAAGTCCATGAGCACGGAGGTGGTGAGCGTTTGATTGGATCCCTGAGGGACCACATCAGGAACGCCCTTCACCGTGAGGTTGGACATGGGCTGCAGACGATCCACCGTTACGTTGTAATGCTCCGTGATGCTGCTGACGTGGTTCGTGGCGGTCACCTGAAACAGTCGCCACATTGTTGGAAAATCTACCGCCAAATGTTCTAAACCTAAAAAAGGCAATCACTTTGACACCCACTGAACGGTGATTGCTTTAAAATTTGATTTGGTTTCGTGGAGAATTTCATGCATTTTAAATGAAGGAATAACTTTGTAGAGGCTGGTGGGGGTTTCTATTTTCGGGTTTGGCTTGCCTTGCTGAAGATGCTACAACAATTAAAGACTCACAGTGAGCTTGTAGATGGCGGCATGCTGGTAGATGACGTTGAAAACGGCGTTGTAATAAGTGAAGTGGGGCTTGTCGTCCACTGTCCATTTAAACGTGGGACTGGAACCTTGACGAACTGATGCAGTGTAGCTCTAACACACAATAAAAGTGAGATTTTAACAGTGCAACAGTTTAAAGCAGCAATCTGGAGTTTTCTCCCTTTCAGGAATTATGTCGGACTCACAAACAAAAGGCCTTGCTTCTAGTCCTTAACATGGAAGTAGGGAGAGGGGCTTAATGTGCGATATATTTTTCCACCTCTAGATGGTGGCCTCTGACAAAAAAAACTCTGGATTACTGCTTTAATGTTAAACATATAGAGCAGCGTTCAGCAACCTGATGCCCGCAGGCACCATGGTGTCCCCAAGAACTTTATAGGGCACCTTTTCTCTAAAAAGCACAAATCTACAGTAAACAAAAAAGTTCTACTGCCATCTTTTTAATCACAAATGCATTCATATATATTTAAAAACAACAATATTCTTTAAAAATAATACATTATGTTTATCATACATGAAGTTTAGTTTAACTCTGACATGAACCTGGTAGCCCTTCATATGGCTCACTACTCATGAAGTAGCTCTCAGCTTCACAGTGGTTAGTGACCCCTGATATAACAGTAGACGCTTAAACTCACCACCACTGAGTCCATCAGTACCCTGTTTGCAGGGTGAGGCTGCACCACCAGGCCCCTGAGCGGCTCCTCCAGGTGGACGACCACCACCAGATGGTCTTCTGTTACGGTACTGTGAGCCTCCAGCTCCACCTGCACCGGACCCCTCTGTTCCTCTGCTCTCAGGTTTAGATCCAGCATCGCGTACAGGCTGGGCTCAGAGACCTCGACCTCTGACCTGAAGCTCTGCCCAGGCTGGCATAAAGTTGACAAAAACTCAGGCGGACACTTGGCCTGAAAAATCGCGCTGTGGACGTCGCCACGCCGACTCACTCTCGTCTCGTTGCGGGACTGCACACGAAGCAAGAGCTGCGTGTTGTTGGGCTGCAGGTAGAGGGAGCCGTTTTTCAGAAGCGGGTGGAGGATGGTCAAGCCAAGAGGAGGCACCACCTCTAGAGGGCACGATGCCGAGGAAGGATATGATGGCTCAGTGGAGGAAACCTGTAGAGATTATTAACAAAAATACAACAAAAGGGGTAAAAACATCTGGAATTTAAATGGGTGAAAAAGAAAATGGCGGTGTAAAAATGTATTTAAGGTGGAAATTTGACATTTTACTCTTTAGATTTGCATGTAGTTGTATTGTTTGTTATTCAGGTACTTTTCTGTTTGGGAACTTTTGTTTTTTGTTCCTTTTTTCACCCAAAAGATTGTCAACAGAAATCTGTGCCAGAACAGCTCTGTGCTACAGGCTCTGCATTCCAGAGCAACCTCCTCCTGCGTGTCAGATCTGCCCGATGCATGCTGGGATATGACATGAGAAATGATGACTTACCAGCAGGCTGTAGAGTCCAGGCTGGGGCAGACCAGCAGACAGCTGTGCTCCCTGCAGCTGGGTCGTATTGTGGCCCACATAGAGCACTCGGATCTGGCAGAGTTCTTCCTCCACCCAGTTTCCCTCCCTGTTCTCCACCAGAGTCTCCAAGTCCAGCTCAGGTTTAGGTGAGGGGTCAGCTGGAAAATCTGCCGGATGCCTGGTGTTGATCCAGAACCACATTGATAGGTTCAGAGCAAAAACTGGCTGTCGCCACAACGACTGTGGTGAAGACTGACACCGAAGAAGGGAGGATGGACCGCCATCATGCTGCAGGGCGATGACATCACCACGGGACACCAGGATGTCCTCCAGTTGGTCTTGCATCTGGCAGAAACAAGAACAGAGGTCATTATTAGATGGTTGGGAATTTGAAACCTGACTGGTCGTGAATGGAGACGAGACTAAACCACCTCACCTGCACATGAGCTGCTGGTCCTGCTGGAAGAGTGAAGAACACCTCGTTCTGCAGGATGTACCGCGGCCTTCCCGTCCACGGTGGCAGGAAGTGGCCGTGAGTGCAGTTAGGACATGAGGACGGATGGCACGGACTGGACAGGGCCAGGCATCGGCGCTGAAAAGGACACCATTGCTCCAGTGGGGGGCAAGAAGGTGGATCACCGGTTGCTCGGAGATTTGGGACACAAACAGCAACCGGAGAACACACTGGACCTCCACAACCTGAAACAAAAAATTCAACCCGTTCTCTGAAATGTGAGACATTCAACATGTTTTTTTTTTTCAATTAAGATCATAAGAAACTGAAACTTTTCCATTGCTTTTCACACATTTCTTTCATGCCTAGCTACCTAGCAGCTTCACACAACAGGGGGTCGGTGTGAGGAATCACAGGTGTGGGCTCAGCTGGTCTATTCGCTGTGTTTATGTATCAAGCATATGTCAGTGTGTTTCTGCAGGTGACTCACTGGGCAGCAGCAGGCGTCGGTCAGAAAAACGGCAGCGGGGTCTGTAGATCTGGAACCGGACGTGGACTTCTGAGCCCAGGTCCTGGGTGATGAACTCCAGAGAGGACAGGCGGCCCGCTTGAACAAAGCTCAACGCAGGAAACAACAACACCTGCGCAGAAAGACTTTTATGATTGAAAGAACGAGAAAACGTTGAAGGTAAGAATACAGAAATTCCTCCTTACTTCAACGCCGCGGCTGGAAGTCTGCGGAGCCGTGAGAGTAGCGGATGAAACACGGTGCAAAGGATTATGGGTTTGGAAAACCGGGAGGCCTAGTGTATATACCCCAGCATCTGGAACACGCACTGAAAAGGACAAAAAGTATATTAAAACTTTCTTTAGGAAAACTACATTATTGCAAAAAAATAAATAAATAAATCACAAACTGCATGCAGATTTGCACATTTTCCCAAAAGGTTGCACCTTAGCCTTTGATATAAACACAAGGAAGTAGAAAATGGGCTGCACACACATTTAGCTTTATTACACATTCCACAGGTGCACGATGATAGATAGATAATAGATAGATAATAGATAGATAGATAGATAGATAGATAGATAGATAGATAGAGAGATAGATAGATAGATAGATAGATAGATAGATAGATAGATAGATAGATAGATAGATAGATAGATAGATAGATAGATAGATAGAGAGATAGATAGATAGATAGATAGATAGATAGATAGATAGATAGATAGATAGATAGATAGCTAGATAGATAGATAGATAGATAGATAGATAGATAGATAGATAGATAGATAGATAGATAGATAGATAGATAGATAGATAGATAGCTAGATAGATAGCTAGATAGATAGATAGATAGATAGATAGATAGATAGATAGATAGATAGATAGATAGATAGATAGATAGATAGATAGATAGATAGATAGATAGATAGATATCCTTTATTGTCATTAAATGATTGCCCATTCAACGAAATTTCCTAGAGCTCCACCTTAGGCATCTGCTAAAAATACTAAGAAAAATAGCTAAAACAAGTACAATATGCACCATGCAATAAAAACAAAAACATTAAAAAATACAATAAATAATATCAATAGAGTTGATTTTTCTGTCCATTCAGGGTTCTAACAGCCCAGGGAAAGAAACACTTCCTCAGTCTGTCGGTCCTGCAGCTGAGGGATCTGAACCTTTTCCCAGAGGGCAGCATGGCAAAAAGGTAGTGGTTTGGGTGGTAAATGTCCCTGGAGATGGTCCTTGCTCTAGTGAGACACCTCTGCAAGGTGTTAGATGCTTACAAGCTCTACTTTTTCAGGCCAAGTTTGTTAAAACAAAAAAAAAATTTAACGATTATAATTTATTATGGCGATGAAACCAAAGATCTTTATCCGTTTTAAAGCATGCATGATTATCAGAAAGAAGCATAAATTTGGCACTTTTGGGGAACTCCGTACTTTGAGGGATGTACTGGCAGATGTAGGCCCGCTTGGCATCACACAGGTGTGAGCTGGTCTGCCTGTGCTGATCAAAGGAAACACACAAGTTTCCAGGTGAGATGGCCGTGCGAGGTCTCAGGCCCTCCTCCCCCTCCTGCGCCTCTGATCCGTTCACCCATCGCAGCTTTCCCGGGACGTCAACATCACTCAGGCCCAGCCACACGCCGCGCTCCCTGTTGCAGAGAGGAACACATAAAGGCGCCGGTGGACCAAACAACACTTTGCAGTTAGAAAAACTAAGAAATGCGTCGTCTTTTTCTTTCTGCGCTGTTGACATGATCACGCTCTGCGCCAAACAACAAAAGCTACACACACTTCTCTGAGAAACATAACACTTTAAAGAGTAATAATCAGTAAAACACTAAAACCAGCCAATTACATTTCACTCTGCACTTGATGTGTGAGGCAGAAAGTGTGAAAGAGGCCTTGATTGAACCCATATAGAGAGAGATAGACGAGAGAGTCGGATAGATGACATCATGATTATGAGAGGCGATTTTCACCCTCAGACACTGGATTAGGACTCAAACTCCCTATCTTCATTTTCTTTCTTTGCTGCTGCAAAGAAAATCAGGAACCAAAAAGCAGATTTTTATGACATTTGATTTTGTACTGGCTTAACGTGCAAAAAGAGACAGAAAATCTCCGAGTTGAACATAATTTCTAGTTCACATTTTGCATTTTCTTCATCCTGTTTACTCATGGCTGACTCGTTTAATAAGTACATTTGCAGTGAAAACACAGGTGCATTATTTCCAGGAACTAGAAGCTAGCCACATCACAGCTGAGCTTCAGACGGCAGGTTTTAGAGTCTTATAGGGGTTTCACATCTGGTACCGCTCAGCCCGGCCCGGCCCGCATTTATTGTCTTCATACCTGGGTGGCCTGGTACTTTTCCCTCTTCTACCGGGCGTTTTTTTGGCCCTTATCCTCTGGTGGTCCGCTCAGGGCTGCCCCCGGGCTAACACGCCCACTATGACTGATTGGCCGACTCAAACACATAACTACAGTCAGAGGGCACCTCCGATTGGCGGATTGCGTAAACCAGCGGGGGCTTCCTGCATGCGCATTTCATTATCGTTCATAATCGTACCTGACTGAAGCTGCGGCAACTCTCTGTCTTTCTTTTTTTTTATCATTGGTGTGGGGAGCAACCCCCCCCCAAAAAAAGCTAAATTTCCTGCAACACCACCATTAGTCCACATTCTTCACCTTACACTGTTTACGCACCACCTGATTTCATGTAGAGTAATGACTGCACCCTCCTCACCCACACACACCCGCGGACATCTCCAAACACACACTCACAGCCGAACTTTGCCCATGTTTCTTGCCCACGTGCTCAGAGATTTCCCCATTCCTGAGAAGTGTGTGAACAAACCCTACCGGTGCAGGACCCGGACCGACGCCACCCAGCCCAGTCCGTGCTGGTCCAGATGTTTAGACATCTTGCATAACAGCAACGCATTCTGACTCCAACGTGGATGTTTTGTGTCCACAAATAACACAGGCCTGCCGGAGTTCTGCTGTGTGGTGGAGTTGCTAATGCTAACAGTTATACTAGTCGGGATGTTCTCTACTGAACACTAAACCAACAACAGATGGGTGGGGCCATGAAAGTTAAGTGACAGTGGGACATAAATCCCAGAGTTTCACCATCAGTTTTCTATCATAAGCTGATGCAGAAGATAGGTGTAGGAGACTATTTTCATGTTCGCCCTGCATGAAAACTCAGAGTGACCGATTAGAATAAGAAATCGGATTTTAAAAATGTTTTTTCATTGTCACACACCTTAAAGACATTGGATAAGAATGGAACACAGGTTAAAAACTCACCAACAGTAATGAGACAAGTTAAAACACGTCCAAAATGTAGGACCTCTTTAAAAAGCTTCTTACATAAGCAGGAGGGTGGAGAGTCAGGCATGAAGGAGAAGAGAGGACAGGGCTCCCATCTGCAGCAGTTTTTTTTTCTTCTCTTATTTACTTCAACCTACAAGAGCAGGGCCTTTATCCACACACACACACACACACACACCCTCCTCCAGCGGGTGTTTGAATCCCGATGCAGCTGTGCTTTTCCAGATGTGTTTTTGCAACTTTCTTTCACCTGAACACCAAACACTCAAAGGTCTTTGGGCCGACACAACCTCTTCCAAAACAAAACCCCAATCCAGAGCTGTGTTTCGTCAGTGTCCTTGTTCTGTTCTTTAAAAACATGGACCATCCTGTGTATTTAGGGGGAAATGTTCTATTGTGTGGAGAAAGTCTGTAGCAAATTCCAGATTTTACTTCATGACGCAAAAGGAGAAAAACAACAACGTTAAATTAAATTGCAAACATGAAGCAAATAATTCAGAATTTCTCTGGGCTTCGGCTATTGGTGAGGATCACAGATGTGGAGACGTGAGGAAACTTCTATTCCTTTAACAGCGAACATCTGTGATCATTAGTGATGGTGTTCTCCATCTGTCTCCAGTATTTGTTTCCTGTTAGCATGTTTCTTTTGTTGCATTCAGCAGTGACACTCAACATGCTGCAGTTTGTCTTACAAACATCAAAAACACACTCTAACCTCTCCATGACCTGGTTAAGTACACGTTTAAAACATAAATATTTAATGTCCAGACTCACAGTAAAACAGACATCACTGTTTCATGAAACCCTTTAATATATTTACAGTTGAAGACTCTGAGGCTGCTAAAACAGACGCAGGGACGACTCACTGTGTAACTTTATTTGCCAAGACGTTTCGCAGCGAGTCGCTCCGGAGTATCGCCAGATCCCCGCCACGGTTCAAACACTGCTGCCGCGCGTCGGTCCAGCTCAGCTCCTCTGGGACAATCTCAAAACAACTGGAGGTCTCGTTGTGTCGAACCCCATCTTCTGGACATCGGGGAGATGCTGGCAAACAAAAGAGCACGTTCAAATAGCAAGAAGGTTGTGGAAATAGAGGTCTTGCTGAAAAAAAATACATATATATATATATATATATATATATATACATATTTAATTACCTGTAAACCAACAAGAATGTGTACTGGCCTAGGTTTTTTGGTATTTTTTGTCCTGATGTAAAGCCATGTTCATCTTTACAGTAAAGATATTTACAGAAGAGGATTAGGGCCACTGGAAAAAAGTAAAGAAAATGATTTCTGACCTTTTTCTCAGAATTCTTTGTGAACTAGATCAAATTCTTGCCTTGCAAAATATACAACAGGTTATACAGAATTCTGACTTTTTTCTCAGAATTCTAATTTTATTACTGTAATCCTGAGAAAAAAGTCAGAATTCTGAGATTAGTCAGCATTCTCTTTCTCTTATTTTTCTTTTCTTTTCAGTTGCCATAATCCTCACCCATAGATATTGGAGTAATATTAGTATAAATGTGCCCATATTTGATCACTTGTGCATGCTTTAAGCCTGGATTTGCAACAATCTACTTTTAATTAACTAATATTTGGCACACAAACACACACACACACACACACATCCATTCCCCACCAGAGTGAACCTTTGTCATCAGCTGAACACAAAGGAAGGTTTCGATAGAGTCATAAACATTTTGAGCAAGTAAAAACTACAGAGCTTTTACCTTTAGCAACCTGAACACCATCCTTTGTAATCGTCCACTTCACATCCAAGCCAATGCCACCCCAGCTGACCAGCTGGACCTCCAGACTCTTATTAGCCACAGCAATTTGAGGACAGCGCAGCTCCAGTTTGGGCGGAAGTGTCACGGTCACCTGTGTGTGGGCAGAGACCTGAAAACAATACATAAAAAGAAAGTAATTTAAAAACAATTTAAAAAGCAGCTATTCTCAGTTTAGGAATACTTAAAAAGCCTTCATGAGATCTGTTCATGTGTGACACCGCCTCCTACCTCCTTGTGTCCAGCCCAGGCCATCAAACTGACTCCATAGTGTCCTGGAAGTCCATATTTGTGTTTCGTATTAATGGTGATGCCTGCTACTGTGGAGTTGACCCGAGACGAAAGGTCACCAAAGTCCCAGGACTGCATAACGTGCGTGACAGAGGAGTTGGCGGAGAAGGCGATTGGGTCATGAACGCTATGGAAGAAACGCTGCAGTAGGAGAGGTCTGAGCGAGACCGAGAACTCCACCGCGAACACATCACGAGCCAGAGTCCACCCACATTCCTGTTGAAGCAAGGATGTGAGGAAGAGGAGGTTTTGGTGTTCATGTGCATTTAAATGTCAAATAAAACCCACTTCCTGTTATTTGTTTCTATATATGTGGTTTCAATAATCATCTTTATGGATACGATCCGGTGGGTGACCACGTACCGTCATCACGTGGCGGTTGGTACAGGCTGCAGAACACTGAGAGCCGCTGATGAAGTTGGGCTCGTTGTTCGTGCTGCAGAGACACTCATGCCGGTCCCCCAAGCCCCCATAAAGGTGTGACAAACCAAAACACACACTGTTGCACTGTTCACGAGTGAAGTTTCCAGGGTTGGAAGAGGTGAAGATCACAAGCTCACTTCGTCCTCCTCCTCCAATGGTGCTGTCCTCGAGACAGGCCGCATAACTCGGACCTGAAGCCCAGACAGAGGTTTGAAAAGGTAAAAACAGTCTTAAATGCAGTGTTTAAGAAGTGTTAGATGCTGATTTCTTACCACAGGTGAGCAGGCTGTCATTGAGCAAAGGCTGTTTGTGGAGTTCAGGGGGGTGGTTACACAGCATGGCATGTGGGCGTCTAACCTGCACCCCTTTTTTCTGGAGGCACCGCACCAACCGGAACAGCTTACAGTCGCACTCAAAGGGGTTACTGCTCAGATCGCTGGAGGAGAAAAGACCCAAATGAAGTCACAAAACTTAAATATTGGATACGTTTATGGTAATTAATAAATATTCTTGTGATGGAGGTAAGTGGGTTTGGCTCTCAAAGCAAACAGCTGAGAGTTATTTCTAATTAGTCGTTTCCTCTCTGTAGTGTAGTGTGTGATGTTCTGCTGACGCCAGTCTGACGACACTCAGCACTGTTTGCAGTTTAAACTAAAATTAGCAAGTAAATATACTTTAATCAAAGAGAAAAATATGATAATGGCAGCAAACAGCTTAAATGTCACAAGCTGTGAAGTAAAACGTCAAAAAAATGAGTTATTTTTATCTCTGACAGCAAAATTCTGTCATAAATTCAGTAGATTTGTGTTCACGTCTTCACATTTATGCAGGAGATTCATAAAATCAGAATATAAAATATAAACTCAGGCTTGTTTTTCCTTTTGGTGCAGGTATGTCATCTCACTAGGATGTGGAAGAAAAGAACCATAACGAGACTGCTGGAGGAGATGGCCTCTGGTGTGAATGTCATCTGACACAACCACATTTATTCATTTAGTTTGAGCCAAATGCTCTCCTGTAGCCAGATTTCCATTCTGGAAGCCAGCTGAAAACAACCCCCATGTGTCATGGAGCAGGTGACTAGATTTATCAGCTCCAACTCATAAAAACACAAAAAAGTTTAAACAGTTCATAAACAGCTCAGGGATACGGGGGATAGATTGGGTAGTTTTTAGGGATTAAAGAAACTATTGATACAATAAAATATTGTGATATTTCATGTTATGCAGTGCATCCAATTTTCATTTTGAATCAACATGCAAACATTTACTGTGTTTTGCAATTCAAACTCCAACTGCTAGAAAGCAGCAGTTTGTACCATCTTCATTCTGGCAGAACAATGGAAATTTGCGATAACACTTGGTGTGTCATGTAAGCATCTGGCCAGAGTTTTCCATTTGAATTCAGTATTAAAAATAGCAAATTTCACTTGGCTTTTAGTATCCCCCTTATTGTGATACTTATTGTATCATGTTCCCTGTATTGTGATGGTTATTATATCACCTGTATTTTGATATCATTACATATCCCTTGTATTGTGATATAAATCGTATCGTATCCTCTGTATTATGATATTAATCATATCGTATCCCCTGTATTGTGACATTAATCATATCGTATCCCCTGTATTATGATATTTATCGTATCGTATCCCCTGTATTATGATATTTATCGTATTGTATCCCCTGTGTTGTGATATTAATCATATCGTATCCCCTGTATTATGATATTAATCGTATTGTATCCCCTGTATTGTGATATTAATCGTATCATATCCCCTGTATTGTGACATTAATTGTATCGTATCTTCTGTATTGTAATATTAATCATATCGTATCCCCTGTATTTTTATATTAATCGTATCGTATCCCCTATATTGTGATATTAATCGTATCGTATCCCCTGTATTATTATATTAATCGTATCGTATCCCCTGTATTGTGATATTTATCAAATCATGTCCTGTGTATTGTGATATTAATCGTATCTTATCCGCTGTATTGTGATATTAATCATACCATATCCCCTGTATTGTCAAAGTAATCATATCGTATCCCCTGTATTGTGATATCAATCATATCATATCCCTGTATTATTATATTAATCGTATTATACCCCGATATTGTGACATTAATAGTATCGTATCGCCTGTATTGTAATGTTAATCTTATCGTATCCCCTGTATTTTTATATTAATTGTATTGTATCCCCTATATTGTGATATTAATCGTATTGTATCCCCTGTATTATTTTATTAATCATATCCCCTGTATTGTGATATTTATCATATCATATCCCCTGTATTGTGATATTAATCGTATCATATACCCTGTATTGTGATATTAATCATACCGTATCCCCTGTATTGTGAAAGCAATCATATCATATCCCCTGTATTGTGACATTAATCATATCGTATCCCCTGTATTGTGATATTAATCATATCATATCCCCTGTATAGTGATATTATTCATACCGTATCCCCTGTATTGTGAAAGTAATCATATCATATCCCCTGTATTGTGACATTAATCATATCGTATCCCCTGTATTGTGATATTAATCATATCGTATCCCTGTATTATTATATTAATCGTATCATATCATGATATTGTGATATTAATCGTATCGTATCCCCTTTATTATTATATTAATCATATCATATCCCCTGTATTGTGACATTAATCGTATCGTATCCCCTGTATTGTGACATTAATCTTATCGTATCCCGTTTTGTGATATAAATCAGAAAGTATCAATACTCATGATATGCAAACATCTCGCCTATAACTCGTAAAGAACAACACAACTCTTCCACTGCCTTTGTTTGGTCCTCTTTTGTAGGTTAAATATGCAATGTGGCTGTGTTATCGCTACAAATAACAAGCCTGAACGTGTTCTGCTATGTGGAGTTGCTAATGCTAATAGTTAGCTTCAACTAGCAAAAACGTGCTAAACTCTCATCTGGCCACAATGACAATGCAGCCTTCTGTGGTTGCAAGCCAAGGTGGGTGAGTCCATAAATGCTATTTTCCCTGTGATGCAGAAGAGACTGGCTTTCTTTGATCAGATCAGTTTTCCGTCCTTTATTTTTGGGAGTGTGATGAATTTTTCTAAATAAAGATAAGAAGTAAAAGAAACATTAAGAAGCTTAAGTCAGCTAAACAAAATGGTGACAAAGTAGACAAAAATGTCTAGAAATGCATGGATATTAAAATGTTAATGAGAGCGTGTCTGACCCATATTAATCAGCTTTGATTCAAATTCATAATTTCTATTTGTCAAACAGACAAAGACTGGAAAACAAAAAGAGAAAAGAAATAAATAGTTACCACTTACATTTGTGTTAAATTACAAAGGTTGTCACAGATCCTTTCTTCTATGGTGGTAATTTGGTTGTTGCTCAAATCTCTGGAGGCAGAAACAGTCAAATTACAGTGAACCTTAAAACAAAAACCCTTTTTATTTCTCTTCTTTTCCTGTCTGCATGGATCTAATTACACTCTAATTTAAACAAGCTTTTCTAAAACACATGTTCTCTGATGAAAAGCTAATAAATAAGTCATTTCATGAGATACTTTAATTCTCTGCAAATATGAAGAAACTCACAATGAAATGCAAAATATAGAAAGTAATGACCCAATAAACCAAATCCTAAGCAAGCTAATCAGATTTTTTATATTTCTGTGTTTTATCCTTTTTCTCTCTCTTTCCCTCTTTTTACTCAATCTTTTCCTTCTCCTCAAACTCCCTCCTCCCTCTCAAAGGCCAAATAATGGGCCCGTTGTCTGGTGGTTTGGACGGAACTTATGGAAACCATCAGTCTGCACACACACACACACACACACACACACACACACACACACACACACACACACACACATACACACACACACACACACACACACACACACAAACACACAAGTGCTTAAACTCCCATTCAGTGAGTGGAATAAGTAAGGTAATGGTTGAACGAGAAGGAAAGATGAAAAGAGAGAGGTAGCGGGAGCCTGGAATGGTAGACTGTAATTGAACTTAATCGTAGTGTGATTAGAGTTTGTGTGAGTGTGAGTGTGTGTGTGTGTGTGTGTGTGTGTGTGTGTGTGTGTGTGTGTGTGTGTGTGTGTGTGTGTGTGTGTGTGTGTGTGTGTGTGTGTGTGTGTGTGTGTGGGCACGCGCACTACACAGGGCTTTTTTAATGCTCTGCAGTCTTGCTAAAATGCTCAGACTAAACTGAACTTTTTTCCCTCTCAGAGCTCTTTTAATCTTCCTCATCCTCTCCCCCTCTCGACCGACAGGTCTGCTTTACATCCTTTTGCTTTTCTACTCACAGCACTGACAGAGGGCCACGACAGAACACTCCTCTGGGGAGAACATTGATCCTGTTTCCCTGGAGATACCTGAGAATCAGAAACAACATAATATGTAAAGATTTTTCTTACTGACTGACTCAGTATCTGTAAGGGAAATTAGGAGCCTTTTAAATCACTGTGATGTGAGCTCCAGGGTTTGGACTGGTTCTATTTCAACTGAACCACAACATCAATACAACAGAAGATTTCACATTATATCGAGAAGCGGCAAGCCGGCCTTTCCACTGGAAGCGTAAGCAGCACATAACATACTACTGCATTTTCCCCGTGACCTCTGCATCACTTCCCTTCTCGCCAGGAGCATTTCAGCTGCCTCGAGCCGCTTCTGGGACACGTCAGTTACAACAGTTAACATAGAGCCAGACAGGAAATCACACAGTTATAAAAAAGGGATGCACAATATATCGGCATCAATATATCGGTATCGGCCACTGTTTGTCATTTTTTTAACATATCGGTATCGGTTCGATAAAAAAACTGGGCCAATTTGAACAACTGATATTTTTTCTATCTTGTTTCCATTTATCTGTTTCAGACGGCGAGGGGGGTGATGTGTATTTGTTTAGTCATGTGACAGTGATTGTAATCATCTGAGAAGAGTAAATGTGTGTGATGTGTGTACTTAATAACAAAAACTTAGCTTTTATAATTTTCATTCTATACAAAATCTACTGATTTTAGAAGTATATGGGTATATGGGTATGGGCAAATATCAGTTATCGCCGGCCATAATGGTGATATTAATATTGGATATCGTATCAGCCCAAAAATTTCATATTGGTGCATCACTACGTCTAGCCATTTTTAAAAAATAAAGGACTACTGCAGCGATGTGATTTCATATTTATGTAAATTACATCAAAACGTGACCTAACGGCTTATTTGTATTTTTCCTGGCTTTAACCGTGGCGGTGGAGAGGAACAACATTATGACATTGAACAGCGATATCTAATGTGAGAAATTTTGTGATCTCGCGGGTCCAGCGAGGAGGAGGAGCTGCACGATGACTTAGACTTTCCAGTGTGGATTGGCGCACAACGAAGCATGCGTGTAAACCTTTCTGCTCATGTTCTGCACCGCTGATGCCTCCAGAGATTTTTTCAAGAGTACAAAAAGACACTTGAACAACAAAAAACACTTGTTTTTGTTCATGTTCCATAACCCTAACCACTTGTTCAACATAAAGAAAAGTCAGAAACAGAAAAGGTATCAGCTGGATGTTCTTTCATTGACGATTTACAATTTCCATTTAAACTACAGGAATGTACCCTGCAAACAGTCTACGTCACATGGACGTGCAGATCATCATGTCTATATTGAGTCTGTCGGTCCAGACCACATCTGTAGGACATCCAAACTAGGTCTTTGCACAGTGGGTTTAAACAATACATACAACATAATTATGATGAAATGTGCCAGTTTGAGTACATCTTTATTCAAATCTGTGGCAGAAACGAGAAAAGAGAATAAAGTTTTGTTTGCCAAAAATCTGGTTTCTTCTATTCAAGGACAAATACACAAAAAAAAGAACTTTTTTTTTTCAGAAAAAAAATGTTTATTACAAAACCGTCTCGTCAGGTCAGATTAAGGCAAAAATGCAGAAAATTCCCACCACACCCATGGGCAGATGAACAGATAAAGAGAAAATAGTTGAACACGCTCTTACACAACACTTTGTTTACTTACAGCTCCCGGAGGCCAGAGAGGCGATCTAGCAGGCTGGTATCAAGGGAGGAGATGTGGTTCTTGGACAGATCTCTGCAGGAAAAAAAGAAAATGATCCACATTTAAAATTAATTTGGTGCAAAAAACTGCATGAAGTCACAAAGAGAGCCACAGTAGCTGGAAGGAAATTAGGTTTATATGCTTGAGGACAATGAAAAATTTTGGTCATAAAACATGGAGCTGAAAACAACCACAAGGTAGATATGTTGTGTGATTATGCAAAGAGACAAAAAGATGTGAGGTTTGATACGAGGAAGAAGAAAAAATGTGGCCGCCTAATGAGGAGAAACTGCTGTAAAGGTCACCTCCTCATGCACACGCTGCTCTGGAAAATGGCTTTAAAGCAGCATTTGTCACAATGACGGCTAATTAGAAACGTCCTTCTCCTAGAATGAGTAATGCACAATGATTCACTTTTACATATTCTTCATTTTCTAGTAATAAAAAGAGGGAATAAGAGCTAAAAAAAAAAGAACAAAGTTCTGTTTCCTGCTGCGAAAATCAAACCAAATATTTTAATAATTTTTTGGCTTTTAGTATCGTAATATATCGTCTCCCCTATATTGTGATATCGCCAGATATTTGCCAACAAAAATCAATATAATTAATTATATTAATAATTATATACAATTTTACTACATATTTTATCATTAGCTTCCATTGCTTCCACAACACTGCTGCTCTTTGCCAGCCAGTGTGGAATTACAAATGGCAGTGCAAATGCTGAGTGTGCCAGCGAGGGCTTGGCAACCTAGTGGGTTTACATATGGTTGGCTCTGGAACCAGGAAGTATGGACATGGGACAGGTTTGCTGTGTTTCCATTACTGGAACTCCAGGGTAATTCCTGGGATGGGAAAATTGACCAGGAGATAGGATGTCCCCGTCCTCTAAGCCCTAGGGTCCCCCAGGTGGGGGACCCTGTGATGTTAGTTCCTTAATAGGCCCGAAACAACCCTCACACTACAGAAGAAATAGTAATAATTCCCATCAAATTAATCAGCAAACCCAGCACTACAAGGCTATCTAAACCATTTTTACCATTTTTTGAGGAATAGGCTTCAAAATAGGCCTAGGGCTTAAGTGAGTCTCCATTCAAATTCAGCCCTTTCAGGACTTTGCACAGACGTCAGCATATCGTGACTGCTTTAGCAGTGGGTGATGTCACTGTTCAGTGCCAAACGGCGTCCACAGTCACATTAATAACATTAAAAGCATTTATTCTATCAAAGTATACTAAAATTGAATCCATTCCGAGGACGAAAGCAGCTGCATGATGTAAAACGTGGTGTTCAATGACCAGTAGAAGTGTTGTTTCTTACAGCGCTCCGTGACACAATAAAGCCCAAATAATTAATTCTGTGATGACTTTTTCCATGTTTTCCAGTGTCGGGAGTTTAGTAACAGCGGTGGGGGGATTCCGCCGTGTTTCCGGAGTCTGGAGTTAGATTTTAAGCGTGATCAGTATTTTCCTTTGCTTCTATTCTGCTTCCCCAGCAATTCTTCTAATTTTACTAATGCCGGTTGTTTTGTTCCTGAAAACGACCTGGAAAATGGCCGTTCGGCTGGCCTGGGCAAGTGGAAGCGCGCAGGTCAGGAGGTTCCTCTAAATCTACCCAGAAGTTCCGGTAACGGAAACAGCTATTGTAAACAATAACAACGTCCCCCTTCGGCCATTTTTAAAAGGAGAAAAACTGACCTTCACTAAGGCGGCTGAGAATGAAATCTGTTTCAAAGTCACCTTTCTTCCAACATGGTGGGGGATGTTCGTTTTTTCGATTGCTAAAACGCGTTTTTCAAAACTGTACGTTTCTTTCAAAACTGCACACACAAAACCCCAAACATAACACACAAATTCCTAAACCGTGGCTTCCCTTTGCAACAAAACCCTGCCATCACACATCGTAACATGTTCCCAAAATGGAACACGTGCTTTCATTTGGTAAACACAGCCACATTTTCACATGACACACACATGCCATTCATTGCTTAAACACAAGTAGCCTTTGGGTGAACACTACCAAGCATGGAAAGAACACTGAAGAGCAAAACTGAAAACACAACTGTCTAAATGGAACACAATGAATTACACACTGAATCTATTACAATGCCCACTTCTCTCATAGACAAACATTAGACATCACACAAATTTTGAGACAAAACATTTTATTTTTACAGTTAACACACAAATATATAGCTGCAAACAAGATAAACATACATTTGCATCCTCCACAGTAAAAGGATAAACGAGGTATAAAGATAAGACTATTGAAGAAATACCTCTTCTTTAACAAGTAATTTACTTAAATGCTGGAACATTCCATTATTCTGCTTGTGAAGAAGTCAAACAGGCTTTAATTCTGCCATGTAGCTTCACACTAGATCAGGGGTGTCAAACTCATTTTAGCTCAGGGGCCACATTGCGAGAAATCTAGTCCCAAGTGGGCCGGACCGGTAAATTAAAAACAACTTCAGATTGTTTTCTTTGTTTTAATACAATCAGTATAAAACAAGGCTGGAGCCTGAGGACAGTGTATCTAAAATAGTACAAGTACAACACCTGAAGTGTACTTGAAAATGTGAAAAAATAAAAAAAAATCAATAAATAAAAAAAACATTCCTTAGTGATTCAAAGAGCTTACAGATCACATGGCTAGATCAGTTTTATGCAGCACTTAAAGTATATTTGACTCATTTTACTTTACATCTTTTAGCTTCCACCAGCACATCAATATCAGAAGGCACATCCTGAGTGGCGGCCAACTTCAGGATGTGATTCAAGTTCTTGTGTGAGCCTTGAGCGCAGCTTTGTTTTATTTATACTCGTTACAGAGAAAACTTGCTCACAAAGATACGTTTATTTTCACTCTACATTGTAAAGTATAAAAATAAAGTTTACACAACCATCTTGCGGGCCGGACTTAACCCGCTTGCGGGCCGGATTCGGCCCGCGGGCCGCATATTTGACACCCCTGCAATAGATCTTACATATTAATGATAAAACTTAAAATAATAAATGTTGCAATAAAATTATTTACACATTTTCTTAACAACTGAAGAATTTAGGAATATGCTTTGGAATGTGAAATTAAATCTTAGTTCAATCGTAAACTTTGTTTTAAAAATAAACTGATGTTATATTTTAATTGTCAGATTTAAAACATGACACAAATATTAGACATCACAAAGTAGAAAAACACTGATAAAAAAATTATTTTTGCACCTTTATCAAAACTGCTGCACATATGAGTATTAATGGAAATTCGAGCTGCACAATATATCAAAAACATATTACAAAATATCAGTAAGTGTGCTTTTATTACTGTAATAAATCACAGATTCAAGCTGCATGAAAAAGAAATATATGTGGCTATCCCCACCTCTCCACAACACATCCTGGACATGGAGAGTTTACGCATCATAATTAAATCACATGTGGGTTCAATGCACTTGACCATGTCATTGCAACATTCCAAAAAGTATCTTTATATTGCATGTTTTCTTATAATAACATAACTTTAATGAAAATACAACCCAGCAGTTGATCCTTTACAACTAAAGCAAATAAATTAGATATTTGATCTGTGAGATTTAAATGGCTTCCCGTCATCTCCTGTCTGCAAGGCAAAGCTTCAGCTGCATGTGAGCAGAAAAAAATTCAAAATTAACAGAAAAAAATCAAGCATGGAAACAAGAAGCCAAATGCAGAGAGACCAAAAAGCAATGTGAGAAACAAAAACCTTCAGCACAAAAAGCAATAAATCACAACTCTAAAGGTTTACTAGAACACTGATATCCTCAACACGAACCAAATGGTCTGCAGTGATGAAAATGTGTGGAACTGAACTCTCCTTTTCTCTCACACTCATTTTCTTGTCGTGTGTGAACAGAGAAGGACGCCCATTCCCAAAAGGAAACATCTGTACATTCCAGACCAGCTGTGTAAGAAAGATGGAGACCAAGGAGAGAAGAACGAGAAACTTCTCCTCTGGTAAACCCATCAGAGGACAAGAAAAGGTGGCAAAAAACCCTCAATAAGCTCCGCCCACAAACGGATACTGCACCAACCATTCCGCTTATGTCATGCACTCAGCAAGGTGGCCAGGCGTGTGTGTTCCTCACACCTAATGCTAACAGGAGATAGAACCGAGGGAGTGTGTGTGGATGTATGTGTGTTTAACATGACCATATAATCTGACCTTCACCATGTCTATTAACAACAGACTCCCGTTCTCTCAGCTACCTCTGGACACACATGGTTTCACTTACACGCGCACACACACACACACACACACACACACACACACACACACACAACTCACATATGGTTCTGTTTTGCTAACAGTGTGGCCAATGATCTAACAACTCCTTATAAGGCCTGTCTGGTGCCACTTATTCCGAGTTGGGAGATCGAGAAAACACACACACAAAACCCTCATTGACTACCCTAGGTCAGATAGCACAAATAGAGGAGTGAGGAGTATGGATACCGGAAAGAAAAAATGTGACACAAATGAGAATTTTAGGAAGTAAAACAGACAAAAGCTGGATGTCTTGTTAAAGTTGATTTGCATCAAAGAGGCTCAAGATCTTATGTGCTATAAACAGTTCTGTAGGTTGCAGACCAACATCTGCCGCATCTTGGCAACAAAGTGGTCCAAGTCCCTGTAAGCAAAGGCCAACACTCCACTAACCCACTAAACACAGGCTCCTCTGTGGTTGCTTTCATCCCCGTCAGCCTCCTTTTCTGATTACTCGGCTCCTCCCTCACTCCCCCACTGTCCTCTCTCCTCCTTTTTCTTCCATTTGTCGTTTAAGCAGTAGCTCAGATCCTCTGAAGCAGACATCTGTGGAAACATTGATGACTGATGGCTTTGCGAAACTACCTCTGTTACAGAAAATACAGATTGTTTTCTGACCAGATTGAGGAGCTAATGGCTAGTTTGTCACCCTAAAACAATGTTGATTCCACATTGATCAAAAATATTCCTCTGTATAAGGTGTGTGGCAGTTGTAACCACAACAACCACCCCCG